TTTATCCACCGACCATGGGAAGCCCCGCAACTGGCGCAAGTGCAGGCTAAGTGTGTCATTGGCAAAGACTATCCCAAACCGATTGTGGAGCATAATTAAGGCTGGTTTCTATAAACATTTTGTTCTCCTTATTGATTCAAATCTTGGAGCTCCGTTGTTACATTTGCTTTTCGTCAAGGGAGCAAAACTAAACGACTTCTTCTACCAAAATAGCTCAAGATGTCTAAGACAAGCAGGCACAAGAGCGCAATTTGTCGGCATTCAAGAAGAGCTCGGATTCCTTGAAGAGTGGCGGATCGAGTCTGAAGCGACCGGCGTCTGGCGGATCACCAGGAGCAGCGAAGAAAATGAAGAAATGATTGTCCTCAACAAGACGATTGAGAGATCACTTACGTCATGTAACGTTATTAAACTGCCATCATCATTGTTCAATGGGGTCCAGAGCAACTACGATCCTCCTCTTCTACTTGAGCTCTTCGGGTTTTTTCGTAGTTGGCTATAAAGAATAGCCTTCTTCTTGTGTGCAGAATAGATAGTTGTTTCCCAAGAGACTCTAATCACAAGTAATCCAGCAAAAAATGAATCACGTGATATGTTGAGTAAATGTGAACGATATGTGCTGACCGGCGTGTGTAGTGAATTGCCCACTAGATTGCAGTTGTGAAGAAATGATGTGGAGGCCGCTAAGCGAGCATCACGCTGTAGAAGGTTCTACAGGCTACGAGCAGGGTGAATACAAAAATTATTCAATCAAAACCTGCTATCCTACTGAAAAAGGAAGCATAAGATCCTGACAAGATAATTATGAAGGAAAGACAAGACAAAGTGTATGCGTATGCGTTCGGCTTCGGTCTCTTTGATGGATTACGATGTAAGAATATGGGAAGGATCTTTTCTGGCTCTACTCGAGCCTGTTTCGTCCCGACAACGTGGCCTGGCCACAAGTTCGCGGGCCTTGAACCTTGAACCTCTTCTCGAAGTCACGTTCTGAAAGAGAAATACATAAAGGGAAAGGAAGAGAAAACGAAAGAAAAAAGTACGACCTTTCTTCTATCGGTACTAGGAAAAAGCACGACCTATCTTCTATCGGTTGTTCTCTCATTTTTGCAAGGCAGTATCTTCAACTCATTTTGCACCTGCATCTTCTAAGTCAGGACCTTCAACTTTGGTGTCAGATTGAAAAAAAATCTAGAACTGAACATAAGTTGTATGTAGTACCTTCGTGTTATATTGAAATGAAGACGGACACCGACACGGACTACATCTTCAAAAGAGACCACAGATAACCTCGTTTTGATTCTCCACTATGGTTTGAGTTTCTCCACTATGATCTGAGAAGATATTGGAAAAACTTGAAAAGCTAATTCTTCTTTCCTTTGAGAACAATTGAATCCAAAATTGTGGCTTTGATATTCTTCCTCGGTTATTGATTTCGTATTTTTTTATAGTTCGTACCGGTACCCACCTGATAGTAGAGTCCCTACCCACAACACAAGCAACAACAATGGCCGCCTACACCTTGCCTTCGGCATCCGTTGAGCAGCAAGCTGTGACGGAAGCTGTTTTACAGGGGCAAAACGTTGTCGTGGATAGTGTTGCCGGAAGTGGAAAAACGACCTGCGTGTTGCACTTGGCGAAGGAACTTGCTTAAGGCTAGTTTTTTTTCTACTAGAGTAGTCTCTCATCTCAAACCATACAACATAATTTTCACTATCTATGTATCGTACCATTTGCTTGATTGTTTTTCTTCGTTTCTAGACAGGGCTCCTCATCCCAATTGGACTAGGCTGTCGAGTGGAGTCCCATCCTTTGACTTCTTAAAGGGGAAAGAGCCTAAGGGAGACAGGACAAGGGCAACTGACAACTCAACCACGGATAGTGTGAGAAAAACTAGTACTTTTAAGTTGGGCGCAAGCAGTCTTGTGGCGAGTCTCAACTACTGTCGCGTGGCAAAGTGGTGCTGTTGACTTACAATGCGAGCCTAAAGCTGGAAACCAGAAAAAAAATCGAACAGTTGGGCCTTCGAGACACGATTGAGTGTCATAGCTTTCACAGTTTCTGTGTTCGCTACTATGATCAGAAATGCTACCAGGACACCGACATGCTTAAGGCTCTGGTTAAGCAGTCACTATTTTTTGATATGAGGACGAAGTGGCAGAACACGTACAGAGGGTAGATTCCACCAGCACTATTTTCTTCCTGAGTGACGTACGCCGTCGCACTACGAAGGATTGGGGAAATCAAGAACTTTTTTGTTGGAGGAGGTACCTACAGGAAAAGGAGTCAATCAAGGGGAAAAATAAAAACGACAGCGACTTTTATTCACCATTTATCACAGATAGATAGTGACTGACTGGCGTTAATGTGTGCAAAATGCTGGATAGGATGCGACCTAAGTCTACAACTGGATTCGCAGCTTCACCGTCTACAGCTCCACAATCTGCCTCTGTGCCAGCCTTTGGGTTTGGTAGTCCATTTCCAACTTTTGGGTCTCCTTCTTTACGGCTAGTGTATCACTATCCCATGTGAACTATGCTGAGTAATGTCCCCCTCCATTTGAAGGGGATACAGATCAAGGGGAAACCAAAGAGCAACCAACTCACTCAACCAGGCATAGTCAAAAACTAGCGTTAACTTCCGGCGCAGTCGTGTCCTCTAGTGCTACATCTACAAGAACCTTTGGAGGGTCCTCCTTGGGAAACCTCGGACCTATAGCGTTTGGAGGTTCGGCTGGAGGGAATCTTAGTGGAGCAACTGGAGAGCATGCGGCAGGGGGTGGATTTGGGGGCACATTTGGTGGACAGTTTGCGTTTGCTCCATATAATCTTCATGCCGGGAGTTGTGCATCAACATCAGTGCAAGCAAAGATATTGCAAGTAGCTCCTGGAGCTGGAGGCAGTGCAGCCACCACAACATCGTCACAAGCATTCAATCCACCTGGCTTTGGGAACGGTGGTCATGTTGGTTTTGGTTTCGGAATGTCACAGGGTTCAGGTTTCGGTACACAGAGCTCAGGTCAGCAGTTTGGTGCTTTTACACATACATCAGGCTTTGGTTCTCAAGCTGGTCCTCCTGGTGTAACAAATACTACAGGCTTGATGTTTGGTTCGCAAGCTGGTGCAGTAAACGCTGGTCGAGTAAACCCAGGCTTGGGTTCTCAACCTTCCATAATGAATACAGGCTTTTGCTCTCAAGTGAATCCAGGGGCTACGTGGACTCAGGCTGACAACAGTCGAAATTTGCATAGCGGATCTGCATGTTTTTCCGGCTTTGGTGGCATGACGCCGCCGATCGTTCCTTCGTCAGGCTCGAATATTTCAGCCAATAAGCCTCTGATTGCTTCGTTGTTTGGACGAACCACAGAGGCGACTGGCAGTAGTCATCAGCCGTGTGTGTCGCCGACACCTCATCATACTCCTGCACGGACGTCGCAATTTGCTGTTCCTCCACCAGCACCTACAAAAAGAGAGTCTCAGTTTGCAAACCTGGCATCGTCCTCCTCTATTCAGACTGGCTTTCTAAGCGGACAAGGTCTAGGTCAAAATAGAGCCCCATTTCGCTTTTGTCTCGTCATCGTTGACGAAGCCCAAGATCTGACAAAGACGTATTACGAGCTTGTGTGTAAAATTTTACACGACAGTGGTTCCCTGCCTCAGCTAGTGGTCTTAAGGCTCATCCTAATCCATCTCCGGAAGCATCCTGAAGAGGCCCCTCAAGGAAAAAAGGGAAGCAGGAATGGCCGAGGTGAAGCAGGACTGGCCGTTCAAGGGAAAAAGGGAAGCAGGATTTAGGGTTTAGGGATGGATCAAGGTGAGCGCTAATGGTCGTTGGTGACAGGAACCAGAGCGTATACGCCTTCAACTACGCCGACCAGCGTTTCATCGAATTTGCACCCAGAATCTTTCAGGCCTTCAAGGTGAAAACAGATAATATTTTTACCGTCTCAAAGAGCAATAAAAGTATCAGAGATGATTGCGATAATATCAGAGATACAGAGGTGGAAGGGCAAGTCGAAGCACAGGAGAAAACCACCTCCAAGACTAGCGTATCATGGGCACGACTAAGGTTGTCGCAAACTTTTCGGTGCAGCACTGAGATCGCGACCTTCGTGAATGACTGCATGCTGAAAAACAAGCCTGAGGATCCAACCCGGCTAGTCGGCGTTAGAAGTACAGGAGTTAAGAAGCCCATAAATTTGACATTGTCTCTTGTTTTCTCAGAGGGACATCTTATCTAGTCTCATGCGCTTCTGATGGGCTAGAATAAATCAAAGACATTTATCGGATTCTTAATCCGATAATTGTCTGAAGTCGTCTCTAACATTTTACTCCCACGCTACCTGCGGTGCAACTGCTTTGATACCGACCCGTTTAACGAGTTGCTTGCTTACCTCCGTGAGTACAATCCTAGCGACATCTTTATACTGGCTCCGAGTATAAAGCAGGGCAAGAATGCAAGCCCCGTGTGCAAACTGGAAAACCTGATAAAGTTATGGAGAACGGTTTTGGTTATGGTTCTTTCCAGGAGTACTTCTACGCGCACGTGGACTCAGATCTCGTTTCACGAGATCCAAGTGGTGTCGTCTAAGACAGAGCAGTAGCGGATTCATTCTTCAGTGTGTGGAGGTCTCTAGTAGCTTATTAGCATCGTGATCTTCTAAAAGGTACCAGACCCGAAACGAGGGATAGTATCAACGTCTACATACCAAACCACGACGACGAAAGGATTGACGAGGACGTGGCCAGGGGAAAACTAGTCTTTTCGACCTTTCATAAAGCGAAAGGGTTAGAAAGGAAAGTAGTGATGGTAAGTATATCTTCAAGCATAGTTTGATGATTTGGAGTGACTCTAAGTCTAATCCGAGGACAGTGCTTCTATAGCTGACTTCCTTGTAAGCTGAACGTTCTCGTCTCCACCAACAGCACACTTTTTTTCAAATTCAGGTATTTGGTTTCGACGCTTCTTATTTCAAGTTCATCAATAAGAGCCACAAAAACCAGAGCGTGTGTCCGAATGAAATGTATGTCGCCGCAACCAGAGCGTCGGAGCGGTTGACCCTCTTACACCACGCTGGGAGAAACCCGTATTTAAGAGTGGAAGAGATTCTAGTATGATTTTTGTAATTGATATCCTTCTGCTTGTTCTATCGATCTTTTCTGATAACTTCTACGTCGTGAATCACGTCGTCCTCTAAGCTTTCTGCCCTTTCTCGACTTGGAGACATTGTGCGCGAAGTGCCACGTCATTGAGCATGGAAGGACTTTAGAGCCCGAAACACAACTAGCAGATGATGAGGCAACTTTGGTTATGATTTGGAGATTTGTTAATCAGCGTACAATCGACTTAAGTCAATGCTCTCTTGACGGTCGTGGTGATTCTGATTGCACAGTGGTCTAAGCAAAGCATTTCAAAAATGTCAATAACGATATGGATGTGCTGTCTTGATCAGAAAGTCTCCGTATCTGGTTCTCTAATGTCTACTACTTTTGTGGTACTTTTCTCGATGAACAAGTCCGATGTATTCTAGTCTAATGTCCACTACTTTTGTGGTACTTTTCTCGATGAACAAGTCCGATTTATGCTAGTCTAATGTCCACTATTTTTATGGTACTGGTGAACGCGGTGAAAGGATGGACGCAATCTTTGAAGACGCGCAAAAAATTCGAGTACTTAAATCGGAGGAGGTACCAGTAACTGTTCTCTGTCGTCATTTACCGGAGATCGAGCTAGAGCAACGCGTCGAGCACTTTTTCAAAAGGAAACAAGTTCGACCTGCTGGTCGGCGTATTGACGTTGCGCTGAAGTCTGCGGAAGAAGGGAATACGTTCGAGTCGGTAGCGGAGATAACCGGCACTGCGATTCCAGCTTATTTCGAGTACAAACTATCCCGCGGACAGAAGTTGCAGATTTTAGAGCATGCGTTATCGGGTGGTGCCACATCGGATTTTGACGCAGAAACTGAGGCCTTCGTCCAAGCCTACGGATTGGAAGAGATATGGTACAAGATGCTTGCCGAAAGGGAGGCACTAGAGGCGATGGAACTAAAAGTGGGTCAGAACAAGAAAGCGAATGCAAGGAAGAAGTTATGGCAGGGTTCAAGTTAACAGGGTTGAAGTTGTTGACAGTGAATGTTACATTTAGAGACTCTTCTATGAGTAATTACGATTAGGAAATCAGCACCGACTTTACATCGAAGCAGGAGCGGATGTAATGGCTTGATGCGTCAATATTAGTCAATATTAGTATTTATAGTATTAGCAATTCCCAGAAATCTCTTAAGGAGCTCCCTTAAGGAGCTTCCTTAAGGCGCTTCCTTAAGGAAATCAGTTTCCTTAAGGAATTTTTATTATAAAAAGTTATTATAACTTTCCTTAAGAGGAAAAAAATTCCCTTAAGGAGGACCCTTAAGGGCAAGCTGTTATAAACTTGGGCTAATAACAGCGGCTCCTTAAGGACCTTGCTAGTACTACGAGTTCAAAAGTGTCAAGAGCGTGCTAACGTGTTCGCGGCTGTTAGTTTGTAGGCTACTCACGTACACCAGCCACATCTGCAGCAAGACACTACGCGCCCACCCCTAGCGAATCGCCCCAACGAACTTCCAACCGCTACCCTTGTCATATATCACCCAACGCCTTTCCTTTTTTTCAAAAACTTCAGGGAGGTCATTCAAATACAGAGAAAACTGAACGACCTCCCTGAAGTTTTTGGAAAAAAGTTAGCTCGCTCCCCTTCCGCGACTACCTTCCACGCACAGCAATCGACCACGGCACAGGAGCGCGCGGCAGCCCTTGGAGATGGTTGACCAGTATACTCCTAACCAGCACAAAAGCGGGAGAATTGTAAGGGAGAGGGTGAGCACTTGAAAAGGCAGAGGCTGACGAGCGTGATCATATTGATTCGCGAGAAGGCCAAGGACATACATCTCGGCGCTTCAAAGTCGCAGCCGTTGCGGATGTCGATGGCTGTGAGAATGATAGCCGTGAGGACTTGCATGTCTGAAGGGTGGACCCTGGTGAGCATCATCATATCCATGAGAGGGCCAAAGGTGTGCAAATTTGCGTGCGCAAGTCGAAGCCGCTGAGGATGTTGAAGCTGATGTCTGTGAGAATGATAGCCGTGAGGACTTGCATGTCTGAAGGGTGGACCCTGGTGAGCATCATCATATCCATGAGAAGGCCAAAGATATACATCTCTGTGTATGAAAGTCGAAGCCGTTGAGGATGTCGATGTCTGTGAGAATGATAGCCGTGAGGACTTGCATGTCTGAAGGGTGGACCCTGGTGAGCATCATCATATCAATGAGAGGGCCAAAGATGTACATCTCTGTGTTTGAAAGTCGAAGCCGTTGAGGATGTCGATGGCTGTGAGAATGATAGCCATGAGCACTTGCGTGTCTGAAGGGTGGGCCCTGGTGAGCGTCATCATATCCATGAGAAGGCCAAAGGTATACAGATTTGCCTGTGAAAGTCGAAGCCGTTGAGGAGGTCGATGTCTGTGAGAAAGTAGATAAGGGTGGACCCTGGCGGGCGTCCTCATGTCCATGAGAAGGCCAGGCGCATGCATCTCCGTCGGTGAAGGCTGAAGGCTGAGGACGTCGGTGCTTGTGTGTGAGAGTGATAACTGTGGGCCATTGCATGTCTGAGGCGCGGACCGTGGTGGGCGTCTTGCGTCATGTCCATGAAACAGCCAACCTCCTAGACACATCCCCGCGCCTGAAGGTTGGGGCCCAGCTTCTGGCTCTGCGCATAGATATGCCCAAGCGTGGCTTTCTCATGGGCCTCGCCCACGACGCTCGCCAGTGTCAGCCTTTTGCCATCCCATGGGTCTGCTATGCTTTAGGATTCTCCTGGACATGATCACACTCAAAAGGGCCCGACCTCTGTGCCTTGATATGTCCAAGCGTGGCCTTCTCATGGACTCCATGACGCTCAGCGGGCCAGCCTTGGCGCCCATTGGCTTGCCCCTAGCAAGCAAGTTGGCCAAGGCAGTAGCCATAGCGGTAACCTCCTCACTAGCCTCGCCACAGTGGGGGCCAGCTTCCCAGCCTTGGCGAGCAGACTTGGCGACTTTTTTCGTTTGTCTTTCTGTCTCTTAGTAGTCAACCTGTCTAGTTGTTAACCTATGCCCAGCGCAGCGGGCCCTTGATGGGCCCGCCTTCTGGGCATGTACTCATACGTCAAGGGGAACAACTTTCAATACTACTCTATGAGTAATTATACGATTAGGAAATTGATAATAGTTGAGTGATGAAGATTTTAGAAGACGTCAAACGGAATCCACTTGCATTTTCGTTTGCAAAGTTCATTTGGTGGTAGACCAACTGAAAAGACTTCTAACCAACAAAGGAGTCCGAAAAGGGAAGCAAAATGTTTCTTCGCGGCCAGGTGTCGCGTCTGTCGTGTCAAAGACTGATGTCCGCATTCAAGGCAGTGCTGCTGGAAATAACACTAGCTCAAGCTCTGTGAAGCAAACGATCGCCGTGATTAAAAAAGAAGATCAAGACCTTCAACAACAGAGCATAGAATCTACAACTAGGGAGAATCAAGAAGAAGAAGGGACTCCGGTGTCTTCGAAAATATCAGGCGAAACGCAGATGCTAGCACCTGACATCCTCAGGGTGGCAACTAAATACTGCTCTCTGACATCTGGGTTGGTGCATAAGCTGAGCCAGATCACGAAGTTTTCCTGGTTATCCCAAGAGCAATTGGAAGAATGCACTCAGCGGCTTTTTTCGCTTCCTTTCTTATGGTCGGAAAGTTGGTATTACCGGTCTCTACTGCGAGGCACTGTATTGCGATGTTGATATTTATTCATGTTTACTACTGTAGTAAGTTGATTTGGAATGATATTCGTATTTACTACTGTAGTAACTTGACACCGGATCATTACGGATATACTAACTAAGAGTGGTCGCAGCCTCTCCTATGCCTATCATCATTATCTGCTCTAACCCCCATCACAAGGGACACAGCAGAATTTGAGAAATATCTCGATATTATGGACCGACGAGAACTACGAGAGCGAGGAGCCGACCGTTGGGCCGACCGCGGAATTACCGGTAGAGTCCTTCAAGGATATCTCGATATAGTTGCCGGTGGTACTTCTGCTGGAAGTGGAGGAGAGTATGATTCTTGTACTAGTATTGTGCAACAGTATCATAGGCGTCATCGAAAGGACGACGATTATACACAAAATCTTCATCGTTCGTGGTCCTTACCGTTAGAGCAGGAGGATGTCAGGGGAGAAAGAAGCGGCGAAGTCGCTGAGGATGATGTTGCTGATCAAGGACAGCCAAAGTCTGCTTCTCGCTCCCCACGAGTCGTCTACGAGTTGAAGTGCGTGAGCAAGCTGGAAGTGATCCACAGGGTGCAATTGGGTTGCTATTTAAGAACGACAATTTTGTTGTTGAGCTTCTTCTAGAGCTAGACGCGGTACAAACGTGGCACTATTACTACAAAAATTCGTCCTACAAGGTCAAGGAGATCATCATCATAGCTAAGAATCAATTACAATTTACTATGGCTTTCATATTTCGCCTACCTCTACGAGCTGAATTTGCGGAACGCAGAGATCACCGCAGCGAAGGAGATACTTTTTCGCGACATTTTTCCCGAGGAGCTGGGTGAAAAGGACAGCGACAAAGAAGCTAAAAATGACGCGGATGACTCTAGTGTACCCGACTCTCCGGATGTCGGGAATCCGGAGCATAGGTACAAGAAATCCGTGGTCAAGAATGAACCAAATGACAACAAGGGCACAGCTAGGCGTGATGGAGGAGGGGAAGGGAGAAGGCCGGCTGTTGAAGTGATAGAAGTTTTCCCTTCTCCGGAGCCATCGCCTGAGTGTCGGGTCAATGTGAAAAAGGAAGCTGAATCCTCTCCAAATCCTAAACGCCGGAGACAAGAGGAAGCTTCTTGGTGTAAATCTTTTTATGGATGGTTTTCGATGTAATCGACTTAGTAGTCTACTTTATAGGAGAGGTACACTCAGGAGGCTATAGCGATGTTGATCATCGTTTCTTAGTCCCAGTTGTAGTTGCCAATCTTCTTGTTTGTAGTTGCACTAGGATGCCCATACACCAATATCCCTTATCCTCTTTCCGCTTTCATTATGCTGACATGTCTTCGCAGCAGCGTGAAAGTGGAAGGCCCTCGAGCAAGATCATGGTGAAGAGAGAAGAAAAAGACACCTTTGTCAAACAAGAAGAGCAGTCTCCTTCTGAGGATGGTGGTGAGGCAGGTTTCGACCTCCTCTCGGATCCTGAGCTTGACTTTGCAGATGGGGGAAATAAACGACCACAAGGACGAACTGCTAGTCAAGGCTCGATTTTGCCTCGACACCAAGGTTCTGGGGTGTCTCAAAGTGCCACTGCTCAACAATGTCCTGCTTATTCGTCTAATTGCTCCTCCATAAGACTAGCAGAAATCCTCCATTGCGTTGTCGACAACCTTTTCCCTCAGAAGCGTTTCTCTTCAAAAGGTTTGCCGCCGATCGCCTTGCTCGCCGCAGACCTCGAAAACGATCGCAGTCTTCGTGATAAATGCCAAAGTTATGGGGACTGTGAATTTCCTTTTCGTCCGGCGCACTTAGCATAGTCTCGTATCTTGTTCTTTCTTTGGGGAACACCTCACGTTATGTGAAGATAAGGAGAGAAGGAGAAAATTTTTTTTGCCCCACTTTTTTCCCCTCTAAGACAGATTTTTATCCCTTTTTCCGATCCTTTTGCGTGACGCGGGTTATTTTGGCCGACCGGAAAGCGAGTGGAAAATAAGGACGCGCTACTTCCTGTACAACATCTTATCCGATGAACTTGATTATGGCATCTTATCTCTCTGCAGACAGTCGGACTCGGAGTAACTGTAAGTACGTAGTTGCCACAGTCGCAGTAACTGTAAGTAGTTGTTGCTTTGTCGTCTTGGTCTTACTCTTACTGTGTTCAAGAATGTGAATGTTTCTTTTTCTTTTAGGGATACAAACATGTTTTACAACTACTTCCCCATTATTAAGATTATGCCTGGCCATGATGTTGGTTTTGTTTTCTCGAGTTGTACAGATAATGTGCTACATCCTTCTAATGTCCGGAATTGGAATCCCGCACGGGAACTCTAGAGCCTCTGCTAGATCTGGTTGACTTTCTAGTCGAAAAGAAATACGGAGAGGGGACGACACTCCCGGATGAACAATTTATCAGGGATGTAGACGCGATTGCGAAGCCTTATTATACTCGTGGAAAATAGGTAGAGGCTGTAACTGCTCTGGGAGGCTTTTGGAATGTTTTTTCGCTGATCTTCTATTCGTGATGGAGGTTCAGCATTTATTTCTATGGTTTGCATTCTAATTCACGACGATCATCAATCATCGTTTCTTTTTCTTTTGGCGCTGCTTCATATACGATCACACCCTGACGCTCAACATACTATTTTTTTTTATTCCCATAGTTGCATTTTTGTTCAACCGTATTTTCCCGCGAATGTTGTTGCATTCGGATTCAACTGCGGTCCTGAGGAGAAAAAACCATTTCGACTAGGTAGGTATTCCGAAACGACCGATGTCACCACCATCGCCATGTTTTGTCCCGTTTGTTCCCCACAAGACAAAGAGCACTTAAGCATCCCACTTCGGAACTCGAAGATTGGAGTTCCGCGTCGTGCGTCGAAGGGATATGAAGGCAAGGGGAGGAAAGACTAGAGATGTCACATTTACGAGATGAGATGGAGGGATGCTAATCTACTCTAGAAAAGAAAGCGAGTCTTTCATCTCCCATCCCAATAAGACTTTAGGGTTACGACGCATCGAATTTCTATTTGATTTGTCGTGGATGAAGCTATCTGAGTAATCCAAACCGTACTTGATTTTCCTTTTTTTATGTAAAAACTACTGATTAGTACTACGCACAACATTTAGAAGTACTGGGCTAGTACAGCAGAAAACTACGAACAAGATGGAGTCTTCATCCTACCTGCTGAATACGTTGGAGACAACTCCCGTTCTCCTTCCCTCGACGACTGCTCAAGAGGAAGGTCGAGCAGAAGACAACACCAACAACAGTACAACAGCCACTCCCTCTTCTTCCTCTTCTTTTAAGGCTGTAGTAGCTAATACATCTTTGGGCGTACTATCCTTGAAACGTATGGAGGAGTATCCACGACCTAAGGGGATAATACTCTCTATCCCAAGGGAATACTCTCCCATAGTTGTACTTTTCAAGGATGCACTTGAAAGATGAATTACGGACAGCTCTAATTCTTCGTCCTCCGCCAGTGCTTCAGCTTCTTTTCGAGCTGGGTCTACTTCCAAGGAGGTCATCGTGGTCGTCGATCCTTATTCGACTGGACGTGAGCTTGTTCGCGAGCTGTTGCATTGTTCTGCGCGTCTCATAGCGGTACAGAGTTCACTGGAGTTGGCGCCGTTTTGGCTACGGCAGCTGGAACCAGCGTGCTTTGAGGAATGTTTCTTGCACGAGGATGGGGATGTGGCTAAAACGTGTGGAAAGATCACCGCGAAATACCCGGTCAAGTGTGTGGTGGCCGGAAGTATTTCTGTGTGATTTAGGGATCTGCAAGATGAAACTCGAATTTCTTGATAGATTGTTCTACAGTGGTCATCCTTGTGTGTTTAGAGTTTCTCTTTCTCCGTTTCCGGGATCCTACAACATAATTGCTTCACGTATCTTGCAACTACGATCACTGATCATACTCCCGCAGGTGAACCCGGCGTCCTTCTCGCGGAAGAAATGAGCGCGTTCCTCGGATTGAAAAATGCCAACGACGCTGAAACGAAGGAGTGGCGTCGACACAAGTACGCCATGCAGGAGAGGGTACGAGAATGTGGTTTGCGAGCAGTGAGACAAATCTATTCGGACTCGGTGGCAGAAGTGCTTGATTATGGTCAGCTTTTATCCATCTTTCTGAACAGAGAATAGAGGTCTTTTGCCTTAGATGGCTTTTCCCATATCCATCTCTCTCAGGATCTGGATACCGTTTTCCTATAGAATCAATAGAGGGGTTTTTCTCAGCATCTCGGTTCCGTCGAAGAACCACAGAAACAATAGAGGGGAAAACCTGCCTACAGAGATAGGAAGGGACGGACTCAGCCACACTTCTCTAATCTTGGTGGCAGCAGAAGGCGAACTTTGGGAGATGGCCTATTATCGTGAAGCCAGCATGCAGTGGAGGGACGGATGGGGTGTACTGGTGCAACAAAGCGGAGGACGTCGAGAAGGCATTTGGGGAAGAGTTGGCGAAGGTAAGCATCAATTTTTTACGGAAATGAGTATATTAGGAAATGTGTCTTTCAATGGGTAAAGCAGGAAAACTCCATTTTCTCAATTGGTAACGCAGGAAAAACACGATTCCTCATCGTCCGGCATATCGTTAGGTCGTGGGATATGTAGCTGTTGTAGACTCTGCCCACGTCGTCTGGCACCACCAGGGACTTGAACCATTGCTGAGGTTACAGATGTCGAAGAAGAGGATTGAAGAAAGGAGGAAGTGTGTCTTTCAATTGGTGAGCGATCCATTTTTTTACGATCACTACCTACAACTCTTGTCTCTCTATGCCCAGGTAAACTGCAACGGCGCTTGCAACGAAAAGCTGTTGGCTCAGGAATTCCTAGAGGGCACTGAATACGTCGTGGACAGCACCAGTTTCGAGGGTCGACATGTTTTAGGCGCTGTCTGGCGGTACAAGAAGATATTGGACAAAAGCACGAACTCCATCGCCTACGAGCTTGCAGAATGCATCGAGAGTGAAGGCGAGGTGCAAGATCAACTGTTATGGAAGGATTGCGGTGTCGATTGAGTTGACTTGGAAATGTTGACTTGGGAATCTACGGATAAAAAAGGAGGGGTACTGGGATGTCCTAGATGATTTTTCGAACTGACTGGACCTACTCTAATCCCAGTCCGCTACATGTGGCAATGCCTGGATGCTCTCGGAATTCGATATGGTGCCAGTCACGGAGAAGCCATTATGACTAAGGATGGCCCTTGCCTGATCGAAGTTGGTGCAAGACTGCACGGTATGTTATTCTAAGAGAATGATATTAGATAAGGATGATCCCAGACAGATGTTCCTTTATCAAGATACATTTTTATCGAAATTTCATTCTTTCGACTCAACACAGGCGTACCTAATACTCACTAACAAACTGTCTAAGCTTCCTTATAGCTTCAACACACAACAGGTGGTCGTGGTCCGATCGTGACGCAGTTGGCTAGTGGCCTCGGATGTCATGAGTTGCTTGCTGATGTGTTGACGAATCACGCGAAACTCTTCAACGAACTGCATCGCCGCAACTACCGCTATGTCATGAAGAAGCGGGCACTCGAGTATCTCTGCCGCAATGTGTACGCTGAGGGGACATTGAAAACGGACTTGGATCATGGGGGCAGGGTATACTTATTTGAATTACTTTTTGTCTGAGTATCTATCTTTCCTGCACTTGAAAATGATGTGAAGTCGCAAATGGATAGGCAAGCGTCTCCTGTTGAATCAAAAAAAGCATAATTAGGCACACGTTCATCCTCGCCATTGCTACTTATACAAAAACTATCACAGCTTTCTTCCCTACCTGGCGTCGTCGAAGTCCGACCCAGTGTCCGAGTAGGCGAGCAACTGTCACTCACTCGCGACATGGCCACTTCGCCATGCTCGATCCTCATGTGTTCCGTCCGTCAAGAGACAGTAGAAGCCACCATATCACAGATCAAAGCCATGGAAGATTAAGGGTCTCAAAGTAATTCTCAAGTCATCTTGCTTCGCAGAAGATTGTGTCTCTCGGTTCCGTTCCGTCTTGCATCCTGAGAAGGTGACACAACTCATTTGTTTATAATTGATATTTGTCTCAGTTTCCTTTGTTCTTGGATCCTGAGAAGATGATAAAGTTAGCTTATGAGATGAATTACCTTGTTGAGCTTCTCTAAGAAGAGAGTGGCGAGTTATATCAAGTAGAAGAAAAAGCTGTCGTACCTGCGATCTCTACTGGTGGCGCTGTAGTAGGTGCTGGAGGTCGTACTCTCCTTGAGTCAGATTCAGATGGAGTGGACAACTCTCGCGAGTGTCCAGCTTGTGGTGCGGAACCGGGTGCAGCCGTCCAAGTCGTCCAGTCGCCGAGTCGACGTGGATCTTCTGCTTCGTCCTCATCTGAAGATGCATCCCTGTCTGAGAACGACGTGAAGAAGACAGAGATTATGAGGAGAATTTCAGTCATTGAAATTGAGTTTAAGAAATTCAAATCTACAATCGTAGTTCTAGATGAAGATCTACATTTTTTAGTCTTTTGGAGTTCGATTTGCCGATAATATCCTATGTAATTTGACATATAGTAGCTGACCATTGCCACAGAAGCTGTAACCACCTCTAACCTCTACCCCGAACAAGACGACCAAAAGCGTGTTGGCAAGATGCAGTCCTCTTCGACTGTGAGCACGATCTGCTCATCGCGGAGCAGTTCGTTATACGATATCGACCGACTCTTCGTGCCTACCCCTGAAGACGTCGCGTGATGAGAATAGCAATTTACCACGAACGTCGTGTTAAGGACTTATGTAGTCTGTTAGGCTTGATAGGATTAGGAACGACTTCAGTAGTCGGTGAGAAAGCCCTAGTTACTGATGATAAACTCAAGTGCTGGTGAATTAAACTTTTTATTTTTAGATGTTGGAGGTAAAATGCACTTTAATGTTTTTTAAGACTCCCGATAAATGGTCCGTCCTGACGTAATCCTTTGTGACGTGGAGATCACTTTAAAAAGTCTTCATGTGTGAGAAGTGTTATGATATATAATGTAGACGTATTTTCCCTGAGTGATCTGGAGACAGTTTACTTAATATCTTACGCAGAAGACCTATTGTTGATGACAATCTACTTCGTCATTTGTGTGGGAACATCATCTCCTTATAAGTCTTACCACGTGTAATATAGGTTTTTATTCGTCGGCTGAAAACTCCTGCTTCTATTTTACTACAGAGGAGAACACACTATTGTTCTACTCCTGAACTAGTTGTACATACTAAAGTTCGTTGAAGATCTAACTTTAAATATTTTTTGATAGTACACGTCGATGCGCAGAGAGGGAGCATTTACATGTTTGCGAGGCAGGGCTCTAGATAGAATTCCCAATTTTTTTGTTTATAGTGAGTCACAGTTTAGCTAGTTGATGTGAGCAGTGTTGTTGATTTAATAGCTGTCGTTGATTTAGTTGGTATGGTCGTGAGTGTTAGCAACAGTATGGTTGTAGGAGATAAAGCGTTTAAGCGTTCTCATTTGTTTGTTTTCTGAGAACGTATTCTTGACCAATTTGAATTCTAGCTCCTTTGCGCTTAGAATGTCAATGTTGAAGGTTTTTTTGGCTGCCGTGTTTTGTTGCAGTAACCACTGTATAGAATTGTTCATCATGGGAGCCGAAGCCGATGGATGTAGGCTCGTCGTCTCCTCGATCATGGGATAACATTATCGTGAAGAAGTCCATTTTGAGAAGTCCATATTTATCCATTTAATACATTTTCATTCATAATTATATTCATTCCATCGGACATAGTAGAGAGAAAGTGTCCAAAATGCGCTTGTAAAGAAGGACTAGTACACCCTCAGCATATAGGCAAAAACTGCAATTGATCTTCACTTAACAAAGCTAATCCCTCCTCCCTCCCCTGCAACTTGCAACTTTCGGATGTACCCCTGGATTGGGTTTAATACTACTACTACTCACAGTACTAGACATACTCCGTATACTATCACGTTGTGCTCAATTTCGGAACTTTTCTCTCCGACAGACTCTCTCTCTCATACTTTTTTCCCTAAAAAGTGGATCAACTGCAAGGTGATAGGTTGTTCTTCATCCCTAGCATATGCATTAGTTTCTTGAGTGGTTATCAACAAAAGAGTTGCTAGTAGAGCAACTACACAGTTCGGTGTAAAAAAAACTTGCATGCTATCAGCGGAGAAGCTTAGCCTACTGGTCAACAAATTCCTCTCCAACAGCTTCTCCGCCAACTACTTCTGGTGCAGAAATTCGTTCTTGTTGAGTATAATTGTCTTCTTGTTTCGATTTTTATATGTGACAGACTCTGTATATTTATGACCTAGTGGAATCGTGGACAATACATCGTCGTAGACGATACAACGATGCTATCCAATTAATGATGGACTGAATATCTTTTTCATGGTATACTCATCACGAACAAGTTGGACTACAAGTCGACAAAAGTTCTAATTACATAGGACGCATAGGCGCGGCATTCATTCAATATTATTTCTTTTTGGGTTATTCCAATGTTATTTAATGTACAATTTTCTATGGCCATGCCCATGGCTGTGCAACTACTACTACTACTACTACTACTACTACTACCAATGCAGTAGAATCGGAATTGATTCTTCATCAATCTTTCTATGTCCTCCATCGTCATCAACAATGAAGTCAAAACATCAACATCGAAGACGACCACAGCAACATTGATTTTGAGAACACTGGTTAGTGGTTATGAATGACCACAACATGATGTACACATGCTTGATTACGTTGTAGCTCACGTTTATTGTACTCAGGTAAATGACTAAAAAGAGAAAATTTACGAAGAGAAATAGACAAACAGGGAATGAAGCGTTGTCATGAACAGAGATATTGTACCAGCTTGTTATAGAGTTTTTAATGATTATGGACGGAGGCAGTTGTTGTCTCCATATCCTTTGGCTTGACCACACTAACGGAAGTGGGCTGTATGCGACCGTCTGTTTTCTGAAAGAAATCCCGCGCTCTAGTGCCGAGTGGTCAGACAAACTGACAGTCTGACAACAAGATCCACACTGCGTTGAATGCACATTCTGAGGCAGATCACTGGAGAGAAAGCGCATTTCTGAGTGTGCTGTTTCAGATCGTCACGGAGAGATGCTGAGCCATGGAACAGAGAGTGAGGGTTCTCTCCCCACCCCTAATTGTATCAGAGTCGTCTCTCCTCCCCCACCCCGCGGAACTAATCAAACGTAGACCACCGATTCATTTTCAGCATTACCACCAAAAATATCTAGTCATACGATGTAGTTCTCGTTTGTTATAGACGACCGCCTACAGGGTTGCTGAAAGGCGATGGAAATGACGACGCCTACGAATAATTGGTATAGCGCCTGCTAGCTTGGCTGTCTACAGCGCCTAAAAAACTCTGCACCTCCTAGCAGCGCAGTGGTCGTAGGTGCAGCTGGCGCTGTCTAGCACGATGCCTCCAGTTGATGAAGTGGAATCGGCACCGCGGACACCCGAATTGCAGAATGCACCTCCGGAGCTGCAGCAGACGCCACAGGATGACATCGGTGGAGGCAATAACACGCCTGGTGCCGCAGCTTTCGCTACCCCAGTTAAGGCTTTTCTTGTTGCTAAGAGGACTTTATAAATATGTGTCCTCGTGTTCTGACGCAGAAGAAAGATAGATTCTAATCTGAGTTCCCAATATGGTGCGACACCGGCAGATCGGAGTCCTGAACAGCGAAGGCGAGAGCAGCCAGCGGGTGTGGGAATGCCACCGCCTACAATCCAAAATGCTGAGCCACTGGACCATGTGCCGCTTGCGCCAGGAATAGTTGCGACATTATGGCGGTCTAATGAATTGCATGCAAAGGTTGTGATCGAGATAGCACCTGTGGTATTTCAGAAGTTCTTCTTCTTGCAAAGGCAACTTTTTCTTGCTTGTATTGCAGATAGCTCCTTTGGCCTTTCTTCTCAGGAGTTTCCTTTTCAGGAGTTTTCCTTTCAAGAACATAGGTTCTTTCATATACCGGAGGTGGCGGTGCAGTTCCGACAACCTATGGAGCAGCCACAGGAATGCCGAAACGTGGACGTTGGTTCAACGAACCCAACAAGCTGATTCCCATAGGGTTTATTCTCACCTTGATCACCTACCTTTTCACATGCTACACTTGGCTACACCTGTTGCCGAGATTGCAGGTTTACAGCGTTTCCTCAGAAGGAGGAGACTTTTCGACGCTGACCAAGCATCAAAAAGACAAATTTTTTTTAGAAGGTGTGGCGTTGAGCATCGTTTTTGGGTATTTCACCGCTCAAATGCTGTACTGCTATTGGAAAGCGATCTTTACGGACCCTGGTGTGATCCCAAACGATCCGATGTGGGGCTATCACTATGAAAACAACGGCTACCAAGTCGCGAGCGTCGCGTTTGAGAGGAAGAAGGTACAGCCTGTAATGTTAATGTCGGTTTACCGTTGAAGGACGAGGAATTGTAGAACCTACAATTCCTCGTCCTTCAAAGATGATATGTGAGTTTTGCTAGATGATTAAATGAAAGAATAGTTCGTCATATCTAGTGAGGGAGTCACTGAAAAAATTAAGTACATCACCCTCACATTCAGGACGGCGACCTCCGCAACTGTAAGTGGTGTTCGAAATACAAACCAGACCGCACTCATCATTGTCGCGTTTTGGGCCGTTGCGTGCTGAAAATGGACCATCACTGCCCTTGGATCTTCAATACAGTGGGGTTCTACAATTATGGCTTAGTGTAAGTCATTGTAGGAGGTTTGCGGGTAACAAGGTGTCTAATATTTACCATCCTCTATCACCTCTAATCCTTCCACAAATATTTCTTCCTGTTGCTGTTCAACGCGGTGATTGTGCTGTGGCTTATCGTAGGGACCTTTTGGACTACGGTTTGGGCGCTCGTTGCTCCAGTATCTGGTAGTGGCGTAATACCAGCAGAACTACCTCTATTGCTAGAACCTGGCAAAGAGCCGCCACTTTTCTTGGTTTTCATAGCCCTGTACGCAGAGTCTCTAGCAGTTTTTGTCGGCTTAATTTGCGGTTTGTTCTTTTCTTTTCACGTTTTTCTACTCTTCAAGGGATTAACGACAATCGAATTCTGCGAAAAACACACGCAGGGTGGGAATGGTATTTTGGTGGAGGATATTAGGTATGACCTTGACTTGGCTTCTATCTTCGTGTCTATCCTCAGGTATCACAACTCAAAAACCAAGCTTCATCAAGCTCTATTCTACTCTACTCAGGTCCTCATTACCCGTCTCCCCCTTCATCTCATCCCAGATGCTCAATACCCCTCCCGTCCCTCGCATCCGTTTTCGGCACCGGAGTCGCACCATCCGCAGCCTCTGTCGCTTTATCAAAGCAAGTTCGATCTCGGTGTATACGGCAACATTGCTGCTGCGTTAGGACCGAACCCGTTGCTTTGGCTGGTGCCTATTGCGAACATGAAAGGTGACGGTTTGGTGTACAAATTGCCAATGGCGTTTAAGATTGAAAACTAGACTTGACCCTGTGAGGTAGTCGAGGGACAGCGGGATGCATGGATGAGCAGGAGCAGAAGTAAGTCGTACAAGTAAGTTGCAGGAGTATCTTTTAGGTCGAGTCTGAATGATCCTCACATTGGATGATAAAAAACGGACAATTTTTTTTCCAGACTCTTTGTTTTTTCCCGAAGCAATGCTTTCTGTAAGTACATACTGTTGTACGCGAAGCACATACCAGGAGCCGTCGGAGAATCCACGGGCTTCAGATCATGGCGTGGGGAGGAACGTAAAATGAACCCGACAGGAAGAATGCATTCTGTTTGAGCGAGCTGAAAGCTCAGGTGGTCCAGTACCGTAAAAAGCCAGGCAACATTCACAAATAGAGAGGCAAAAAGTGCTGGAATAATCACGCACCAACTCATCACAAAGATAGCAAATATTAAGTGGTCGAGGTTACACTTATAGCCTCTGGTAGTGTAACCTCTTTTAGCCACAATTGTAGGCTCATATTGTTTCAGAAAAAGCAAATGAAAGTTTCAAAAAATGTTTTTGGAAGCCACGCGCCGTGGAGCAATGGTTAGCTCATTCGGCCTTCAGTTAACCGAACAAAGAGTCCTCTGTCGTAGGGCAGGGTTTTCCTCTCTTGCGACTTTACCGAGAAGACGTTTTCGGCGCAAAGAGGAGTGGTCGTCGTATTTCCATGCGCTTGGGGTCGAGTGGCCGCGAACACAGCCCCTGCCGCTTGAAGAGCGCACTCGCAGGAGCGCGCAGAACAATAGTGCAAATGATGCAGCGGAATTTGTCGAGTCGACTGTCCAGAAACTGACTAGTGGGTATGAGTTCTTTAGATTACCGCGGTGCAGTAGAGCGACATTCCTGGTGCGGCGTCGGGATTGTGCGATTCCTGAGACCACTGGAGAGGCTTCCGCGGACGGCTTGTGGCAGGCTATACAGGTGAAGAGCGCGCTAAAACGCAACAAACGAGAGTCAAACAGTTACCACTTTGCTGGCACTGGTAGCGGGCCGGATTGCGATACTGGTATTGCGCTTGTCTGCGTGCCACAACAGAAGCTAGAGTTCCTCGTCGGGAATGGCTTGAGCGTCCAATACGCAGGTGGACGGCAGTACTGGATGACGCGTTGCGACATTGAGAGTGTGAGTGCTTGCAACGATGTTGGCTGCAGCCGCGTCCGTGAGAACTTTGAACATCTACTGTTTCAGCTCCCGAAAAAATCACTTTCTGACTGGATTAGAAGACTGGCAAATAGGGCCCAGGATCGTGTTCACCAGCTCCTTATACTCCGGCTTTCGCAGGAAATTGAGAAGCGTCTCTGTGTAGAGCTGCTGTGCCTCGGTTCCTACACCAATGCCAGCAACGCGACCGTTTTTGGCAAACGGGTTCTGCTTCGATGCGGTCGCCTCAGCAGCAAAACGGGAAAAGGGAAGGTTCGTCTGGAAAGGCGCCGGAGTGTCGATGGCAAACGGTTTGACTTTCCCTTTGACGCGAGTGAGGACGATGTTGACCTATTCATTATCCTATTGCATAGAGGCAAGCTTTCAGACCAGCTGGCGGGTATTTTTGTTTTTCCGAAACGTTTCCTCATGGAAGAGAATATTATTTCCGCAAACTATGTCGGCGGTCGGCGTGAGCTTGTGCTTTACCCACCAGGTTGCAAAGCAGTGTCGCATCATAGGCAAGAATTTGCCCGAAAACAGTGTCAATACTTTCTTTCGTTCGAAGACACCTCTTGGACTTTTGGCGCAGGCGACCACATAACAGAGAAACTCAGGTCGTTACTCATGTGTCAATAAAACTGGGGGGTTTGTGCCACGGACAAAACACGCGCTCCGGGTTAGTTGTAGACGATTTTATTCCGTCTAGAATCTGTGGAGCAGACGCAGAGAAAGACTACCTCAATGTCGGTGATGCTATTGCAAGTCCTCTGCGATGGATTCCGATTCGGCTGTGTGGTGTGAGTTTGACCCCTGCTCAATCCCTTCTAATTCCCGCGTTTTTATCAGATTCTGTTTTTGTCGGTGTAGTCGTCACTGCAACAAGAGAAAATGAAACTCGCAAACGACAGCTTAATCGAAAAAAAGGCATAGACCGAAGTGGCCTTGGGTTTACTTTTCAAGGCTAGATACTGATAGCAAATCAAATGTCAGAGAAAAAACTCTCAGTGGGTTGTGGCTTTGGGACGACACTTGTGGTGGGTTCAGAACGCACCTCGTAAAATTTCTCGAGAGCGCGACTTCATATATAAAACTAAGTAATTTGAAGCAGCAATCATGTAATGTGGCTCGGGAAACCTAAATGCTTGTTTCAGTGTCACCTCCAGGACCAGCTCGCGCACTGTCGCGGCTGGTCGGCAATGCGCACAACTGCGTCGCCGTTTCCGACCGTATGCGGTTAGTCTCGTTCGGCAGCCTGCGCAGACATAAGTGGTTTCCTTCCGTTTGTGTTCGGTCATTCCGCACAACATCTTTGCCGTTCGTAGACGCTATCCCACTAAATTCCACGACGCTCAAGTGTCGACAATGGCAGCTTGCTCAAGCTGATGATGCGTCAACTTTTGTGCAGGACCTTCTGGCAAAGTTTAGTAAGAAGTATGAGCTTTTTCGCCTGCCGCGCCACAGCAAAGCGAATTTTCTCATTCGCCTACGCACGGACGAGGAGCAGCCAGAGGCCTCGGAGAAGCTCTGGCATGCAATCCGAGTGAAGAGCGTGAGCGGGCCAAATAAGAACAAGTACTTTTTTACCGCGGTGGGGCAAGCTCCAGACCCTGACATCGGAATGGCGCCAATCTGTGTCCAAGAGCAGAAACTAGATTTTCTCCACTCCAGCGACCTGCAGGTGCGTTATGCTGGAGGGTTGCAATGGTGGTTTTGCCTGCATGACATCATTGACACGCGGACGCATGATGACGAAGCGCTTGTGCTAAAGCAACTGGACGAACTGCTCGAGAGATTGCCACTGCGATCAGTCTCGGATTGGTGTGTTAAATTAGCTCACAGGCCATTTGATCGGGTACATCAGTTGCTGATGCAACGTTTTTCTTTGGAAGTGAGCAGGCGATTGGGCCAAGCGCTTCACCACGTCACAACACAGACTGAATCTGGCAATGCGATTATTGCTGGGCGACGCTGTTTGTTGCGATCGAGCCTCACGGATCCTGTCAGTGGGAAGGTCAAAATCAGTCTGCAAAGGCATTGTCGAGTAAAGGGGACCGGTTTTTATTTCCCTTTTGATGTAACTGAAGACAAGATCGATTTGTTTATTTTCATGCTCTATCGCTGTCCGACGAACCTAGAGTTAGACGGTGTCTTTATATTTCCTAGTTCATACCTACAGGACCAGGGTGTGCTTTCTTCAGAAAACGCAAAAGGACGCCTTGGAATGGTCCTGTATCCACCAGGAGCCACTGGCGTTTCGAAAACGCGCGAAGAGCTTGTTGCGAAGCAACAAAGCTACCATATTTCATTCAAAGAAGATGACAAAAAAGAAAACTTTCTGCAAAATCATCCCGAGGTGGACTCAATGGAAAAGCAAAAAACAGAGAAACTTGCTTCGTTGTTACTGGGAAAATAACTGAATGTACAGGTAGTTGAGTCCTGTCATCTGCGATGGTGTAGCTTGTCTGTCCTTCACAATGCAATCTTTGCAAGTATATGCCAAATTCAACTTGGTAGATCAGCAGGGTGTGTGGACGACCTTGTTTTGTTTTCACATCCATCAAAAAGATTCGTGTGTGACTTCAGGATAGGACTAGAATACTCGTTTACTGAAGCAAGTTCTGACAATTTCTTCGTGTATTCGAATCTATCACTAGCCTTTTTTTGCGCATTGATGTGGTACTTGAAAAATCCTCACATTGTGTTTGTCTACTAAACTTGAATGATTCATCTTCAATCACCAGATCCCTCACTATCCCTACATAAATAAAAACCTACCAGTGATTATTGACGTATCATCTAGACTTTCGTCGCATCAAGGAAAAATGACAAGCTTTTTCTCTCGTGTCCGTTCCGGAACCACTACACCGGCGACTTCGGTTGGAAATGGAAAAGAAGAGCATGTTGTGTATATGACGGACCAAGTAGAAAGGGACGAAAACATTACCTGTTATTGAACAATGTTAACTTCGCATTTTCTGCTCCAATTTAACGAAAAACACAGATGCTTAGGTTTCTGTCTTTTCCAATCAATTTTGTTTCTAGGTCTAGATAGTTTTTATCAAATGAAGAAATATGTCTATGAGAATGTGGCAGCGACCGATGTTCGCTGTGCTGCCTCGCGGAGTCGCATCAGCTTCGGCGCAAACACAAAGATTCTCGTTCTCGTCTGCAGGTGCGGAACCGGTGGGGCGGCGAAGTCAAAGCATAAAAAAGACCCTTGCAGAGACGAAAGCGGAGCACATTTCTGACGGTGCTTCTTCTTCGGGGGCGCCAATCGATCGGTACGGTCGAAGATACAGGCAAAGTAGCAACGCTGGCGATGCGTGCGTGTTCGTCCAAGCTCTTGTCGCCAAGCTAGAGAAAAACAAATACGAAGTCTTTCGCTTGCCGCGGTGTAGCAGAGGTAGTTTTTTGATTCGAGTCCGTGGAGATGGGAACGAAGATCAAGCGTCGGCATCAGACCGATGGCAGGCTATCAGAGTGAAGAGCGCTCGAAGGAGGTATGATAGTGCTGCTAAAAGGTACTTCTTCTGTGGTAGTGGCGGTGGGCCCCGGCCTGATGTTGGGCTGGCACTAGTGTGCACGGATGAGGAGATGAGGACGGAATTCGTGCATTTCGAGGACATTGCGGTAGAGTACGCTGGCGGACCGCAGTACTGGTTTCGGCGTGGTGACATCAAGGCTTCCGCTTCCGAAGACGCCCTGACTCGCGCTTCGGTGGAACTTGAGAGGGTGCTTTCCCGGATTCCGAAGCGCTCGCTCTCCGAGTGGCTGGCTGCACTCGCAACGCGGGAGCAAGATCATGTTCGTCAATAATTTTCACTTTGCCGGCACTGGTAGCGAGCCGGACCGAGATACTGGTGTAGCCGTCGTCTGCGTTCCCGAACAGAAGCTGGATATCGTACACGCGGACGAATTGGATGTCCAGCATGTGGGCGGGCCTCAGTACTGGTTCACGCGGGAAGATGTCGGAAGCGTTTCCAGCAAGGAGAGCGCCACGCGCGCTCTTGAGGAGTTCAGGAATCTTCTTCAAAAGCTACCGAAGCAGTCACTTGCCGAGTCCATTCGAAGGCTGGCCAACCGAAAGCAGGACTGCGTCCATCAACTTCTGATGCTGAAGCTGGCACGAGAAATATCTGCTCGTTTAGGGGTAGCGCTGCAGTACATTGGGTCTTACACAGACGCCTGTAACGCGGTCGTTTCTGGGATGCGACTGCTCATCCGTGCTGCTTGCATCGATGCGCAAACCGGAAAAGCGAAAATTCCTCTCGAGAGGCACCGTTTCGTAAACGGACAGTCTTTCACATTTCCGTTCGACTCAGACGAGGATGCCGTCGACTTGTTTGTGGTAATGTTGCACCGTGGCCGAGAGTCAGAGAAGCTGGATAGTGTTTCCGAAGGCCTTCTTGGTAGAACAAGATATCATTTCTACGAGCTATGAAGGCGGTCGACGTAGCCTACTTGTGTATCCTCCAGGATGCACTGGAATCCCAACGCATAGACAAGAGCTTGCTGACAAGCAAAGAGGCTTTTTCCTGTCGCTTGCGAAGACCTACGATGATCCGGATTCTGAAAAAGACAGAGGCATCACCGCGAAACTTCGCGCATTGCTCGCTTTATGACAACATGTTTGACAGTGGTTCCTCAGCTAAGATGAGAGTTTTGCCAGTTCTGTGGTTTGCAGCATGCCTGTGGCAACTTCCTTTGTCAATCAGCCAGTCTCGCTGGTAGTTGGTACTGTCGAGCGCGAAAACGAGATGCACGCAGAGAAAGTAGACCAGCAAGAGTACTACAAAAACGTGAAAAGCTTTATTACTTACACATGCTACTTAGTCCCCCATCACTTCTTTCAACGCGAGTTTCCCCAAGTTTTTGCTACAAGCAACTCTTTGATGTACTTCTACTAGTGTTAGGTAAAAACTTTGAAGAAAGGAACAAAAACGATATGAATGTGGGGATCTGCAAATAGCACTATAATGGAAAAATGAGCACGCTGAAAGAAAGTCGTAGTTGCAAGCAAAGGAGAGAACACAGCGCGCACCAGTCAACATTCAGAAAGTAATATCTCTGGAGGTTCAATAAGGACCGTAGTCATAATATGCTCGCACAACAGGAGCATTTGTAAAGACACTAGAATTTGTTATGGGAACCTCTCACTGGTTAACACAGAAGATGTTGCCGGGAAGGGGCGCTCCCTATTTTGGCCGCCTGGCAGCGATGCGCCGACCAGCTGGTCCCTCAAGAGTGTGGTTTGGATCCGCATCAGCAGAAGTAGGCCCACCACGAAACAATTGGCAAAGCTATGTCGAGGCCCTTGCTCGTCTCTCGTCTGCCAAGGGGCGTTCTTTTCAGTCTGGCAACTCACCGACTCGGAGAGACACGCATTCGGTGAAAGCAGACGAAGCAGCTACATATGTTCTAGATCTGCTGGCGGCAAGAACCGGAAATAGGTTTGAATTTTTTCGCTTGCCACGTCACTGCAAGGCGAGTTTTCTCATTCGTGAGCGCACGGAGGAGGCAGTAGAAGATGTTTCCGATGCCAGCTGGCAGGCCATTCGCGTGAAGAGTGCAAGACAACGGCATAACCGGCTCAAGACCAGGTACATCTTTACTATGTCGGGGGATGCTGTGGACTTGGCTGACACAGGGTTGGCATTGGTCTGTCTACCGCGAGAAACAATGGACATTATTCATGCCAGCGATGTTAGTGTGCAATATGTTGGGGGTCCGCAGTCATGGTTCTTCCGCGAAACTATGAGGACCCACGGTGATGGCGAGGGTGAAGATCCTGTGCTGGTGCGAGAACTTGATGGGGTTCTCGCTAAGCTTCCGAAGCGATCTCTGGCAAAGTGGTTTGCACGACTGGCATACAGGCCGCATGATCTGAACCATCAATTGTTGATGCAGCAGTTTTCTGAACAGGTTTGGCGGCGCTTGGGAAAAACGCTCCTTTTCGGCACATGTGACCGAGGCCGCAGCAATGCACTCATCGCGGGAAAGCGGTGCCTTTTGCGTTCGAGCGTTGTTGACGCAGTCAGCGGGAAGGCAAAGCTTAAACTGGAGCGGCACTGCTTGGTCGAAGGCAAGGCATTTGTATTTCCATTTGATGTAAGTGACGACAATGTTGACGTATTCATCATTATGTTGCACGAGAAAGATAGTACGACGCTCAATGGCGTTTTCATTTTTCCGAAGGAATATCTTGCAGAACGAGGCATACTCTCAGTTGACCGTGTTGGAGGTAAGTTCTCTACAATGTTGTATCCACCTGGATGCATGGAATCCTCACAGAAAGAGAAGAAAGAACTAGCCTCGTCACAACAAAGTTACTTCATTTCGTTTGCTAAAGATTCAGATTGTGCTTTGGTGACGGGCTCCCGCGCAACTGAAGCTAAGACGGAAATTGCTGACTACGTAGAGAAGGAGAAAACAGAAAAACTGTCCCAGTTGCTTTGCATCGCAGAGTGACTACGTCAAAACACAGTGAGTGGTGTTGCTTTTCCTTGATGCAGCAACGCCACCTGAAAATCAATGGCTGCAGAAGACGAATGGAGTCGATCTTTCACAAATCGCTCGTAGTAGACTTGTGTCACTCTCAATGGAGCTCCTAGCTGTCATCCACATGAAATCAGCGGAGGAGATGTGATTTCTAACTACAAGCATAAAGCTCAAAACCGTAAGGCAAATAACAAAGGGTGACTGAGAGAGGTCGCCTGAGTCCTATCATGCCTATATCCATTTAAAGTGACGCAAAACGTCCAAAAGCGACGTTGCTGATTCTTGATCATCGCATCGATCTCTCTAGTATCGGAGCAATTTTGTGTCCGCAGCCTCTTTCGTTGCATCAAAGCAAGTTCGATCTCGGCATTTACGGCAACATTGCTGCTGCGTTGGGACCGAACCCATTGCTCTGGCTAGTGCCTATCGCGAACATGAAAGGTGACGGCTTGGTGTATACATTGCCCATGGCCGCGTTTAAGATTGAGAACTAAAACATTGTGACGGAGATGCGCCGTGTGATTGGGAAGGGTGATAAGAGCAGATGTTGTAGGGGAGACGAAGCGTGGGAGGAGCTTTGGTCGGGGTGTTTGAATCTTCTACGCTAGTTCACTCGAGGATTGCATAGCTGGAGATGGTTTTTTTTCCTTGCATAAGACATGCGTGAGATCATGGACTACCCTACGCAATTTGACCTTGATATGTTTTTGTTTATTCCACAATGAACATATCTCTATTTGCACCTGACTGTACTGCAATCGCCACTCTCTCATTGCCAGTGTCTACTGACTTTTCTCGCTATGCCGCGGAAATTTTGTGGAAACTGGAAAGTACAAAAGTTGTGGTAGACCTCAAACTGTCAACACAATATTCGCAAAAACGGTGATTCATGTATCTATAAGACTCGAGAGTGAAATCTCGACTCTCCTTCAATAGAAGATGCATTCTTCAAGGTTTACGTGACCGTTATGTACAGAAAGATGAAGATGATGTGACAGGAAAAATATATGGCGATGTGGCACCGTCAGGCAGTTCTGAGACTGTCGCGGCACGCCACCGCAGGAAAAGCAAGAGCGAAAGGCCTGCTTGCAGAGTCTGCCTCTGCGTGGCGGCTTCACACTCCCACGAGGCGCGGAAAGGCAAATAGTTGGGCGGCCTTTGCACACGCGTGTCGTGGTACTGGTGGAGAATTGTCGGCGTTGGACTGTGCAGCCGTCAGCATAGAAGATGATCGGAGAAAAACACAAAGTAGGAGCGCGCAGGAGGGTGTGGTATTTGTGCATCAATTATTCGAGAAAGTCAATGACAAGTACGAAATATTTGTGCTTCCACGCTGCAGCAGAGGTAGTTTTCTCATTCGTTTGCGCACATCAGAGAGGGACAACGCCCACACAGCACTATCTGATGGGTGGCAAGCGATTCAAGTAAAAAACGCGCGAAAGAGACATGCGAAGGCAGGAAACAAGTACATTTTCTGCGGTAGCGGGAGCGGTCCGCGCGCAGATGTAGGTCTCGCTCTGGTTTGTGCAGCAGAAAAAAAGATCGAGTTTGTGCATGAAGGCGCCGTATCTGTGCAGTACGCTGGCGGGCCGCAGTACTGGATCTGCCGCGATGAGCTCGGTTCACCTGCCACTTGCTTCGGCAGTGACACTGTTGTCGAAGGACTCGAAAAGGTCCTCCACATGGTACCGAAGCGTTCTGTTGCTGATTGGCTTTTTCGCTTAGCTTTACGCAAGCAAGACCGTGTCCACCAATCTCTGATGCAGCAATTTGCTCTGCAGGCAGAGCAACGGCTTGGTAAGAGCTTGCAATATCTCGCAGCACGCACGGACCCTTCCAACGCAATTGTTGCTGGTAAGCGCAGTTTGCTTCGGTCTTGCGAAATAGTTCCGCAGCACGGAAAAGCGCTCCTGCCTCTCGAGAGGCATCGCTTCGCACGGGGACAGTTGTTCGGTTTGCCATTTGATGCGATCGAGGACAACGTGGATTTGTACATCATCATGCTGTTCAAGCGTACCTCCGACAAGCTAGAGGGTGCTTTCATATTTCCTAAAACGTTTCTTGCAGAGGAAGGCATTCTTTCGATAAGTCGCACTGGCGGGCAAGGAAGCATGGTACTCTATCCACCAGGAAGCAGAGCCATATCGCCCGAGAAAGAAGACTTTGCCCGGAGGCAAAGACTCTACTATGTCTCCTTCGATGCAGAAAATGACGAGGTTGAAGACAGTTCCCCCGATGTGCGGGAGAAACACATAACAGCGAAGTTCAGAGCACTGTTAAAATGCAAAGTGACCTTTTAGCGAATTCGAAACTGACATGTCATCCTTGTTTTTTCCACAATGCACTCGCTATAGCAGAAGGAGGTTTTATCCTTAACCGGTTCTGCTGTGGCAGAATACGCCCTTTCCTCCGACTCTCTCAAAAAATTGAGATCTTAAGGAGATTATGTCTTGAAATCGTGTTGGCTTCTCTACTCTCTTGAAAAGGACCCACTCGACAGACGAAAACAGGCTAAAATGGGCAAAACCGACTTGATTCTTTATTTGCATTGCAGATTTACAGCCACGGCTGTTAAAGCCAGCATATCTCAATTTCTTTGCAGATGTTGAAAAAGAAAACCCTAGGAAAAATGTGGCGCATGCGGGAGTGTCTAGCGATACCCCGTCAAAGCGCGGCGAGTTTGATCACGCAGAAGTTTGCGTTATTTTCCTCCGTAGCGGCGCGGGCACCAAGTACGAGAGTACGCAAACGAGTGATGCGGGGTGATCGCGAAGCTTGCCAGAAGTCCCTCGCATCCGGTTTGCCCCCTGCATCGTGGATTGATGCAGACTCAATGTCGAGGTCGGGTAGCCGCCAGAACAACAACTCACGTGATGCCACGGTATTCGTTCGCAGTGCGCTAAGCCGATTTGACGACATGTTCGAGATTTTTGCGCTGCCGCGATGCAGCAGGGGTAGCTTTTTGATCCGTTACAGGAGACGCTGCCATAGTGATATGCAATCGTCGCAAGCAGATGACTGGCAGGCGATCACAGTGAAAAGTGTGCGCAAACGGCACGAGAAGTGTGGAAATAGATATTTTTTCTGCGGCAGCGGCAGCGGGCCGCGGTCTGATGTAGGGCTAGCGTTAGTATGCGCGCAAGAAGAAAAGTTGGAGTTTGTCTGTGTCGGTGACGTTACCCTCGAGTATGTTGGAGGTCCGCAATATTGGTTTTGTCGGAATGATATCGAGGGTGCTGCGGCACTAATTTGCGTCTGTTGCGAGAGCTAGAGCGGGTCCTCCAGAGGATTCCTAAGCGCTCGTTGTCTGAATGGCTTTCCATACTAGCTCATCGTGAGCGCGACCGGGTGCATCAGGCTTTGATGCAGAAATTTGCCGAACACGTTAAAACACGGCTCGGAGAGAGACTCGACTATGTGACGACTATCACAGATCCATCAAATGCCATTGTTGCTGGCAAGCCCAGCTTGGTGAGGTCTTGTGACCTGCGTGAGAGCGGGAAAGCTAAGTGGAACCTTACACGGCACCGCTTCTCTGAAGGACGACTATTCGGCGTACCCTTTGACGCAGGGGCAGATCGAGTGGACTTTTTCATTGCTCTGCTGAGGAAAGACCCGCTTGAGGGACTTAGCGGCGCGTTTGTTTTCCCGAAGCAGTTCCTTCAGGATAACGGAATTTTGTCCGTCAATTACAAAGAAGGAAAGTGTGGGATGATGTTGTACCCACCAGGGTGTCGCGCGGTGTCGTTGGCCAAGAAAGAGTTTGCATTGAAGCAAAGACAGTACTACGTGTCGTTTGCAAATTCTGAAAATTGCGATCAAACCGAAAGCGACCAAATAACAAAGAAACTAAGGATGTTATTGAATCGTCTGTAGTCCTCTATTGGAAGCTTGCAAAAAAGGCTCAATGGAGTGCATGAACGAAAAGAGAATACCGTCTATTGTTGATGGTATGCAGGATTCTCGGATCGATATTTGTATCAGAACGAACGAACAACAAAATGAAGTTTCGTGATGATTCAGAACCCGAGCGACTCAAGCGACTCGCAGTGACATGCACAGACTTCTTATAATCTTCCCTCTAAAATATCCATCCAGAGAAAGATGAAAAAGAAGTTGGTATAATCACTAGCTCTTTTTTGATGGATGAATCTGTCTCAAACCGACGCCTTCTATCGTACTTCATATTCTGAGCAAACTATACGTACTACTCGAAGATCTTTGTTTTGGGGAACAATACCACTAGAATACTCGTTTACAGAAGCACTACCTGAAAATTTTTTCTTGTATCTAGTACTTATTCGAATCTATCACTAGCAATTTATTGCGCATTTGGTACTACTTGAAGAATCTTCATCCTCACATTGCGATGTCTATTGAGTTTGAGTGATTCATCCTAATCATCAGATATTACCTGAATATCCCTACATAAAAAACTAAAACCTATCATAGCGTACTAGTAGTCACAACGATATAGACTTTTCTCACTTCAAGGAAAAATATTTCTTCTCACATCAAGGAAAAATGACAAGCTTTTTCTCTCGTCTCCGTTCCGGAACCACTACCCCGTCGACCTCAGCTGGTGGCACGCCACGAGTTGGCGACGACAATGACGTTATGGACGCCAGCTGCCCACGCGCGGCACTGATTGGTCGTGTAGGAGCCGGAAAGACGACGCTTTTCAACCGTGTGTGCGATGCACACCGCCAAGCCGAAATCACCGATGATTCCTGCACACGCAGTTTCGCGAAACGACGCGTGTTCTATGACGGCTGCGCGATGGAGCTACTGGACGGTCCCGGATGCAGCTCCACTGAAGACGTGTATGCTCACAGCTATGTGCTGAAAGAGGGGCTCACGGCTGAGCCGCTCCACGGAATTTTCGTCGCAGTGTCGTATGACGCGCGCATCCGCAACAACATGGGCGGACACTTCTACGAGGCGGCGAAAATGCTGAAACCGGAGTACCACGACTTGATCGTGCTTGTGGTCACGAAAATGGACCAGTTTGAGCCGGACCAGAACAAATTCACAACTCGTGACGCCATGGAAACGCACATCGCCAAGATTTTTCGGGAGGACTATGGTGTCACGCGAGTCCTCTTCTCGGATCGTGATATGAGTGGCGCCGACCTTTTTCACGCAATGCGCGATGCGTTGTCTTTTCATGGAGGATCTTCTGCTTCTTCTGCTGAATCTGGAAAACTTCCTCTTCCGGTGCAGCTGAGCTATTCGGACGAGGAGTTCTTCGAATATTTTGACGTGAAAGCGTGGAAGGGCCGCGAGCAGTTTGACTTTCATAGACTGAAGAAAAAGGTTGAGACTCTCACAGCCGGGTACGAAGAGGGACTGCAGCACCTAATGGAGAATCGTCAGAAGTATTAAGGCTAGTTTTTCACAACTATCTATCCTGTGTCCGAAATATTTATGCCGAGAGGCATCCGTGCGTCTTGTAAAGGCAAAGGGGAAAATATGGGACACGTCACTCAGCCAGGCATAGGGAAAAACTAGCGTTAAAAGTGCCAGCAGATGGAGTTCCAGGATCTGCTCTACGCATTGATCCAGCAATCGCGCGTGCAGCTGGAGGAGGACATCTACGACGGATTCTGCAAGCGCCATGGTGAAGACCAGGTCGCGTTTGACGATTACGCTACCAGCATCGAACTGCAGAAGATCATCCATAAGGCGCACCGTGAGTTCCGAGACCAGGTGAAGCGGTACCTCGCTGTGAACCCCGACAACGTCTGCGACTGGCGCAACGCCGTGCGTCGCTGTCAGTACTGCGGCGAAGTCTGGGTGAAGGTCGAGGGCTGCGACGGCGAGACGACCTGTGGCGCCCGCCCGACTACAAACGAAAAAAGAGCCGACCCAAGCTTCTTTCGCCTCGTGTGGAACTGGGTAGAAGGTCGCCTGCGACCGGGAAGCTTCCTGATGAGGAACCGGAACTTGGAGCACCCGTTGGCGGGCCACCTCACTCTAGGAGAGGACCGCAGCGTGCGCAAGATCGGTTGCGGAAAGTCGATCGTGTGGAAAAACCAGGCGATCGTTCCTGCCGCGGAACTAGACCAGCTCTTTAGTACGCAGGAACTCGAGAACATTCTGAGCTCCTTCAAGATGGAATCGCGGTTCGTGGCGTTGAAGAAAAAGAAGGAGAGAAAGATCCAGGTCTTTTCGAAACTGGATAAAGTTAAGACCTCACTTATAATCCATCTTCTAGCCCATCTGTAAGCTGTTTGCGAGAAGAAAAGCGGAGGCAGATGAGGGAAAAGATGGATTGTAGTGAGTTCTAATAGAGACGGTTGTGACGTGCTCGAAGCCGCAGTCCCGATGGATCAGAGTCTTTTCGAAACTGGATAAATACGGTTGTGACGTGCTCGAAGCCGCAGTCTCGATGGAGGAGGACGGGAACGAGGAAGAAGCCACAGCAACCGTCTCTCCACGGAAATAGACATCGAGGAGGGCAACGTAATTTTACAATCGAATTGAGTACTTCACGGCGTGCGCGAAGGTGCTCTGCCAACATATTTGTTAATTCGTGATGAAAAAACTAGTGAAGTAAAATTTCAAGTAAAACAAGGCCCGCCAGATGATGATAGTTAGGACCAAGAATAGGATATCATAATATTTTTATGTTGTTGCTATTGTGTGTAGTACCTACAAGGCAGAGACGATGGAATTACGGCATATTTGAAGGACAGCTTGAATAGAAGCTGTAACTACCATCCTCATCGAAAGAATTACACAAAGGAGCAGACTGAAAAACCTAGAACTACAACAAATTCAAATACATAGTACAAAAGCACGATAAAATTCAAATCTATCGTTATCTTGAGTAGCTTTCCTCGATAGATTAAGTAATTTGAACTCACAACTCCGATTGATCGGGATTCGATCGCGGTCACCTTCAAAGCTTAAAATGAGTATGCGCCGTACTAAAGACGACATCTACAGGAACGTTGAACATCAATATACTAAAAACAAATTCCTCGTTTTGATCCTCTAGTCTTTCGTGAATAATGTTCTTTGTTTCAGGTTGTAGAAGTTCGTTACATGAATACGTGGGATTACGGTGGACAATGCTCTAAAAATACTATATCAGAAGTCCTCAAATGCTTCACAATCACATGAAGGTCTCATTCGTCAAAGATACTGATACATATCAATTCTTGGTAGCATCAAATAAATATTCTGTTACTGGAAAATAAACTTATAAAAAATATATACCCTATTATACTTCTAGTCGTATGTTGTCCGAATCTTCATGACGACGAGTGCATTGCTCGGATTATGGCCATTGCCACCCATTCGGAATTGAAAAATTATCTCGTTAGAAACCATTGTAATTGTTAGAATGACGGTCTTTCTAGCCAAACGGAGGTGTCTAAACCTCCGTTTGGCTAGAAACCTTACGATACACTCGCCCTCATTCTCGCTGCTAGCTACTGCAAGTGTAGCGCTTGGTCAAGCTCATTCCATGAGCATCTCGTATTCCGCGAAATCTGGAGAAGTCGGGCTCCTAAGAAATCTAGACGTCATATGAACGGGCAACGCAGCGACGCGACATGCATGATCTTTCGGTTTTCACAACAAGTGAGAGCATCTTCGGCTATCATGTTTCTCTCTCTGTTACGATCGTGGATGATCTCCGAAAAACAGTCACATGTCGAGAAGCGACATCTACCCTACAGAAAGCCTTTCTGGATTGATTCTACACAGGCTGATGAAAATCAATATTTCACTTTCACCATTAGAAAAAAGAACGAGGCAAGTACTAGGTAGTGTCATAGGACAATAGAAAAATTTGAGAATTGTATCTTGTGATTTCGCGGTCGAGGACAATCAACCTAAGTCCAACCAAAAAACGTTTTTTCGTCTGTTCACTTTCATCAAAAACCCACGCGCTTGGTATCTTGTTGTGAAATCTATGGTCGTACCATGTAAATGTTATTCATAAAAAGTATAAATTGTTCTTCTAGATCTAGTCCTCACGCATAAATCTCGGAATGAAAAGATGGGAAAATCACCCTCCAATATGAAAGCTTTGACGCGGCCCCGCCTCATCATCCACGGAGGCTGTGGGGCTCGTGAAGACCCTACGAAAAAAACGCGAGAATACCACGATCATTTGCTGCCGATACTGGAAAGAGGATACGAATTCCTGAACAATGCGAAAAAAAAGAATGGCTCCAGTTCTTCGAGTGCTGCTACGACAAGGTCGAAGAAGTTTTTCCTCTAGAGACCCTACAGAAAGGCACGGATCCACTAGTACTCTTTCAGAAACTAGTATTAAGGCTCAACTTTCAATGGTCATTGGAGTTGGTCACCGAGATCGAAGAGGCGACCCCTTGAGAGAACAGGGGAAAACGAAGGGAAAGGGGAGAGCTTAGAAGGGGGCCCCTTCCGTTCAGAGTCAGGGATCATTGAAGGCTGAGCTTTAATAGTAGTAATCTTTATTTAAGAAAGAAGGTAAGAAGATTCCGTACTTTTCCTGCAAGGAACTTCTACAGTCGAAGAAGTTTAAGAAAGAAGGCGACATCGTTTCTTGAGGAGGAAAAACGTCTTCGACGTTTCTTGATTTAAGAAAGAAAGTCGAAGAAGTTTTTCCTCTAGAGACCCTACAGATATCGAGTTCCTAGGGTAGAAAACGGGATGAAAGGCATGGTAAATTTGAGCCACAGGAGGTCGTGGATTCAATAAAGGGTCCCTTTTACGTGAGTCACAGGAACATTCGGAGATACTCTAGAGGACCTAATTTGTTTCTAAGTCGCCACACTACTAGATCGCCAGCATCGAACGCTAGCTGGTGAGATGGCCACTCGCTACGCACGGGAGGAACTCGGTCTGCCTGTAGCCAATGTGATGGCGCCGCATCGCCTAGAAGAATGGAAGCGAAACTGTGAGGCACTGAAGAGAGCGGCGGAGATTAAGGCTGTAGTTTGATGCAGTAGCACTTCACAGCTGCATCGATGTTCTCAACGGAGGCGATGCATGATTCCCTTGATGGCGAGACCACTGATACAGGTTGTCACCTGAGAAGAAGTTGTTTTCACAAGGACGTAGAATGATAGAGCAGGAGTCCTTGCTACTTTTATTTCTTCTAATCAAAAAAACAACGGAAAAGTCGCAGCTGGTGAGGACTGTCTCGAAACGATTTTCCCTAAGAACAAGAAATTCAAAAGAGGAACTGAAGTTGACCGAACTGGAACCATCGGTGTTGTTTGTCTCGACGCAGAAGGTCATCTCCCAGCTGTGACCAGTACTGGTGGTGCTGGCTTTGAAATTCCGGGGCGCGTCTCAGACTCAGCAACCTGTTTTTCGAATTTCGCCAATAGCGAATGTGCTGTTGCCTGTACGGGTATCGGCGAACATATCATCGAGGACGGAGCAGCAGTGAAAACGCATACCAGAGTTGTTGATGTTAAGCTTAAAGTTTTTTACAACTTCCTCTTCAAGCACGAAAGATCAGGGACCACGACGGACAACTCTTTCAACTTCTAATGAATTGATTATCTCCGAGTAAAGATTCGATTGGACACCATCTCTAACTCTCGCATGCCTCTCCAAAAAGCAGTCAGGGAACTACTCCACTGGCGCAACCAGTGAACGCGACACGTTTTGGGCATACAAGGATGAGAATAGAAAGTGCACTTTCTACGACCCAGAGGCAGAGGAGTGAATTGTTAGATTCAAGAATGATTAGTGCTCGATGCAGGTGAATGTTCATAATGAGCCAGGCGAGCACAAGCAGGACTACTCGGGTGGAATCTTGACGTTTGATTTTTCAAAGTTAGAACGGGGGGTGGCTACATACTTGAAGACATACTCTATCTAATAATTGTATAATGGATGAAGAATACGATTACGAACTCGTACTAAAAAACACTTCATCCATATCTATCGTTGAATAATGGATGAAGAATTTTCTGAATCAATGTGAAGAATATCAAGGCTGACGAGATGGTAAATATTAATCCCCAGATACGCTTGAAAAATTTCCATGAAAACTGAACAGTGAACCAACTATAGGTAAGACCATAATGAAGGGAAAGGACCTCCTTGCTGCGGGTTTCAAGGGTGTTGCTTTCTCCGGAGGGCTAGAACGCGTCTTACAGGTCAATTCGCTGCCGAAATCTGTCTGTCGCTTGCTCTTCGAGAAGGCTGATCACGGGATCTCTGCGAGAGACCTAAAACTGTGCGGTTTTGTAAATCGGAGGTGAGATGAGAAGGTTTGTGACTTGTTGAAACTTGTTCAAAACATGTTCATCACTGACAGGTCTGGCGACGACTTGAAAATTGCAACTACAACAGGGGAAATGGCTGAAGAAACAGTAAAACTATCATCAACAATACCTGTAGTACTAGTCTAAAAAAAAATTTTACAACATGTCGAAGGTTCTGAGCAGCTTTCTCCTTTTTCTCGGATGTTGGATCCAGTTTGTGGGAGGACTGCGTCTGACGTTCAAGGCCGCGAGTTCGACAGCGAGGTCGCCGGTAAAAATCAAACTTCTACGTGGTCTCAGTGGGGACTCAGAGCTGTCTTCATCATTGCAGTTAGATTCGGAGCAAGGCACGGTTTGGAACTTGTTGAATGCTGTGGCGAATGAAGTTTCGAAAAATGAGGAGTGGTTGTTTGTAGAGGAAAGTAGCAGGGGAGCAGCTGCAGTCCCAGTCACTGTCAATAAAAAGAACGATGCCAATGGGAACAACTGCTGTGGAAGAGATCGATGTGATGTGACGGTGTTATTGCGACTACCTCCCCACCCTCATCCGCAGCTAGCAACTGATATTCACCCGCAGCCATCATGTGCTGCGCATCCATCAAGTGCGGTTTCCTCCTCCACAAAAGCCTCCTCAAGTACAACTATCTTCTTGGGCAGTATTTGTGTGGTTCCACCTGGTGAACAACATGAGTCAGATTTCGCAGAAGCAGATGGAGTACAACTAGAAGTATACGAGGGTGCTGATGTGGGGCTAGATAGGAAGGTGGCTGATGTCCTTGCAGATAACTCTTCAACCCTTCCGGAATCGGAAATCGCAGTCCGCTTAGTCCGAGCACAAGAAGACGAGACAGCGATCTGGCGTCGGATCCTAGCTCTTGCCCCTTGGAGTACACAGTCGCCAAAGTGGCCCATACCCGCAGTGAATAATGGAAAGCTTCACCAGACAGGAGAAGGACATGAGGACTTCGAAGCTGCTTTTGATGACCTTGCAGCTCTTATCCTGAAACGCATTACGAGGTACTGCAAACAACAAGAAAAGACGAGGTGGAACAGAAGTCTTCAGCTTGGGACCACAGTACAACCAGGTCAACTTCTACACCTTGATGTCGAAGGAGGTGGTGCGAATTCTAGTAGAAGTAGTAACAAGTACCCATCAAGAACAAGAACATCAGGTACAGACAGAGCCACAACACATACTAGACTTCCCTTTCCGCGATCCACTGACCTTCCAGAGAACGATCGTGGCGTATATCTGTTCGCTCAACGCCTTCGCGCCGCTGCTTGTCAAGGTATTCCATTGGACATTGCCGGTCACAATTTTGATGAGGAAGACAAGAGGACGCCAGGAGGATCTGCCAGTGAGTCCACGATCTCTAGTACATGTACAACTGGGACTCGTGCTTCACCAGTCTTCACGCTCTCACGAGAGCCTGGCATATTCGGTGGAGAGCCTGGCATGTTTGATGGTTCTTTAGTTAAGGCTACTTAGTTGTAGTTTCTCACTATCCCACCTGGACTGCGCGGCTGAGTCGAGTCCGCCTTGATTGAGAGGGGACACCAAGCCGAAAGAGGGCAACGACCGAGTGAACCAGGGATAGTGACAAACTAGCCGCTAATTCAGTTGGAGATATGCCTGTGGCTCGTTTGTTCTGGATTTCAGATGACCTAAACGAGCCTGGAGCAACCGAAGCACGACAACGGAGGAAGTATAGGCAATTGCAAGACGTGTTGAAGAAAACCTTTACGACTGTCAAGGTGGTGGAGGATAAGACTGCTGCTCCTTCTAGCGGATCTGTTGTTATGAGACTTTTAGTTCGCTTTTCATACCGTGATTCTGTAGTATGGTGCATATGGAAGATGAACGGGAACGAATCATCGTAATCAGCAACTATTATACTCAACTTTTTATCTGTGATACGCTCTAAAAATCGTCTTTGTTCCGCAGACACAGGCATAGCCTCCCCGCCTCCTCTCAAGAACAACAGAGGCCTCTCCACTCTCTTGGATGTAAAAGACGAAAGTGAGTGCGTAACTAGAGGCGTTAGTGGTAGATTATGCAATGGACTCCTGCTGGAGGTTACCTATCGCGCCGACCGGCCCTTTTCTGAGGGGATGAGCTTTGCTGATGTGGATAAGTTATGAACTGATGTGAACAATAGGTACCGCCCACGTGCCCCCGGCGTGTACACACGCCGGGGCAGGGCGGAAGGGTCTGGCAAATGCTACGAGTTACATAAAATCCATACGGCCTACCGGCGTGCTACGAATTACGTAAAGAGTGGCGGGCTATGGAATAAGCAAAGCAGCTCCGCGCTACAAGCTACTACGTGCTACATAAACCCCCACCCTGGCAGCACCCGAAACGCCCAAAAGGAACTCCTTCGAACGAATGAGGCAAACGGGTAACCAAATACATACGCCGAGAGTCAAATCCTTGAGCAGATCACTCCAGGCCTGCTGTTTTCGGTTCTCAGCGTAGTGGCTGGGCGAAGCACTGCAGTCGACTCCGCTCACCGTGAGAACCTCGCGCGCCCCCTGGCCCGGGTTTTGGGCGTGGGTCCCCTACTCTTGGAGCGTGTTGCGCCTCCGGCTGGCATGGCAGTGCCACGAGGGGGGCCCCAGGCTTGTCGCTTTCGGTTCTCAGCATAGTGGGCGAAGCACTGCGCCCGACTCCGCTCACCATGAGAACGTCTACCGTGGGTCTTTTCCGTGGAGAGAGCTAGGGGGTGGCTCCGTTCTACTCTCGGCCTGTTTGCGGGGTTTTACTCTTTGCGCCGTTTTGGGGTTTCCATCCAAATCGCGCAGCTTTATGGTGTCGCGTTGCTGCCTACGTTTCAGCTGCTTCGCGTGTGCTCTCTGTGAGCCATTTACCCTCCCAAGCTTACGGCAAGTTGCGCCCTATCGCTTAGCTTCCCTATCTGCTTCTGGCTTTCTCGAGAGGTGTGGGCATGCGTCATCCCAAGGCTTTGATCTAAGTGAACAAGAACAACGCCACGCGAGCAGTGCTGTGCGGCTTTCATGTGCTTGGGCGATGCAATCTGTGAGCCGCTTGAGCTTTCTGATCAGAAAGCAGGCCCAAGCCTATGGGCTTGCTAGAAACTTATGGCTTACTCGAGAGGCCTTGTCCTTTGCGCCCATTCTTTTCTGATCCAAAAAGCGCAGCGCGATGAAGTTGCTGCGTACTTGTGAGCTGCTTAAGAGGTCCCACCCTTTGGCTCAGTTCAAGACCCTCACCCAAACGGCGCAACGCTGTGAAGCTGCTGGCCCTTTTGACTTGCTGGGAAGGTCTCACCCTCTGACCCAGCGCAGGCACCCTACCCAAAAGGCGCAGCCTTATGAAGTTGCTGCCTACTTTTGAGTGACCTGCTTGAAAGGCCTCGGCTTTTGACTCTGCTCAAACCTCCCACCCAAAAAGCGCAGCTGTATGATATTGCTCTCTACTTTTGACCTGCTTGAAAGGTCCCAGCCTTTCAGTCAGCTCACTCTCTCAGAGGTCTACCACAATCAAAGGGCGCAACTCTATGAAATTGCTGCCCACTTTTGCCCTGTTGGAAAGGTCTCGCTCTTTGGCCCAGATCTGGCCAGCTTGGTTATTCAAAGCGCGCAGCTTTATGGAATTGCTGCCCACTTTTGACCTGCTTGAAAGGTCCCACCTTTTGACCAAGCTCGGGCATCCTATCCAAAAAGCGCAACGCCATGGGGCTGCTGTCTGCTTTTGGCTTGGCTTGCTTGAGAGGTCCCGCCTTTTGCCTTTCTTTGCTCAAGCTCCTTGCTCAAAAAGCGCAATCTACTTCATGAAGCTGCTGCCTACTTTTGGCCTGCTCATAAGGTCCCACGCTTTCACTCAGTCAAGCCAGGCGCCTTACTCAAAGAGCGCAACTCTAGGAAATTGCTGCCCACTTTTGACCTGCTTGAAAGGTCCCACCTTTTGACCCAGCTCAGGCCACTCAGGCATCCTATCCGCTGCGCGCAGCTTTATGCGATTGCTAGCTGCCGTCTACTTTTGGCCTGCTTGAAGGGTCCCACCTTTTCACTCTGCTCCACCCAGCCTCCTACGCAAAGCGCGTGGCTTTATGCGTTTCTTGTCTATTTTTGACCTGCTTGAAAGGTCCCACCCTTTGACCCAGCTCAGGCCCCTTATCCAAAGAGCGCAACGCTATGAAGCTGCTGCCTCCTTTTGAGCTGCTTGAAAGGTGTCGCCCTTTGACTTAGCTCAGACCTGTTATCCAAAGAGCGCAACACTATACCGTTGCTGTCAGCTTTTGAGCTGCTTGAAAGGTCTCACCCTTTGACGTCGCTCAGACTCCTTATCCAAAAAGCACAACTTTATGAGATTGCTGTCTACTTTTGACCTGCTTGAAAGGTCTCACCCTTTGAGCCAGCTCAGACCTCGCAACTTTATGAGATTGCTGTCTACTTTTGATCTGCTTGAAAGGTCCCACCCTTTGAGCCCGCCCAGACTCCTTATCCTAAATAAAAGCGCAAACTTATGGGATTGCTGTCCACTTTCGAGGTGCTTAAAAGGTCCCAGCCTTTTAGTTTGAGCCAGCTCAAGCTTCTTATCCAAAAGGCGCAGCTTTATGAAGTTGCTGTCTACTTTTGACGTGCTTGCTTGAGCGGCCTGATCCTTTGGGTCAGCTCGTAATCCTTATCCAAAGCGCGCAGCTTTATGCAGTCGCTGTCTACTTTTGACCTGCTTGAAAGGTCTGACCCTTTGAGCCAGCTCAGGCGCCTGATCCAAAAAGCACGCAGGTGCTAACTAGCTCAGCGTATAGCTGCTGGGTGCTTGCCTCTGTTTGCATTTCTTTGTTTGCATGTGGGTCCTTTTTGTAGCACATACGCAGACGCAGCGGATTTTCTTCATGAGATGACTGGCCCCAGGCTGAGGCGCTTCGCTCTTCGTTTTTTGTCCATGCAGCGCAGTCCTTTGCTTGTGCTGTTGGTTCAGGGTTTTGAGGTACTGCCGAAAGCCTTAGCAGGAGCAGAATCGCGGGAAAGTTGTACTCAAAAGCGCGGCACTTTTACGGCGCGAGATGTATACATCTAGCCCGTACATCTTTCCCATGATTTCCGTACATCTCAAAAAAGTGGAATTTTGGAAACCTACTATGAATCGCCCCGGTGTAAGTACATCTCAAGAGTACATCTTTCCCGTGATTTACGTATAAGATATATATCTCGGGATATATATCTCAGACGTATACATCTCACCCGTACATCTTTGCCATGATTTGCGTACATCTCAAGCCGTAAGTTCACTCCTGTTTAGCATTCAAAATAAGTTTTGGTTTATAATATAGATAATTATAGTATAGGTTATACGGAGAGAACTAAAGCACGTAATTACTAAGGTTACAACGGACGACAGAACAGCGCATTCTATATAAGTGCTATGCTACCTGGTAAAATCAAACTCGACGACCACTATTGCAATCCCTCGAAGCACGTGTGCCGTCCTCTCAGGTTTTAAGTAGCCTTCTAACTTCCGAATCCGAATTCGTGACTTTACTGTCCCTTCGCGAGGACTCCGACGACGAGCTTCCGTATGCTTACTTGCAGCTTTTTACCGTCTACGAATGGAATGAGGTCCTCTCGTCTGGAGGATCGACGAGTGGAGATGACGACGTAGCATGCCTAGTAGAGAAGTTGCTGGACCACAAGAACGCAGACTGCTAAATTACTCTGGGTAAGTTTCTCGTGGAAAAGCGTGAAGAGAAGCGCTTGCTTGATGCAATCGGACTAGCAGCCTGAGACAGGTGGCCGCTAGCTGGTTTGATCCCTGTGGGTAATCGTTTTGGGGTTGCTTGGAGGTCTGTGCCCTTTCGTGGGGTATCATGATTGGGAACGTTTGGCGTGCGCATCTGGGTTCCTTCGTGCTATCATCATCGGCCTCATATGGTCACCGACGTCGCTACTTATGTAGACCCCGCAGATTCTTCTGAGTGGATGCGTGTCAGATCACACAGGAACTTCTCACGAGAATAGACATGCCTTGCTGATCTTTATGCACTTTGAACTGCTCCGAACTTCTGGAACGATATGGACACGGCTACAGCTATGGACGTGCAAGGTGTATAGGAGAGATGCCGGGCCGTATGAGAGTTAACCTGTGAGCAATAGAAAGAAAAACAACAAGTAGCAGTCTTCTTCGAAGATGCGCATGACGTGGTCACGGATGGTAGCGCCTTTCTTTCTGAGCTCACTCTCGGAGGTTCGAGTCCTGGATGGACGCATGTGGGATGCAGGCGAGGAAACTCTCCACTATTGTCGAGACTTATTTCCACTAAATTGTTCTTATTGCTGCATTTCTAATTAAAACCCGAGATGTTTCGATCGAATTGAGCTTTCATTAGGACACAGTTTCCATGTAGTAGTTTACAAGCGTTCAATAATAATCAATTGTTCCTCCGCGACGCGCCTGGGCTGGGTTCCTAGGAAGACCGCTCCAAGCGGGAGCTCCGCTTTCATTTCTTAATGAGCCACTTCAACTGAGGAAAGAACAAAAGACTTCACCCGTCAACAAGATGTGAATTTTTTTTTTGTGGCTGGCTCCAGTTGTATTAGTGTTCAGGAGACCGCACAATCATAGATACTACGGCTGAAGGTATGAATAAAAGAAGAAATACGGCTCACAGGTGCTCCTTCTTGCTCATCGCGCTTGTCGTGTACGTAGTCACTCCAGCATGCTTTCCCCGGCGGAGATCCGCAAAATGACCAAGCGAAAAACAAAAGCGGCAACGATCCTCCCATCAATTTGATGCTAGAGCTCTGAGAACCACAGACACCCGCGCCAACTATGGCCAGCGCGTTGAGAATGGTGCCCATGGGTTACCTTATTCGCCTGGCGGTCTTGGTCATTTTTGTGGCTTATCCTTTGGACCTTGATGGTGGGGCCTTGATCGGGTTCCATTCATGGCCAACAGTGTGCGACTTGTAACGTATGCTCTACCAGTAGCTATAACCACGATGAAAATGCGTCCGATTTTTCCGCTGAAGCGGATGCAAATTGCACTCTGTCGAGGTGCGCCGCTTAGGATGCCACTAAAGCAGGGGAAATTTAATGTCGCAGCGCACGGATACTTTGATAACCATCTTCGCCGATTTTCTCTCTTGGCAACGCCCAAGAGTGGTCATGTTCCGCTGCATACATCAAGCAAGCCTGGCGAGCAAGCGGATATAATACCATGTGTGGGATGCACAGGAAGTAGTGAGCCAAGCGAGGATCTTTCGACAAATGGACCCAGGCTGAGCGGCAGCCGCGAAATTCAAGCACGGCGGTGGGAAAACTGTGAGAAGGCTGTCCAGTGGTTTCTTTCTCTGTTGGAGAAATGCATGCCTGATTACGAGTACGAACGTCTGCCTCACTACGTTCACGGAACTGTACTCGTAAGGCCAAGACAGTCAGGTCGCTCCTTGGACGGGCCAACTGATTCATCCGGGCTATCGACGAAGGAGGCAATGTGTTCTCAAGAGGAGGAGGCGACGTGGCAAGCTCTGATGCTGAAGAGTACATCATTTCAGCGAAGGAGATGCGGGTTTACTGGGATACCGCGAGGCGTCACCACTGCCTCTAGTAAAAGTGGAGTCCTCCCAGTGTTGAGTGTAGACAGGCCCTTGAACTCTCGCAAGACTAGTTTTTTTTCATCGCGCGTTTTTTTGCGTGACGTCGGATTGGTCGCGGCGTTTCCTCCCTTGGGTAAAGTCAAAGCATTGCATTTGGATGACGTGCGGATCACGCAGGGACGCTGTGGCGCGCACACTATGCGTGTGGACTTTCCACTCTCGGCATCGACTGTTGACGTGGAAACTGTTTTTGCCGCAGAGCTAGCGGCACTTCTTGGGAGGTTGCCACATAAAACACGCAAACAGTGGCACCGCGAGCTTCCTGGCTGCAAGTTGAATTCGAGACATGCGCAAGTTGTTGGAGAATTCGTCTCGCGTCTATTGACTCCGAGTGGAATAGTCTTCGAAGTGGAAAACAGGTGGTGGGTGCACAACTTTATAATAGGCGGAAAGCGTAGCCTTATCAGAATCGGGGCTGTAAAACAGCATGCTGGTGGACACCGCAGAGTGCGATTTTCGCTTCAAAAGAATGCAGCGAAACAGGAGGAACACAAGAACGCAGAGACACCAATATCTGTGCAGGACGGCATCGATGTTTTCATCGCTCTGGTACACGATGCAGGTCGCCTACAGGGACTATTCGTCCTTTCTGGTGAGTGGATGGACAGCGTCGGCAACCTTCAACGAGAAGGCCCGGAGTCGTTTTCGGCAGGCCGCACAAAAGTGACGCTGACGTTACCGCCTGTAGCTGGCGCAATCGGTTTTGGGGTGGTCTCCAAAGTATGTTTGGACGCCAATGCGCGCGAGCATGTTATCTCCTCGTACATTGACTTATTGGATCCGGCTGTTGATTACCCAAAGGCACAAGAGAAGTTGCGGATGCTCGTGCTAGCCGCAAATGCGGCGCAACATGAGAAATAGATGATGAAGCAAGTGGAGAAAGTGAAAGATCAACAAGTTGTTTGATGTCTTTGTGATCACTCTAATCGCTCCAATGACAATCGTTTACAGTCTTGATTTCGTTGGACTACAAGAGCTTTCTGATCATAACAACAACCAGAGCTTGAGCAGATTAAGCGTAAGAACTTGTTTAATAAGTCGTGTAGGAAAAAAAAAAGTCAAACCCAAATTGAAAACTGTCTAAGATTCTGACTTAATTCTCAGTCCTCTCACTACATTGTTGAACACATCTTAATCTCAATACTTGAATACTTGAGAAACGGGCAACGCCAATACTTGAATACAACTTGAGCCGCAGATTGTTCAAGAGAAAAATGATGTTGCTGCGTAGCGTTCCTCCTCAACTGGTGCTTTACGTGTACTGGATGGGTACCTCCGTACGTGCTGCAAGCTCCTCAAGTCTGGAGGACGTTTCTGGAGGAGGTTTTCTTGGAGCAGTGTGCTGATTCTGGAGTGCGGTTGCGACTGAAAAAGACGAAGAACGAGAAGTCGTGGAGGAGGACCATGAAGATGCGATGAAAGTGGATCTTTTGGAGAAACATGATCAGAGCAAGCCATTGTTGGTGGATTATTCGATGAGTCGTGGTAGCAAGGTCCTCACCTCCTTGGATATTCCTGGGTTTTGTTTGAAAACCACAAAAGTGTGGGACGTTGACATGGCACTATTTACGCAATATCCGATGATCCACCGGCAGCCTGGCGCGTCGCCCTGCCGCCCGCTCTGAATTTAAGGTTTAAGTACTCATATTTATTCATCTTCAGAGGCATCTTGGAAGGGTTTTGTAAGGGAACAAAATGGCTACCAAGAAGATGCTCTTCAGGATGAATATCGGTCGTAAGGTCTAATGGGGAAAACAAGTACACTCGACATCTTGGTGAGCACAGTGGCGCAGCGTGATGCAACTGTCCACGTTCAAGAGGTGTCTGGCGTGGAAGATGTGTAGGAGGAAACGTCGCTGGTTTTATTCGCGACAAAGTCACCTGTTTCTCCCTTTATGGCGCTCCTGCGCACCCGCGCACACAAAGTGAACGACGCGCTGAATTTGCACACTACGCAAGAAGAGGGGGAAGAAGTCTTGAACTATCATGATGAAGAAGACGAAGCACGAGAACCTGCGACCTCCATGCGGCCTGATGGTAAAGCTCCTCTGATGCTGCGACGAGAACCTCGTCTGTTGGTGCAACTATGAGTGGAATTATAGTACAGCATAGTGTACAACAACGTTCTACTTCCTGACGTGATGAACTAATATACTTAGCTTAGATTAGGCCATGGATCCTCACCCTGCACATCGTACTACACTTTTTTGTGAAAAGTAGAGGGAGTCATCCATCGTCGCACGACCCTTGTTCTACATCTAGCAGTAGTTCCAACCTCGCAGGACACGACTTGTTCTACATCTACTAGCAGTAGTCCTGCTCTCAACAAATTTGGTACCGCTAAGCAAGATCTTTGCTTTTCAGACTAACCATGTCAGGCGCTTCCTCTCTTCATTCTCTTGAGGGAACAAGCAAACAGCAGGCTGTTGTAACAATTTACCAAACTACCGGAGTACCAGTTACGTCGTTGCCGTATCATGATGGAGAAAATTATGCTTTTCCAACGTGGCTCTGGCTCACAACGAAGAACCTTGTCATTGTGCACCAGAAGGTGGCACTCCACCTCGATATCAACTACAACAGCACTGCAGAGCGCACCACTTCCAGTTCTAGGTGAGGCCACGACATTGAATGATAGAAGTACAACGGAAACGTCGTCTGGCGAAGTAGGGGATGTGACCAGTGGTAGGGGTAAGCTCCTCAACTCAACACGCTGGAGAAACGCCGACGCAGCATTAACGTGGCTCGAGGGCCTCTTTCAACTGTACATGCCTGAGTATGAGTACGAGGGATTGCCCCGCTTCATGCCTGGAACGCTGTTGCTTCGTCGGCGAGGCTTAAACGAAGTGCGGAGCGGAAATGAGGAGAACAGAGAGACCGCATTCTCAGCGGCAGTAACGGGAGCTGCGGAGACTGACGAGCGTAAGTGGTATGCTTTGCACGTGAAGAGCTTGGCAGCTAGTCGTGGAAAAGCGAATCCATACTATACTTTTAGTGGCGCGCGATTTTCCGACTATGTTGGGCTTATTGCTATTTGCCCTACTGAGAAAAAGCTTGAAGCCCTGCACAAAGATGACATCAAGCTAATGTGTGCGAGCGACAAACAAGCCCGTGATGGAGCAAAACAAAAAAATGCCGCAACCTTAATGAAGCACTTTCGACTCCACAGCCTTTCTCCAGTTGGACCTGGCTTTTCGAATCAGATCAAGAATCTCCTACAGCGACTCCCTCAAAAAACGAGAAGTGCATGGTACTCGGAACTTGGCGCAGCACCCCGGCACCGAAAGCACGAACACGCTCTTTCGACTTTTCTAGAGCTCCACATCTGCGGTGCGGGACTGCCCTACAGCTTGAAGAAAAGTGCACATGGTTGTGCCCTGATTATCGCCCGTCGCAGATGCATCTTTAAGGTTGCACAAATGGATGTGCAGAAAGGCAAAGCGCAGGTCTGCTTTGCTCGTCGGTCCCTATTGGAAAGAAGCGTCTCGCCTCGAGACGGCATCGATGTTTTCCTGTTGGCCGTGCATGACTGTGGACAGCTCATTGGCGTCTTTGTGTTTTCCCGAGACTGGATGAGAAAATGGGGTAAGCTGTTGGATGGCACTCGTGGCGAACAAGCCAAAAGGGGGAGCACTGGAATGACCCTGTACATCCCAGGTTGGTCGACCCGTGGCAGCACGAAATCTTCCAAGGACGACCATTTTGAAGAATTTCGTATGGCACAAGCTGAAGCTTATGTCCCCCTTGAGCCAGCACACAATGATTCAAAAGAAGGTCGTCGATGTGCGGGACCAGGAGATACAGTACTAGAAAGACCCTGTGAAAAGTTTCGTCGTTTGCTTCTCGCAGCGACCCCCAGTGAGCCAGTATCAGAAGTGCATGACACGGAAGTTAATGACACTCACAATATGTTGTGTGAAACCGTGGAAAACTCTGCTTTATTCACCTCGTCACCTATCGTCTGAGTCTGACAAAAGAATTGGTAGTTCTTGGCATTCGTCATGCCGGGATAAGCGAGTGTCCTTGCGAGAGTGTCCGGCGAGCCTGGATTTCTACGTTAGTTGCTTTTGTGCTCAGAAGAATAACCTCATCTCCTCTTCTGCAAAGAACTTCATCGGTCGTGGCAGAGTTACACAAACCGGAGGGACGAACACGATCCATTTTAACTACATACGTGCAAGTATTTGATTGTAGATGAGAGTACAAGGAAATAGACAAGTGCGGAGAAAAGTCAGAAAAAAAAAGAAAATCAAAATGCATGTTTTGGGAATAAGTAGCCTTGTTGTTGTTGTTGTTAGACAGTTCTATTATTTTACGACTCTAGTGTTTAGTCTTTACTCTCCTGGAATCTCTCTAACTAAATTTATTGACGACAGTTGGAATGCTCCTTTATTCATCACGATGGAATCTTCCACCTGCGTATTTGACAGGTAAGAATGTTACATCCCTCGAATGGGTACATTAAGCGGGCCATCATTCAGATGAAAGGCATTCGAAAAACTGGAATAAGCAAGTAACCGCTCATGAGAATAACCGAGATACTGAAGAAAGAGTAGCCCGCTAAAGCTACCTCCCCTATTTCAGTCAGAAACTCGGTTATTTCTAGTTTTCGAGTACAATAAATCCGAAGATGGTTGTGGTTCTAGGATGCGGTGGCTGGACACTCGTTGTGCTTGTCGCAGAACTTGTAGTCTTGTTGTGCCTCGGCCATGCGGCCCTGGCCGCGGACTCTGCTGCGGAATTGCGCAAACTATGCACAACAGACGAACTCCTGAAAATTGAAAATAGAAATCCACTTCACTTAGTAGAACAAGAAGGACTGGAAGGAAACGAGTATCTCTTATTTCTTGCGTATGCGAGGGCGTTCAGTTCTGACGAGCTGCATTTTAGGTGGGAATGCCGACTTGGCAGACCGAACGGGTCTCTATCATGCACCCGGGACATGGATTTTATGGACCGATGGGTCTACGATCCTACTGGCAAGAAATACAGCGAGGATACCAAGATGCCTGAATGGTGGAAACAAGCGTACTTCCTGCGGATGCTCTTGCGATGGGATTTCGAGCGCCAGGTCGTGGAGCGATTATCGTCCGCAAACTGGTTCAAGAAACAGCGGTTGGCACCACGACCTGTGGTTCCGAGCGCCAAATTCCTTGGGGAGCACATGGCGGGCGTTGTTGGTATGCAGCTTGACGAAAAACGTCTCGTCAGTGGCGCTTTGCTAGCGTTGCAGAAGCTGGCACAGTACACAGATCTAATTTACTTCTGCTGTGATAAAGTCAGCCACCAGCTGCAAGGAGAAACTTCACGACCACCAGCCGCAACACGGAGAATCGATTATGAGCATAGCTCTGCCGAGGCACCGTCGCGAGCTTCGGCGGATTACCTTTTTTTTGAAGGCACTAATAACCACGCGGGGAACAAGGAGTATCTGATTTACAACATCTTTGAAAGCTGGCAGCACAACTCCCAGCGCTTCCAAGGACTTCTTGGTCGCCGTCGGGAGTCGAGTGATCAAATCAAACAAGCAGCCAAGGACAGGGAGCCAGGTGAGTCCACCGGTCATGTGGATACGTACCCAGGCATTCGAGTGCAAATCATGGCAACTTCCTTGCGACCTGGTGCAACAGCAAAACTACCTGTGGTGGACGGAGACCGGCTCCTCCTTCATCACTACCTACGAGTGACGTATCCAAAGTGGGTGCGGGGCATCAAAGAACAGCCAGGTCGGTGGGACCCGACTTACGACAACGGTCACACGCAATCGTGGGCGTTTACTTAAGGATTGGAAACTTGAGTCCAAACTATGGTTGCCATGGTTTGCGTCTGCATCTGTAGTTTTTAGGAACTGGAACTACCCAAATTTATTAGCATATATTTTTTTTTTTTGCATTAATTGTTCATCCACGCGCTGACTAGGATTCTTCGTCCAAATGTGTGGGCTCTCGCGCATGTAGCTCACTTTTTTGCGATGGCGGCTTCACGCCGTGTGCTCTTTTTTAGAGGTTTCTAATACACGAAATGGCTAGGGCCAGACAGAAGCCCGAGCGAAATTCAGACACAGCCTGGAGTGGACCTCAATGTCATCGGACAAAACATGGCAAAGCAAGTAGTACTCGATGAGGCAATAATCCTGATCACTCCTGGTGAGTGGGAAGCTCTGCTGACAGCGGCTTTGCTCATCGGCTTCCTCGAGCCTCAACACTACCAGATTTTCAGGGGACTTCCTCCAAGGTTCCGAAATTACTACTACAGACTAGGACATCCTTATCGTAATAAAAGAACGCCTGTTACTGGTTCCGCCGGGGTAACTCCCGAGGACTGGCTATCGAGAGTCCAACCCTCGCAGGTTGGTACGAGCGCGGAGAAATCGTCAGGAACATCGACTCCTGGAGATCAAATCGGTATTAGTTCGGGAGGGAGAGAAAGTGATGGCGAAGAGAATCCAAAGGAGGACCTCAAAAGGCGTCTTGACTTATGGCTTCCTCTATTCCATCTTCAGAAGCTTGTCAGAGACGTTTTCAAGGGGAGAACGGCCTCAGGATGCATTTCGAGATGGATTCGGGTGAGTTCTAATCTACGCGGTGAAAAGCAGGTGGACGCAGCAGATGAACTGTCAATCCTTCGTCTTCTTCATGTCACGGGTGCTCGGCATGGAGAAATACAAGCCGAGCTTGCGTTGCCTGCAACGGAACGAATTTTTCGAGGGCAAGGACGAATTAGAGTATCAGACCCGTAGTTTTTTCGACATATTATCTCAAGAACCTGGAGAACAGGATGAGCAGCCGCCTGCCGCAAATTCGCTGCTGCGCCGCGCAGGATTAAGAGATACTATCGACTGAATAAAGCGTACATGGTCATGATGAACATGATCTTATATATGTTCCAGGGCTCGGGGCGACGGCCCCCCCCCCCGCGCCCTGGACCCCTTTTTAAGGCGTCTGCCGGGGGGGAAGGCCTCAAAACGGGGCCCAGTGACCTCCTCCCTCCGCTCCCTTCCAGCTGCCTGGCTGTTCCCTCGGGGCCTCCGGTGGTGGTGGGAGGCTTCAAAAGGGGCCCAAGGGACCGCCTGCGCCCCCGTCCAGGTGCCTGCCTGTGCCCTCAGTGCATCCGTTAGGCTTCGCCGCCGCAGCAGTGCACCAGCAGCGGAAGGCCTCCGCCGACGGCAAAAGGCGAGGGGCTGGACCCCCTGAGCCGTGCCGCCTGTACCCTCCGGGCCCTTGGTCATCGGCTTGCATGCTTGCGACCGTGGCCGTGGCCTTTTACCCCCGAGGCTTCCCGCCTACGAGGGTCAGCAGAGGCCAGGGGGCCCCTTAGGAACACGTTGAGAGGCCCAAGGGGAGGCCCGCGCCACTTTTTGACGCCTTCCACCACTAGAATCCGCGAAAAATCCGCGCGGAAAAGCGCACGCGCGCCACCACAGACCAGACCACAGGGGGGGGAGGGGGGGGCCGTCCGGCCCTGAGTCATATATTCTATCGGTGACGTGGATGAAATATAATTTTTTTTTGGTACTCCTTTCCAGCATTTCATGAGGGTAGAAAATGCAAAGGGTCGTGCATTCGTTAACTGCTTGTCATTGATACTTAGTCGATCCACCTTTACAGCCATTCACAGTCTTTGTAAAAAAAATGCCGATATTTACTACTTTTTTTTGCTCCAGAACAAATTACGAAGCTATAGCATTGCTGGGTTGTAAGTTCTTAAAAAATGTCAATGCCTTTTTGTTACTTCATTTATGAACTGCGACAAAGACGATTTGACGGAGAAGGGGTGGATCGACTTGAACGACATCTATTTGAACTATGCAGAAGCTGAGGCTGCATCTGCAATTGAGTACGAAGATACCGGCGCCTTGGTCGGGGAAGAGAGAGAAGCCGTCGTATTATGCTTGTTGTAAAATTGCTTGCAGTTGATGATCATGAAACTTTTTATTACCCGAATTGTTCATTATCCTCAATTATAGAAAAATCTAAATATCCAAATCGACACACACCACACACCCACACCTAGAAGGGAGAAGCAGACCATACTGGGCTTCTGCCCCTCGAACTTCTTCTTCTAACTAGCCAGTAAAAGAACTAGAACAGCTCCATTCGGTTGAGTTCAGTGCAAATCAGCCAGCTCTAAACTCAAACGCTGCTGGTGTCGATCGAAGTGCAAGGGGTCACAGCAGCGCGTCTCTCCGCGCCGTTGCCGAAGCAGCATGCGACGCAACGTCTGCCCGCCTTCTCGCCTGGGCAAAAGCGCTGCACCTTTTTCATTCAGGAGCACCTGTTAAGAGTAGGAATATGGATAATCTATCTACTTCTGAGATAGCAAGCTATAGCTAGTATCGTGCCTCGCGGGTTATTCATTACTAAGAACTTTGTGGTCGTGCAAAAGGTAAAAGGGGATTACTTGTTGAGAGCCTGTGAGTATTAGACCTTCATTTGACACCGCGGTCAGCACCCTCTAAATTCGAATCCCACTCAACATCCTCTTGGTGCCGAGATCTCAGCGGCGTTGAGCTGTCGCTTCTTTGCTTCTTCGCTGGGTTTCTGGTAATCGTTTGCACAGCTGGTGTGTTCGCGTTGGTGCGCTGGCTGCTTTCCTACGCCATGTACGGCTTGCAGGTTCTGGCTCGCCGGTGCTTTGGAACGCAGCGCAAGCTCGATCTCCAGAAGACGAAAGCGGCAGCCAAAACGAAGGTATATCAGAGTAGGTTATAACACGCGTGGTGCATGGAGTAGCATGGAGCGCAGAGCTCTAAGGGGCGCAAGAAGCTCCCCCTTTAGAAGGATATAAGAACTGGATAAAGATGAAGATTGTATGTTCGTACTACTAGAGTATCTTTATGACACCAATTCGATGCGCAATTTTATCTACTAAACCGCTGGAGAATACCCTTGACGTAACTACGTTCTAAAAAATCAGCCGAGTGCGAATGATGATCCAGTAGCTGATGAAAGTTGCTGCGAGCAGCCTCTAGCCACTGCGTCAGCCACCTCCAGTTCATCCAGTTCATATGAATGGTCTTGTGCGAAGTTGGCTGTCAACATGCTAGGCAATACTCACAGGATCAGGAAAACAATTGTGCAGTACCGATAAAAAACTCCAGCGACTGAAAAGTGTAAATTCTCATGTTGGAATTGGGGTACTTGTTCATTTTCATTTGACTAGTGTTATTAAACACCGAAGCCCTCATTACGTAGATACATACTTGCAGTTCTAACGTTGCACCACGTGCATGGACAACTACGGAGCGTGCAGAGACGAGGAGGCACAAGGGGTGCGTTCGGCCCCTAGCAAACGCGTCAAGGGTGCCGAAGCAAAAAGTTTGCGAAAGGCTAGCAACATCAACAAGGAAAAACAGTAGATTTTGTTATTTATTTGGCCAGGGAATGATGGCCATTTTGTGCTCCAGATAGATTCACTGAAAGTAGTGGTAATGTAGAAGCACTTACATCTTCTTCTCTCTCCACATTTGATTGGTAAATCCGAATTTTCCCACATAAACTTGATACTTACTTGGATCCAAAGGTTGGCTCAGTGCGATTCTTTCTTGTTGCGAAATACTAGTAGTAGATTCTCTGATTGTAGTTCGTCACAGTTTTGTGGTTCTTCATCTAAATCTGAAGTGAACAGGTCAACAGCACCTGCAATGCTGAATCGCAACTGCGATGCATGCTCTGGAGTGGGGATGAATGAGAATCACACTCGAGCAGAGGACACTTCCGCTGTCTTGAGGGAGACAGAGAAACCTGCTGAAGTGACTAGAAACGAGAGGGAGGTAATGGAGAGAGCGAGGAAGACCGAAAACTTTGTGTCAGTAAGTAACTACTAGTGGAGCAGCTTTGAAAGCTTATGCATAGAGTAGAGAGAGTATATTGGTACACTACATTCTAGTACAGCGACGTGGATTCAGTTGTTTCCTTACGTGACTAACGAGATAATTGACAACTATCCAGGAACAACACCCCTTGATGAGGACATCTGCCACATCGGTCTCGTACTCGTGTTAACTTGAATCAGTATTACCATCATCAAGTAAGTACTTGTATCATAATTAAAGATCAAAACTACTACAGCGCAGTTCAAGCAGATCAAATAGCCATGCCTGGCGTCCCTTCTCTTCCTTCCTTCGAAGGAAGTGAGCCTTCGCAGCTCGATGTCTATTCGATTCCGATCCCCAGACCTCAGGGAAAGGAGGCAAAATGCCAGACAGACCGGATCCAACTGCGTAATATGCGAATCCAGGCTCAAGACCAAAAGTCCATCGAGTGTCAAACTATGGACTTCAATTAAGGCGATTAATTATTGGAGGTCTTGTTGTTGTTTCTTTTTTGTATTTTCTTTGTTTCATCAGTGGCTTGTTCAGATGCGAGGAATCTGGTATGCTTTTCTACGTAATAAATTCATATTTGATAACACGTACATGAGTTTGCATATCAGCCACCACAATACTAAGAATGGCTTGTTCCTCTAAGAAAATCCAGAGTCGTTCAATCCGGAAAACGACCTGCAAAAGCCTGGCGGCGCAAATTCACCCTGGTTGGTGAATGTCAGACTACAGAGCGATGTTCCGGGATTGGACGCAACCTTGCTGCAGTTCCTCAAAAAGGCAGTTAAAACTACTCTTACGAGTGGGAGATTATTTTAGCTACAGGTAGTTTTGAGATACAAAGCGTGAGTGATAGATATCCTCGAGAGGCTCTACGTACCTGTGCGGAGACTAGAGGACTTGAGGACATTCATCCTCTGCACGCAGAGGACAGTGCTAAGACACACTCCCAACATAAGTACTGTACTTTCTTTGACAAAAATCCTTTTTAATACTCTAGCAGAATTGGAGAGTTCTGAGGTAGAACAGCCGGCTTTTGCGAATTACGAGCCAAGATGGGAAGAGGAGGGTGGGGAAGATGTACGCGTGATTCACCTCCTCAACGGTCCAACGAATTTATGGCCAGTATCCTAGAGTAGATACACATACAAAAAAACGAAATCCAACGATAAAGGGCAAGAGACTATACGCGATAGCTACGGGAATATTACACCACTAGGCGACTTTAAGCTTCACTGCTAACAACCACTGGCGCACCCGCAGCTAGCTGTTCTGTTCTGGACCTGGCCTGGAACTGTACAGGAAATATCATCGCTGCCAGCTACGGTAATCTCATTAAGGCTTGCCCTAATTTATCATATCCTGAGAAGCATTCTTGGCCCTTTGACCCCGTTTTCTACAAACAAGGGAAGACTACACGCCAAAGATAAGCTCACTCAGAAATGAAGGATTGGGCAGATTCTAAGCTAAACACCTTAGGATGGTGCGAGTACAATTCGGTTGTGCATGTGTGGAACATCTTTTCCAGGCATCAGGCAAAAAACACCGCGTCAGACGCTGCAGCAGGATCCCAAGGTCGGAGTCCGGATGTAAAGATAGAACTATGGCAATCATCTAAGTATTCATCTCGGCTTGGAATTACATACTCTCTGACGAGGCTCCGGTTTCTTACACGTATTGCTTCCTAGATCATAAGCTGTTAGCTGTAAGACCACAAAGAACTTGATTGGTCCTCTAGCTGTACAATCTCGTCTCACGAAGACCATGTAGATCTACTTGATAGGCCGCTAATCAAAGTACAAGGCGAAGTGCTATCGTTAGCATTTCATCCAAGGCTGCCAAGTATACTGGCTGGTGGCAGTTATAATGGGGAACTGATTCTATGGGACACGAGCCAAACTGCAAGCGACCCACAGATTGCGATGTCGAGTATTTTTTCGTATTCTTCATCTACTCGCGAATTTCAACCTAGCCTAACCAATTTCAACTACGTCTAGAAGTTGAAGGCTCGAAGATACATACTAAAGCGTGAATTAAGAACATCGCGTATGCGTTGGACCGCTGCTTATGTTTTCAACCGCAGGTATCGACGACTACTTCCATCGTGAGGCAATACACGAAGTTAGTTGGATCGAACAGGAAAAGAAGTTTTTGCTAGCTACGATCAGTGGTGATGGACGGATTCTGTTGTGGGACATCACAGACAATCTCGAGTTTCCTTGCCGGGGATTCTCTATACTTATGGCTTTTGTAATACTAGACTGCGATTTACTTAGTGGTAGTTACGTAAGCGAATGGCGGAAACCATGATCATCATGTTCACGATGGGGAAAGTCGACTTCTGTGGTCCTCCGGTCTTCATTCGGGACTCCAGTCTAGCTGTTTCTTTCTCCCTCGGGGACTTTCTCTGCCTCTTGCTCTTACTTTCTAATCACCTACAGAAGAAGCGAACGGTCGGCGGCCGTGCTCTCGCTTTCTCACCGTTTGACTCGTCGCTTTTTGTTCTAGGCTCTGAAACTGGTGCCTTGATCCGAGGCATGTGCCCACAAGTCGTTGCAGATAGCTCTTCGGTACATCTGCTATGCATTTCGACTATTATGATGTTTTCAAGAATGACAACCGGTCAATTTTTATTTTCTGTCGCCTATCTTGCAGTCTTTATGATCCAAGACAATGAGTATTGCTTCCCATGTCAACCATTACAGGCTAATAGTTACCATCAAGAAGAAACCCTTCTTCCAAAAGGTCTCCCTCACTGGTGCTGACGCTTCCAAATGGAAAACGTCTGCGAAACGCTTTCTAGATGCTGTGCCGGCTTCTTCGCGGATGAATATCAGGCATCATGTGGAGGCCTATGTGCAGAAGTCAGTGGTGGAAAAAGATCAAGGGATAACTGCCCAAACGATATTCCGATCCAAGCCTGATGCTAATTTGCTCTTTCCGCAGCCGAAGACAACTGATTTTTAAGACTGGTGGTTTTAGCAGATTCGTCTCCGACATGGTTGTGGTAGAATTTGTAAGGAGTCTTAGTGCGAGTTCCACAATCCTCAATCGTAGCTTGATCTATCACCGTTCACCACCTCCCCACCACCTCTCTTCTAACTTCCAGAGCCACACCCAGGCCCGATCACCGCTGCTAGATTTTCGCCATTTCATAGGAAAATGCTTCTCAGCGCTGGATTGGATGGTGGCGTCAAGCTATTCGACATCCTGCAACAACGTCCTCTATACGTATTCTACCCTACTGCTGCGGCGGCGAGCGGCCATGGTGGGAATAACTTAATCAGCGGCGTAAATACAGCGTCCTCAAGTGTCGCTTTAGCGGACGTCGCATGGAGTCACGCCAGACCTTTGGTCTTTGCGGTTGCGCCCGAAGCTGGTGGCGCTATCCTCGTGTACGATTTGATGCGTAGCAAACATCAAGCGGTGGTTTCCGTTCCTTGCAGAAAAGCAACGCGAGTCCGTTTTAATCCGACGCAGCGTGGCTTACTAGCGGCTGGTAATGTGGACGGCGAACTAAGGATATTTGGATTGCCTTGGTCTCTAAGTTGTCCGTCGAAGACAGCTGAGACGACACTGTTGAACAGGCTGATGAGCGGGAAATAAGGATAAGGGAAGGACGATTGGAGGGGAAAATTTTTGGGGATGAGTGCGCATGATTTGTATCTATCATGTTCATGTTGAGCTTGAGTTCTGTCGGATACAAAAGATATTCGAGAAGCGAGACAGAGACATTATACATGCTTGCAGATGATCAAACAATGTTTTCAAGTACGTCGTTTCAACTGTAGAAGAGTTTTCCGCTAAGAAGAAGGCTGAAAATGAAAGGGCCTGGTAGAAATACCGCAAATTCATCTGGCAGCTCTTCAAAGCTGATGTGTATAAGGAACGGGGGGGGGCATGCTGTGATAAGAAAAACTGTCGAAAAACACGCTGTAAGGAGAAAACATCTTCTGACAGAAACCTCATGAAGAACAAAAAGAAAGTGAGAACCATGTCGAAACTGTAATCATCTACCAAAACTTTTAGACCACGACACACAGGTGGAAGTAGAGGAAGGTCTTGTCATAATAATGTAGATCTGTAACTGTATATAACTTCAACATCATTCTCCAACATCATGGAAAAAAAAAGTACACGTACACCTTACAACTACATGTCACGACACCAGAAGAGCAGCTCTACAACGCTGTAGACGCTAGCTGTGTAGCGAAACAGCTGTGAACCTTCGCGGGATACCTGATTTCGCGACGCAGCTGCGACTACAAGGAGCGTGGAGGACGAGCAAGAGGACAGCCTAGACCTAGTAAACCTACTCCTACACGCAAGATACGAGGCTGTTTGCGGAGTAAAGCGGCCCTCCAGTTGCAAGACGACTGAACCCGACCGCTTCACCGAGTGTCCCAACACAACGCCACATTCTATTAAGGCTCAACTTTCATTGGTCATTGGTGTTGGTCACTGAGATCGAAGAGGCGACCCCTTGAGATTCACTCCTTTTCCAGTAGGAAAAGGGTCGAGGATGTTCTGCAGAGTAACCCCGTAACCTCTAACTACAAGAAGTTTTACTCCTTCGAACACAACGATGGTGATGCACGTTGAGACACACCATGGTAAGTATGACCACATGCGTCATAGGTGGGTCGAAGATGGTGACGAGGGAAGCGATCCCGCTGTAGCGACCAGCCAGGGCTTGGTGTTAAGAGTGGTGAAAAAATACCGACAGTTGGTTCTACTTTGTTCGTCTGTTTCTACTTACTAGGCGTGTATCAACAAAATTGATATTATAACTACACTTTTCTCTTTTCCATCTTCCTCTGGGCTTTCTTTTTTTTAGTTAGGTCTGGTCCACAACAATTATAGGCTACAAGAAGTGCAAGTGTGTGGCTCTTAATCTTACTTCATAAGAAAGAGCTACAACTTAATAAATGTTTATAATCCTTCTAACACGGGACCCTGCCTACTATCCCCCGCCTCTGGAATTCGTCTCGCAGTCAGTGGAAGACGAAGCAAGACATACTCTGCGAGCAGGAAAGAAGGCAAGCCTGTCGGCTGCTAGAGTGATTATGGCAAATTTCTGAGGACGTGAATGCACATCTCTTATCTTACTCTCCTCCACTATACTGAGATGAAGAACGGAATATCATGTCTGAGGAAGGAACTAAAAACAACCCCTTTTTGCCGACACTCTTACTTTTCTAATCTGCCGAAATTTATGCACGACCACGTGCCAATAACGAAATGGCTGCCAGAGTACGAGTGCAGCAAAAGCCTCAAAGGCGACCTCATAGGCGGCCTCATCATCGGACTTATCCTAGTCTGCCAGACCATGGCCCATGCCGCGATTGCGACCACAGTAACAGTGCAGGGGCCTTATTGCGCGCTTTTTCCGGCTGTTGTTTTATGAAGGATGTCCTGAAACAGAGACACGACTGTAACTGGAGTCTACTGTAACTGGAGCCTAGAACAAAGTGTGATGAGGTTTTCCACTTCCGGAACGACAACGTCTCACCTCGTCAACTCTAATTTTCTACGCCATCTTCGGCACATCACCGCATGCGAGTATTAGCAGTGGTGCAGTGGCTGCAGTGCTGATCGCAGATCAGCTGAGCAAGTTTGGTGACATTGAAACCCGAACACGAGTAGCGAGCTACTACGCTCTTGTTACAGGACTCTTGAATCTCTTCTTCGGGCTAACGAAGTTGACTTTTCTTATGAAGACAAACCGTTTGTGTGAGTATGAATAAATATGAGCTCTTCATCTTCGTTAATTGAGTCAGTAGTAGATGCTTTCTCAATTTAAGACGCTGAATACGTAACGTCCGACGCATCCCTTCTCTAGTCTTCATCTCCCTGGTGCGTTTTTTGTCGCAGCCAACGCTGAGCGGATTCATCACCGGCGCTTCCTTGATCATCGCCTGCACGCAGAGCAAACAGCTGACCGGACTAGACAAGCATCTATACGACGCGAAGGGTGTCGTGCCCATCCTGAAGGGCACTTTCGTGAATTTCACAAGCATTAACTGGGTAGCAGTCGGAATAGGAGTTGCTGTGAGTCTAGCGCTGCACTTCGCGAAACAGGTACTGCTTCTCAGTGTGACTGCTTGGCTCCTGTGAGAACTACTCCTCTCATCTCCATGTACTAACATGCGTTGAATGATGTGACCGCTGCTTATCAGAAATGCAAATGTACTACTTAAACACTATCAGCACTATCTACGATATGATACGTAAATACCTACTCACACTCTAAAACATGAATTTTTTTGAGAGTTATTCAGTAAGCATCTGCACGCAGGCACGTGGCGCCGCGTGTGCGCAACTCTTGGCGAGATCGTGCGCACTCTCTGCTTCGGGTTGAGCGGCTTTCGGACGGGCCAAGGGGCCGGGATCTGAAGTGGCAGCCACAGAGCACCACTGGCACGGCCTACTCTTGCGCCTTTTTCTGGGGCTGCTCAGCACGACAGGGCGCCCAAGACTGCGGAGCCCTTGGCAAACTCCAAAAAACCTACTCTAAACCGATTCCGACCCCTCACCCAAAGGGACCCCTGAAAGGGTTAGAGTAGGTTTTTTGTGAAGGCCTTTTTCGCTGGATTGTCGGGCAGGGGAGGCCTGTTTTTGCAAACTCCGAAAAACCTACTCTAAACGATTTCGGCAGGCCCCACCTCACGACCATTCTGGCCAGCCCTGGCCAAATCCAAACTCGGAGGCACAGGCCGAATGGAAGGGAGGCAAAGGCCATTCTACCCGTAGCTGCGTGCGCAGACACAGCAAATTTTAAGCAACTTGGCAGAAGGTGGGGCTCTGCTTCCCTAGCCGCGTGAGCCTATTTGGCGGCTGGAGCAGAGCGGGCCCACTCTGGAGATTAGTGCGCACCGCCAAGCGTGTGCAGCAGAGCCTAATGCGTTTGCTCACTCTTTGCTCAATATGGCTCAAAAAATTTCACGTTTTAGAGTGTGAGTAGTTTTTTACGTTCCATATACGAGTGTCGACGGACACTTCTTAAGTACGACACTTCTAGTACGAACTAACGGACACTTCTTACTCTTCCTATCTGAACTCCCCAGCTGAAACCGCTCCTGAAAAAACGAAAAGAGTTTTGGGCCAAAATTTCATTGCAGTGCGTGGATTTCAAAGAGCTTATCGTTGTTTTGCTCTCCGGAGGTTTGGTATTCATACTACGGACTCCTGGTGCCGAGAATCTTGTTAAGGGTACACCTTTAAGGTGCTTTTCTTATACCGCTTTTTATGCCTCTCTCATCCTAAGGGAGAGAGAAAGGGGGCATAACAAGCGGGGGAACCCGCGAGCACCAAAAACCTACCTCTAATCTTGGACAAGAAAACGGTCTTATTGTCAACGTAGTCGGCCCTGTGCCACAGGGTGTGCCAGCATTCGAACCACCATGGAACAACGTGCCGGAAGAAGTCACCTTTGCGAGCTTGTTGCCAGGTAGACCCTAAACCCTACCCTAAACCCTAAACCCCTAAACCCTAGTAGAGGGATTTGCGTGTTTACGACTGATGTTCTAGAATCAATTTGTATACTTCTCACTCTACCGACTCTCAACCGAGAGGCTTCAGACCTTGCAATCACCGACGTACTTTCGCCAAATAGATTTGCGTGTTTACGACTGATGTTCTAGAGTTTGCATTTAGATAATGTTGTCAATGATCAAAGTCTTATCGATAGATACATACTAGTCAACAATCCTTAATAATCCAATCTATACCTCCAGGTTCCCTGCTGATTGCATTAACGAGTTATATCACGACCTTTTCATCGAGCAGGCGCGTCGCTCTGCAGCAGGGCTATAGCATAAAGCCTTCACAAGAAGCCATCGCTTTGGGTCTCTCAGGAATTGCTGGAGGGTAATTCTAATTTAATTCCCCATCCCTTGTACTGAAAAATAACAACGGAGCTTGCTTATGATAGTACTAGAGTGACTTCGAAACGTAGAAATAATAGAAAGGATGAGATGGACAAAATCAAAAGCAAGACCTCTAACTTCTATGATCCTTCTTTCAGATTTTTCCAGACATTTCCAGTTTCGGGTTCTCTTTCTCGCGCCGCCTTACTGCCTATTGTGGGGATTAACAGTCAGATCGGTGGCCTAGTAGCAAGCGGCGTCGTAGCGATGGGCCTTGCGTTCTTCTCAGAGGCAATTTACTGTTAAGAGTGGGATAGGATATGATAGATCATACGTAGTTTGATTCTCAACAGGATTTAGCTCAACAGGATTTAGCGAGAGTCTCCTGTTCGTTTTCACCTAGTCGCTCAATTTCGGCTTGGCAGGAATTTCTCAACTTAACGCCTTTTCATCTAGGTCTTTGCCTGTACCGCTAATCTCCGATTCCCAAGTGCACCTTGGCGGGGATTATCATGCTCGCTTGTACGTCATTGCAAGACTTCCCGTACCTGGCTTGGCTAGTCAAGACGAGCAAGATCGGCGAACGACTAAAGCAAAAGGCCATGGTGTCAAGCGTATGGCATATATCGTGGGATCTCTGCAACTTCCATTAATCCAGAACGAACCGCTTCACTGTTACTTCCTCTCTTTACCTCCAATGAGATGGCGCATTATAGATGATTCCATGACATGAATTCCAGAAACTAAGTAAATATGATTCTATGAGGACATGAGTTCCATGACATGAATTCCATCATCACTTTCATCTCAAGAGAGCTTGCGACGTGCAGCCTCAGTCAGTCGGGAGAGCGTGAATGCTGTGCTATTTCCTGCTGCTCTTGCCAAAGGAAGCAACGGCGCACTCGGCGTGGTGCAAGAGGAGACAGGTTGGTGTCTTCTGGTTTCTACATTCGAAGATATACAGGGAGGTCAATGTTTTTCAGCTCTACTGACCAATTTGAAGGTAATTTACACGGTAGTGGAGCACCGTGTTTGTCATAGACCAAATTAAATCTGTCTTTTTCCACAGATGTTTTGCGACAGCCTCTTCTTGAGGGACGGGTGGATGTCGCTAGCGTACCAACATCTGCTGTAACAACCGGAGGCACTTCTAGTACGGGTGTCACAGAGCAGACCGGTTATCTGCCGCCAGCTACTCTTATGACATAAATATTTAGAACCAATTATCTCGTTTGTGACTTTGACAATCTCATCATTATCAGATTTTTGGTATCGTTTTCATTTGTACCGCCCCCTTGGTCTTGAACTCTAGCTCTACTAGAAGTAGAATCAGCGACATTTCTATTTTACCCTCTTCATTCCGCAGAGCTACCCCTCCTCTCGTTGCTACCCTTCCTCAGCAGGGTTTGGCGAAGAACCAGCAACTGGCATTAGCTCCTTGCCAGTAGCAGCGAGTGGCACAGGCTTAGTGCCACCGACGCCCACTGCAGGATCACACCAATTACGGCTACAACAAATCCATCTTCCACTTCCCCGACAACAAATCCATCCTCCACTTCCTCCATGCTCCAGGGAAGAGAGGCATCGAAATACTCTCCACGAGATGGATTAGCTTTAAATTTCTAAATCAAGCGCATAAGGACTATAACAGTCTTGGAGAACTTACTGGGCGTGAAGTGGACAGTGACTTCGCGGAGTTATCGAGGGCTTTCGCAGAACATGAAATCAAACAAGTGCCTAGTCTCTCGCGAGTGGCAAGTAGAGGAGGCTTGGCAAATACGCTTAGCTCACAGAACTTGTTAAGTTTGCCTGGGAACGGGGTCAGTAGCAGTAACTTTTTCCAAATGCAAAACGGAGGAGCAGGTGGAGGCAGTCTTATTATGCAAGCATGGCCGCGTTTCAATTTCAATTCTTTTACTTTTCCTTGTGCCTTTCTCTGTCTCTGTTTTCTTAAAGAACGGGTTCAGGTTCTTTACTTCTAGGTGTAGTCTTCACTCATTGCAAGCACTGTTCTCTCCGCTTCAAAGCGTATTTTCCTACTCGCATCATGAAGATCATGTTCATGGCAGTCTACCACATGATGAACCCTTCTAATCCAAGTCCCATTAGTCCAGGGCAGACAGGTGGCAGTGGATGGAATCCGAGGATAGGTGGAGGCCAAAGTCCAGGTGGGTCGGATTACACAGAAGGTTAAGGGTACAACATTAAAGGTGACCCTGTTACCGTTTGTTGTGCCCCTCCTGAGGGAGCTGCAAGGCACAGCAAATGGGAAACAGAAACACCAAAACCCTACCTCTAAGAAGGGCGTCTTTCACTAGATGCGTCGCCACCTGCTAACGGCAGGCTAGGAGTAGTAAACGAGGAAGCGGTTGCTTTTATGATGACGAGAGTGAATATCTTTAGCTGTATTTCAACATGAGGACAAGACACATCTCTAAGATTCTAAGGCCTATTTGACTACTTATTTCAAGAACATGATATTTAATGACTATGAGAATGAGTGTGCTGCAAGATTCAGATTGAGATGTCTTCCCTCGTCTATCATGTTGATCGCAATTTACTACGAAGGGTGATAGTGAATTGCCTTATAGAAAATTCTAAACTTCCTCCTACCATAGCACCAAGAGCAACGACAAGTAGTGGAGCGCCATCCTACGGAGTTCAGGTATCACCACCTAGCGGTCCAGTTCCGGTTGTACCTTCTCAACCCAGCGTTGGCACTGGAAATACCAGTGGCCCCTTGGTGGTGCCAGCTGTCCAGGTCATACCGCCATCGTCTGAAGAAGAAGGAAATGTTATGGGCAAAAGTTTACTTTTGTCGACTTCATGGTTGTTTCATTACCTTTCTTGTTGTAAAAGTTCAGCTTCTAAGTTACGTCCCGGCGGATTAGCAAATATCGTGGGCACAGAGCAGCCTCTCCGGAAGATACAGGACGCAATTGAAGAGCTACCGAATACAGCTGTAGTGGGACTGTACCGCGATATCGCAGTATGGTTATTGGCGTTTACTTATGGCTGATGAAGTTACTAGTTCTTGAGAGTATTTTACTGGAAGTACTTCTTCTGGGTCACCTGCTAGTACAACTAGGATCTATCGGTACCATTGAAAACGTCGATGACTTTGACTACATACCTGACATCAAGCTCTAATCCATAGCTACGATTTTACTCGGCGTTCTTCAGGGAGTCGCTTTGGCAGTCGGGCTCTCGCTGTTTATCCTTTTAGCCGACGTCGTATTTCCTAAGGTGTTCCAAATGGGAAAACTGGATGAGGTACTTACTCGCTTACTACAACATCTACTCAGATTTGCTTTGAATTTGTTGTGAAGCTGGCCTTGATTTTTTTTTGATTTTGACACACCTGAACAGCACTCTTCTCTGTACGACGTTGGTCGGGCGCGCGCGCAGGACATCATGTGTCATCAGTTTGAAGGCGTCATGATGTTTGGGATCGGCGCGAGCATGTTTTTCGCCAACATCGATTTTATCAAGGACGAAATGGAACGAATGCTCTCAAAGGAGAGCAAGTTGCGAAAGATCAAGGTGGTGCTGCTGATCTTTAGTTATGAATGTTTGCGAATTCTGAGACGCACATACTTTTTGAGTACGCGCAGCTGCGTAAGTATCATCTGTAGACTTGTAGCTGGCTCACGTGCAGATATGCAAGCTAAGAGATAAAGCCATGTGGTCGACGTGGTCAACAAACAGAGAAGAAACAACAAAACTACCTACAGCCACTTCTAATCTGCCCAAGTAAATGCAATCGATGCGACGGCATTGAAAGAACTCAAAGAGCTTATGGAGGTGTGGAAAATGCGCAAGTTGCACATTCTAGTGGCTGATGCGACTGGTGAGGTCCTTGATGTGATGGAGGAACACTTCGGGCAATACCTGGATCAACCAAAAGTCCTCCTAACGGTGGAGGAGTGCCTCTACCACGCCAGGTACCGCATACATCAGAGGAGCGAGTCGAAGTAGGTCTATGTAGGCAGGTTTCTGGCTGCGGGTAGTAAAGAGGTAAGATTGTAGTAAATCACTAGTAGACGTCGAGTTCTACGCATCATCATCAACATATTTTTCAGGGCAAATATCTAGTAGTATTTCAATTTCTATTTTGCATGAGACATGATGACATTTATATATATAAAACAATGTTTTCGACGATGGTAAAAATTTTCCGTCATCGTCATCATTCTCATTGTACAGATAGACTACGCGTCTGTTACCGCATAACTAAAGACGAGTTAACATATTTCCATCGTTAGATGGTATTCTGGCTTTGGCTTGCATAATAGTGTGATTTTGAGCTTATTAAAAGCTCCTGTGTAATCTATTTTTTGTTGACAATGGCAGGTAATTTGTAGAACCTGCTACATCTACAGGCTGCTCATCTTGAGCAGCTGCACAGGGAGGCTTGTTGATACATCTATCATGTTTGGAATCCGTCTGAAACTGAATGTCTTATAACCACTTTCTTATCAACATCAACATCAGTAAGAACATGCACAAGACAATGAACATCATCCACTCAAAGGAAAAGTAGTCACGACGAAACTGCATATGTTCTTCATATAAGTAGTCAGAGCGATAATTGACTTGTGATACATAGAAAGCCCACCCTTCCGTCCCGATTTTTGAGCTTTTAGTTTTACGAGGAAGGTTGTTCCTTCACATTTGACATTTGCCTTTGAGCTTAAAATACGACACCTGAAGATAAGGGTGCGACACGATATCTGAAAATTCACAATGACAACCAAGCAACTACACTTTTTCATAATTTAGTACAACCACTGACTAGTAGAGTACTTTTCCGATATTTCAGAATGTCCAAACGTGTCTATTTTTTTGTTTCTGGGATGCATGGGTTTTTAATGTACAGGATTTCTGAACGTTCAGATGAAGTGTCCGTGACGCTCACGTATGTATCAATTAACCACCAGAACGCGTGAGTAGACGGCTAGCTCTACAAAAGGGAGGCACTTGCGCTTCAAAAATTGTTCTGGGAAGCGAACCGCTGCAAAGCAAACAAGTAGGGCAGTTTAATGGAGCTATGAGAGACGCCTATAGTCAACAAAGACACGGACATCAAGAAATTTTGCAAAGAGTGTTGATTATAGAAAATGGTGTGCTGTAGAAAATGGTGCCGAGTGAGATCCAGATGTTCTTTAGCGGATTAGAATCAATATGATGATGAACTAGGTGCGGTTCTACGACTGAAAAATATATTCTTCATCCAGCAAAAGCCAACCACTTCACTATCAGAATACATAAGTACCTATGTATAAATAAATTGTCATCTTCGTTCTAAAGTGATTTTCATTTTCCTACAAGTATATCAACAACGGACAACTTAGAAGCAATCTAAGTAATAAATAGTTTATTTCGTCGAGTTCGAATCAACAATTTTCAGTTAAATTTTCCAAGAAATGGATCCCTCTCTTCTACCACGTGTGCCTCCGCCACCGCCAGTTCGCTGGACTGGTCGGCAACCTGGAGCAACATCAGGTGGATATTCGACTACTCCGAACTATCCTTCTGCAGCTCCTGTGGATGGGAATTACAAGCAGACGCCTTATCATGGTGGAGGTGGGTATTCTAATCGAGCCTCAGGTGCAGCTGGAGGAACTTGTGGGGGTTGTGATCAACAGCAGTCGTCGAGCTTTTGCGGGCGTGAGCAATATGATAACGAGAATTACAACACTGTTGGCAAGGGCGCAGATCAGCGAGACTCGTGGGGATTCGGAAGTCGAAGCGGCACAGCAAATTATGACAACTACCACTATAATTCGGGTTATGGTCGTGCCGATGGTACAACAGGTAGTGCTACAACGACACACTTCCAAGGTAAAAACAAAAACAATGACTATTCCTACAATAATGGTCCATCGTACAACACCAACGGCAATAGCAATTACTACAACAGCAGCTACGGTCGTCGCGATAACAGTGCCCACCCAGCAGGTCAACATCGCGGAACAGCAACAATGAAAGGTAGTAGCACTACAACTACTGATAATTGGACCAAAGGCAGTTCCAATCCAACCACTTGCACATCTGCGCCTCCTATCAACCTCGACACCACTCACATCAATGGCACTAAGACTCTTCTCGTTGATGGAGAACCATTTGCTCGTGATGATTTCGATACTGCTGCATGGTGCACTAGGTCCAGCTTCAACAAGATCATGCACAACCGCTCCAGCAACTTCGACTACCACTACAACTTAGGGTTGAAAAGTTCCGGAATTTTGACCACGACACCCTGTAACTACGACACCATTGGAGGAGGTGGTCGCGATCGCGAGAACGGCAAGACTGGAGGAAAAAATCAAGGTGGGAAGTTCAACAAATTCAATGACACGAAAGGGCTTACGGACAACTATAAAGGTGGAATACCGCTGAACCCCTTGCTTGGGAAGCCTTCGTGGTTGGGCGCTTCTGCTGGAAAGTTACGGCTCCTGCAGGTCGTCTTCCATAGGTCCCTGTCTAGAATTACGTTGCCAAGTAGCGTACAAAAATCCAAGTACGCGGTACTATTCAGAAGTAAGTACAACATTGATTGTCGAACAACATTTGTTGATAAGTTCTGCTCCTCAGCAGAAGCGCCCAACCACGAAGGCTTCCCAAGCAGCCTTCGTGGTTGGGCGCTTCTGCTGGAAAGTTACTGCAGGTCGTCGTCCATAGGTCCCTGTCTAGAATTACATTGCCAAGTACCGTCAAGTACGCGGTACTATTTAGAAGTAAGTACAACATTGATTGTCGAACAACATTTGTTGATAAGTTCTGCTCCTCAGCAGAAGCGCCCAACCACGAAGGCTTCCCAAGCAGCCTTCGTGGTTGGGCGCTTCTGCTGGAAAGTTACTGCAGGTCGTCGTCCATAGGTCCCTGTCTAGAATTACATTGCCAAGTACCGTCAAGTACGCGGTACTATTTAGAAGTAAGTACAACATTGATTGTCGAACAACATTTGTTGATAAGTTCTGCTCCTCAGCAGAAGCGCCCAACCACGAAGGCTTCCCAAGCAGCCTTCGTGGTTGGGCGCTTCTGCTGGAAAGTTACGGCTCCTGCAGGTCGTCTTCCATAGGTCCCTGTCTAGAATTACATTGCCAAGTACCGTCAAGTACGCGGTACTATTTAGAAGTACAACATTGATTGTCGAACAACATTGAATAAGTTCTGCTACCTCCCTGCGCTAATCCACAAAGGAAGCCGAACAGATCAGCACTCATTCAAAGGGAGCAAAGGAAAAGGTCAGGACGGACCGAAGAGCAGCGCTTTCGACGAAAGGCGTCTTTCTTGTGTCACCAAGAGAACGAGTGCGATCACTTCGATTCTAGATGCAGACTTGAAGGGACGTAGCACAGTGCAAACTCTCTTAGGCGTTGAAGACGAAGTTAAGGGTTGAAACATTTCATTTCTACACGCCTTTTTTCCCCTAGCGCGGCTATCCAAAAATGAAATGTTTCAACCTTTAACGAAGACATCAACAAAGACCTCAAGAACGATACCTCAACCTCTGACAAGTTGAACGATGCCTTGTCTACCTTGTCTTCACGGCTTTTATTGGAGGGCTCTCTAGATATCCCGACCGATCGCATTGCGAAGCCACCTGCTGGCGGACGCAGCAACCGCAAGCGAGGCAAGGCGAATACCGAGTTGTACAAGACGTGTTTGTGCTACTATCACCTGAATGGCCAGTGTCGTTGGGGAAGTTCTTGTCATCATGCGCACTCGTTGTCGGAGCTGAGGCAGAAACCGGATTTGGTATAAGTTATAGTTTTCTTTCGCGATTGTTCGTGAGTATTAACTTCTTCTCTCTGCTGGTATTGGTGCTTCACATTTATTCCTGAATCTGCTCCTCCTCTCTCCCACCCTCTCCAGTCCCGCACCGCGATGTGTCCGCATCTCCTGAAGTGGGGCTACTGTGGTAACGTCGAGTGTAACTACGCACATCATAAAGGTGAGCTGCAGAGCACTGAGGCTTTCGTGAAAACAAAGATGTGCAATAATCCCGCTCGATGCAGTTACGGCCAGAACTGTCGATATGCTCATGACGTATACTGTTACTGTTTTTTTTTTGTGATGATATATCACAACTTCTACACAAGAACAGATCCACGAGCTTCATCTTCTCTCGTATCACAACTACCTCTCTACCAGTATCACAACTTCTACACAAGAACAGATCCACGAGCTTCGTTATCAAGTCGTTCTGCCTCGTAAGTCGCGGCAGAGGAACGTCCCGAACTTCGGACAGCAACTTCGCACGAGCACCGCTCGCATGTCCGATGCCAGCTGCCTCAAGGACGATGACGACGATTTGATGTGCTATCCGGTTGCTGATGAAAAGCAAGGGGAATATCTGACTGAAGCCCGCTTGAAACTGCTCGGTTTTGATAAAATCTACTCGAAAATTTTTCCGGCTTCCGAGAAGGCGGAAGGGGATCATGATGATGCTGGATTGCCGGATAATCAGGTACTAGAGTTGGATGAAAACGAGACTGCTGAACCGGTTTGCGCTGAAGACAGTGAAGATCGTGCAGTTGCCATCAAGGGACGCAAGACTTTATCTCCGAACATCTTGCTACCGTGTCTCCTGATTGACGACAGCGATCATGATTCTAAATCTACTTCTGTTGATGTAGCAAATAAGACGACGGCGCTAGCGGATGAAGAAGGCAAGGCAAGAGACGAGCATCCTCCAATCGTAGAAGTTCAACTTGACGTCATCAGATTGCAAGAGGACGATATCGAGGAAGCTATCCAAGAAGCTATCCAAGAGGATGATGAGAAACCTCGTACTGCTGCTCCTACCACGACTCCCGTGTATGAGGATACGAAGAATCATGCACTAGTGCAACAAGAAGACCAACAAAATAAGGCGGCGCAAATCCTAAACGCTTTGTTAATGCTTGAAGAAACGGAAGACGCAGATGCCGAGAGTTCTATGGTCTTGAGTGAAGACGTAGATGACGAGAAAGAAGAAGTAGATCCGCGTCGATCTGTAGTACTCGAGGCTCCTGCGGAAGATGAACACGCTGGTGAAGTACAGAAGACGGAACTGGAGAAAGAAGAGAGCAGTATTTCTAGTATGGAACTAGAAGTGGAGACGAGTAGGATCAATACCAACTTGCTGAAAGAGGAAGAAGCTAAGACCACTACGATGAAGAAGATTGAAGACCCGATGCTTTCTGCGTCTTTGGTTCCTGCGGTTGAAGAAGTACAGCTTTATTCGAAGGAGGCAGCTTGGAACAACACTGCGATCGTGGAAGATGAATTCATGATCAACAGCATCACTGTGAAGAAAGAGTTACACCAGGTAGAGCAAGAGCCAAAGCATCAAGACGAGAAGATACCAGCAGCCGCGACGATCGCTTCTGATGATGTAGAAGTACTTCCTACTGATGTTGTCGATGGTGTTGAAAGTACGCTGGACCACGCGCCATTGCCTGACCTGTTATTCTGTACGGACAGCAAGCTGATCAAAGACACGCCAATGGAGTCGCTGGCTTCTACAATTAAGGCTGAAAACGAATAGGAACTTTTAATGGTCCTCCATCTTCTCACAACGGAAAAAAAACTAGTGAAGAATACCCAATTACTGACTGAGGAACTGAATTTCAATTTCTTGGATGAAGAAACTCTTCTAAAACAAGGTTGCCGACCACAGTTGCTCAATCAACTCTGACGATGGCTGCGCAGTCTACCTTGACGATGGCTGCGCAGTCCACTTTGACTATGGTTGCACAGAGTACGTTGACGATGCGCACAGAAGATGACGTTGTTGGTGAGAAAAAGGAGGAGGCTGAGGCTCTGAAGGTGCACGAGGAGGAAACGAAGGCCCTCGCTGCAGACACTCATGCTGAGGCCAAGGGGGATGAGGATGAGAAAGAAGAAGACAAATGCAAAGTCCAGGAAACAGAAGACCTGGTGAAGACAACGCAGATTTGTGATGATGCTGTTGCTGTTGATATGGAGAAGAAAGTAGACTCCTCCTTCTGCGTTACCGATCACGTCGTAGCAGCAGAGACGGCTTCTGTCGTGCTACCATTTTCTGAAGAGAGCTCTGATGCTGCTCTGATTGCTGAGAAGGAAGCGGATACTTCTGCTGCTAAAAAGGAGGTCGGGGAGCAGGCTGATACTACTACCAAAAACGCCTCTCCTCTTGACCAGAGTACTACCGACAACATGCTACCAGACAGCAAAGACAAGGGCAACGAAGAATCAGAGCAAAAGAAGCCTGTGACGAAGGGTCAGCGTGGATACAACAAGACAAATTCGACTGCGGGCGGACCGAAGTCAACATCGAAGATAATTCCGCCGCCGCCTCCGCCGCCAATGGGCAATAAGAATTTGCGGCGCCAGCTATTCGAGAACAAAAAGCTCCGCTTCGAAAATTGGCAACAGAAAATGGGTACTTTTGTTTTATTGTTTCGGGCCTGAGCAGACTTTGTGAGTTTTTGGATGGGGATGCGTCAGGCCCTCTTCATCTTTCGCCGCCCCCTTTCATTCTCGGCGGTCCGAAGGGGGAACCTTTGCCAAAAGTGGCGGCAGCAGTTGTCTAGCTTGCTAGCGAGACCGCGGGCCAAGGGCATGAAGGCGGATGGATGCGAGCAGCCGTTCGTCAACGCAGTCGCGAGAGCCCTAATGAGCCCCATAGAGGAGATGGTCCAGACTGAGGGCGCAGAGAGAAGCCGCGGGCCGGGCCGAACTGGAGCGGAAGCTAGCGAGTGTGCCGAAAATGCCAGCCCTTACGCGAGGGTTAAAATGCGCGGCAGGCACTTCGCCGGAAAGGGTGCGCACTCTGCCGGGAAGCGTCCGGCACTTTGCTGGGGCCGTAGGCTATTAAATTCACCCACAGCCCAGGGCCCCAAAATAAAGCAACTGCGGACAAGGTCCCCCCCGGTCGCGGGCGGGCGGGGTGCCGTCGGCTTGGGCCGTGGCGGGGCCCCAGGGGTTAGCACTCAGCAAGCGGGGAGGGCCCTCCAAGTGCCCGCATCGCAGCAGCAACGGACAGCGGGCCGCGCAGCAGCCCTGGCGCTGTCTTCGGTCATTCATAGAAGAGGGGGGGGCAAGGAGCACGAGTAGCGGGCTGGCCGGAGAGCCTCGCCGCGAGCGCCACGCCCGCAGACAGGGCGAAGAAGCTCCTTGCCCGACGTGGTTGGGCATACTATGTATCTAAGGGAGGCCGCTGATTTGGAGGTCGGGCAGGACTTGGAGCAAGTCACTGCAGGACGAGCTAGGCCATCGCGCTGCTTCGAGCTTGACGCCGGGCGGATCCAGTCCATGTCTGCGCACGCACAGGGAAACGTCGGCGCCCCCTTTTCACCGCTTGCGCTGAAGCTGTGGGTTTACGGCCGCAGAGAACTCAGCGCTGCTGCTGAATAATTCAGAGGGTTGAGCGCGGGAGGCCATGGCCATCCAACTTACCCCCCCACGCCGTCCGGGGCGGGCCTCGGCTCTCCTCGCCCCGGGCCCTCGGGTGCAGCGTGAGAAGGCCCCGGAGCTCGCTGCGCCGCCTCTGCTTAGTGGATTGGAATGGAAAAAACACGCCAGCTGAACCGTGTGCCACAGGTATGCGGAGGGTGGAACTGGAAAGACTAAAAAGTCGCGGACTTCACTTGAAGGCAGTGCTGTGACTGTGTTGGTGCAGTTTTTTGTTTCAATTTTTCCCTTATAATATAACTTTTGTCTGATGAATTTGAATGTGCAGGCCCACCTACACCTAGCACAGTGAATTCGACAGACAGTTTTTGAGTCATCCATCGAGTATGGCTGTATATCTGAATCCAGGTGCTGCCGCAGCTCTCCAGAGGACGGCTGCGGAGGGCGATGTTGGTGTTTCTGATTCTTATCCTCGTTCGCTGGGCGTCTTACCTGGCTTCGACACAGCCTTGTTTGGAAGCACGAACAGTAAGTTTCCTCCGGGTCGGATCTCGAATAAGATTAAGGCAGGTCGCCTTGGTGATACTTCATTTCTTGTAAGAGTTCATTCATTTTGCTCTGTCAGGGAGAAGAAGGGGCCTTTCCCACTGGGCGTATAATCTTTGATAATTCTAACATCTATGGCAAAGGACCGCTAGCAGGAGCTGGGACACTCAGTGCTACACTGCCACCGACAACTCCAACTGCGCTAGTGAGTGGCGCGTCACCGACTGGTCTAGGCTCTTGGGGACAAACCCCGCACAACAAGGCAGGTTTTGGTACTATGGGCGCTTTTGGGGCTGCTGGGAATGGTCCGCTTGGTGGTGCGTCGACGAGTGGCAATAGCTACCAACAAAACAAAAGGAGCAAAAGCAGCGGCAAAAACAGTGGTTCAAATGCTGGAGGGGCAGCTGTGTCTACTTCTAAAAATTCAACTTCATCTGGTACTGGTGCGTCCACGACAACGTTGAACTCAATGGGAAACAATTACTCAAACAAGTACAAGAACGACGTGAACAATTCGCATTCATCACTTGGAGGAAATGGAAAAGCTAGTGGAGGACGTGAAGGACCGTTTTCTGGTGGGCTTTTTTCTTCTTCAGCAAGTGGGCGCTACAGCGGAGCGAAAGCTAACGGCGGTAAGAATACAACGAGTTTCAATGCTGGCGGCGCAAGTAGTAACAACAACAATTATACTAGCACGGGACCTGGCACCTCGTCTAGTGCTGCATATAATCAAGGCCTTTCTACTGGTGGTCGTGGCTCTAACAGTTCCAACAGTTACGGTGGTGCGTCTTCCGCCTACCACAATCAACAAACGGGATACGGCTCTCGTCCTTCGTTCCCGCAGGTGGACAGCTATCAGCATGGCAATCATCTTGGCAACATGCGGAAGGACACAACATCGACATCGCTGCTCCAGCCACCTCCTCCTGTACAGCCTCTACCACCTCTGCGCTCTGATAATGAGCTATCGAACAGCTTGCTGAACGTACCTCCTACAGCACCTAGCGGGGATGATCCTTCTGGTATGTCGCAACAGCCCATGTTGATGTCCTCTTCAGCTTCCGGCACATCAGCAAATCACAAGTGGATGACACCTGTTGGCGTTATGGGTGTAGGGAATTCATCTCCAAAGTCATCTGGAAGAACAAGACAAGGGAAAAAAAACGCGCTCAGATGATCCCTCAGATGAATCCCCTACACCTCTAATGGCGGTCTCAAAGGTTCCACACCTGCGCTCCTCGGCAGCTCCCGGCACCCGGCGACGGGCTATGGCGGGCCTTCTCCTTCGCTAGGCGTTCCTGCATTGCTGCCATTGTCGTCGCTGTCGCAGCCAGCACCCGGTGCTAGTTTCTCCTCTATCCCACCAAATGGAGAACCGTACAGCAACAGCAGCGCATTTCCTACGGCGTCTTCAGCAGCTCAATCGTCAGGCTTAAGCAGCTTTTCTGCAACAGTGAACAATATTAATATGTCCAGCAGCACAAGTACAACAATTCTGCCACCTCCTCTTCCAGCAGCACAGCCACAGGCAGTTGCCGACCTTTTGTTTCCGACGATTTCGATGCAAAGCGTTGAATCAACCGCGAACACGTTGTACCCTGTTGCGAACTTTGGCGATAAAAATACTAGTAGCATCACTACATCCGCTTGTTCTGGGTTAGGATTATCCACTTCGGGATTCAACAACAATAACAACGTCAATTTCATCAATATCGTTTCTTCCTCTGGTAGTGGTGGAGGTATTCTCTCAAGCTCAACACATCTTCAACAAGGAACAACATCCGGAACTACATTAGGAAATCCAATGCAGCCTGCAACATCATTGTTCCCAACCTGCAACTCATCTTCTGCGAGCAATAATGCTACATCTTCGTTAAACCATCAGCTGCTGGCATCAAGTGGCAGTAGTATCGGATTAATGTCGCCGCCGCCCGATGCGCTTGACAGTACGAGTTGTAGTGCGATAATGAATCAGAATCCGTCTTCTTGTGGGATTATGGCGACGCCATCGCTTTTTCCTACCGTGTCGTCTAGCGTGGTTCCCCAGAGCGCGTGCCTTAACCAACTGTCGTCTCAACAGTTGTTAGCACCTAGTATCAATTACAATCAGAATAACAGTACTAGTTACAATGACTACAGCAGTTGTGGGAACTTTAGTGGTACAACCTCCGCACCAGGAGTACTAATGGCCAGATCCATGCCTCAACAGAGCTCTTTTGGTTCGTTTCTGCCTTTGGCTGGGTCAGAACAGCAGACCATCATGGGTGCGGACAATAGTACACTTCTGCCACCTCCACCTTCACCCATGTCTGGAGGATATCCACCTCTTGGAGTTCCAAACAACGCGAACGCAGCTGCTACTAGTCATGGAGGTCGTGGGTTCATCAACTCCATCATGACATCCAACGCTGCTCTTCAATCGCCATTTTTTTCTGGTGCGGGTGGCCCACCGATTGCCCCAGATTTGCCTCCACCAATCACAGGCCCTACAACGGTGTTAGGAGGCCCATCGAGCAGTACATTCTTGTTCGGAGGTTGCACTAACGCATCAGCATCTGTGGGTATGGGGTTGAAGCCTGCTGGTGGCATGGGGACGTCCTTACCAACACTAGGCTTCAACGGTCACACTGTGCCAGTTCCACCACTTCCTGCTTTCAACTTCGACTCCACTTGTTCTGGTGCTTTCAACTTCGACTCCACTTGTTCTGGGGGTTACAGTACCAATTCTTTTTCTGGAGGTTTAGCAGGAGGACAAGGAGCAGCCCATTGTGGATCCTTCTTTCAGGATTTCGCATCTGCAGGTACCGGTGCTCCTGGCGCATCTGGTACAACTGGTATTACGTTCCCTGCTCATGCATCAGCGTCCTCTCCAGATCTTGTTACTTGCCCAGATCTTACTTGCAGTCATCAACTCGGAACTAATACAACCTCAGTTTTCGGCGTCACTGCTCCGTTTCCGCTTCCACATCCACTGGAAGGATCTGCTAAAACACCTCCTCTGAACATGCCAACCGCTCAACAAACTCATCAACAAGGAAGTGAACAACAACAATCTCCTGGAACCTACAACAATGTCGCAGTTGTTGACGGCGAGCTGCCACTCCTCACTTGCGGGGATATGTGTCTACAACCGTTTGTCCAACCTACGAACAGTAAGGCGAACAAGCCGTGTCCAAGACATTCAACGACTGGAGGACTATTTGTAGGTGCTCGTCAGTCCAACACTTCCTTAACAGGGGGTGCTCCTGGGCCACGTCACTCTGGAACTATCATTAAGGCTTGAGGAAATCTATCTTCCCCAGCATCTCAGTCCCGTTAGTTTGGCAAGGGAAGACGGTCACTGAGATTCTCACCAAGATCGATCTCTACAAGGTCCAATGTCAACCCTAGACGATCTACTCAACTAGGCGGTCCAGCCAGGAACTCGCATTCTTCTCACTGCAGTTATGGCGCACGCGGATCAGTGTCTAGTATCGCACGAGCGTCGGTCTATACCGCAGACCACCTGTTGCAGAGTAGTCCCGGCAGGAGGTCCATCCGAAATGGGTGTCCCTTGACACCACCAACACCGCAAGGTGACAGGAGAAACAGTGTTTGAGCTATAGTTCGTGTTTGATTTCATAACTGAAGGAGATAGAAGATACAGTTATAGTTTTGAAGTACGTCGGGGAGAAGAACGTATTATACTTCATACATAGAAAAAAAGACGCACTAGAACTATGATCGTAATGAAAGCTGAGAAGTAGTTTTGCATAGTAGATTTTGCGACATTGAACTTGATGTAGCTAGTGTACTAAACGAATACATTTTTTAGTAGTTTCAACTTAATTCATCATGAAAAATGAAGTTCGTTGTCACGTCAAATGTGATGTTTTTCAGAAGCACTATCGTGATTTTGGTTAAATTGGACGACCTAGCTTACTAGGTTGCACAGAAGATGTTTCGAAATACAATTTTGTTTCGCAGGACGTCAAAATCAGGCTAATCTCATTGTATAGTTTCTGAGTATTTCTATTTCCTTTTTCCTCCATCTTATCCGTATAAATATCTATCATTTGATATTCGTTTTATTTGGTTTTCGTCGTGAAAGAAGTTGTAACTGTAAGTAGTATGAGTTGATTTCTAGTAGTAGGTGCACACTGTACGTACAGGTAGAGATTTCGATTGCATTACATCTGGCTGTCGATCGTTGAGAATTTCCGAATGCAGTCTCAAATTTGACCGGCCGAGGTAGATGGAGAGCGAGTCCAAATGCCACCGTCTAGGATCTGATGCGCATCGAATTAAGGTGTGAATAGTTGAAGAATGCTACGAACAAGAACTACAACTACTTCGGCAGGTACAGCTCAGGAGGTCATCTTCGAAGAAGCAACGAGTATGATGTACAGTTTGACAAACATCGTGGGAGTTGCACATTTTGACTACTAATATTCATTGAACATTCAGTATAAACCTAGAAATTTCCAAGAAATATGACGCCTTTTATGCTCATTATCGTACTTTTTGCTGTTTCGTAGAGAATTCGACATGATAGACAGATCTACATTTAGATCATCACAAGAACATAAACTAAATTCGCAACATTCATTTGTTTCCTGTAAGCCTTAATTCATTATCATTTTACTTACAGCAGAGCATTCCAGTCCGATGTAGCTCCCGCAGTGGGTTTCTTTAAATCACGACGGCAGACTTTTATTTTTGCGTACATATCAAAGCACACAGACATGTTTGAAAGAGGATTTTCGATCTCAAATTGTATCGTTTCGTAAAAACAGGAAAATTTTGTACTAGCACAACATCAATAAAATCAAAATTATCTTCAGAAGAAGACGTTGATCCGGTTGTATAGTGGCCTTGCGACATCATGACCACTGGACCTGTACAGCAAATCATGACCACCGCAAAGAAAAAGATGATGATGTGCAGACTGTGTTTTTTCTTGAAACCTCGATATTAGAGGACGAATGACTGTGCTCATCTGCACGGATACGTGAAAATGTGCTTGTTGTTCTGCTCATCCTTACACTAGTAAAAGTACATCATGGACATGCATGCTAAAAAGGATCTGAAGATGACGGAGTGTTTGCCTCGTTCAGGCTGCATGAAGAGCGCTGCTCTGTCCTCTGAGATATAGTAGGGATCACTGAAGATGATATCTGACACTCCAGACCTACATTCACAAAAACTTCAATAGGATCTTTTATGCAACTACGTATTGTGAGAACAAATCATTGCATTTTTTGAATAAAGAAGAAGAACGTGTTTTGTACTTGTTTTTTTGTTCACCACTTGTATCATTAATCTAGTTCTTGTATTCGTTTATAGTACTACTTCATTTGTTCTTCATCTACGAGGCAATTATAACAAGAATATTGTTCTTTTTGACTATAATTCAACTACAACATCAACAACATCTTTCCTCCTGTTTACAAACCCGAGTAGTTAACTAAGACTAACTACTACAACTATTAAAAAAGGCAGGTAACTAAGAGTAACTACTACAACTATTAAAGGCACATGGCCTCTACTTCCTCGTCGTCCACGTCCTCTACGTCCACCTGGTTTAGCGCTACTTTGACGTCCACCATGTTGCCTTTCTCCACTTTCTCCACTTCTTCTTTTCGTCGCACCTGCTTTTGGGTCGTCGTCTTTATGCGTTTGGAGGTCCTTTGTGTCCGTAGCAGTGCTACCTTCTATGGAGATGAAGCGGACAGGATTGACGACCACCTCACAGAAGCGGAACAGGAAAGACAAATGTATCCTGGTCGAGCTTCAGCTGCCTTGTTTAGTGGAGGAGAATTTCCAGGAGCTTCGACTGAAGAAGGTGGTAGAGAGGGGAGACAACCAAGTATCCGTTTGCTGTATCAGCAACCTCCGGTAGGTACTGTAGTGCCTCGGCTGACGCTTCCGCCGGCTGCCTGCGCTGTTGAGGATGGACCACATGTTGTCACTGTTCACGGGAAACCAGATAAGATTATGAAAAACGGGTTATCTTAGATGTTCATGTTTAAAAGTTCTTCAGGATAATTTTTCTTGGATGTTCTAATCCTCGATCAAGAAGTTGCAATCCGGCTTTGAAGGAAGCACTCAGTCGCAGCATTAGTGATGAGAAATGGCAAGAACTCGAAGACGAACGCAGTGGCACTGCAAGGACAACTCGCAGACGTCTTAACGGAACTGAAGAAGCGTCGGTTCCTGCGCAGAAGGAAACTTCTTCTTCGCTTGTGGAGGACACAGCAAATGTTGTACGTGGTCCAACTCGTTTAGGCACCCCGTTCGTTCGCGTGGGAGATGAGTGGGTCTTGTCAGGTGATCCTTATGCGGCGGCAGACTCGAGGGGGTGGAGAGGTGCTGAGAATGATAGGGTTTCTGGCCACTACACCAATCCTGCATCATCCCCGCAGGCTTCTCCACGTGGTACCCTTCACATGTCGGCCGTTCTTGGTACAGTACTGTCGGAAATAGAAAAAGATGGACAACAGAAAGCTGCTGCCACACAGGAAACAGGTGGACTCGAAGGTGGAGAGGATGATATGGAGGAGGGCAGTACACAAGGTACTAAAAAACTGCCGACTTTGAGGAAGAGGACTCGGACTGACTCTCAGAGCACTCTATCTTATGGCAAGGACTTAGCCTGATTATCTTCTGGTTCGGTGAGAGTGGTTTCGCCTTGACAACAATAATGTACACCCTAGTAGTACTGGTCGCATTGCTCATCATGCTTAGAAATATCTAGGAGCTCCAGCTGTTGCCACTAGCTCCCGTGAATCAAGCGACGAAGCCTCCACTACTCTGTACCACCTCTATTCCTCCACCATGAAACCTGCATCTACCACTACCACCTCTAATCCACCACCATGACGCCTGCATCTAGCACTCCATGGACGCCAGGATCAATATCCACCCCGCCGATGAATTTGCTGAGGCGATTCGTTTCATCAGAGATGTTTATGACAGGAAAAAGCGTACTCATTCTTAACCTAATTGTACTTCCTACTTTCGTTTTTAGCTAGTTGTACGCTAGTTGTAACCTTAACCTTAACCTCATGGATGCTAGTTGTAACCTTAACCTCAACCTTAACCTCATGGATGCTAGTTGTAACCTTGACCTTAACCTTATAGACTGATCCTTAATCATACTAGTTGTACTTTCCTACGTAAATCCTGCTCTCTAATTTCTTGGGTAGGAAACTCGCTAGGATACTATGAGTATAGAGTGCTTGCATTTTTCTGAAACGGAGCATGCTAACTATGAGTACAACACGTTTTCCACCTTTCATTATACTCGAGGATGGCGACCCTCTACCGACTGCGTCTGTTGTAGTCGTGGACCAGCAAGATAAAGTAATCAGGGACGGACAAGAACATGGGGCGGTTGTCGTGCTAACCTTTACGCATAGTGCGCAGAGTAAAGCGGAAAAACTAAAAGCAACATCTTCTCCTCCAGGCTGCGAGGCAGGAAACAACTCGTGCGACGAGAAGGATGGGATGGTACTGCAAAATGATAGCAATGAATCGATTAAAGGAAGACCTTGAGAAAAGATACAGAGGGCAAATGACCTCAAGTAAGTTTCACATTATGCTGTGCTTGGAGTAATAAAAATCCACCATATAATAGTTACTATAAGCATATATTTTCTACACTAGCTACAATAAAATCAAAATTCAAAAGGTTGTTGTTCGGCTTACGTCTCGCAATGTCGATGATTCATCTGTGCGTGATCAAATCTCTAGCGCTCACCGTGTTGTCGTCGTGGTTCCTTCTACCGCTTCGCTTCGAGATGCCTGCTATGAGTCGTTGCGGCCTCTCTTTGCCCCTAATCCGCTGCCAGCAGAAACGGCAGAGCAAGTGTGTCTGAGAGAGCTAGACATGGTGAAACAGTTAAGGGGTCTAAAGATAATTCTTCCTTAATTCAAATCATCTTCACTGGAGGTATACAGGTTACTCATTATAATTCATTACATTAGTCTGAGTGAAGCTGTCGTCCCTGGGCAATCTGAGACTGACCATGAAGGTAGACAAGAAGATGAATTTTTAGACTTAGAGCTCTAACACAGACTTTGACACAACTGGATCAGAGCAACTCCATTATTGTATCAGAGGAGCGCTTTCTGGAGCTCGCTTCGTACACTGCGTTCGAGTCTGTGGTGTCGAGCACGGTTGCCTCGCTTCGGGAGGCGTTGGAAAACTTGCATGTTTCTTTTATGGTTTCCCTTTTTTATTTCAACATCTCTCTTAAGAAGAATCAATCTTTTTAAAGAGTGACTGGTCACGTTCTACTTATGCTTATTGATTGTACAGCGAAGTAAGACAGTCGTGATAGATTGATGAATCTACTGATTCTTTTGCAGTAGTGACGCAAATAACTGTTCTAACGAATATCGTGCGTAAGCAGGGGTGCAGGTGTGCGAAGGCAGACTTTTGGAGTATGCGACTTTTGTGGATGGAAGATAGGAGATCGTACCATAGGTTTAGATTCTTGCATGATGATGTTAGAAGAGGTTCGGATTATAGAATTACATGCATAACAGGAAAGTTGTTCACGATTTGATGTACTAAAGATGTGTTGTTCGTTGTCCTCATGGAGGTGAACGTGTAGTGCTAGTCATCCGGTTAAGTCTAATTTTTTCAAAGTGAAACTACCAGAAAACTGGTGGTGGTATTCGCGCCTTCTTTGGTGCTACGAACTTACTTTTTCAGAGAAGCATATAATGATTATAGGATAATCTTCATCTTCGTAAGAACAGAGAGGTGTACTAGCGTATTTAGCTGTTGCTGTCGTATCATATTTTCCATAGGGGTATATTTTTCTGGAATTGTAGTTGTATTACACTGAGCTATGAACATTATGTTCATGCAAATGCATTAGATTTTCCACGATAGGTCTAGGACTATCCACTGCGTACTAGAACAAGAATTGGAGGAAGAAGACACTGAACGAAGATGGGTGTGATGTTACTAGACGTCGAAAGCAGAAGTGGTCCCCCGCTGGCTGCTCGAGCCATGACCACTGCAACTGGTCTAGTTGCACACGCCTGGAAGACCGAAATAGCTCGTCATTTAAGCAGCCAATTAGTTTTAGGAGTCTAGATTTAGTATCCAGAACAAAGGCATGGGCAACACCAACAGAGATGAGGAGGCTAGAAGATGAGATGAAGGGGATCAATTAGTATCAACAGGTGCAGAGGCGAGGAGGCTATAAGATGAGATGAAGGGGATCAATTAGTATCAACAGGAGCAGAGCGATGAATGTGTCATTATAAGCGATGAATGTTGAAAGAAAACTATTGCTGAGCAGCGTGTTTCACCACGGTATTGAAGTTTATAACAGCTAAAGGAGTTTTCAGCATCATAAACTTCTAATGGTAGGCTTATGCCTAGAACAAAGGTAAACAGCCTTTTCATGAGTTTCATAATCGATTTGTGTAGAAACTGTGAAGGTGTTGCAAGCTGTTGTAAGTGGTATCCTCAAAAACCCTCAGATTATTTTCATAGGAGAAATCTACCCGCCTGGCATGATACATCTTGAGGACGTTTTGCCTTTGCGACACAAGCTCAAGATGTTGTCTAGTATGATTGGATCTTCCCTTATTTGTGTATGTTATCTTGTGAATGTGAAGGTGGATTAGGGAGATTTGTACACATGTATTTGTGTATGTGAAGGTGGACTAGTGAGACATGCGAATTAAGAACGTGTGATCTACTCTTGCCTGTGAGAGATAGGTTTCAAGGTTTATGCAGTCGTTGAAAATAGAGCTTGATGTGTACTTAAGCACGGATCACGACTGCACCTGCACCAGCTACATGAGTTCTACGAAGGCATTTAGATTTACATCACCTGGTGCGATGTTTTCGACTTGTATTTCACAGTGGTATCTATTACTTTTTAAGAGTTCTTATGTTCTCCCATACTTTCATTAAGGTGCTTGCAAGAACAACATTCATTGATTTGGTTGAATATTTCTGCGAAGTGTAACCAAAACAGTACATGCACATTTGTTTTGATGAGTTGGCAGCCAAATGTTGGCTTGCAATGCTTGATTACAATTTACACATGATGTGGATTTGTTTTGACGAGAACTAGAAGAACTTCGACGATGAAATCTCAGTGCAACACACGGTTCCGTTCGTTCTTTCCACGTAGAGGAAATGTCGATTTGGATTCGTACGCGTTGTACTGAAATGTGAGACCACTGGTTACGTGTTGAGTGGATGAAAACAGGTAAGCGCAAATAAGACACGAGAGCAGACTGGCTTCTGAATGAGACATGTTAGCTGCATGATGCTGAGTGCCCAACGAGATGAGCGATGCAAATAGCAGTGTCCTCTATTCTTGAAATATTTATACTACTTAAGCACGTGGTGTTGAACTTGAAAAGAAAGTTGGTGACGTTGCCCATACGATTTTCCCTCTACTTTTTCAAACTCTACTCAATGCTGATCGAATTTTCACATTAAATCGTAAAGACTAATTCTTTCATTTCTCCCGTTGTTGCATGAACTTCAACGGAACTACTCGTACTCGTCCTCGTCAAGCACCAGTAAGTGTAAGAAGTGAAGAATTATGGCGGGAATCAGCCGTAGCTTGGTGGCTCGACGCAGAAGACGTCCTCGAGAGGCCGCTCATGAGGACGATGATAAGACACGACATTCTAGTGCTAGAAGAAGAAAGGTGATCCACCTTCGAGTAAGAGGTCGAGGAAAGCGTTCTTGGTTTGCTACGTGTGCAGTGTCGTTTCTCCAATACCAATGTGGTAACGTGCCTTGCACCATGTGGCAACAGGGTGCCGAAGCGGCTCCAGCGCCGCCACAGCCAACGCCTGAGCGGACACAGCTGCAGCATCCCTGCAGTCGAGTTGTGTCGCGTCGCGTGCGGTTTGAAATCGAGAAACAGATTCTTCAGGTAAGTACTCATCTACGACTACAATGTGGATTTTGGTAGTCAGTATAAAACCTCCTATGTATTTTGTAAAGTACCCCGTCTGCACACAAGTACGCAGATAAGCTGTTGGTCCTTATAAATATATATTTATATTTATAATGATACCAAGCAATTTATCAATCTCAGCCCGCCCTGAAAGCCGGTTACACCTTCCCAGCCAGCTGCGCTTTCATGAACGACCTTTATTCGGAGCAAGAGAAGTTCAAAAAAAGACTCCGAACTGCTGGGAAAGCGCCATATGCAAATTGGGAGTGCTTGATTTGTGGGAAAAAGTTTAGGTCGGAGCATTACATAGACCTCCACATGGAGAGGGTGCATATGGAGGAATTTGCTACCAGGAATTCTACAACGAATGTCGGAGCAGGGGTTAAGGTGGCTAAAGGTGGTATGAAGAAATAATTGTAGTTTGGTGATTTTGATTTAATCCGTTGTTTCATTTCGAAATGAAGAGATTGAGATTCACATTTTTTTAATTGAACTCCGTACCGAGGAAGTTTTGCTTGTAGTACTCACTAGATGCATTATTTCTTTGTAGTTGTTAGCCTCCCCACCCAGACAGACATGTTGCTTTTATATTCTCACTGCTGTTGCCGGGTCCGCGAGGAGCTGTAGCGCGGATTACTGCGACCTCTTCGAGATCTGCCCACCAGATCACAAGAAAACTTGGAACGCGGAAAACTTGCTAAAGATAGCATCGACGCCGAGCAGTTCGTCATCTTCGTCGAGTTATGATTTAGTATCTCTGTGGTCGTTCAACTTCAATCACTCACGACAGTGAGAGTAGAAGTTCGATGACGACGATGCCTATGTAGTTTTCTTTTGCTAGATCCTAAAAATGACTCTAATTTCCTTCGGCCGGAACAACTGGAGCAGCAGACGCCAAAAGCCTTGCAGAAGGAGGCGACGCCAAGACGGAAGATGACAAGCACAAATGCATGCATCTCGCTGCCGCTCGACAACAGTGTGAAGACACCTTGTTGCAGTGCTTTCCTGTTGCTGGTGTAGACGCAGTCTTCAGAAAAATGAGCGTCGAGTTGCGCAGAAAGCTGTGCGCGCCGATCGATTGCCATGCGCGGTCACACAAGAAAGAAGAAGAAATAAGGCTCAAATTGGATGGGGACGATAATTCATTTTCATTTTGATTTTTTTAGTGAATCGAACCAGTAAGAACTAAGTTCCTCTCATTACAGTTTTTTGTCCCACTTGTCCTTACCCTTAAAAACCATGTTGTATATACTCTAACAAAGGCATCGCGAACCAGCGGGTGGCTGCTGATGTTGGGCCTCGTCTTTGCGGTTTTGGGTAATATCGGCTTTACACTTTAATTCGACGCAGTTGAAACTATCATTGCGGTTTTTGTAATATCGGCTTTACCTTTAATTATACGCAGTTGAAACTATCGTTGCGGTTGTGGATAATATCGGCTTTACTTTTAATTATAATATATGCAGTTGAAGAAGTCGTTAGGGAAATCTTAGGCAGATTGCCAAAGGGATTCGCGCCATCATAAACAGTTGAAGAAACTAGGACAATGCTGGAGTAGGATTGCGTCACCAAATGCGCACTACATCAACACTCCTCAAGAACTATCCTCTCAGGCACATCAGTCAATCAATCAATCTACACAACGAACACTAGGTCTATTCGTCCTGATGTTTTCGGCAGTTGAGAATGCGGATCTGATCGCTAGTTTCTTTGCTAATATCGGGCTTCTTGACCTGGCCAGACGCGTTTTGCAAAGCCAGAAAAAAGCACAGGAAGTGTCGGGACGGAGAGGATCGAAATATATCTGATGTTATTATTGATGTTCTTTGTTTACTTGAAGATGTTAGCTCCAGTTCCTGAGAAGCTTCATCTTGATACGACTTAGTTGAATCTTGGCTGTTTTTCCTTTTGGGCACAGAGCGAGGGAGGGACACGATTCGCGTCAGTCTCTTCACACGCTCTCGCTTCTGAACTTCACCTCCGACATGTACTTCACGCTAAGAAAATTACAACTACCTGGAAGGGCAGCACACTTCCTACTTCTCTTTCAACATGTCTCTGGGACTCTCTTCTCCGAGAAGACCGACTTGAATTTTTTGATGACTTCCAACCATCTGCCACGCATACACAGGCGATTGATGGCCTTGCGTCTTCTGCCTGACCTGCGCTACTCAAAATTTTTAGTCTTGATGCCAAAGAAAAGCAAAGGAGCGAAAGATCCTATTGTGCGAAAAAAGAAGTGTTGATGCTCCTCGTACCTTCTCCGGATAGACTCGTCCATTGTAGGCGAAGATGGAGACTCCAGCTTCGCCTACGAACCCTATAAACACAAAAAAAACAAGCGTTGCTATGTTTCAGTATCGATCCAAATAGCAGGACAATTTTTCCTTGTGCGCGCCCTACCCCCATAAGTGAGACAAACGCCCCATTGATCGTCGACTTTTCCATCCTACTGGTCGATGGTAGAATAATTCTTAGTTTTTCGTTTTCATCAGGAAAGTGCTTCTTGGTTCCCTCCAAAGCCACTGCTATTACGACCATCTAATAAGAATTAACGTTATATGTAAGATTTCTTTCACGACCGAAGGAACAGCAAAACCATGCCGCCATCACGGTCAAGTCGCAACTCCTCCAGCGTGGATGGACGCATTTCGAATACTGCTTATTACGCGAATTATCATGGTCACCAGGTGCAGCATCTGGTTCGGACGAAGACTCTACTGACAGAGCTCTACTGGCCTGAGAGATTAAGGGGGCTGACATCTGCATTCATCTCTCTCCGTATACTCCCACATCACTTTCTTGGACCTCAGCATCATGGGCTTGCAGAATATTGCTCTTTGACTCGCATAGATATCAGCTGGTGGAAGTATTCGCGACAAGAATGAGTTTTGTAGACCTCTAAAGAACCAATCCCGAGAAGATCCTAGACCTGGGGACAAGAAGGGCGGATTCATTTACCTGCTAGGCGACTCAACGTTGGACAACAAGCACTGGCTCTACTCTTATGATTATACTGTGTGGATCAGCTATGAGTAGATCGATATCTTGGTTACCTCTGCGGATGAATACATAGATATCGCGCGGTGCTTCGAACTAATGGCTACCACGACAACAGCGTTTCATTCATTCCGCGCTTCTTTTCCCTCACTGCTCTAAGCCCCCAACGTTTCCATGAAAGACATACCCGACACTCTCGTTCGTGACGGACTGCCAGCTTGTAACGGCTACGAGCAAATTCTCTCAAGGCCTCAGCGATCGATCCCGGATGTTGCTTACTGGCTAAATCGAGCCATTGCGGACTCGAGTCGAGCGTCACCTTCACGTCGTAGTAGTGATAGCTCAGCTCCACTTCCCCACTACATCGCAGTCAATGCTGCAGTAGAAGAGAGTACTTTGGGGCAGAGACGTAGGGGACTTTTGCCACATGACAAGTTTGTCGCAGACGCATTCGGTAAAGAGGATATTCTGCTATTTTCATGTGGGGGAAACGATATTGCGTTGTTAAGAAAGGGTGAGTAAGAGTATTACTATTATCAGAGCTTCCCGCAATCCATCTTCAGAGTCATCCTGGTATTGCTTTTTCCCTTTGGAGATGGATTTCCTGAAGCCTTAAAATTAGCTTATTTGTAGTAGTTTCCGTTTCCCGAAGTCATGAACGCTATACGTATACCACTCAAATGGAAGTCGTTTTATTCCCGCCCTTATAAAAAAGTGCTTTACCTCTAGCCTATTTTACTAAAACGAAGCGGGCCTTCCTCTAAGGGGAGCTCCTGGCTTAAGCACCATTATCAATATCGCATCTGCGGTTTTCTGTGCGAGCCTCTTTGGCAGTCGAGAAGACGGGTACACCCCAGGACTGACGCATTTCGCTGAGCTGTTTGGCAAGCAGACGAAGGATTTCATCCAGAATGTGGTGTGGAGTTCAGTTATGCTTATTTGGTTGCTGTCAGCATCCTTTATTTCCTTTTCTCGACTGTAGTTGTCCGTGGATGTCCCCAGTTCCCACGACTTTTCCAGTTCCTGTAGTTGTCCGTGGATGTCCCCAGTTCCCACGACTTTTTCCAGTTCCTGTAGTTGTCCGTGGATGTCCCCAGTTCCCACGACTTTTCCAGTTCCCACGACTCTAACGCTTGCGGCGAAGGTGGAGGATGCTCCACAATAAAACCGAAATTGATCGTGGTCTGCATGCTTTACTTCCTGGATGAGGACAGTTCACAGTACAGCTGGGCTAACGCAACGTTGAGTTTTCTCCGGTATAATATCGATCCGACCATGCTCCAGAATTTCATACGATACTGCTTCTTATGGTCGTAGTATTTTTTCTTCCTGGACCACGTTCAGATTCTAGACCATGACCCTGATTGAATCATCTGCATTTTCTTGTACTTTCTAGGCTTTAATATGATCATGCCGATCTTGATGTCATCTAATCTCCAAAGAAGGCACGAAGAACATCCGAGTTAACACCAGTAGGGACACTCCGAATGATCCAGCCACAGAAATTCCAGTTCTAGCAGTGCCGTTGTTTGAGACCTTAGATGGTAAAGATACGCGTGACTATGTCGCTCGTGTCGAACCTAGTGTGGCTGGAGGTAAAAAACTAGGCTATGCATTGTGGAAAGTGATACAAGAAAAATTGAAGGAAATTGATGGAGAAACTCCAAACATCAACTGATGAAAAGTTTAAAATGATTTCCGAAATTGAAAGCATGCGCATGTGTTGTTGTTTTCAAGAAACTAAGGCCTACTTTCAACATTGTGATTCCTTTTCCAATAACATGCCGACTTTCATGCAGCCACATCTTTCTGTGTCTGATTGGAGGAAGCGCTGTCTTCGGGTTGGTATGGCTCAGCGTGCTGCGCCACCCGTTGACATTACTACATGCGAACACTAGGACTGCTTATTTTCACCCTCAAGGTGATGCGTTTTCTTATATAATTCCCGGCCTGTTTCAGTTGTGCAAATCGTGAAGGTTTTGCATGATTCTCATGCGGTTGCAAAGTTGTCAAATGTGTGGACCTTCTTGGTCATATGTATCACCCTCAGGATCCACATCATTAGCATGGTACTCCAGTGCTGTGATCTTTGTCACTATGGGACTGCAATGATTTCCATCACGTTCATGCCCTTGATGATCTTCGTACTTATGACCTTACTTACTCGGATCATCGTCCCCATCTTCTTACTTTATACATTTGCGGAACAGGGGAACTGGGTCAGATTTCATGCTGTGAAACAAATCTGCCATATGATATATCGGCGAGAATGTTGTCTCAGTCTTCACGCTGTTTCTCTTCCGAGTTTCGGTTCATTTGGTCGTTCCTTTATTGTTTATCACCTCAATCCAAAGTCCTTTACAAGGTGAAAAAAGTAATGATAGAGGATTGTCTTCTCATGAGATTTTCATCGTCGTGACAAGTACGAACATCGTCGAATTCATCTAGGAAGTTTTTCTATAAGACAGGCTTCTAAAAAGACGAAAGCATTCTTATCTATCATATCCCACTTGGGTACTAGAGTCAACATTTTTCTTGAACGACCTTGAATTGAATTTACGCTAAACACACGAAATATTGTTCCTTGATCATTTTTCTTTGTGTCAATTCCTTCGGTAATTACGTCCACTGCTACCAGGTCTTGTACCATATTAACATGCGGTTTTTATCTCATCCCCAACCCCATCTGATCTCCATTTTCTTCCCCTTTTTTATAAGTGTTTCATTGATCTGTTTTCTCATAGATATTACAGAAAAATGATAGGAATCCAAATCACACCAGTCTGGACATGGGCGTCGAATTCATCTAGGAAGTTTTTCTATAAGACAGGCTTCTAAAAAGACGAAAGCATTCTTATCTATCATATCCCACTTGGGTACTAGAGTCAACATTTTTCTTGAACGACCTTGAATTGAATTTACGCTAAACACACGAAATATTGTTCCTTGATCATTTTTCTTTGTGTCAATTCCTTCGGTAATTACGTCCACTGCTACCAGGTCTTGTACCATATTAACATGCGGTTTTTATCTCATCCCCAACCCCATCTGATCTCCATTTTCTTCCCCTTTTTTATAAGTGTTTCATTGATCTGTTTTCTCATAGATATTACAGAAAAATGATAGGAATCCAAATCACACCAGTCTGGACATGGGCGTCGAATTCATCTAGGAAGTTTTTCTATAAGACAGGCTTCTAAAAAGACGAAAGCATTCTTATCTATCATATCCCACTTGGGTACTAGAGTCAACATTTTTCTTGAACGACCTTGAATTGAATTTACGCTAAACACACGAAATATTGTTCCTTGATCATTTTTCTTTGTGTCAATTCCTTCGGTAATTACGTCCACTGCTACCAGGTCTTGTACCATATTAACATGCGGTTTTTATCTCATCCCCAACCCCATCTGATCTCCATTTTCTTCCCCTTTTTTATAAGTGTTTCATTGATCTGTTTTCTCATAGATATTACAGAAAAATGATAGGAATCCAAATCACACCAGTCTGGACATGGGAGTACCTGGATCTCCTTCCGGGTTTGCTTCTACTGTGCTCCTTCGTCCTGGTCCACATCGCTGGCATCATCATGACGCTGATTGCAGTGAACAATTAAGGCATTATGTTATGCACGAGTACTTTCAATTTGCAGAAGATGAACAAAGGGGAAATGGAAAAACGGTAATATGGACAATTGAGTACTTTCAATTTGCAGAAGATGAACAAAGGGGAAATGGAAAAACGGTAATATGGACAATTCCAATTGATTTCCAAAAAATGAATCAGTGCCACCGTTATAGTTCTAACACATGGAGAAGAAGGACAAGGCAACACATCCGAGTTCTTTTACCGATGGGGCAGCAACCTTTTCAGCGATTATTCTTGGTGGTCCCTCGTCTACAAGCTTATATGCGGAACGCTATCATTTGTGGTTGCTTCGTGCAGGGTCTGCCTGCTGGGAGCCGATTGTCCGAGGTTGTCGCTCTGGAAGCGCCTATTGCTTCCTCGAAATGCGCAGATTTCTGCCTGCTCCGGCTTTTTTGTTAAGAAGTGCATTAGCTGTAGTTGAACACCACCTATTGTTCCGCAAAATCAAATTTTACAGCAAGCCTCTACTACAGCCAGCATTTTATTAAAGTTTTGTTCATCCTGATCCTGATGCTTTTACTAGGAAAGCAATTTTTCTCATTTTTCTCATCTATTCTAGAAAGCGGAGGTGGCCGAGCGATATATTTATAGTATTTGACATGTTCTTGTAGAAGTCATCTTCCTGTGGTCCACTGTTTTCTGTTAAAATTTTATCGTACAACTAGTTCATCCTAAAGATCCGTTTCTAATGTGACACGTGAGCCTGTTTCATCTAGGTCTCAACTGTTATGCATTGGGCAATTTAATGATATGGAATACGGCTATCCTTGCCAATTTTAAACGGGATTGTGGATTGACGATGTGGCATCCCTTTGCTGTTTTCTTTATAGCTGCATTTGCTGTTAAGGCTATAGATAATTCATCTTTGACATACTGGCGCATCCTTGAAAAGTTTTCTTTTCCTTAGAAATACTCTTCAAGTATAGGACGCAGTGAGAACAAGATGAGTTACAGATGAGAGGTCTAATGCTGGCACTCTCGCTTTTCTCGCATTCCCATCTCGCTTTCTGTGCCGTTCTTGCATGCATCGTCGTGACAAACGGTGGGAGCGTGAAGGAAATCAACTGCGAAAATTGAACAAGTTAAGCACTACTAGCACGACTTTTTCAGGTTCAGTCTAGTATTTTTCACAATTACAACATCAACGACAGTTTCAGTAGAGTAAATCGCTTCTCTTCGTACTTCCGAAGATACAAAGTCGTTTATCAATCTCGTCTAAAAGTTATAGACCATCTCCAGCAAAATGGAAACGAGCAATACCAGCTGGAAGGAGCGTTTCCGCAAGCTTGGCAAGAAAATCCTCAGAATCCTTCTCCTGGTGAAAACGATGAAGATTAAGGATTCATCCCCTATAATTAAATTCATCTTGTTCACGAGCATCATCTTGAGAAGCTGCTTTCTCATGGAAAAAATTTCGTAGCATTTCTCGAGATGGACCTCTCGAGATGGACCTCTAGGTCGTGAGCTCTAAGAAGCTGAGGGAGGTCGCAGTTTTTGCTATCGTTATATCTACGGCGTTGGCGCTCTATTCTGGACCGAAAAAGTGGAATATAAAACAGCAGCTACAGAAGTAACGATTCTCGAACCCGAAAATGGCAAGAATCATATTCCGCATCGATTATGGCCAGGAAAAAAGTGGCCAGCTACAACCGCTTTTCATTCTCCCTCCCGTTCCCTCCATTTTGACCTCTTTCTCGTCTGAGCATCATGCCTTTGTGATACTAGGTCTTTTTTGGTATTTCCATACATATTTATAGGTAGTGTTAGAACACGCAGTTACTGCCTCAGCGACTCTCTAAATCAACATGTGAAGCCTCAGGAAATAATGGTCATAAAACCGAGCAGTCCTGGCGATGCGTATCTGATGTCTGCGAGTGGGTACCCTGGTTCCGTCGGCGCTAGTTGTGGCATCTTCGGAGTATTGAGTTAAGCTTATTGACAAGTGATAGCAGGTCTCTATTACTTATATCATAATTTCTTGACCTTCTGCCTCTGGCTTCTTTTGCTGCACTGGTTGTAGGAAATAAGAGGAAGAAGAAGTCAAGAGTGTAGTTGTTGTCCCGAGCATTGGCTGAAATAAGATGTCTATATGACCGCACCACGGTATAATCTATTATCGGAACATCAGGAACGACCTGGTGCTTGTTGTGCTCTATTTACGACATGAGCATGTGAGGACTGAGGCCGCACCTCCTGCTGCTCTAACAGAGTTACTTCGTTTTCTGTGTGTCGTACTACACCCAGCTGAGATTCGCGCTTCAGTTCTACATTGTTAATTCCATCTTCTTCGTGGCGATAAGCCTCTTGCCTGGCATTGACGTGCGTGGTCACATCGGCGGAGCTCTTGCTGGAATAGCTTGCGGCGCGTTCTTTCATCCCAACGCAACCCTGCTGCCAAGCGTGCTCGGCTACTGTTCGCTAATTTTAGGGCTTCTTCCCCTGAGGACGGAGCCATCTTCGGTCGCCTCTTCAGGACGTTTTCCAGAAGAAAACGGCCTGAGGGTGGACTTCGAGATGGACCAGGGTGCGTTCTAATAATTGGTGGGCTCTTCATCTTGCCACTGTTCTTCGTCTTCGTTGTACCAAAGTCGTTGGTTCCTCGTCGCTTGGAATCCAGAATATCTGACGATGAAGAGTACTTCCAGCATCTGTATTGCGGTCATTAAGGTTCATAAGGTTCATCTCAACACTCATCCTACTTCAGGACGACTCCTGTATCAGATACGTCTGAAAGATGAATATCTTCGGGAGGCATTATTTCTAATTCTAAAGTAGACGTAAATACGTCGAAGACCCCGAGGCGACGAAGAAATTGATACAACTGAAGAACAATGTTGAGGTTCCGAAGTCCTCGATTGGACAGGTGCTGGAGCTTGATATACACCCCTAAAGAATTTGGTAACTGTAACCAAAGAGAATTGTTTCAGGTGGCACGCCGACTAGTACAGCACTCACTTCTACTCCAAGTCCAAACTGACTAGTGTAACGCCGACTACAGCACTCACTTCTACGCAGGGTCGTTTATTACTTGGTTTTTACGCAGGGTCGTTTATTATTTTCACAGCACCCACTGTCTTCTACGCAGGACTAGTGTTAGTCTCATCATGATTAAAAATCACCGTCTAGTCCAAACACATTATTTGAGTGACTGTCGAATAGGGTATTCTTATTCCGGCTTGTCGTTGGAGTCAAACACGCAGCTTATCAACTTGGAAGTTCGAGGAAAATTCGGAGTCATCTTCTGAAGACATGTTCTGAAGACAAGAGGTGATAGAGGAGAAAAAGTAAAAAAACAGCAGGGAAGGCTGTAAATTAACACATGCACACCCGTAGACAATAATCTACTGGGTAAATCATCATCATCATCATACTTATGCGGTTCTGTGAACCCGCGCTAGCTCTTGTACAAGGCAGGCCACGTCCCGGCTCTTCTCTTGGTCTGTAGGTTCGGGCCACGTTCCCGATTCAAGTCACGCAAGTAAATGTTGGTGCAGTTGTAGACAAGTAGGCAAAAAAAAAATACTTAGACTGTTGTGATTGAAGATATGAGTCAGAGAAACGATGCGCCGCGTCGTTCGGTAGTCGTCGCAATAAGTGCGAGAGTGTGCTATTGCTATTGCTAGTTCGTCAACTGTTGTAAAAAGCGAGTCCGAGTGTGAATAGTAGGAGTGAAATGAGACGCAGAGCCAGAGAAAAGTATTTGTAGTGAGTACACGTGCGACGATGAGTATATGTGAAGAAAGGAGTGAAACTCCTTACAACAGTAGTACCAACTGCAGTGTCCCCTGGAGTCTACTGGTAGCGAGACGGGAGTTCTCACTAATTCAAGGATAGCACATACACACCATGCAATGAGCACTTTCCCAAGGTCATGGACAAAACCATGTCTACGTTTTTGTCTGTTCATTTTCAGTCCACCCTTGTGCCCGTTATTCTGGGTAAGACTTGCTCGTCGCTTAAGTACTTCTAATGGCCTTGTTCTACAGTAGTTTTTGCTTTAGTTAAGTACCTGATTCTAACTACGTAGTTGTCTCACAACAAACGTCTCAAAATCAACAACTACAACTTTTACAAGAACTTGAAACAGGATGAGTGGCTACGAGGAATTCGACTTTCCTATGGCAGGAACCTGCTGTCTAGCAGTGTTCGTTACGTCGATTGTCCTCTTCGCTTGCAGTTTCGATGTTTTGGAGCCGCGCTACTACGGTTTGGTGTATGACGATACGTTTAAGTTATGAGGAAAGGGGTTATTTTCTCTCTACTGCATGGATTAGATAGACGTTGCTCTCAAAATCCGTGATTGTACTTGAAGTACAATTATCTATCACCTTTCCTTTTACGTTGTCTACAAAATGATACAGGTATTTATTTCAAATTTTCGCTCCACCTTTGCGTCGCTTCCATCAACCCCCTCTAACGGCAACTGTGAGTAGCACTGACGTAAGGAGAGACGCCCAGGATGATAGCGGCCGATTCCTAATCGGCCTTGGGAGTTAAGGCAACTGCCCCAACGGCATCCCCCTATAGCATAAGTAACCTATTCTCCACCTAAGCCAAGGACGAGAATAGGTCACACATTGGAAGTTGTTTCTTCTACCAAGCACGTTACTTCTACCTCCTAGGCTACCTGTCTCCAAGCTCTAAACAACGAGTGTCTTATCCTACCCATTGAGTCTTGTTGTGATGTCATGGATGCCAGGTGGGGAGGACGGCGGTTCTATGAGCGTATGGACCAGTAATGGACAGAGCGTTTTTTTGGACGTATTTTTACATAGTCCTCCTCTTTTGACATAGATGAAGCTTCTTATAAATGTACAGGCTGTAGTTGTAAAAAAAATGTAAATTTTTTGTCGTACGAGATTCTTCACATTGAGCAAAAATTGCTTTTGATGCTTTCATCGTCCTTGAAGATGTAATCGAGGTTGCGCCGGGGGTAGGCAATGCTATGGTTCATAATTATCCCAACTAAACTGAACATTCACAACAATTTAGCTGGTCTCCTTCTATTGCTAGTACAATAGTTAAGGATTTCCGAATTGCATTTCTCACTAGTGCCAATCCACGTCACATCTCATGACTCCGACGCACGTAGTTGAATGGGAGGCAGCATGTAGTCCTATGGAAAAAAAAAATATAGAGGAGGAAGGTGAGGCGGACAAGGAAAAAGCAAGCAGATGCTAGAGTGAAAAGGAAATGGCGACTGCGTTTTGAGCTGAAGCACAAGAACAAGCAGAAAAATAGCTTTTTAAATTGTTAGGCCGGCACTTATTGCCAACAGCAAAACATTCATCAGGCCGATTCACTACACTGCTAAGTCCCACAAGATTTCGTAAATTGGTTGAATAGAATGCACCTTTTTAATTAACCTAATTAAGAAAACAAGATATCAAGCGGTCGCAGCAACTGCTTTAATTCAGTTTTTACTGAAAGAAAAATTAGTCTTAGTGAGGCCTGCTCACATGATCTTCGCTGTTGATAGCCTTGTTAATTATTTAATCTCCTGGTTGTTTAGGCTCTTCTCCAGTAAGTCACTTTTCGATGGGCAGGCATGTCATACCCTTGCAGGTTGTAACACTTGCTTTCAGGGCCCTACACTGTTAGGTTGTGCCTTAGTTGTTCTACAGGGGCTATTGTAATATAGTTCCCTCCGATAGTCGTAGGTTTTGGCCGTTGTGATACGGTCTTCTTGCTCCCCCGGTATGTAAGTTTTGTAAATGGATTGTTTAAGTAGTTGAATGGGAGGCGGCATGTAGTCCTATGGAAAAAAAAAAAAAAAAAAGTCCAGGCTTGATTGAGGCTCTTGAACTTGAACTTGAACCACGACCTGGCCCTTTTTGTAAAGTTTTTTTCCATAGGACTACATGCTGCCTCCCATTCAACTACTTAAATAACCCCATTTGAAAACTTACATACCGGGGGAGCAAGAAAACCGTATCACAACGGCCAAAGACTACAACTATCGGAGAGAACTATATTACAACTACACTGCTAAACGAACCACCTCAGATATCCTTGCAGATCCGACTTATCAAGGACAAACTTCCGCATCTCTACTATTCATGGGGGTTGCAGTGGCGCGACTGGCTAAGAATGATCGTCGAGAAAAGGATAAAAGAAATTTCAGTGACCTTTCATACACTGGATTTCTTCGAGAAGAGGTACTAGTAGTTGTTCTTCCGCAATCTTTTACTTAGTAGGTTTGTTCTCACAGATTTGTAACGCATGGACGATGAAAACAGGTTCTTTTCGTTTCTGGTGCAGGATAGTTTTATTTTGTCACAGAAGGAATCGATGCGTGTTTGATGAAAGAATCTCTTCATATAAGACACATTAACTGTGTCCTCTGTATGATGTTTCCACATGATCAACACAGAATCGTCCTGGCAAACAAGCTTAGAACGGAAGTGACGCAGATTTTTGCAGGTGAAGGCGACGGACATTTCACTATGGTGGATTTTCAACTAAGAAAAGTCGGCCTACCTGCGGAATTTGATGCTGTGGTGATAGAAAAGTTACTCAAGAAACAGCAGAGACAGAAGGCAAGGAATAGACAAGAGGTAGTTCTTCTACTTTTTTGTAGACATCAAGGTCCTCATGAGGAATACAACCCTCATGATCAATATCGATCGGACCCAGACGGCCGCTGAGTTCATTGTAGGGCATGTTGGGTGTTCCGCAGCGATCCCAGCGACCCGGTCGTGGGGGCTGATGCTTGGGCCCCTACCAGCTGGCCGCGACAACCTGATGAATTTCATCTCTTCAGGTAGCCGTCCGGCAAGCCCAGAAGAATTTGAAATTGGCTCTGGCGGATTATGACGCGGACCTAGTTCTCGAGATGGCGAGACAGGAAGGTAGTGTACGGGTAGCGAAGGAGGAGACAGACGGAGAAGCAGCGTTGACTAGAAATTATGGAAGAGATACTTACAACCGAAATTACAGAAGAGGAAAAAATGAGCACCATATTAAGGTGGTCTAAAATGATCTGATAGAAATTTTGATACTATGTATAATTTGCGCCAGCGCCTCTGCACAAGAAAGTAAAGTCTGAACAAAGAAGAGAGAACGCCCTGTGATCATGTGTCGAAAGCGCAAGAAAGGACGGCGATCATGTGATAAATATCCATCCTCCTGACTTTACTCAAGCCGCCCATCCTGCTCGGAGTCGAGCTAGGAGTCCGGGGGGCTCAATCTGAAGGATCCCCAACCTAACCTAACCTTATTTCGTGTTTTCCTTTCTTTGAGAGTATTGTCCCCTGCTCCTCCTTCTCTAATTTTCCCTCATAGAAGATCCTAGGTTAGTCGCCCCTCCAACCAAAGTACCGCCCCCCCCTCCTTCTCTAACACCAATACGCCGAAGTGTACCGAGAATTTGCAGACCAGTTGTCCTGGCTGAATACTACGGGCATGGGGTACGATGCTCTCCATTTTTACATCTACAGCCGGTTGGGCAGAGATCATCGCAGTGCGCAAACACAAGAACTTATTGGGTTTGGATAGGGTGACTGGCTGGTGCTGATGGGGGTGGTTGGTGGTACGGCGTGGGAGCTGAGGGGAAGTGATGTAGGAGGTACGGGGGGAGATCATGAAAGAATATTATCATTCTGATGAACTTGATGTGTTGAAACAATTCTCCATGAACTTGAACACCAAACTATGTTGAAGATGATATGGTAAAGAGCTCAAAATACGACCTATCTGATTCTCTCAGCCTCATGCTTTTTCCCACGATTCGTTTGATGTGCCCCGCATGTAATCGCGACACCAAGACCTCATCGTTAGCCGTTTGGATTTTCATGCGAGCTTCCAGGATGTTCACCATCGAAGTACTACAGGTTCCTCTGACGTTGCTCCCTGTTCAGTGCAATTTCTCGTCTCACGCGCATGGTCAAAAAGGGCGCTGCTAGAGTTGTATCACGCCAGTTATTTTTTTCCTCAGCCGGACGAGACTCAGCACGGTGTATCTCCACGATCTGCGTCTGCTGAGGATACTCAATTAGCGCATATAGTGGAAATAGCGCATCAAGTTCAAGAACTGTCGACCAGATGGAATGATTATCCTGCTGACTTGCTCATACTCAATTAACTCGCTCTTGGCTTCGCTCCCATTTTGCCAAAGCCCTGCGCCTTCTTTCCCATGCCGTAGCCCTTCACGTTTGCTGTGGCTGTCGCCCCTTTTGTTCCACTTCGCTGCCTTCATGTCATTGCTTGCGTTCACCTTCCTTGCCTCCACTCCCTTGCCTCCATTTGCTTGTCTACACCTCCCTGCTTCCACCTCCCTCCCTGCCCCCACCTCCTCGCCCTCACCTCCCTGCCCTCACCTCCCTGCCCTCACCTCCCTGCCCTCACCTCCCTGCCCTCACCTCCCTGCCCTCACCTCCCTGCCCTCGCCTCCCTGCCCTCACCTCCCTGCCCTCACCTCCTCTCCCCCACCTCCTTATTCCCACCTCCTTATTCCCACCTCCCTGCCCTCACCTCCTTGTTCCCACCGCCACCTTATCCCCACCTTCTCCCTCTACTGAAGAACGGTCCCCTTCGGAAATTGGTTTCTGAACAGAGTCCCTACTGTCGACTTCGACAAGACAGAGATATCTTCTCAGGACGAGTCTAGCAAGTGCGAACAATAGACACGACAATTTACACAAACGTCGTCAGTAGTACGAACAATAGACACGACCGCACAAAAAGAAAACCACCAGCGCATAGACTCAAGGACGGGAGACAAATTAAGCATAATGATAGATGAGTATTAGTTCCTGACGAATGCTTTCGGAAGTTGGCCTTGGTGAGCTAGCACCCATAAGCAAGGCCAACTATGCCGTTCCGATCTCATTGCGAGCACCTACCTTTCTCCTCTTCTCAGGTAGGACCTTACGTGGCTGAAGTCAGGAAGTTTTACTACGAGCGCTCTAATTATAATCAATTAACCAAACCCTTCATGAGTAACTTAGTTATGAAGCTATTCTTAGCAATTAGTTGACCTTTTTACCTTCTTAGACTATAGTATACTTCAACATCATACCAATACACCTCCAATCAAAATATAGGACAACTCCACACACACACAAACCAAAAATGACGTCCAGACGCATACTGCAGCAATGTCCTGTTTTCGGGATTGTTTCGTCTCATGTGGAACTTTTTTGACTATCTAAGGTTTACCCGCTTATTTAATGACTAACTAATGAAAGCACCTACAATCTAAATAATTCGTCACCCTTCTTATTTCTTGCTTTTCCGACAACACCTTTAGGGAATGAAAACACACATTCATAAAAATGTCCTCTCGCAGACGCAGCAGAAGGAGAGGAGCATTGAGTTATCAAAAGATACAAAATATCTTTCGTTTTTTGTTAGTTAGAAAGATCGTCACTACTCGCATTCTAAGTCTCTCGAGATTATTTCTTGCTTTTTCTACCACTACAACAACTCCTGCAGTGCGCAGCACCAGCGTAGTGGCCACGTAGTGTTAGTGACGGCGTGGCAGACGCATTCACTTTGCCTCATTTTACCTCCGTCACCCGTCACTCTGTCAATGGCTGCACTTCCTCAAGGAATAATGTTCCAATGCTTGTTTTTGTCCGAGAAGTAAGGACAAGGCATAAAAGTTTATTCTTATAATATTTATACAAGACGTCATTGAGATGAGTCTCTCGGTCTTTTGAAACGAAATAACAAAGATACTGTTATTACCAAGTCGGTTCCTTCTACCTCATGAAGCGTCCCTCGCCCCACCCGACTCTCAAAAAATACTTCAGTGCTTTCCATTCTAATGAGCTAAATAAGTAGACTAAAGTCTTAAAAATGCAGTTTCCTCTCTCGCAGACCTAGCAATTTGCTCTGTCGTTGCGTGGACATGAACTGGCCCGAGGACAAGTATAAAGGGAGAGCTAGGACATCCCCAACAATCTTATATTTATACAAGACGTCATCTCCTCGTGCCACGCACGGATTGTTATCAGGAATTGGCCTGGATGTTAGTGTAGGCAGTGGGCACCTGCTTGAGCTCCGCTTGAGTAGAAGCAGCCCCCTGTACTTTTGCTTATCTCAAGGTTTGTCATGAGCTGCCTGCATCTTTGCAATACTTTCTGACCACGTCTCTTCTACGGCCAGCATGAACGATGGCAACAGGGGCAATAGCATGCACCTCTACGTCTACCAACCTCTTCGTTCGCTCAGCTTCTGCCCCATTTATTACGTTTTATCCAACTGGCGTTGGCCTCCGTGGTCTTCACCTTGCTATCCTGCTGTACTGTAACTACGTGGTCCACCCATCCTCTTGAGAGCGAGCACTTGTCGAGCAGCCTCTCGGTTCTTTATACCAAAATAGAGAACGAAGAAGAACCGAGAGCGATGCGAAATGATCACTTTTATTATACATCTGGAGACTGTCATCTTTTTCTCGTAGAAGTAGATGTAAAGGAGAAGCAGACGTGGTCTTACCCATCTTACCTTCTAAGATTATGTGCGTGGATGTTAAGGTTAACAGTAGCACGAATTAGATGGTGTCCTTTTCTGTGGTTGTGGGTGTATTTGGTGAACCGGTACCCCATTGCGAGTAAACCTGTGCACACAGCCATAGAACTGAGCACTCACCGGAGGCGTTGCGCAGGGCTCTCCGGCCTGCCTTCGAAGGTGAGACCTCTGGGGCTGACAGGACCACGACAGCGCCGGCGCTTATTTCGTAGTAGATAAGTACTTGCTTGACTTTTATTTTTTCGGTTTTTGTCTTTTCTACTTAGGTATGCTCCACCAACATTATAGCCATACACGTACAAAACAACAAATTATTTGCATCAAGATTGGCGACCATAGACATGATTTATTCTACGTCAAAGAATTGAAGCTTGTTAATGGTATTTGGAATATAGCTGCAGCTCTTCATTTCAATAGATTGAGGAGCAGCTGCTTACCTGCTCTTCTACTCATCTCAACCGTGGTGCTGTATGTTGGTCCCTTTGTGTTCCGCGGTCATGGTCCTGCACATCTTCACAGGACTAAACATCCCGTCTGATTTTTGACTGGACAGTGGATCAAAAAGAACTCTTCTCATTGACTGGAAATGTCATTCTACTTTCTATACGTCTACTACAACTCTTACTCTGTGTGATTTAAATTTTCCGTGTGAAGACGAGGGAGGTGGACGTCAAGAATCTACGTCACTCTACTGTTTCTACTGTGTTGTATGACTTCTATTTATTTTCAATCGACGTCGTGAATTCATCATTTAGAAGTCTGTGTAATTATCTATTCTGTGCGGTAAAAGTGGAATACTATTTATTAGATCATAAAACCTACGAAGGAGATCAATACTCCATCAAGATTTATTCTGTGCCTCCGGGAGAAGAGCGCCGGTATGTAATGGTAAGAGCACCCGAGAAGAGGACGGGCATGCTCCCCCAGTATGTAATTGTTTAAGTGTATAATAGTAGTGTTTCATTGTTTAAAAGGTCGGTGGCATATAATAGCCCTAAGTAACTCAAAAAAAAAGCCGGTCTGAGGTCTGGGGCGACATGCAGGAAGACGCGCCATTACCGTTACCATTCGTTTTCAGTGAGTGTATAGTTTTTGAGAAATACTTCTTTTTATCCAACAAGAATAAGTTTTTATCACCTATGAATATGATAATTGTTGACCACAATTATTCTGAGAGAAAGGTGTTGGACAGTCAACCTGTCCCCTTTCTCTTGTAGGTTAAGTGTACACTTCTAATATTACTCCCCAATTTCGCTTCTAATATTACTCCCCTTACCTCACCCGCGGGTGACGGAGGGGCAAAGCTTTTGGATGCGCTGTGTGAGTGCGGTAAGGTGAATGAGTGAATGAATGAATGAATTTCAAAAAAATTAGCTCAAAGAGCTGTATAGGCGGGTGGTGTCGTGGGTGGCTCCCCAACCACCTCCAAACCAACCCAGTAGTGTGATCGTTAAGATTAGTCTTCAAGGTAGCTGGGGATGTTTCTACTAGTTTCGCGTCGAAGATCTAGAGTCTCATCAGCTGTATTACACAAGTCATCTTTTAAAAGATAAGCTTCTAGTCGGTACAGCTGGACTTAAACGTTCGTTATAATCTAACTATTAAGAATTTTTCTTGTGATCAGAAGCAATTTGTACTTGTAGTCTAAGAAGCCTACGTCGAAACCTTCATCAAAAATTTCCTTCTTTTTCGAACATCAACTACATCAAAAATTATAACCTTAATATCAATCTGGTAAAAAAGCCTAACCATGGCTTATCTTTAGGGAGTTTGGGCTTTCAGTGCGTGGCTGTGAACTTCTATGAATTACTATAATCAATGAAGACTCCTGATGTTGAGGCTGAGGAAAAGAAGCACAACTACAAGTTGATGGCGCCTCTTGCCTATACGCTCACCCCTTCAACACAGGTGAGCCAACTCCTATCCTATCCTAGGAAGAAGATGAAGAACAACTAGGAAGAAGATGAAGAACAACTAGGAAGAAGATCATCGAGTGGTTGATCCACATTGTCCTCTCTCGAGAGCTTCTTCAAGGGTCACAGGTGTCGTGGGGTGTGATCCGAGTGTGCTTCCGCACCAGATCCGAAGTGCTGGTAGTAGTGCCCGAAGCTGTAGTAGGTGCGGACAAGTCTCAGGACCAGGAACGAGACGAGCTCTTCTTGGAGGCTCGTCGAGCCTCCGAGGACATCAAATAGAGCAAGCGTCGTTTGCGAAGATGATCTGCGACCTGTGACGAGCATCCTACCTCTCCTGCGAGAGGCTAACTCGCAAGGAAACCTCCTCGGACACCTACTACTCTGACTAGTACTTCTAGAAACGCAAACTCCTAGTAGAAGTCGAACTAGATGAACAAGAACTACTAGTAGTCAAACTAAGATGAACTACTAGTTGTAGTCCAACTACTAGTTGTACTTCTTCCTTCTTGTCCCCGTTGCCGTTGCCGTTTGTTACCACCTCCACACAGCGTACACAATCACAATGCCGACGACAACTTCGAGTACTAATAGGCGGAATCGTGGTGCACAATTGCCACATGAACACCGAGAGGGTCTTGTTCAGCAGAGCCGAGTAGGAGCATTCAAGGACATGAAAGAGAAGCAGGAACCTAGCAGGAACAGCCTTTTGGATGTGCTGTCTGCCTTGCTTGATCTCAGATGCGTCCGCGGTCGCCCTGACGAGGATGAAGGAGTATGGCACGATACTAGATACTTGTGGATGTGCATCTACTTCTACATACTTCTTGTTTTTTCTTTATAATATAGCCTGCCGATAGTGATAGACATTTTTATCATTGTTGATGTTGATAAAGGCGATAAAGAGATGAACTAGAAGATGGAGGTCTTCATTAAGCTCTAATCTGCTTCTATCGCGAGGACCAAACAATACTGAGAAGAAAGCAGCAAAGGAAAGAAAGTAGGGTTACAAGAAAGGTACGTGATGGGCATTAAGGGTAGTTTTTCACTATCCCATGTGGACTATGCCGAGTGGCAGTGGGCTCCTCCTGGATTTGGAGGGGAAACTAATGGGCGAAGAGTGCAACACACTTGTCTCGGGATAGTGAAAAGCTACCTTTAAGAGCAGCTTCCTTGTGCAACTCCTCCAGCTGCATCTGAAAGGAATGTGGATGATAGTGGAGATCATGATAAAGAACACGTGGTAAAAACATGCACTACAAAGCCTTCGCCTTCTGAAGCGGATGCGGATGATGGTGTGGGCAAGGAGAAACACGACAAACAAGACCTCGTGGGAGTAGATGACACGCAAGATGACACGCATCCACTAGAAGAAGAAAACACAATAGAAGAACTCGACGAGGTAGAAGGGCCTATTTTGACGGTCGCAGAGTTTCTGGAGCCACTACGAGAACCAGAACAGAAACCGTGTCACGAAGAGTCTACAAGAATAGAAGATAGTACCTATCTGATTCTCATTTACCTCACTTGCTCGATTCAACAGTTGGTTTCTTTTTGTGAGTCATAGATTTCGATACGACTACTAGGATTTTTCATGGAGTGATGTGTTACCATGATGATAATAACATTGAAGATCCAGCATACCTCCTCCGTGTACTCTTGACAGCACCAAAGCACTATGGGAAGCGAAGTGCTGAAATCCCAGTGTTTCGGTACTACAGGCATGGAGTCAGTCGGGACACTATTATGGAGCAGATGATTTTGATTGTTTGCTTGATTTTTCCTTTTGTGATTTTGTAGTCTGCTTCAACAGCATTTTTTCAAAATCATTTCCAACATATAATTGCATGTCGATGTAGGGAAACATTATTGTCGAAGCACTAGTACCAAGAAGAACACGTCGTAGAGTAGCTCTCCTCTCTAACATTCCTCGTACTACATCTACACCACTTGAACACTCTGGTGTGGAGATACCAACACCTGAGACTCGAATGCGACTGTGTGCTCGACGCTACGACATGACGAGCAACTCTCTATCACGGCTTGATGTTGATGCTGTCGACAAGTGGAAGGAATATGAAGAGGGTGCATTGTCCTCATCTCTTAATAAAGGTTCCATGCAGGGCCAGCGGCATGTTGAAGGAATAGAGGATGGACGAGATGAAGCAGAAATACTAGAGGAAAACTTATGGTCGCGCACGCACTAACGAAAAGTTTTTACAACGCATTGTCATTGAGTATCTTTCTGCAGGCTCTTCCATCATATTCATGAAACATGTTTTTATATATGTTCCAGGGCTCAGGGCGGGGGGCCCCCCCTCCCCCGATCTAACTTTTTGAAGGGGGGGGCCTCCCCGCCCCGGCCCCTCTTTTCGAGGGGCTGCCGGGGGAAAAGGCCCCAAAGCGCCCACTTCTGACCCCTTCCCGCTTCTTGCCTGTACGCTACAGACCTGGCAAAGGTGGCAAAGGCTGGGCCCTCTTGTCGTGTTGCGTGTGCCCGACAGAGCTGGCAGAGGAGGCAAGGCGGGACCCACCCCCTTGGCGTGCTGCATGTCCCCGACAGACCTGGCAAAGGTGGCAAGGCTGGGCCCCTCTGGCGTGTTGCATGTGCCCAACCCTACGCCAAGGGGGTGAGTTCCCGCCTTTGCCCCCTTTGCCAGGTCTGTAGGGTACATGCAACAAGGCAGCGGGGCCCGGCCTTTGCCACCTTTGCCAGGTCTGTAGGGTACACGCAACAAGGCAGCGGGGCCCTGCCTTTGCCCCCTTTGCCAGGTCTGTAGGGTACACGCAACAAGGCAGCGGGGCCCTGCCTTTGCCCCCTTTGCCAGGTCTGTGGATACATGCAACAAGGCAGCGGGGCCCTGCCTTTGCCACCTTTTCCAGGTCTGTCGGGTACATGCAACAAGCCAGCGGGGCCCTGCCTTTGCCACCTTTGCCAGGTCTGTCGGGTACATGCAACAAGGCAGCGGGGCCCTGCCTTTGCCACCTTTGCCAGGTCTGTAGGGTACATGCAAGAAGAGGGAAGGGGTCAGAAGTGGGCGCTTTGAGGCCTTCCCGCCCGGCAGCCCCTCGACAGGCCTGGCCAATAAGGTGGCAGGGCTGGACCCCCCTGGCGTGGTCCACCCCCGATCCATCCACAGGGGGGGGAGGGGGGGCCTCCCTCCCTGGTACATATATGATCCAGGGCGCAGGGCGTCGGGGGGGTACCGTGCCGCCCCGGACCCCTTTCTAAGGCGTCTCAAAAGGGGGCCCGGGGGCCTCCTCCGCTCCCTTCCAGCTGCCTGGCGGTTCCTTACAGGTCTCCGATGTAGGTGGCTGGCTTCAAAAGGGGCCCAAGGGGCCGCCTGCGCCCCCTTCCAGGTGCCTGCCTGTGCCGTAAGTGCCTCCGATATACTTCGCCGCCGCAGCAGTGCGCCGGTTGTGGAAGGGCTCTGAAGGCGGCAAAAGGCTGGACCCCGTGAGCCGTGCGGCCAGTACCCTCCGGGCCCTTGGTCATCGGCTTGCTGGCTCTTGCGACCTTGGCTGCCTTCGGCGGCCTTTCACAGCGGAGGCCTCCTGCCTGCGAGGGTCAGCAGGGGCCAGGAGTTCCCTGAGGAGCACGCAGAGAGGCGCAAGGGACCGCCTGCGCCAAATTTTGACGCCTTCCACCACTAGAATCCGCGAAAATCAGCGCGGAAAAGCGCGCGCGCGCGCCACCACAGATCATTCATACCACAGGGAGGGGGGGCACCGTGCAGCCCTAAAGCATATATGTTATAGTGATTGGGCCGATCCTGCTGCCCTAAAAGAAGCCGACAACAGCCTAGAGGTCTGCCGCAGATTTCGGCCGCGTTTGTCGGACATGATCGAAAGCGACGATGAGTTCATTATTTGTGCAGAAAGAGTAACAAGTAGTCGCTTTGATGAATGTTCTTGCATGATCCTTGACACAAGCACAGAAGCTGGCGCAGTAGCAGCCGGGGGAGGCGCAGAATCTGCAACACGCTGTGGAGTAAATGGGCGACGAGGACAAAGCCGTCATGGTTCGCGACAGACAACCATACAGGGTACTAGTGCAACGTCAGGATCTGGTGCTCGCGGTGTCGGTGCGCATCATGGACGGACATCGGCAAACCAAAATCATTCTGCACCTTCTAGTGCTGGAGCAACCTACTACAGCCATCCCGCGCAGTTGCCTCAACGTTCTGCTGCGACAGGAGAGTTTCACCATCCTCTAATGGCGTCTCAGAACACATCGGCAACGTGTTCGACTGAGGTTTCTTCCTCGTTGTCAGGCAGTCCTGAGTCAGCGCGTCCGCAGAGCAGCGACATCAGTCAAGCCGCTAATATGTGTACATCCGCGACCACGGCAGTGACCACTCCGCGGACCGACCACCGTCGAGTTGTGCGAGAGCATCAGCAACAACATAGTAGAGGACATACTACTGGAGGTAGCGCAATTGGTCCTGGTGAGAACACGAATCAGGTAAAAAACTGCTCAACGAGGAACGATACAGCAGTAGCCACTGCGAATACAAGAAACATCCGGCAGAAGCAGGCCTTCAACTTCTGTTCATCTAGTTCCACCTCCAGCACAGAGTTGTATAGAGGCCCGCGCTTCCACATAGAGTTTCCACGGTGCAAGCAAGATGCGTCAACACTGACTTCTACTTCTTGTGCAGGAGGAGCCGCGGCAAATATTTTTAGCAGAAAAAGTTGTGAGTCTTCTATAAACAGAATTTCCGCGTCTCCGGCCATCCCGTGGGGAAGTTCTTCACTGGTAGCAACAGGCTGCGGACAACAAGGTGATCACGCCACTTCTTCTGCATCCACAACTACTGGAGGGATATCGAGGAAGTACACTAGCGCATGTTCCAGTCAAACTTCCTCTTCAAAATATGTCAGAAGTGGAGGCCAACATCAAGGGCAACGTCAACTACATCATCAAGTTGACAACAACATTATACAACACACTGCTGTTGCAACTGCCCTGGATAAAACGATGTCGCAGTGTACAACGCAGGCGCCGACCTCTGATCGTCCCGCAGTCTCCTCGCGTGGAACATCTCTCGATGATCCGGACATCTATTTTCCTGTAGGAGGGACAGGAACTCATAGCGGTGCGTCGGTGGTAGACGAAGCAGCGTCTGCTTTCGGCAACTTGATAAGCTTTGATGCTTGGCCGGCCGGTAACAATAGTAGCAACATTAGTTGTGTCGCAGGCGCGGCACCTTCAACGGCTACGCCTTCTACTTCGCACCCTTCACAACATTCAAATACACAGCAGACGACTTCCAGGACTACCCTGCAGCATCCTTCTTCAGGGGGTTGTAGTAAAGCTCAGCCTGTAGATTTGATGATGGAACACCAAGGACATCATCAATATCAACGTAACCACAGCACAAGATCGAACTCTTCGTCAACTGCGAGATGTAGCACCACAGCACAAGACGGTGACCACTTGCTACCACCTCCTGAGAGCGACTCTACTAGCTGTACATCAACCCCGTTGATGCAACTGGTCGATAACAAGAATAGCTCTAGTAATGTGACTAGTGTTTCTTGTGCTGCAGGAGGTTTCGCGGCTACAACATTGGAGCGTAGTGCGAGCACGTCAAGCATCAGGCACCTCCAGGAAGAACAACTACAACAGCAGAATGGAAGTAGATGCAGTAAGCAGAGGAACAAGAAAAAATCGAAACGTGCACGCGGCGCAGGGGCTCGGCAACGCAAAATGCTAATAGCACGGACACAGAGTATGCCAGCAGCATTTGTCCCTCCGGTGGTACTCCCTAGTCGTGGCAATACGAGTAACGTGAACGTAAAAGAAGTCGACGTAGGAGTTCTAACCAGTGGAGGTTGTGGCAAGAACGGTACATCGACTATGTTGAGTAGGGGTCTTCAAACCTCTGAGGCCTCCCAATACGGTAGTAGTCACAGTCCTGCAAGTGTTCTAAGGACGAGAACAGCTTCAGGAGCTTCAAGTGCGATTGCGACTACAGCCTCTAGCGTAGTCGCCGACGCTCCGAGTCCACAAGTAAAGAAGCCTCGTCCTGGACGTGTAGGATCTTCTGGATCGTTCATCTCTTCATCTTCATCGGGGACGAGGAAGACTAGTAAAAATAACGTCCCCGTCGTCGCGGAAAAAAAACGTTCTAATGTGAGCACATTTCTGTTTCCAACTTTGTCCAGCACCTCTTCGAGAAGGAACACTTCGACGTCACGCACTAGATCACCCCGGAGAGAGTCCTCGAGGCATCTGGTGGAGTGTGCACAAGATATTACTACTTCTAGTTTCAGCCAGAACAACAACAACATGAACAAGCAGGTGGACAGGAGACGCGGCATTCACATCAAGGATGATGCCGAACAGAGTACTAGGTGGCAAAATGATAATATAATTACCCGTGTAGTTGATCATGGAGGCAGCAGTAGGAATGCTCCGTCTTTAGTTGCGACGTCTGTAAGCACGAGAACACCGACTCCGCCATGCGGTTTTCCCGCTTTATGTAACGGATTACTCGTCTTAGAGCTTTTAGTTTTCATCTTTCACTCATGATCTCTTTGTTGTAACAAATAGGCTTAGCGAGCACAACTCAGGACACAACACATTTATAGCAAACGATATCAAAAGTCCTTCTTGTTCTTGTGCGTCTAATTCTTAAAACGGCAGTATCTGCGAGCACCTTGGTTGAGATAGATGAGGACGAGGATAGCGTAGTCGAGGTTATAGACCTAGATCCGACACCACGATTTCTCTGTCGCGACAGTGAAATAGAGTCAGGGTACGACGAGAGGCGGGAGACAACTGTAAGGCGAGGAAACTTATTAATAGAATTGAGACTACGTACGAAGAAGAAGAAGTAGATGATCTTCAGTAACCGTTGTCAAACTCGTAGTGAAGATCCTCTCGATGAGAGCAATACTTACGATTCTTGTATCCTACGCTGATCCTGATTTCTAATTCACCACAACCTCCGAATAGAGGCCAAGTTGTCGAAAGCTCAACAAGTCCACCTAGCAGGAGAGGCCAAGCGCCAACAAGGTGATCTTCAAGCGCCACCCGCTCCAGGAAGCAAAAGCGAGCACGACGCGGAGAACGGACTGCAACAAGAAGACAACCTGAGTAGACCGGACATGAAAAGCCGGCTTGTGCACAACGAGGACGAAGAAAGGGAATTTTGGCGCTCTCAAGAAATAGATTATGAACAGAATCATGATCTGCATCTGATGATCTCCGGGTGGTCGAGTTGTTGTGGCCAGGAGAACATCAAAATTAGATAAACCTTAAGGTAGCCCAATGGCTACGGATTTGAATGATGTAGTTCATCATTCTAGCGATGTCGCCCCTGTCCTGTGAACTAGTGCTAATCTGCACAAGCACAGGATAATTTTGAGAAGACAAAATATTTGGCTTTTGTTGTTTTTAAGTACGAAGATCCCTGGGGCTTAGTGCCTTTCATCTGCCTAAGCTAACTAGATCCGGACCAACTATTTAACTCATCAACTTGTTACTTGCTGCACACGTTTAAGACCTTAAGACTTTGATCTTGTTGTTGTTGTTGATGATGTTGTTGATCCTGATGGTGTTGATCTTCGTGTTGCTGTCGTTATGATTTTCTTGTTTCTGTTGTTTCCTTGATCATGATGTTCGTAAATCTCTAAGTTGTTGATTTCCGTACTGGTAGGATGATCTTCATGCTCATGCTTGAGATGATTCATAATTTGGGGATCGACATTCCCCCCTTCAAACGCAAACTGAACGATGCGCAACGGGTTAGAGGTAACGCCCTCCACCAAACTGAAGCGACCGAGCAGAAGACGAAAGAAGGAAAAACAATCCTACCAAGGCTAGATACTCTAAACTTTACACTTTGCCGAGTGAGTATACTTAGCCAGTGGCTTAAGGTAAAGTTTAAGTAGTTCACTTTTGTGGTTTTACTTCTTTGTTTGTCGGTAGTTTCTTGCTTTTATTGCTTTAGCTGTTTAGTTATTTCTTCATTAATTATTTTTGGCTTGTCGTACTGTGTGTTTCTTGCTGTTAGCTAATACAGACTAAGCTAGGAAAATGTAGCAAAAGTTAATTTTGAGAAAGTGGAAAATGTTATAATACAAGCGCGGACGTTGGTGTTGAAGATGTGAAACTTGGCAAAAGATGGAGTTTGTTGCATGCGATTTGAATGACTTTGAAGATGTAAGACATGCCTTCCTAGTATGGAATTGCATAGGCCAGAAAACAATAAGTAGGAAGGTTAGCATCTCTCTTCATGTTTTGAACATGGAAGACGTTTTTGTAAAGCAGGCCATTGGTCGAACTCTTAGTCAAACCATCACTCCTCTGCATGCCCGTTGGAACGTAACAAAGACGCTGCGCGTCGTCCCGCACTTGCATGTAGCGTAAGGCTACGTGTCTACTCTTTTTAGGTACGTCACTAAGGTTGGTTTTCTTTAAGCTAATTATAGCGCTACGACTATCACAGTACAAAGGTCCTTTATCCTTGTCTCCTTCTCCGGTTTCGGGTACACCTCGAAGAAAGCGGCGAATTGCATGGATGTCTTCCGAGACTTTGAGAAGGTCCGACTGGGCCACAATTTCGGACTCGCACGTAGATCCACTTCGTACCGTCTGGGCCGTGGATTTCCACACAACTGGACAGCCATAGTAGTATACGACTACACCGGAAACCGATTTGAATTCGAGTGTAGAAGCAAAACTTGCATCGCCAAAACTCTGGATGGGGTGAAAGGACTTCGGCTCGAACTTCTTCTCCTGTTCAGTCATTTCGTTGATCTGAATGTTCTCCGGATGGCGATAGAGGTCCTTGAATAGGTTCTGGAACTCCTGCTCTTGATGGGGACTATAAACTAATCCTTCGCCCAAAGATCCTCTAACGTATCGTAGTACACGCTTACACGCTGCAGCGATTGCTTTGGTTGGCGGACGGTTTGCCGCCCGCGCTAGACAATTCGTCACTTGAGCTAAATCGGGTCTGGCCACCGTAGCTGCCCACTGTAGGGAGCCGGTTACCTGCCGAATGTTGAACTCGATCTGAGGCGAATCTTGGTAAAGAAGTGCTTCGTCGAAGGCTGGAGTCGGTAAGCTGCTGCAATTCTCCATACCGAACGTCTTGAGCATCTTCTTGGGGTAAGTCTCCATCGTGATCTTCGCCGACTTCTTTTGAGCATTGTAGAATACGTCTGCCCCAAGCATGTCGAAATGAAGCCAAGTGCCATCCTTATCGGTAACTTCATCCATTTTAATCTTGGATAACGGGTGCAGAGCATGTAGCTTATCGATCAAATCGTTAGTAAGCTCCTTGTCCTTCGCGGCTAGAATGCAATCATCCACGTAAACACTCAGCATCGCAATGAGTTCACCAGAAGAATCCCGCATAGTCCAAATGCCGGGATTGAGTAGGCTCTCTTCGAATCCCATCTCCTGTAGGTCCTTGGCGTACTGTTTCTGCCATAAGCGAGGTGACATCGGTAATCCATAAAGCGCCCGAAGTAAACTCCTAACGCCATGGTCTTCCTGTCCATCGCGCCACTGCTTCGGCAGAGATATTAGAACTGTGCGATCTATAGAAGCTCGAATGAATGCGTTTCCGACGTCATACGGAATGATGTCCCATCCTCGACGTGCTGCTTCGATAAGAACAAGACGATTACCAACTTGCGAAACCGTAGGACTGTATAACTCTTGATAGCCACCAGGATCCCATCGGTCACCTAGAACGACTAACCGAGCTTTGAATCTACCGTCCCGCTTGCGGTTATACAGAATCGCCGTCGGGGTTGCCTTGAGGCGTCCCTCCATCCAGTCTTTTTCCTCGTCCTCGCTTAGTTTCCTCCAACAACGATACGCTTCCAGCTTCGTCCTTTCCAAGTCATCCGCTTCTATCCACTTCTGGTAGTGAGGGCTTTGCGGATTCATGGCGACCTTAGGTGGAACCGATCCTATGAAACCATCTTCATCCTGTGCAGCTAGCATGATCTCAGCACCAAGAAACTCGCCTTCTTCTTCTTCTTCTTATTCTAGCTGACGACAAGCTTCTTGCGTAGCCACGTACGATGCTGCGAATTGTAGCTGATCCAGAATGAAAACAGCAGTAGCTAACGTAGCGGAAGTGTTCTTGCTCTTCTTCCACCGGGGTTTCTTAAACCTGTGCTGCGGCATAGTGATCGGCGTCGTCTGGTATGCGTCACAACGTTCTAGCGGAGCTGACTGCTGCGCGCTACTAGATGCTAAGGAAGGTGCTGGAGGGATGTACTGCGGAACATCTTTACTGGAGGAAGACTTCTCTCTACTAGATTCTTGTGGTACGGAACGATCTTGATCGTCTGCTGCTATTGCTGGATCGTATGCTATCTTCGTAACTGCTCCAAATGTCACTACTTTCCTGAACTTAGTTTGAGCTTTTTCCTCGGTCGTGGTTGACTTACTTCTTTTAAATCGGGCCGGTTCCTTTTTAACTGGATCCCATGCCTCGATCTGTCCCGCGGTAACAGGCTCCTTGCCTTTAGTTTCAGGCTCCCAGATGACTAACTCGTACTTAGAACCCTTCAAGCTGCCATACTTTTCACCAAGCACGCCCGTCAGCGACAAGGGTCGAGAAGGATCATATTCCGGCATGCAAGCGGACGAATCATCTTCCAACTTAGTAATCTCCGGAACCTGGAGCAAGTCCTCGATCTTAGCGACCAATATATTCTCGTGGAATTGTACGTCGATCGTTTCGTAGACGTTGAACTTAAAACCCGTCTTGGTCCTGCCATCAGAAACAATCCCTCCTACTATCCAAGCGGAGTTGACCGAACTGAAACCCAAAAACACCCCTGGCTTGCGCCGGTCTGCAAAGACTTTCGTAGGAGTAGGGTGGACCTTGAAGAACACTAGACAACCGAAGCGGCGCCTGTGTTTCAGTTTCCCTTCTGCAGATCTCATCATCGTGATTGGGTCCTCTGAAAAATTCAAGAGGATCTCCAGAGGGCTAGCTTTTACCGCGCGCTGACGCCCTGAGTTGCTTAGCTCGTTGGACTTCGAGTTGCCCCCAGTAAGCGCCAAGCGTTTCTTTCTTCCATCACTGATAATTTTCTGTGGAATTCGCTTCATGTCCCTGGGGATCATGTTGTAAATTATTATAAGGTACTCAAGGCACCAACACCACAATCGTAAGTCGACGCCGGCCATGCTGGCTCGCAAGTTCGACTTTAGTGTCCCCACTAACCGCTCTACGACGGAGTTGCCTTGTGGCTTATAAGGAATACTGTGAAGCTCGTTCAGTTGTAGTTTGCTTGCTGTCGATCGCCACTCGGTGGAACGGAGTACGCTTTCGTTATCCGACCTGATACCTGCAACGATGATCTTCCCACTTGGAGTCATGTTCGTGCCTTTCGCGCCCAACTTCGTTCGAAGGTCCTCAATGATCTCCTTCAGAACTTTCGGAGCCAAATCATTCGAAGAAATTCCTCGACCAACTGCGTACTTGGATGCGTCGTCAACAAATATCAAAGCTAATCGCGCTCCTCTGATGGAAGTTGGCTCTACTGGACCGAAGAAGTCGCACGCTGTTACCAAAAATGGCGGATTATGGAATTCTTCAGGTCGTTCCTTCTTGTGACTCACAGCTTTCGCTTTTTGCATCGAGCAGTGCGGGCAATCGACTTTGCCGAGCCTCTCGTCATACAGATGGCAATTGCGAAGGTGCTCGAGATACTTTTCTCGCTCAGACAGTTTTCTCGTTAAGAGTGCTTCGATGGGAGGCTGATTGATGGCGCAATCTGTAGTCTCTACTTCTGGACAGAAAAGCTCATCCTCAGAATAGCACTCGTCGATTACAAACGAGCTACTTGCACTATTGTCTTCGAAGCACAAATCTTGTAAATATGGCAAACCTCCTGCGGATTTCTGCAAATTCACCCGAGGCACACGAAGATACTTGTGATCAAAGTGAGAACCTTCAGGAACCGCTCCGAATACTACTCTCCATCCGGCTGAGTTCAGACCGCCGACGCTTATCAGTCGGTCTACGGGTAAATCCTTGGCAAAAATCGCTTTTAAATGACTTCCGAGCACGTTCGGCTTGAGGGTGCCGAATCGGCCTGGAACAATACCACCAACGCCTTGAATCTTGACTCTGGATTCTTCCTCGAGTGTGTCGAAGTCCGACTCGATTCGAGAGATGTGAAACTTTGACCCGGAGTCGATGATCGCTCCATTGGAAAACTGACCTTGTAAAAACACTTCAAAACCATCTTCAACTTCTTCAAATGCTGGCTTTAAATCCATCTTCGCCTTCATTTTCATCTTCATCTTCTTCGTCCTTTGCTTGCATTGTTGCTCCCGTTTGATAACAGCTTTTATAACACCTCGGGTGCTGTCACTTACCCAAGATGGAATGTAGTTCGACCACCAACTTACTTTCTTTGCTACATCCATCTTCACTCCTTCTTTTTCACTACTAGAATTACTATCATTAGAAGAAGTTAGTCACTGATTCTGCTTGTGCTTAGGATCAGACTTCTTCGCGCCTTTTCCTTTGTCGTGCTTTCCGCCTTTCTTGTTGAGCTTGTTCTTTCCCTTGTGGTTGGCGACCTTCATCGGCGTCTTCCAAGGTTGATTGCAATCTTTCACATTGTGTGAGCGGATAGCTGCAGCTTTTTCATGCTGTTTGCCGATTGACTTGTAGTGATCAAAACACTTCTTGCAAAACTTTTCCTCCTGCTGCTGCTTGTAACCACCTTTGCCCCCCTTGGAACTTGACTTACCGCCTTGCCACGTACTTTTTCCTTTTCCGAACGATTTGCCAGTGACAAAAGCCTGCTGGACAGCTTGCTGCTGCTTCTGCTCATCGTCCAAAGCAGCGTAAGTTTCGCACTGTTTTTCCGAATCTCCAGCAGTGCGCACCATACGGCGGGTAAGATCAGTGATGAGGAACTCGACGGAACCTTCAGCATGCGTGACTGCACGATTTTGAACTTGATCTACAACCATCCTGATCTCGGTATGCGAAGTATCAATCTGCTTGATGATCTTGCGTCGAAGTTCCATTTCGAACGGCGGCCCCGCGGGAAACCGAGTAGACAACTGACCTAGCATGCGTCTCAGTTCTGCTGCGTAATCACGTAGCGGACCACCGTACTGTTTCCAGTTAGATCGGTTATACTCTTCAAACTCCACATCTTCTTGCGCTGCGCCCAGACTGTTCACTTGCTTCTGGATATATTTCACGATATCCCAGGCCGTGTCAGTCATGCGCTGTTGACGAATCTCTTCGAGCACCGCGACGCGAATACCGATGGATAGAGCATCCTTGATCGCCTTGGTCAAAACCGCAAACGATGCTTCTTCCTGTTCCGATAACGCTGGCAAAACTACTCCTGCTTGAGGTATGTAGCGGGCTTGAAACTGGTCGCGAATGCGTAGTAGCTTACAAGTGTCGAAGATCTCATCGATGAAGATTTCAAAATGTCTCCTGTCCGTATACGTTTTTAGTTCGCACGTAAACTTGACAGGCTTTTGCGGTTGTGGAGCACTGCTCTGCGCTGCTCCTCCTCCTGCTGCTGGAGGCTGCTGCTGTGGTGCAAACTGATGACCATTGATGAAATCCTTGAAGCGTAGAATCTTTTCTGCTTTCGTGCCAGTGGTATCCAGAAAATACGTATTGAGCAACTGACTGACCTCCGGCACAGTTAGCGTAGACGTCACCGTTGTCAGCGGAGTACAATGGTAGTTATTCTGGATTGCTGCCTGATACATTTCGGGGCGCGACTTGGTATTTCCTCCCCCGTCGTATAGGCTCCCCGGAGGTACTCCTCGCACAAGGAGGATAGCTGCTACCCCACGATCGAGGAGGTCTTGGCATTGCACTACCAGCGGCGGCATTTTCGCTTTTTGCTCTGGCTCCAATACAACAGCCAGGTAAACTTCCAAGCAGCTGGATCCTTTGCTTTAACGTCACCAGGAATTTTTAAACTTTCAGCTTGGTGATGCCACTAGATACCCACTAGAAATTTTTCTACACCACTAGACCCTTGCCGTTCAGAGTTTTCTTGTTTTGCTCCCTTGGCCACTTTGAAAACCGTCAAGGGAGTAACTTCCAACAGCTTGCGCAACCGTATCCCTATCGCGTCAACCAGAAAGGTCCGCCGAATTTCGTCGGTGTGCTCGTGTAAGGATGATTTTATTTTTGTGAAGGTCTTGATTGTTTAACCCACTAGGAATTTTTGACTTCCTTATTTGATTAACTGACTGATTGACTTAGTTATTGATTGATTGAGTTAGTTAGTTAGTTACTTCTTGATTTATTTATTGAGTAACTGCGTGATTGATTGACTTGTTGATTGATTGATTTACTTATTGCTTGGAATTTTATGCCACTAGATTAGGAATGTTCGGGTGTATTAGAGTTGTGTTAGTTATGGACCTAATAAAGATTAACTATTCCACTATCGTCTAGATCAACTGCATTATTGCTTGGAATTTTATGCCACTAGAATACTGGGAAAATGGGTCACCTTAAAATTTTCCCTGTGGGGTTTTTGTAGTAGCATAGGGCTAGGAGTTCGTTGGTCAAATTGTACCAGTTAAATCAATCAAAATTTTACTACCGTGCTCGCCCTCGTGCTCCTCGTCGTGCTTTCAGATCTCACCAGAAGATTCGAACAGAGTAGCCGCATCGTATTTTTTCTCGTGATGCTTGGTATCCTCGTAGGTTTCTCGTCGTGCAACAGATTGTTTAGCTCTCAACAGAAAATTTTTCGAGCTGTATGCTGCTCGTGGTTCGTGGTCGGTCATTTTTATTTTCTCATTCAGGACTTACGTCAGTCAGCACTACAGCACAAGGAAAGATATAGCAAATTTCTTACACGTAACAGATTTAAAAATTCTGTTTCGTGTAAAGTTCAATTATCTATAACCAAAAAAATTCTAATGTTTTCAGTGTGTGGATACAACTAGAAAAGCTCAAGATTAGCACTAGAATGTTGTGGCCAGGAGAACATCAAAATTAGATAAACCTTAAGGTAGCCCAATGGCTACGGATTTGAATGATGTAGTTCATCATTCTAGCGATGTCGCCCCTGTCCTGTGAACTAGTGCTAATCTGCACAAGCACAGGATAATTTTGAGAAGACAAAATATTTGGCTTTTGTTGTTTTTAAGTACGAAGATCCCTGGGGCTTAGTGCCTTTCATCTGCCTAAGCTAACTAGATCCGGACCAACTATTTAACTCATCAACTTGTTACTTGCTGCACACGTTTAAGACCTTAAGACTTTGATCTTGTTGTTGTTGTTGATGATGTTGTTGATCCTGATGGTGTTGATCTTCGTGTTGCTGTCGTTATGATTTTCTTGTTTCTGTTGTTTCCTTGATCATGATGTTCGTAAATCTCTAAGTTGTTGATTTCCGTACTGGTAGGATGATCTTCATGCTCATGCTTGAGATGATTCATAATTTGGGGATCGACGCGAGTTCATCTACTACTTCTAGATCTAGAAGGTCAATAGAAATAAGTATCTATAAGAAGTGTCAAAAGTGTCAAAAATGGCAGATCGAGCTATGTCAAAAAAGAATGACCCTCAGACAACAAGCAAAGCGAGCCGACTACCATAGATCTCATCTTCTGAAATGCAAAGGGCGGAAATAGTGACGGCATCAATCAAGGAAAAGGAAAAGGGAAAAAAGATGGAGACGACGGAGGAAAAAGAAAGTTCCATGCAACAAACTAATTAAAGTGTCGTACATACCCCACGATTGGGTACACTACTACTACTACTATATGGTAAAAATTAAATCGGGGTGGAGGCTCTCCATTGGAGGTACCTCTACACTGAATTGGCTCACATATAGACGCGAAATGCTAGTATATAAGGGCGAGGCACCACGAGCATGACATGACATATTTCTAATACCTGAAGCTCCTGAGCTGGGACTTCGATCCCCTGCAATACAGCAGTGAGGAACTAGAGAACTTCGCATGCCTTTTGCTCGCTACGACGAATTTCTACTGTCCGTGGAACCGCGATCCGTGGAACCGCGATCCGGATATGAGTTCTTTATGAAGAAGAAAGTGTTGTTGTTGACTTGTTGTTGATCAGGATTATAGGCTTGTTGTTGACTTGTAGTCACGACGTTGCATACATTTTTTCATTATGTGGGACTGACCAGTGAAATCGTTTCCTAATTAAAATTATATCTACTAGGGACATTCACATGATTCTCCCCCACAAGCAAAACTAGCCTGCCCCCTAAACCTTCTTCTGACCACCGTCCATTGATTTATTCCTGCGTCCTCTCCAAAAATTCTAGCGGGTGACGCCGATCAGTCAGGTGATGCAGTCGCAGTTGCCACGGCGCGAGCAGAGACTTTGAAAGCGAAACAGAGAGTCGAAGCTTGGTACTAGTAATCCGATCATCTTCTGGTCTAAGTATCCGTTGCTACTTTCCATGGTCTTAGTACTTATACTCTAGTAGGTCTATTCTCTCCTAGAATAATCTAGCATAGCACTTATACCCCACGATTGGGTACACGACTACTATCACTACTATTACTGCTACTTGAAGATGTTGATCATCGGTCGATATCCCGCCTCTAATTTTCGTGTCGTCTTCCCCGACACACTCAGGGATATCACCGAAGAGGACCAAGTCCGAAGTACACCCGCCCCTGCTGTGGGCACTAGACGAGGTTGCCGCAAGCCCATCAGACCACGTGAGCATACGGTCAGGAATTTTGTTGCCGTGGTAGCGCGAAACTATGAGAAGAATCCGTACCACAACTGGGCGCACGCTTGGAATGTCTTTGCGACGACGGGGATACTTCTTCGTGACGGCTGGCACGACTACGCCGACGACGTGGATATCTTTGCCTTAATGGTTGCGGCCCTTTGCCACGACCTAGGACATCCGGGATTGACAAATGAACATTTTGTTAATCAAGGACATCGATTGGCGCGAACGTACAACAATCTTGCGGTTCTGGAAAACATGCACGCCTACACGATGTACACCATTCTCGAGCTCCCGGGATGCAATCTTTTTTAAGGCGGCCACTTATAATTATTTATTAATATTATTATCAATCTTTCAAGTCTTGAAAGATGGCTTATTTATTATTATCTTACTTGTTCTGGGCTTTTGAAGTAGCAATGTAATCCACTCCACCAAGGATACTGATTGCCTCCCGTTAACTACTGGAGGAGTTCTCGGCTGCAGAACAGGCTCAGTTTCGTGCAGTTGCAACCACAGCGATCATGGGAACGGCGATGACTGTGCATTTCGATTTGATGTTAAGGCTTTGTTTTTTTTTAGTTCTACTGATGTATTGTTGTAGTTGTTAACCGATCATCATGGTCTCCAAGAATCTGAGCTAAGGCAAGAAAAGTACTGGCTTGTAAGAACGAAAAGCTTGACATCACTGGCAAGAGCTTAGAAGAAAAGTACTACTTCTTCTAAGGACGAAAAGTCTGACACAAGTGAAGAATGCACGCGACGCAGAAGAGCTTCAGGAGAAGCCAATTTTGGATGAGAAACGCTTCAACCACGACGCGGAAGTAATGAAAAAAATTATCGTCCACGCAGCCGACCTTGGAAATTGCGTTCAACCACTTGGAAGCTACACACAGTGGGCGTACTTGATGAAGTTTTTTCTCTAAGTTTAGACAGTCAGTTGTTACCTCAAATGGTAGATCATTTACTGTTATTTACAATTATCAATAAATCGCGTTCGTGGCTAGTATGTGTATCTTTACATGAATCCAGTAGTTCTAGCATTTTCTACTTACTCTACGATGATCTTCTTGTAGTTATCCATGATACAACTGACTCGTTTTTTGACATCCTACTCCAAACAGCGAACGCATCTTCATGGAGAATCATCTGCAGTGCGAATACGAAAATTACGGCAAATGATCATACACTGTGAACTTAGATTACAATGTTGAGAAGTAGAAGCAGGATAACATACTGGAAAAATAGCAGCTTTACCAGCTTCAGAAAACCCAAGCTACTTAAGGCCATATAAGCAAACTATCTGAACCTCAAATTTCTCTAAGCAAAAGGACAAAAGAGTAGCTTCGAGTCGTTCGCGATGGAGGTGAATCCTGGGGATAGCACTAAACTTGCGAAATTCCAACTGGGCTTTCTTGATTTCATTGTATTGAAGATTATACCTTTGTTGTTTTTGTAACTAGCTACAGGCACAAGAAACCCGGTAGAAGTAGGGACACTCTCCCCTCTCCTCTCTATCCTCCGAGTACAAAACCCGGTAGAAGTAGGGACACTCTCCCCTCTCCTCTCTATCCTCCGAGTACAAAACCCGGTAGAAGTAGGGACACTCTCCCCTCTCCTCTCTATCCTCCGAGTACAAGTCTCCTCTCGTACAACAGGCCGTTCCATTCTGGGAAACGATCGTTGACTTGTATCCTCTGCTGGAAGACCGCAGGGTTGCGATGCACGCTAATGTCAAGTACTGGCGCTTAGAAGCTGCAAAGACCGCGTCGTCGGAGGTTGCTGAGAAGACTAGTCCTACGTTGGAGGTTGTTGAGAAGACGTCCGCGACTGCGCCCGGGGGAAGTACTATTCACATACAGTGAATATTATTATTCAACCCAGATTAGTTTTGACTTTTTAGGAGCTTTACTTTTTAGGAGCTTGTCCGACTCTTTTAGGAGCTGTTTTTAGGATTTCTTGTTCCCCCTATTTCCGACTCGCATAACAACTGCAACAAGGTACTCAACAAAGCACCTCGTGACGCAGAACTTCGACGAGCTCTACTCTCGTGGCGGAAAACGTTTTTCAACGAGAGTTTGCCTGCTCTCTCCTGTTCTACGAGCGGCTCTCCAGCAGCTCCAAAGAACAGCGACTACCTATATTAAATATAATCTTAATACCAAAACGACCAAAAGAACTACTACGTTTACCATTATATTACCATTTAATACTAGTATCAGAATAGCTAGTATAGATACTAGCTTTTAATCGATGTTTCAAACCTCAATATGTCTTTCCGTAAGATTTTCACCTTTTCACTTAGTAAACTTCAAACAAGCAAGAGAACTTCAAACAAGCAAGAGCAGAATCATCGAGTGATAGAAGAAGGCTTGATCGTACGAATGTTGAGCTGGCATTAGTTACTCCCAACTTTTTATTTTTGATAAGTAGCTAGAGCTACTTTCAACAGAAGTAGTACAGCAACAAGGTACAAGTCAGTACAAGTTAGTAGTTGGCACAAGCATTATTTGACTGGGAGGACTACGCTTTTTATGGCAACTTCTACTGACTGAGTGGGCATGTTGTGACTTCCTCTTTCGATGATGAAGCAGGAGAACGGCCTTGATTTAAGTTATACCTAGGGCCCTTTTCTCTGATTGTGGTTTTATTTGGTGAACCACTACCCCATAGCGAATAAACGAACCTGCGCACACAACCAGAGAGCTGAGCACTCGCCGGAGGCGTTGCGCAGGGCTCCGCCCTGCCTTCGAAGGTGAGACCTATGGGGCTGACAGGACGACGATAGCGCCGGCGCAAATAGGGGGACGCTTGCTGATAGCTACCCTTATCTCTTTTCTATCTTCCTCTGGTCTTTCCTTTTTCTAGTTAAGTAGGTCTGCTCCGCCATAGTTATACCTACGACATGCAAAGTCAGAATGTAAAAGTGGTTCTATATTAGCAGTCAATAGTACTAGTTCTGTTGGTTGTTCTTCGAGTTGTGTAGTTGTAGTAATCCCCAGGTTGGTGTTGTTGAGCAAGTTCGAGTCAGTCATCTTGCTAATTATGTGTTGTTTATAACCGTATGATTTTCATCTTGTTCAAGAACTTCTTAGACCACCTAGTATGAGGAGAAGAGACAAAAGTTGTAATGTAGTGTAGTCTCGTGGATCTGGTACACGTAGGTGAAGAAACATGTTTAAGTTACGCTGAAGCCAGCAATCCAGAACGGAATAGAGACCGTCGTGGCATTAAGGCTGATAATTCATCTCCGATCATCGTCCCTGGGGGAACAGTATCTGTACTATCACCGAGTATGATGCGACTCATATACTGCTGTGATACTGTTGTTCTTCGAGCATTGATGTTCTTCGAGATTATGGGCATCTTCTCTAATAAATAGAGCTTCAGCTCTTCTTCTAGCGACGGAGTCTCATTGCGTTCGTTTGCTAGTGTGAAGCGTAATAGTCCTAGTATTTTTTATTTTTTTTTCGGTGTCCTCACAACTTTCTTGCAAAAATAAGTATAATTACCTATACCTCCAGAATACGTAAATCAATCAATCAAAATAATGTGTTCGGGATTGTTTCATCTCATGTGTACAGGGTTCACCAGAATCAGATTGATTCGATTCGGGAAGCTTGGGCGTTCGAGGAGACAGTCGGGCGGAGTCTTCATATCTACTACTACTAATACTACTACGACTAATGCTACTACTAGTACTAATACCACTACTACTAGGCACCCACGAGAGTAAGAAAGTCCTAGAGGTGTTTAGCAGTTTAAGTGCAGGATCCAACCCGTTTAGAGGACACCCATACCAGTAGCCGTAGCAGTTTCGATCTGAATCCTGAACCCTGCACCGAGCCGCGGCCTCCCCTGGTGTTCCTCCTACATCTCAGGGAGCTGGTGCCTCGTCTGAATCCAGCGCCCTGAATCGGGGGGCGGCTTCCCCTGGTGTTCCTCCTATGGGTGGGCTCGGTTCTCGATTCAGAGCGTGGAGACATAGCGCCGCCCACATAAGAGAAGGCCACGGGTGGGCCCGCTTCTCTAATCAGCAACTTGCTGGGCCTTCTCCCTTATTGTGCGCCTGTTTCCCTCCCTCTTTTGCTGGATCCTAAATCAATGAATCCATCTCATAATACCAAATACTTCTAATACCAAATTGCCACCCGTCTATCTTGTTCCCAACTAGGTCCTCGATGTACTTCGGCCGTTCCGCCCGTGGCATCTCGCCCGTCCTGTGGCATCTTCTCGACCTCCCTGTGGGGATGAAACCATATACCTAAATTCTTGGAGCACGTCTACCTAAACTCATCACCTTGCCTTCCATCGTGACGAACGACGCAGCCCTGCACAGTATTCCAAAACTGTCCACGACGTGCTCGACGGGATACATATCAGTAGTGTAGCAGTAGTGGTAGTAGTTGTAATAGTAGGCACCCACGATATTAAGAACTTCTGAGGCGTAGCCTGGTCGTGTTTAGCTGTTAAAAAAAGGCACCAAAATCCACAGAAGCCACAATCTGGAGAGGCTGGGATGGGATAAAAATCAGTCGGGACATTTTATTTGTTAACTTGTTGCATTTGTGTTGAGTACTTTCTAGCTTATGTAGCTGTAATTGTGTTCGAGGACTTCAGTTCATCAGTTTAAGGGGTATTTTGTGAGGTCGATTTGGTTTGGCTACGTCACCTGATCTTCATCATGTGAAATGTTTTAGCTTAGAAATGATCTAGCCTGTGACGGGAGTAGAGCTAGAGGGAACAAGGTACTATGTATAGAAGATACCTCGCATTCGTCATACTGTGAAGAAAGTGCTGTGCGGATGCAATACAGAAAAAAAGGGCTCCTGAGGCGGAAGCCCCGCTAAATCTAATCTTCCTCTGAGCATACGTCGCTCATCGAAGATCTGGGTGCCATTTGTCATGATTCCTGATGATAACTCTTAATGTTGAAGTATTGCCTATTTCATAGGGTGACTGCTGTTATTGTTAAAGAATAATATGGAGGTAAGGTCGTGGTCGAGAACATTGAGGTTGACGTCGAAGATGAAGGAGAAGTACTGTGCGTTTTATAAGCTCGTTGATACAGCAGTAAAAAATACAACAAAGTATTCGTGTAAAGAAAAAATGAACCAACTAAAAAGAGACAAATTTCCATCTTGTTCCTCTTTTCGTCTCTTGTTCGCTTCTTTCTTGTGCATCCTAATTAAGTCTTAACTCGTGCCGGTGCCTCATGCTAGGTAAATGAATGAAGTTGGAGCTATTATTGAGGATGTTCTTGAAGTGATCGGACGTAATTGTTTGTGAACGCTAGGACCGCAAGTTTGCATTCTTAAGGTGCTGCGTTTTTTATACAAGTGCCTGGCTGCCTGTTTCAAATGTGCAAAGTGTAAAGGTCTGGCATGTTTCTCATGCGGTGGCAAAGTTGTCAAATGTCTGGGCCTTCTTGCTCCTGTGTAACACCATAGGGGGCCACATCATCGGAGTAGGATTGTAGTGCTGTGATCATTATCACCATGGGACTACAATGATCACCATCATCCCCATCCTGGTGATGTTCGTGCTCATAATATGACTAGGGTCATCACCCTCGTCGCCGTCTTCTTCTTCTTATTATTTGCGGGGCTTATCATCTTTCACGGAAGTCGTAGGTCCAATCCGAATCGACTAGCATCATCGTCATCATTTGCGGAGCAGGGGAATTGGAACGACGAGTCCTGTGTTTATACATTAGAGTCATCTCTTGGCGTCAATGTTAGGAACGTGAAACCTGAGAAGCAGCCAAGAGCGGCCTCACTATCTTCTGGGCCCTTTTCTCTTCTCAGCTGCAACGATACGCCTTCGGAGTCAACATTCAAAGGGGCGACTACTTCGGAGTCAACTCCAGGACGACCACGAGTTCTATGTCGTTGACCTGCTGCGGGATGAGAAGCAGACTCCCGCTCCCACTCCAAGTAGGTGTGGAATACGTATGCTATGACCTACTTACTTATCACGATTGTGCCGGTCACAAGGTTCAGATACCCAAACCTAACCAATGAATACTAGAGGAGGTCGAGTAGATATATCAACAATGTTAGGAGGCACCAGCAGGGATGAGCGAGACCGGGAGTTTCTAGGTATTGTTGGAGTTTCTAGGTGCAGCTGCGGGCCGAAAATAATGATTATAACAGTTTAGTTGATAGTGAATATTTGTATTTTCTGTTTCACACTTTGCTTCGCTAACCATTTTGTATTGGTGAAAATGTGAGCGCCATTTATTTGCGCTGGGGAGAGAGTGGAGTCATGTGAGTTGCGAAGAGACACCGAAAACAAGAAAGGAAAAATCAGCACCGTTAGGTCTAAAATCTGACTACTTTCGCGCATTTTTTTCGAAATGCTGGAGTGCTTTCATCATAAGGAGAGTTGGCGTCCTCTGGATTCATCTAGATCACAGGGGATCGATTTCACCGCATACTACCACCCTTTAGTCGTCGCGACCACACTTACAGCACAATCACATCAAGTATATGTTGTATCGCCTCGGTTCGTTTTTTCCTCTATTCTTAAGTGTATTCCTTCATGATGCAGTATAAAGATATATTGTATCACCTCAACATCAATCATCCTAGGCAAATTCACTCCTTCGTTCTGTGTCCTCGTCGGGGAAGTTCCTGGACTCCTCACACCACCTAACTATTATATTATACATAAGTAGGCGCATCATGGGCTTCGGCATGTTGGTCGCCAAATAAAGATAGAAAGTTGGAATGTCTAGGTGGTTCCTTTTTTCTGTTGCAACAAGATGATAGGTTAAGAGATAAGCCGTAAAAGGGTCGGCTGAAGTAAGTGAAATGAAGACGATCGTGCCATTACTTGGAGTGGGACGGACCGGCGGGTCTTCACAGAAGGCAGAAGATTAGGTTTTTTGGTGCTGATTATGCTGTTATATTGCGACAGACTCCTTTTTAGTAAAATGCCAACTTGAATATTTATGTTCATACAGTTCGATACAAGTACCTACTGTACAAAGGTGCGGCGGTCGTGGCGAGCCGTACATCGCGACTGTGTGACTTACGAAGTGTTGTGTGACGACTTAACTTAAATGTGGAAATCAACTTAAGTGTTGATGTGTGATGATGACTAAAACTTTTAGTCTCCTAGATAGTATGTGTAGGACTATGTGAGACCCTCACGCCATGCCACCTGTCGTGGTGTGCGATGAGTAAACAGATTCTCCTCAATCATTGTGGCCTATGACGAGAATATACTGGAGGAGGAGGCTAGCTACTTATAAAAAGGTGAGTATGAGTAAGAGTAATTTACTGAGTCTGAGTCAGTTTTTAGTAGTTTTTCTTCGACATGACGCACCAGCAGGTGGCCCTGCACACTACTACTACTTACTAGGCACCCAAGGTGCGCCATGGTATATAGGGCGGCGAAGGCTCTCAACCCTATCACACATCAGCTATCTGCGTGGTAGGGCTTTGTTGTGCAGAGAGGGAAGAGGCCAAGCGCCTTAAACAGATAGCCGGCCTACACATGTTGCCAACCTGACTCCCGACTCTAGTTTTCTATGGTTATCCGTTGATAGATGAAACCCGACCAATTCTTGAGCATGATGTAAAGCATTGTGATGCTAGAGTACTAGGAACCTGCTGGCGTCAAGTTAAAGGCGCACCGATGGGGTCGCCGACGGGTACGCCACTAAAAAGAACCTCTTACGCGCTAAGTGGTTAGATGGAATGCAAGGCGAGCAGTCCAGCTTTGCCCTCATCTGCTAGAAGATACGCCGCTAGCGATAGTGTAGCCTTCACATTTGAGCAACAGCAAGAACGTAGGCGCACAGAATGGAGAAGCCTCATCACCATCACGACCATCCTCACGAAGGTCTCTCTTGTTGCGTATCTTCTATACCAACAGGGAAACGAAAAAAGCGGGCGTCGTGAGCTCTGAGCTCATTGCCATGAACCAGTTTCAACATCATTCAACTAGAAGTAAAAAGTAGGCAGTTCGAGTTTGAAGAAGTAACATTTAAGGAAATTTTTCTGAACTAATGCTACTAGCTTCTCGCGTATCAAGCTTGAGCTTCTACTGCGCCACGACCAGTCGCTGGCCTACTCTGATTCACTGACAAAAAGAACCATACTCTCTACTCTCTCTCGATAAAGGTCTCTTAGTAAAAATGATAAAAACTTCTAAAAGATTAACTTTATGATCGAAATCGATCGTGTATAATTTCAATTTAAAAATGTTGAAGTTGAAGTATATTTTGACTCTCTACTCTCTCTCGATAAACGTCTCTGAGTAAAAATAATAAAAACTCCGAAAAAATTAAACTTATGATCGAAATCGATTGTGTATAATTTCAACTAAAATTACGATGTATAAAGATGTTGAAGTTGAAGTATGTTCCAGGGGTGGAGGGTCCCCCGCCTGTGGATGGAGCGGTGGTGGCGGCCGCGCGCCCTTTTTTCCGCGGTTGTGACATGTAAGGGCCTTCGGGGGCCAAGGCCTCAAAAGGCGGAGCCAGAGGCTCCTGGCGGCTCTCCGCGTGTGCCGACTCTTGGACCTTATCAGGGGGACGGCCTCGGGGAGAAGAAGGCGGCCACGGTCGCGAGGCCTGGCCCCTTTGGCCCTCGTCCGCCACCACCAAACGCCCGGGGGGTTGAGGACCAAAGGCGGGAGGAGTGGGAGCAAGGCGTGCCCGCCGGGGTTCTGTCGGATACATGCAGCACGGCGAAAGGGGTCAAGCCTTGCCACCTGCTTCCCCCGGAGGCCTTTCACCTCCCAAGAGACTCCTCCGCCCAGTGAGGAACCCGCACCCTGGAGGCCTGTCGGGTACACGCAACAAGCCGCGTCTGGCCTTTGCCACCTTCGGAAGCCTTGCACCCCCGGCCTTCGTTGCTTCAACGGCCACAGGGATGGGCCCTGTAGGGTCCAGGCAAGAAGCGGGAAGGGGTCGCAGGTAGGCTTTTGGAGGCCTTCCGGCCCGGCTGTCCCTCAGGAAAAACAAGGGTCAGGGGCGGGAGGCCCTCCCCACCGTGAAAAGTTAGATCGCGGGGACCCTTGGCCCCTGGAGCAAGTATATGATGACGGCTTTTCGATCCTAAACCGGCCATCCTCGTCATGGCAGGAAAAACTCCCTAGAAGAAAGATGGAAAGAACAACCTCCACCTCCACCTCCTTTTGTAATCCTTCAAATGTGAAGCGAAAAGGGTAAGTATGTAGCCTCGAGATATTCGATAGGATGTACTCTCTCATCATCAACAACAATAACAACATCCACTTATTTGATATACAACTCATCGTTCTTTGAAGAGGAAGATGTTGCTTGAATATACTAGTCGTCGTCATGGTAGGATGTTCTTGTTACTTCTAGAACGCCTGTGAAGAAAAAGACTAAAGCTTTGATCTTCATGAACCACGAGCCATCGTACAACTAAACTGTTTAGTTGGCCCCTTCCTTCCCAAATCTGTCTCCTGTCGAACAGTCCACCTCCGGGACGTTCCCCGTGAATCGACACACACATAGAAGTGGTTTTCCGTTTGTGTTGATGTTCAGTTACTCATCTCTCAGTCTCGCAGGCATATGGCCCGAACAACTAAATGCACAATTAGCACACTGTGGAGTCAACGCCAGGTACCAAAAAAAAAGATCTTTTTGCGAGCACATAATGAATGATTGAAAGAGGCACGTCAGCCAATCAATCAGCGCACCCCGTAGAAGGGGCTCCTGTCGCTGGCCTCGTCGTGTCTAATCGTTTGCGCAGTTTTAGGTGCCTGGCCTTTGTGCTTCAGGCTTCTCGCGGGGTGGAAATAAATAAATGTAGGCCCGAGAATTGTAGACCCAGCAGGCAACAAAAAGAATGAGGCCGTCCTTATTTGCATTGTCTTCTTAAAACGTAAGGCAATGGCATTCTCATTCTGAGTGAGTTTCTGTTGAGCGGATGTCTCTCTGAACGACGTGGACCTGCCTACCTGGATTCTGCCTCGGTCTTGGGAACTGAGATAAGCTGGGAGCCCGTTGGAACCCAAAGCATATCTCTAGAGTGTTTTTCTGTCCTTTGCGAGGGTGAGTTAGCTTGTGTTGAGTGGGGCGCTTTCTTGATACGAAGCTAGCACGAACGTGAGGCGTGGCGCGAAATTACACGGGTGCCCGACTTCCAGAGCGTAGAGGCGTGTTCTCATTGTTGTAAGATTCCAGGCAGATTCTATGCTATTTGTTAAAAGGGGGAGCGCGTCCCATCGCTCTCTCTCGCCGCTCCTTTTATCTCCCGCCCGGCCGCTCTTAGCAGAGTTGTGGCTTTCAGGCATAAGGTAGCCCCTTTGGCTGGCGTAGGCCCTCCGGCTTCTGTTTTCCTTTTTGGTTAATTTTTGGCGATTGCGGAAGCGGAACGCGGTTGAGGATGGTGCACGGGGCGAAGCTTGGAGGCCCTAGTTTAGTGTAGCTCCATCAATATGATGATATGGCTGGAGAATGCTTAGAGATTCTTCGTGGGCCGGCTTACCCTAAAGCGTTTGGGCCTATTTAAATTAGCGGGTCCGCTTTTCGCACCGTGAGTTCCCCCGCGCATCATGCGCGTGATCAATTAGAGTGAGTTAGAAGAGGCCTCCCCACTGATCTAGCGTATCACGTGTTCGATTCACAGGGTGCAGTTTTGTGCTTTCGGGGTACATCAGATTGCGCCCATCGTGGTTGCTCTTTTATCGCTGTAGGCTGTTCACAGCGGTTGCCGTCGTGCTTAACTGTTTGCGTAGTTTTAGCGCCTGGCCGTCGTGCTTCAGGCTTCCCGCTGGGTAATTGGATGTTCGTAGCGCGGGAATTTGTAGACACAGGTAACAAAAAAAAGAAAATGCGGCGGTGGTTGCACATGGGTGAATGAAGTTATTGAAAAAAACAAAAAACAGAATCCACTAAATCCAGGTGTGAGCTGCAGATGTTGCCAGATGACAGAGACGTCCTCAAAAATATGCGACCATATGGCGGGCCGGCGCATCGTCCGTGAAATGTAAGACTTCTCTGCGCTCACCCAAGCTGGTGCGCTGGCCCTTTGGCCGAAAACTTAGAAATTGAAATTGGAAAATTGTCATGTTGAATACCTTATGGAGAAGAAGAACTCTTGAGGATCCTGATCTCATGAAGCAATTTCACTCTCCCTACTACCGTTCATCTTCATCTAGTAGGAGGCTCAGTCACTACTTGAAAATCGTAAGCGAGGATCAGTTTCAGTTTCTACTCCTGGAGTGGGTACATTCATTCATTCACTCACCCATTCAGTTTGAATTCTACTCCAGAGAAGATACTTACCCGACAAAAAATTTCGATTGGAATGGGAGGGAGTCGCCCGGACATTGAATTTGATGCTATATTATGATAATGATCAGCTGTGACAATGACATATTACGATAATGATCAAATGCTGCTGATTTTTAATACACGCGTTGTACATATTAGAACAAATAAGTCGTGTCCGTCGTCGTAAAACTACAGAAGGTAGTGAGCAACAAAATGAAGCTAGACTACAACGAACATGAAGATGAAGGGGCACCAGCTCCTGCACCCGAAATAGATCAAGGTACATCTTCTGCTTCGCGTTCGTTCATCGCACCACCTGATGCTGAACAAGGTCCTTTAATATCTCTGTCCGCACTATTGAAATCTAGCAGCACTCCTGGAGCAGAACAACAACAAGATGCTCCACATCAAGATGCAGCCGAAGACAAGGTCGTGGATACGGAGGACCACACGGCTACATGTACTATATTATTAAGGGTTGAAGGTTGACCTATCATCTAAGAGCATCCTTATGGCTTCTTCAAGTAGGAAAGCCATTATATTAGATATGCGAGCTAGAGCAACTTTCATAACTGCTAATTATATTATCTACTAGTAGTTGTACTAGGACTACTTCATCAAGTAGAAGTCCTTCAAGAACTTCAACAAGGAGACTAAGTCCGGACGAGGTGGATCGAATAGTTGCGCGTCAATTGCGCAAATTAGATTTGGAGTACGCAAAGGTAGCTGGAAGGAAGCCAACAGAAGATGATGGCTGCTCTCTGGCGGAAGATGAAGAAGAAGATTTCGACCATCATCAACAAGGTGGACGAGGTGAAGAAGAAGATTTCGGACATCAAAATGTTGATTATGCGCCTTTATTGGGTGGAGACTCTTCCGACGACGACGAGGCAGAGACAGGAGACGGAGATGTCCTGAGTGGCACAGGTTCTACATTGGAGGCAACGCCAGATCTACTTGCGGCTGAAGGTGAAATACCACGTCGAGGAGATTTCTTTCAGTTTGAAGAGCAGATGATGAACAACAATAGTCGTGTTAGTGATAGCAAAAACACTGGTGAAGTAGGTCTAGGTGTTGAAAGGACGAGCAGGCCTGATAAACTACAACAAGGTTCATCTTCATCTTCATCATGGAAGGGTGGTGCATGTGCACCTACTTCTGATTTTGATACAGACTTTTGGGGAGGTTTTCATTCCGCAAGCAGTGAGACTGATGACCAAGGTGAATGGGAGAGCCAAAAAATCCCGGGTCCACCAAAAAATCCCAGAGGAAGCACCAGAGCACAAGACGCGCTAAGGACCACAGGAGCAGACGAAGAATGGGCCACTCCTGCCACTACAACTAGTTGTGAAGAAGCACCCGCTGAAGATGAGGCCTGGGTAGCGAGCGTGAAAGAAGCTATGGCTGGTATTAATCCTAAACAACCTTCTCGTTTTTTGCAGACCCTGTCGGACAAACAGCTGTTGCGAATGCTGGCGGCGAGGAAATAACTGTTCGAACAGGAGGTTGGCCGCGACAGACTGCGACAAATTAGAGACTCCCCACCTAAAGAAAAGAGGACTAGAAAAACCAGGAGACAACTAAATGCTATTGCTAGTTAAATTCTTTTATATCTCAAGAATGGAGGGTACACTACTACTATGTATTACGACTTAATCTATGAACTACCTTCCCCTAGTATGAAAATGAAAAGAACACTCCACTTTACCTCAAAAATGTAGTCCCATGGAAAAAAGAGCTCTCGACTCTACCCGAAGGTCTTGACCAGTTTCAATATACACTAGATGTGAAGAACACTCCACTTTACCTTGCAGCATCGCACCTTTCTAGTATCACGATGTTCTTTAGCATCTGTAAGAAAATCTCCGAGAAAAAATCAGATGACGTCAAGAGAGAGGGGAGAGACGTTGAAGATCAGTACTTGAGAAAAATGATGTACTGCGTCTGCGTCGATGAGAGCACTATCACTGGAAGATCGAATGCTATTGCTTGATGAAGCAGCTGTCCTTGTCCATTACTAGAATCCAGATTTTTTACTAGAATCCACTTCAAATAGAAATACGTAGGTACTATAAGTAGAAAATCATGTCGGCGGGTTACCAAAACTGCATTTTATCAGCGCGAAAAAAACGGCGAAAAGCTCTTTGCTTGCTTGTTGCAGTGACAACCACCTATGCCAGTACACTACAGCAGACGACGGATGGAGGCGCGAAGCACCTGGACCCTAGGGAGAGCTCTCTTCATTACGGCGTAAGTAGCTTAGAAGTTGCTTGCATCGTTTTCGTTCAGTGAATCTTCAGTCACTGAAATGGAAAGTTTTTTTTCTAATACCCAGAGGAAGAGGAGGGCGATGAAGCTCGACTGAGCTCACTCGATGAGGAGATGGCTTCGCTGGCGCAAACTAGAGGCGTCGTGGCCAAGGACCTGAAGCGGGTCCGTGACCTGTTGAGGCGAAAGAAAAAGTTAAGGGTGAGAGAGGATTCATCAGTGACCGTAGCCGTACTAACGCCTACAACTACTAGAAGCAACAGGAATAAGCAACAGGAACGGACACCTAGTAGAGCTAGACTTTTGCGAAAAGGATGATGTTGACTTCGTAGAGGGTTGTAAATGTCACGTGGCTGGTGAAGGGGCATCTTCATAGTTTGCTCCAAAAACACAGAAACAGAACACAGCAGTAGAGGAGGCAGTAACTACACGCAGTAGCGAAAGCGAACCTGGCTCGCTGCACACCGAAGTAGAGGCAGAAACTCAACAGCATCGTCATGTAGACGAGGAGACATCAAAGCCACGACCTACTACTTCTAGCCAGGTTCGCCCAACAGCGACCGGCGTCGACGAGCAGGAAGAAGCAGCAACAGTTGCTCGCCAACGTGCACGTATGGAATTGCAACAAAGAGCAGACGAAGAAGCAGGTAATCACGGATCATATTGAAAGTGATCATTCATACCAAATCATGAAGAACTATTTTGTATCTAGGACGAGGAAGGATATGGATGCTCTTGGATCTTCATCCGCGTTCTGTAGACGAGAAGAGACACGTTTCCAAAATTTCAGGGTTGTGAGTCCCTACATTTTTTTTTACTACATAACATGTTACTAGTTCTTGACAATCGATGATAATCAAAAAGATGAATGGTTCTGGTATTTGGTAACGTGAATTTGATCCTAAGGGAAAACAAGAAGAGAACCCTTAGGATCAAACTCAGGTTACCAAATACCAGAACCATACAAAAGACCACCTGCTTTGTCACTCAACTTCAAAACAGCCTCCTCCGCAGACGATCCTTTCAAAGAGTACATGCGCGAAGAAGAGGGAGAGGACGAGATGGATAGCGAGGAGTACCAAGAAAGCGCACGAGCACTTGCTAAGAGCACTTTATGAACTAAAAGTTCTCAAACAACAACCTCTTGCCAGGCATATCAATCAATCAATCAATCAATGGCATAGTTGAATATGTTTATGGTACAACTGGTTGTGCTGTAGCCTGTAGATGCTATTCAATTGGTAGATGAGGTTGTGTAATTAGTAGTTAAGGCTGTAGTACCTAATACTTCTTTGGGCGCATCCTAGAAACGTATGGAGGAGTATCCTAAGGGAATGCTTTCCCATACTTTTCGAGGATGCACTTGAAAGATGAATTACGGACAGCTCTAATAAATTAGGTCATACTACTTGATAAAAACTTTACATTTCATACGCGAAGACACACTTGATTTTTCCCGGGGAACTACCGATCGCGATAGAGATGCACGATGATAAAACACTTGTTCGAAGAAGTTTCAGAAACTTTCAACCTTCTATCTTCTAAGCCATGGCTGGGATCAAGGAAAGATCGAGGGTCGTGCGAATGATGCCGTGAGGTCGCTGACGAATGCCATCGGCGGCAAGAAAGTCGTCGCCACAGTGCAAAGAATGCTAGGTGGATTACGATAGAATGAAATAGATGCAGTACAACTACTTTGTGAAGACTTTCTAGAATGGATTGACTTTTTTTTTTTCATTACTCCAAAATCTCCGAAATGAAAAGTTCGAAGATTGTCACGACGGAACTCTATCATTATCATGTACAGAAAGCACTGAAGATACTATCACTCTTGTGAATGTAGCGACATTCGAAGATAACCATTTTTTTCCACATCTCCGCAGAAATCAATGAAAGCAGAGGACAAGCGAATGCTATGTATACGTATAGTAGTACTGACTTCTTACTAATACCTTGGAGTTATTTGAGTAGAGAACAGAAAAGGAAAAATCAGCACCATACGGTCTAAAGTCTGACTATAATACCTTTGGAAAGAGTGATGCTTTTCGTGGTTACTTCTATCTCTCATAGTACGGGGCGTGGATAGTTGTGCAAGAGAGAGAGAGAGATTGAATCTGCTGACGAAAGAACCATCAAAACCGACGAACTCGAACAAAAGTAGGTTGAAAAAGGAAAAAAATGCACAAAACTAAGAAGATTGTAAATAGAAGTGACAGTAGGAAAGTAGAGCAAATATGACATGAAGAAATTGCAAAGACAAGGACATCTTTTTGGTACCGACCAAGATAATCAGCGGCCTTTTAGTTTTACGCACCAAAATAGAAATCAAGTAGGTGTCTGTTATAAAATGTAGGGATAATGTGAAGATCAAACTTTTTGAAAATGGAAGGGACTACCTTCTTCTACATGACGGAGGACAAAGGAAAGCAACTTCGAATTGTGAAGGCTTCGGGTGAAGCCTCTAGCTTTGCGTAGGTGACCTACACTTCTCGGTCGAGAGTGCGCACCTACACTTTTGAGTCGTGAATATCGACGATAGACTGGTGAGGAAGTTTTGAACTTCATCCTGTACAACCACGCATTTTTAGCTACAACCTCAATTCTGTAAACAAATGCATCTCACGACTACGCAAGTCGCGATTGTGGAACAGAAGTGGGTGAAACGACACGCGGTCATGCTGATCTAAAAGGAGAAGAGTACTGTGTCAAGACTACCACAACATCCATCCACTACAACTACACGTCTAATCATTCAATTCAAGTTTATGGGTACAGGGAATCCATCTCCAAAGTCATCTGGAAGAAAAAAGACAAGATGAAGAATGGAGCTAGAAGATGATCCGTGAGATGAATTCCTAATACCTCTAACATGTTGACTTTTCGAAGCCAAAGGACGTCATACGATGGGGATCTTCAAGCGACTTTTTGGCGGATTTTTTGAGGGGAGCAAGGTGAAGCTGCTATTGGTTGGGCTCGACAACAGCGGAAAGACGACAATTCTGAATGTTATGAAGCCGAAGAAGGTACTACGATGATATTGTTTTCGCTCAGAGTCTAAACGTAATATCTCAAGTTGTAGACATACCTCCCCCTATTGTAACAAATCATAGAGCAGTTGTCAGTCATCTTCAACCGATTCTGATAGTTCAATGATAAATCAGAAGCACAATCAAATAACCGAATCTACTAACAGGATCAATGAATACTATTATATATATATTTTCCAGGGCTCAGGGCTGGAGGCCCCCCCCCCCGATCTAACTTTTTGAGGGGGGGGGCCTGCCAGCCCCGGCCCCTCTTTTCGAGGGGCTGCCGGGCGGGAAGGCCTCAAAGCGCCCACTTCTGACCCCTTCCCGCCTTGCTGCATGTACCCTACAGACCTGGCCTGTACCCTACAGACCTGGCAAAGGTGGCAAAGGCAGGGCCCCGCTGCCTTGTTGCCTGTACCCTACAGACCTGGCAAAGATGGCAAGCCTGGCGCCCTCTGGCGTATTGCGGTACCCGACAGAGCTGGCAGAGGAGGCAAGGCGGGACCCCGCTGCCCTGTTGCCTGTACCCTACAGACCTGGCAAAGATGGCAAGGCTGGCGCCCTCTGGCGTATTGCGGTACCCGACAGAGCTGGCAGAGGAGGCAAGGCGGGACCCCGCTGCCTTGTTGCCTGTACCCTACCGACCTGGCAAAGATGGCAAGGCTGGCGCCCTCTGGCGTGTTGCGGTACCCGACAGAGCTGGCAGAGGAGGCACGGCGGGACCCACCCTCTTGGCGTGCTGCATGTGGCCAACCATACAGACCGCGCAAAGGTTGCCAGGCTGGACCCCTCTGGCGTGGTCCCCCCCCGATCCATCCACCGGGGGGGGGGCCTCCCTCCCTGGTACATATATAATTTTATTGAGAATAAGATTTACAACCAACATTCATCTCGCTCTCAATACTGACCATCCGTGTCTCATTGGCTCAGGCGAGCATGAACACGGTTCCGACGGTGGGGTACAATGATTAAGGCATAAAAATATTGCATACAGTCCTTATCAGATAAGGAATGGCAAATCAATGTAGATTTTTACTGGCTCAGGTGTCCCATTGACTTACAACGTCCAAATCATTTAATATGCGCTGAAATGAGGAGACTTTTAATATTTAATATGCCATCGAGATCAACATCAACTGCTCTAAAATGAGGAGACTTTTTCGAAAAACGGTGTCTCGTTTACAGCAGTTGACATGAGCGGGCAGGGGAAATACAGAAATCTTTGTTATGTTGATTGTTCTTGATGCACTAGCTATAGGTCTATAGATGCAGCTTCTACATAAGTATTTTGTTTACAACTTGACTCTTTCTGCAATTGCTCCCTAGTTGACATCATAACACTTCATCGTGCGCTAGTTGAAATCATAATACTTCATCGTTTTTGTGCTGGTATACTCCATGGTCGTGAGGGTCTACGCGAAGAGGGTAGGCGCGGAACAGAATGCGGGGGGAGTTATGGTCCTGACTGCACCAGACACATGGACTTGGACGAGGGAGCAGAGGCTTAAAAAGTGGATCTTCGCGCCGGGAGACCAGAGATCAATGCACACTCCGATGCCATCAACGGCGACGGGTCTAGCGGCTACCGATCCAGTGGTAGTTGAGTTATCGCAGATCCTGTTTGCGGATGATGCAACGTTGTTTGGGTTGGTTAAGGAGTCCAAGATGGCTGAAATTGAACAGGACATGGTGGAATCAAGGAAACAGGACAGAGCGCCCAAGCCGATTAGACAAGTTGAAATCCTAGCAAGTGTACTGGAGGATGCAGCCATGGCCGAGAACGAGAAAAAGAGGATACAGGGTGACGCAGCGAGCATCGCAACGAGAAATCTGGGTGTCCAGACCGATCCCGAAGGAGACACAGCGTTTAAGATACAGAAGGCATGGCGATCGTTTCATGCCATGAGGTCAAAGGTAGCCGGGCTAGCAGGGGTGACCAATGAGAGGAGGGGCAACCTAGTCTCTGCCACCGCGAGGTCAGTGCTAGCCTATGGCACACAGACGATGTCTGTCTCGGTCAAGCATTGCAGACTGATGGAGGAGGCGGAGCTATCAATGTTAGCAATGATGGCAGGTGTGCCGGTATGGAGAAGAAGGTGGGACGACGTATCGGATGCAGTACTGCTGAGGTGGATGAGGTTGTCACCGCTAAGGGCTTTCATCTCGTACCATCAAGCGCGCCATGTTGCGCATATCATGAGGTCTAAGCGGATGACACTTGAGAAGGCTATGCTACAGGGTCAGGCACTACCGCCGAGAGCAGAGGAGAGCGATGGCCGAGACGTGTTCCTAGCAAGTACGGAGAAGGATTCAGCACTTCCTCCCGAAGATCGCGGGTCGCACTCGCTTATGTCTGATTTTCTACACCACATGCGCATAGAGGTGGGGATGGATGATGAACTCCTAGCGGGTCTACTCCGCGAGCCACCAACTGAGTTGCCAGGCGTGGCCTGCCATAAGTCGGAGCGCACCAAGCAGCAGGCCCAGCAGCAAGAGGACTACACACAGCGCAAAGCGTTCTTCTTTGAGGCGATTCGACACACCTTCCTAAGGCAAACGGTAACCAGATGGCAGAAAGGAGGTGGCGACGCACTGGCACTCTACGCGGAGATGGAAGTCAAGACATGGGGAAAAACGCCTATCCACTGTGAAGAGATAAAAAGTGAGACACAAGAAGAGACACTAATCAACTTAGCCGGTAAACATGACGCGTTAAGAGTAGTGACCCAGTGGAGAGCTGGCATATGGATAAGAAGCCTGAGCAGTAAGCCCGAAGCACTAGCTGAATTAGATGAGCTGCAAGTTGACATACGCAGAGTTGGCGCAGATGAAGCAGTAGCCATAGGAGCAGATGGAGATGCTGGCTTGTTTGCGCCTAGAGTAAAAATGGACGTAATATGTGACGCGCCAGCATGGATCTATTATGTGGTGGCTGCAGCACCTCGAGACAACAAACCGAATGTGCCAGAAGCGGAGCAAGGAATACGTTGGAGGAAAGAAGAGACTCTATTCGAAGGTTCGCATGTTGGCGGACGAAGGCTGCTGGTGCTTAAGGGACTGGCGCTTCCAGGCAGAACGGCGCTGAGAATGGAAGTTGCTCCTTGCTCCGCCTTTCTAGTAATAGTCCCAGTAGCATCGGGCACGATGGATGCGTCTACGATCTCAGGATGGCGCACGCCAATGATTCCTTCGAGCTGCTCTGTCTGCTGTGAGAGGGACCGCCATGGTTTCCGCAGTCTTAAGTGCAGGAGAATGTGCTGTGCGAGGGAGATGCAGAAGAAGTTAAACGGGTGGAGGCAGAGGATACCGGCGCCACCATGCTGCAGTCTAGCCGACAGAATGAAGGATGAAGCCAACAGAAGAATGGAAGAGCGGAAGCAGTGGAGCATACAGAAGGAAATCCGTAAGCCCGAGGCATTGTTCAGGCTTCTAAAGTCGGTTGGGCCCAAGAGAGGCGGAGGCAGGAAGAGGCCGGAGAGATATCGCTGCTACCCTTGTCGTAGGACTTATATCACGTCATTTGGGGCGATGCGAGCACATGCGGAAGCGCACAAGCGCGAAGACATCATCAAGATATTCAGAATAAAGCGCAGAGCTGAAGAGACTCGGCTGGGAGCGATAAGAAATGAATTCAGACCCGAGCTACACAAGTTCAACAAGACCACAGGGCGCTACCAGTCAGGGCCCGACTCAGTGCTCTGTGAAGTAGTCACTCCGAGTCACTTACTAGTGGGTCCTCAGAAAAACAAAATTCGATGCGAAAAGTGCAAAAAGTGGCAAATTGACTTCCCTCAAAAAGAGCTGGCGCTGCGTCAACAAGCAAAAAGAGCTGATTACTACAGAGCGCATGTGCAAAAGTGCAAGGGAAACAAGAAATGAAAAATCAGAAGAAAAATGGGGGTTGAAGGAAGTAGAGCATCAAGTAATTAAACATTACACCTCTCGAATGGGTACACTACTACTACTACTACTCGTGCCTTGCTTGATTCCTTGAAGCAGGTCGTGTGTTCTCCCCGTCGAGAACGCAGGGCCAAAGATCAACTGCTGCTCAAGAGGACAAATTATAGGGCTATTTTTATCTCTAATCCAACTAGAAGTTCTTGTACTACGAGGTACAACATTATTATACATAGAAGAAAAGCAGCTGGCACACAAACACTTCTTCTAACCTTCGGAATCGCAGTGTGAAGAGGCAGAGGGCATCATATTCGTCATTGATGCGACGGACAAGTTGAGGTTTGCAGTGGCAAAAGATGAATTGGATACTTTACTTGAAACCAACGCTCTCAAAGACCGGCAGGTACTAACTTCTAAAAACAGAATGTAGGTCGTAGTCGTGTTTTTGGCTCTTCAGTAGCCACTGAAGTTTGCTGGTTTACCTAGTGGACCCACGCCGAACCTAACCTAACAGAATGGATAAGTGAGCAGCCGGGGTTCATCCCCTGTTCACTTATCAAGAATGTACTTAAAAATGTTGAGCAACTATAATACACCCCGTGGTTTACTAGGACAATTTCAATTATCTTCTTGTCCTACGTACTCCTGTAAAAATTGTTTTGGTAAAAATGTAAATGATTCGAATTCGACCATTTTTCTTTCTCTGAGAGGTACCCACCCATGTTCCCAGTGTTTGCCAGCAAGATGGAGTCGCTTTCACCCCCTCCCGATTACAGCCCTTGTGGCAGTCTGCACTGAACTTTGTGCGAGATAAATTGTATTGTATATTGTATTGGTCTTTCCAGGTACCCATGTTAGTCTTTGCGAACAAGATGGATTCACCTGGTGCAGTACAGCCTTTGGAGTGTATGCGAGCCCTAAGGCTAGAGGAAATCAGGGATCGACAGTGGAATATATTGTACTTGTTCTGTTTTTCTTGTGTTCTCATTATCCCTGTAGAGATGAAAAAGTATCACAACAAGTCTGGAGTCCTTATATATGCTTTAGGGCTGCACGGTCCCCCCCTGTGGTATGGTCTGTGGTGGCGCTCGCGCGCTCTTTTCCGCGCTGATTTTCGCCGATTCGAGTGGTGGAAGGCGTCCAAACTGGGCGCGGGCGTCCCCTTGCGCCTTTCTGCAGGTTCCTCAGGGACCTCCTGGCCTTTGCTGACCCCCGCAGGCTGGAGGCCTCCGGGGTAAAAAGCCGCCGAAGGCGGCCACGGTCTCAAGGGCAAGCAAGCTGATGACCAAGGGCCCGGAGGGTACAGGCCGCACGGCTCAGGGGGTCCAGCCCCTCGCCTTTTGCCGCCTTCGGAGGCCTTCCACACCCGGCGCACTGCTGCGGCGGGAAGCCTACTTCGCAGGCCTTTAGGGTCCAGCCAGGTAGCTCGAAGGGAGCGGAGAAGGCCCCGCGGGCCCCTTTTGCGGCCTTCCACCCCCGGCAGACGCCTTCAAAAGGGGCCCGGGGCTGCACGGTGCCCCCCCCTGCGCTAGGGGGGGTGCCGTAGCCCTGGGCCCTGGGTCGTACATACTCTCTCGCTTCCTTGTAGTATGTTCTTCATCAACCACTGCCTATCCCTGATTTCCTCGAGCCCTAAGGCTAGAAGAAACCAGAGGTCGGTAGTTAGATATATTGTACTTCTATTTAATTTGATTTTTGAGAATGCTTCCTCGACATCAGCATGACCATCAACGCTTCTTCTTTAATAGCGTCACTGCTCAGTCAACCTAGTGGGCATTACTGTATCAGCCCTCATGCTTAACACTTCATCAATCTCATGATGATGATTGATGCACCCACCTCACGATCGTTGATTTTTTCCTTTACTCAACGTCTAGCAGGGCCAGTAGCTTACATCTTCTTCTGTACAAGGGGTAGTAGCCTAAGGAAATGATATTTGAATTCAACTTCTACAGCCCAAGCGACGCGCTGCACAATGTCGGGATAGAGCCAGGGATTAAGTGGCTTGTAGATGCTGTGAACAAATTCAAAGGTGACGCAGCTGCAGCTGCGAAAAAGTGACCACCTTCTACCAAATCCCGGCAGCGACGTCGCCAGCTTCTGTTGATCCGCTAATGTTTGACAGACCCATTAGAGTAGACCTACATGTGCCACCTACCACTCCTGTCCCTGTTACATTTGCCACCAAAGTGAATGACCACGTATCTATCACTCCTGTGCCTGCTACACTTGCGAATCGCATGCTTTGTTGACTCTCCTCTTCACTCTTCTCCGCATCTTCGCAAAGAAGTGTTGCCATCGGATGATGATGATCCGATACAATTATTGAAGAAGGAATTGGATGTTCTATAATTCATCTTGTGTCGTGGTGGACGTGGAGATTTGGTAAATAAGAACCTGCGGAAATATAAATATAAACAAGGAGCAATCTTGATCTTATCGAATGTTGAACATTCGACATCAACAAGTTCTGTGTTCTGTCTCCAAAGAAGAACCCTGGGACAAAGAAATCCGGCGAGATCGTACTGTCATCTGTTTGTAAAAGAACAATCTGTGGAAGCTGTAAGAGAGAGATTCTGATAAGTTGTATTTGTAAGCAACTTTCTTCGTAAGTAGGTACTAAAAGTTTTCTGCAAGAACTTTAATTCGAATTTTATTTCATACCTTTGCTCTTGCTGTAATTTCTTCTAGTGAAGATATACAGTAGAAATCTAATGGAGGAAAAAAACTATCTAAATCTATCTGATTCTGAGCCTCCATTGCTATTGCTTTTTTTGAGCCGTTGATTTTTTTTGAGCTAGTAACTAAGTTGTATATGTATTTTTATGTATAGTTACAAATTCAAACTCAAATTATAAGTAGCCTAAACTCCAAAAGCAAAACGAAATCATGACGGTCGTTGCTTCTTGTACTTCGTGTTCCTCCACGTCGACTTCCACCAGCACGACGCAGTCAAATGTTGGAGCTCGGTTTCTTGCTTCCGGTGCAGCGGGTGGCATGGAACTCGCTTTGTTCCATCCAGTGGACACAGCAGCCAAAAGACTAATGGCTTCACCGGTTCGGTTGTCATTATTAAGGCACGTTGTGCTTTTCAATTTAATATCGAGGAGTTTAAAAAATTGAAGAGTGAGTCAGCCTACTTGTTTTAAGATGTTGATCTCCAAGAAGCAGAGGGATTCATTCACATGTAGTTCTGTGGTACTAGTTCTCCATCTGTTCAGCTAGTTCTGCATGCTCATGCATTCTGGTAGAAGGTCTAACACAATCGAATTACGGACAAGTGATTTTTCAAGAACCAGCGACCGCGATGGCTGGCGCAGGTGGCATTTCCGGAAACCTGGGTGGCGCAACAACTGCTCTTCCAACTTGGCAACTAATGTTACGTAGATACGGATGCAGCTTTGATCTCTACTTGAACTTGTACTTACTTCCCCGTCACACTCAAGACCTGACGTTCTCTCGTCCGCTTCAAAGCTTACGGATCCATGGCCGTCTCTACTTGAGCTTGTCCTTATAACATGGCCATGGCCTTGCTCTAACCTTTCAGCGAAGAATAGGTAGCCTTTTCCCGGGACTGGGCTATGGCGCAGTATATAATTAAGGCTCGTCCACAAAACCTCCCAACGGCACGTGGATCCTTTTAAAGTACTGCGCTGGTAGGGCCTCGCGGATTCTCTGGCTGTGCCGAGTATTTTAACGGGATCCATTCACGGGATGGGTTATGGGTAGCTCTAATATAAGATAAGCCAGCGAAGCTACAAGTTCGGGGGACAACCAATCGTGAAAGACTGGGTTCGCAATGGACCGTATGAACGCCTGGTCGGACCTTCTGTTATGGCTAATATAAGTACATACATAACGGCTAGAGAAAGAGATATACATAGGTACACTAGTAAGTACATGCATATATTAGTGTTTAGTAGTCCTCCATCTGGTACGCTTCAGTACCTGGAGTATAATATTATAGTAGTCCATCTTTTCTCGTATTTAGGGCTACTAGATCTTCAACATGAGGACTGGATTTGCATGATGCACGAGCTAGATCATGAATCTTCACTCTAGATGCACACCTAGATGTATCAATATAAGCACTTAGACGATGAAGAAGATGAAGGCAGGGACAATGAATTAGACGGGGCTGATGGACATGGACGCCTAGAATAGAAGGATCCTAATTCGCATGGCTAGTAGAACTGGCGCTAATGCCAGGGGTGCGATTTCGCGAGCTTTGTTATGTGACGGCCTCGCTGGAGCGATTCTTGGTGCGGGAGAAGTTTTACTGCTCCCCTTCGATGTCTTGAAGATCAAAGCTCAAACGAACCCCACATATCGTGGTCGAAATTTTCTTGCCGTGTTCAAACAAGAATTAAGGCTATCCTCCATACGACTAGGGTAGAGGTAAGTAGGCAAACAATGATGGATGCATTTCTTTGTTCCTCCAAACAAAGAGCCAGGGACCAGGCAATGTGAAGTCTTAGGATCAATGAGGAGCGCTTTTGGGCCTAGTTGTAGAATCACAATTTGAATGAAGGCACTAGTCTGTACCTCAATCGACGCGCTGTGTTTGGCAACATGAGCATGGATTGACGCACTCTTGCAGGACGATGCTCGTACTACTCTAATGATATTATGGCTGCAAGAAATCCATCTTCACAGGGATCTTGGTCCCTTTTTCAAAGGGAAAAGGGGACCCAAGTAGATGCTGTGGAAGATGGATATCTCCTAGTTCTAACAATAGGCGTGAAGAATCTCTATGCTGGATGGGAATGGACAATGCTGCGAAATATACCTGGTTCCTTTGCTCTCTTTGGCATGAACGCTGTGGTGCGGGATAGTTAAGGCGGCTTTTTTGTCTGTAGTGTTTGTTACTGAATGAGTGCTAATATGTAGTTTCCTCTAGGAGTGTGTTGGTGGCTTCCTGTCTATGTCGACTCTGGAAGGATGACATGAACTACGAAGTGGCGGGCAATAGCGGTGAAGGAGAACGCCACATGATCTCAATGATAGACTTCTTCTAAGCTAGAATTTTCGGACTGAAAAAAGCTTCAGACGCAACTTTCTTGCAGACCTGTGCGATGTCGACTTGCGGAACGTTGGCTTCCATTCTCGTGGCATGTCCGTAATACAGCTCGCCTAGTAGTCCTTTTTGTATGCTCCCGTGCTCCGCTTCATTTAGTACGTTGTAACTGAATGGTTCCGGTATTTGGTAACCTGAATTTGATCACAAGGGGTCTCTTCTTGTTTTCCCTTATGATCCAATTCAGGTTACCAAATACCGGAAGCATCCAGTAACTACCTCATCTTCTTTGATGATTATAATATATCAGAGCAGTTTATAGCACGCATGGTGCATGGAGTGGCATGGAGTGCATGGAGCACTTGCGCCACTCCCACGCATGGAGTGCATGGGGTGGCCGCGTGTCACGCATGGAGTGCATGGAGCACGAGGTGGCGCGCTAGCCTCTGCCATCAGCCGCTCCCCTCCTGTCGATCGATGGAGCAGCGGCGCAACGCAAAAGCGGCCCAGGACTGAGAGGCCTTCCCCCCTCGCCTGTCCGCTTTCTATGGTTGCGGACCCAGTAGGGGACGTCACTGTGAGCCTCGGGCCGTTCCCGCTTGAGAGCCCGGCCTTCGACGAGCCCCCCCGGCCTCCGGTTCTGCGGGGTACATGCAGGGAAGGCGCCCCTTCAGCCCGGCAGACCCCGCCAAAAGGGGTCCCGTCGGGGCTGAGAGGTTCCCCCCTCGCCTTCCTAGGTCGGGGATGGGTATTGCGCCCTGGTTGAGCCCTGGGACACACATACGCAGCCCCATCTTCAACTTTTTGCATGGGTCAGCCCCGTGTGGTTGCCTAGAGCGGTGCAGCAGTAGCGAGGCTTGCTCCGGAGGAGGAGTGAACCCCCCGAGGATGCGACTTGCTGGGCCCTTTGCCGAAATTTCCGGGCACCGAAGTACCTGGCAACGACCACCAGGGGCAGCAATGTGTGTCAGGGCGCCTAGACCTATGTAGCAGCAAGCCCGGACTGCCGGCCAGTGTGGGCGTGGTGCTTCGTCCTCGAGTCGACCGCTCCATCGTCTCATCGTTGCAGTACAGCTACAGGGCTGCAGCGGACGAGCCTCGGGCAAAGGGGTGCCCGAAGGGCACCCCGCAAAATTTTCACGCATGGGGTGCATGGAGTAGAAGTGGGGGCTGGCAAGATTCTTGCCACTCCATGCTACTCCATGTGATCCATGCACTCCATGCCATGCACGCCACAAAAGCTTATAAATTATTCTGATATATTATCCAGGGACGCACGGCCCCCCCCCACGTCACTCCCCGCTAGGGGGGGGGGGCGTCGCCCCGCGCCCTGGAACATATATAGAAGTTCTTGTCGATGTTGAGAACTGCTGGGTTCTCCAGATATGACCACGTTTGAATGTTAGACCGCTCCAGCATTTTAGATGAACCACCTGGAGAGGATTACTTTTACACACACGATCGATACGAATCTTCGCATCAACATCCTCATTTCCAATTAGACATACCTCTTGCCAGGCACATCAATCAATCAGTCCTCCTCGCATCAACGTCCGCATTTCCTCCACAGATGTGACGTGGTGAAGACGCGTATTCAGAGTGGGCGTTTTGGCACGAACCCTGGTGGCCTTTCTATTGCCGCGAATGTTCTCAAAGAGGAAGGTGTCGGAGGCTTCTTCAAGGGTTCAGTGCCTAAATTTAAGACTTCTAAAGGTACTAACGGGATCGGTTTTGATAAATGTAATGCTATTGATAAATGTCACCTTCTTCTAGTCGTTTTTTTTGAAGTGAATCTCTAAGAGCTGCGGTGCTGTGGGTCCGAAGCTGATCTTCAGTTTTACGATAGCACAATACCTGATGGCGATGGTGGAGAAGAGATCGAATTAGACAATGTTGATTATTGAGGAGAAGGGAGTTGAACGGCCTCGACCTGGGTGAACCCACTGCAGCAGGTTTCTCTTTGCTTCGACCTCGACCTGGGTACACCTACTCTAGGCTAGCTGCTGATGACTCGAGCTGGGTGAACCTACTCTAGGCAAGCTGCTGATGACTCGAGCTGGGTGAACCTACTCTAGGCTAGCTGCTGATGACTCGAGCTGGGTGAACCTACTCTAGGCATGCTTTTTGTGAAAGACAGGTTGAAGACCTCCATACACGATAGGCGTACACCTCCACGTTCATCCCGATGAAAGAGATATCACAAGGGTTTCTTTATATAAAAAGATTTGAGCTTCTATCTTCTTCACGTATTGATGCGCCCAAGGACTATGAAATACAACCTTGTGTTGAGTACGCTACTTAGGAAAAATATAATGACAAATCTGCTGCTTGATAAGTGCGTCACATTTTTGACATCGAGGATCTACAATTTTATTGTTGATGCACCAGCAGAAACAAAAAACAACTCCTCGTAGGACCCAAGAACCGGCCTCCTTCCTAAACCAGTCTTCGGTTTGGCAGCCCATGATGGGCCTCGGCATTTTCGGTTATAGTCGGGGAGATGTTGACGTCCACCAAAAACGGCATTGACAGTGTTCACATGTACTTACAGGGTGGAAATATCCTCACAACTGTACCTGTAGCTGCCTAAATTTCAAAGTATTGTAGTTTCTCTATCTGATCCCAAACACCTTCATGATACATCTTTATCTTCATTAAATCGACCATTTGAAATGATGCAGTTGCAGATGCATCACTGACTCCGCCAAAAAGAATGATCCAAGAAACAGTGAAAAGGCTTCTGCGTGTCGCGCGCACACATGGCGTTGTCGTCGTAGGAGCGTCAGAAAAGGCGGAAAGAGCATCGCACCAGGTCCTTCGTAGCTTGAATTATGGTGTTGAAGTTACTATTCTCGACACTGAAGAGTGGTCTCGAAGTTATAGTTCTTATCTTTTTTGTCCTTTAATTTCCAGAAACGCAGAATCTTCCTGGTCTGGTAGCTGTGAACCCGACTTTGGTGAAACCTTCTCCCACAGAACTTCCAACGATTGTTGGTGTGCCTTGTTATACGAGTTTGAAAGCGGTTGTGGATGCGGAGCGGTCTTCAGATAAGAATGTTAGGGTAATCCTCAGACTAAAAAGCTAAGTGGTAAGTAGTTATATCCGGACTCGCAGCACAGGTGTAGGTATTCTCAATAAATCGCGATTCTTATTTAGTAGAAGGAGAATGGGAATTTATTCCTGAATTTGAATTCCGATTCAAAAATGAAAAGACGGCTTTTTGATAAGTGAACAGGCCAACGCCTAAACCACTAAGCCAACTGCGCAGCTTTGTTTTCAATTCCTCAGTGGAGGAAGATCTGTTTCTTTTTCCTTGTTTTCTTTCCCTTGGATTTCTTTGTACAGCTTGTTATACATGCATGAAGTTTTCTTACTAAGTAGAAGCGCGATTCTCATTATTCTCAATAAATCGCGATTTGTATTAAGTAGAAGGACAATGGGGATTTATTATTATTCCTGAGAACTTGTTGAATTCCAATTCAAAAATCAATTATACCAGCAATACCTAGCAGCTCGTGCTCTAAGAACTCTAATTTCCCGACCACGGTCCGAAAAGTGGTCTGTATTTTTCGAAGTGAGCCTGGTCCTTCGGTCGTTGAGGCCGTTGAGTTAGGCTTTCGGCATTTCTGGTTGCAGTACGGCGTTTTTCTATCTGACGCGGATAAGAATGTATGGTTCTGGTATTTGGTAACCTGAATTTGATCCTAAGGGTTCTCTTCTTGTTTTCCCTTAGGATCAAATTCAGGTTACCAAATACCAGAACCATTCAAAGAAGACGATAGCTGCTGAACTTATCTCGATGGACGACGCACCGAAGGACGAAGATCTAAAGAATGAATTGCTACTCGTAGAGGACAGGTGCCTGAAAGTCGAATTGAACAAATTTCCAGACGAAGCGACCTCCGCGAACCTGTAAGATCCATACCTCAATTAGGGTGTTGCCTATCCATATTAGGATTAGTTACTTCATCTAAGACCCATTGAGGTCGTAAGATTCTGTAACACAATTAAGAACCTGACCAAAACCGTGTTGCCTGAATTTTTGAGTGATCCATCCATGCTGTTCTAGACGATAGGTCTCATGCATAAAGACGAGAAGACATGTTGTACTACTTTTTCTTTTGTTTTTGAGTGTCGAAAGTCGTGTTCTACATGGACAGATAACGAGATTATAGTCTTCTGATCACGAGTGAAACAGTGTTAAACAGCACATATTCATCTTACAACGAGAGGAGCAGAACTTTCGACGTGCTCAGTTTCTAACGAGAGTCCGTGCTCCTTGCAGATGACATGCAGTTCATTCTTAAAAACTAGTTCGTTTCTCTGCTCCCAATTATCTTCGGCTCAACAGGTAGTGCTACTAGTTGCTTGTCACGACGTGCATTCTCCCGCGAAGCACCTTTATTCCGTTTGTAGGTTGTATCTGTTTTTTGTTCCAAGGTTCATTTTCATTATTGTTGTATTCTTCAAAGATTTTTTCTGATGTCTACAGAAAATTCGCAAAATCTAGCAAATTGAGCATACAGCCACATCAATCTACTTCTACACCGTTTACTAGTATATTTTTTTATAAACCGCTCAGACGAGGCCGAGCGTGCCTCTTGTTCGTTCTTCATCTTAATCGAATTCGATAATTTCTTGCTCAATCATTATACCAAACAAAAACAAAATGACCTCTACACAATCCGGAGTCGTCTATTCTGCTGAGGTGAAAGCCCGTGCGGCTGTGATCGTCGAGGAAGCTAAAACTTCGCGCTCTTCGTGTCGTGTGTGCCGCAAGCCGATCGAGCAAAACTGTCTGCGTGTCGGGGTCCCAGCTTTCGTCTCTGGCCGCTTGGTCACAGCATATCAGCACCCAGAATGCTTCATTCGCAACAGTTATGAGCGCTGACTACTTTGTTTAAGTGAGTAAGTAAGGACTTAGAAGTATGGGTACTCGTACTCATGCGTGGTGGTAGAAACACAGTAGGAAGATCGTGATGATGATCCTGTTACATAGTACTCGAAAGCAGTCATTGATGCATAGCAAGGACTTGAATTCTTGCTATGTATGATTTGTGCAGAGAACAAGATGAAGATCATTATCTTTATCAAACAATAGTACGACGGGGCCAACACCAACAGGATTGTTCCACCCACTCTCTTCTTTCGCTAAACCCTCGTCGAATTCGGTGAAGTGGATTCGAATGGAGCTGGTGCGTGTAAGGCCACGAAGCGCAGACTGCGAAAAGGGGAGTTGCGTTGCATTGTGCAAACTGGGAATAGCCGTTTCTCGCTGTCGAGTGAGGCCTTTGGCTTGCTTCGTCCAGCGCTGAGTGCGGGAATGAAGAGCAGTGGTTCGAAAGTTGTCAAAAAAGGAGCAATGGAGAAAATCAAAGGTGTCGCAAAGCTGATGGACAAACAGCGCAAGCAATTGATGGGGAAATTGAAACTTTAAATGAAGACAATCAAGGGGGAGTTCAAGATCAAAAGGTAGAGGATTGAAAATGGTGAATTGTTTGCGAGAACCAACTACTAGAACTACAAGTGCCACTTCAAGTAAGTACAACAAATCAGCGGCAGTTGCTGCTTTACAGCTCGTCAGTATACGTGATTAATGCACCAGTATAAAAGACATCGTGATTTTTTTTGACATGTGCAGGAGAGATGTCTCGGTGATTGTGAGGAGCATGCGGAGTTTCACAGAAGACTTTTTTTATACACTACATCAGTTCCTGGTGAAGGCTCTCAACCATTTCTATAATTGAACTAGTTAAATTGATAAGATCACCTCGTACTAGAGTCTAATTCTGAAGTGGTAACATTGAGTTTGAGTACTTACTGCTTTTAGAAGCATCATGCTTCGTTATACAAGTGATGGGAACTATGATGTATGGCACGACTGCTCATTGATTTTTTGCAAAAGAATCTTATTTACAACATATTTTCCTTACGGTTGACGAGTCACGTGATAAAATGTGTGCAGACTGCAGAAATTCGATGACTTCTACTAGGTAGTAGAATTTTTGATTTAACAATGACCAGGAACAATTTCGTGAACAATCAGGCATATTACTGCCCATTATAATAGTACTAGCTGCAGGACTCTGTGAACGTGCTTTGACAGTCAAAGTTCTTACAGTACGCCAGAAGCAAAAGACCTTTTTTTCAAAGTCGATTTTCTGTGGCCCCCAGTATTTTACTAGGCCAGGGACCGCTTTGTGTTCCCGAGAATGCTATGGCGGAAACAAGGAATTGAAGCGTTTGCGCGATGAAGGGCTGAATGATCCTCATCATGGTCGATTGATCTTGCTAATCAATGCAGATCGATGAAGGATCCGTGATGCTACTACTGTCAAGATATTGCGATCCTTTTGATGATCTCTAGTTCTTTCATCTTTCATTCTTATTCTACTCTCTGTCATCTGGGGTTTGCCATGACACTTTTCTTGCCTTTCCTAGCAGCTTTTGTAGCTGGAGTTGGGAGTCTTACGTTCGACTGATGTAGTGCGCGAGAAATGGCTATCATTTTTGTTTCAAGGGTACTACCGAGAAAGCAGCGAGTACTATTTGTTTTTCGACCAAGGGAATAATTTCTCTCTTTTCCATTATTGTTCATCGTCCTTATGTTTTTATTCTTTTTCCAAAAAACTCGAATAATTGGTGTCCAAGAATAAACTGGAACTTTAGACTAAGAGTCGTCTTAGATACTGTAGATACGCGTACTTTTTTCACAATTTTTTTTGAAAAAAGATGTCGGGTGAAGACGATTATTTGACGACTGGGGGTGCTGGATCACCAAGCATTTTACTGGAACAACGAAGAGCACCACCAAGGCCGTCAAGTACGGATGGAGCGAAGAAGGAAGAATTGTACTCGTCTTATGATTGAGGCTGTCGTAATCACATGATAGAACAACAAAAAGGTAGTATGGATAGTAGTTCGTAGTTGAAAAATAACACGTCAAAACACGTTGATCTCAGGTACCTCGAAGGTTACGGTCGGCAGTGGGGTGAAAAGATAACATATAGTGTAGGCCTTTGTTATGGTTTGGGTATGGTGACAGGTGGTTTTTACGGCAGTCTTTTAGGTATACGGAAAGGCGGCGCGACGCCAAAGCTCTTCGTAAACAGCGTCATGAACGGAATAAGTCAGAGGGGTATATTAGCTACTTGCTTGTTCTAGTAGTACTTTATGTAGTGTTGATGAACGTAATGGTCACCGCTCCGGTGCATCTGCTGACTTTACTCAAGTCGCCCATCATGATCCTCGGGGTTGAGCTAGGAGTCCGGGGGGCTCAATGTGAGGGATCCCCTCCAAGAACCTAGCCAAACCATGGCGTAGGAGCTATCGCGTAAAAGTTGGATGTCCATGTAATGGACTGGCAATAAAGATCGTGGACATGTTGATTTTTCGCATCTCTTTATTGATGACGATGATCCTACTGCCAAGATAAACTCAATCATCTCTAGATTATCCGCATGTGGAACTCCAACTCAAATCATCTCAGTTAGTATTTAATTTTCATTTTTTGCATTTGCATTTCTTTATTGAATGACGGCGATGCTCATCTCCGCATCATGAACTCAAATTATCTCAGGTTTGTCCAAATAAAACATCCTCCAGGTGCCCTTCTAGCCAACCAGGGAGCCATTATGACGCTCTATTACTGTGTTTCAAGTCAGCTCCTCGGATGGGCCAGGGGAGAAGATGATCAGTATAATGCGCCAATCGCGGGTTCATTCAGTGGTGCCCTTTATAAATCCACTGCTGGAAGCTGGGCGCAACTAGGAAGATACTCCCTAGCTGGTGGCATGGTCTTCACTGCCATTGATCAGCTTGTAAGAGCGGGGAAAATATAAGAGGTTGTTTATCCTAACATTGAAATTGATATTGTAGACGAAGATGAACAGAAGTAAACTCTTTCTACTCTTCAGCGACGCGGCTTCCAACATCTTCCTTCGTAATGCGCACGCTAATGTCACAACCACTTTTGGGATTTTTTAACAAAAACCACAGCACCATTGTTGCTTCTTTCCCCTCTTCCTGTCCCTCGCAATATCGAACTCTCTTAAATCCGTACTGGATCTGCGTGTAGTTGAACATGATAAAGAGGAAAAATCTAATGACAACCATAATCTACTCCTAGGATCCTTGTCGAGTCTTTAAGGCCCGCAGGAGGGATCTCGAAAGGTAAATTCTTGTCTGCAGTTTTGTGTTCGTTGCATTTCCATTTGGTGAACAAGACAAGCGAGAGTCGACTCTGTTCTAAAGTCAACATTTAGTGTCCATCTTTCTCGGCATCTCGGTACCTTTTTCCCGTGTATTCTCATGAAATACAAGGTAAAAGGGGCCAAGATGAGGGGGCCGAGACGCAATCTAGCAGACTCTAACTGTTGGACTCAGCTACTTACATGATTAAATTGCCACTTCTTACTTTAGGGAAATATATCGAACGGCGGTGTGTGAGAACTGTGTCTCGGAGAAGGAAAAGGACATCATGGCTTTTTTGCCTGTATCGCTTATCATGTCGTTCACGTTCTTTGTTTCGTGCTCCTGTGTGACACTTTTATTGGGCCACCATCTTCTTTTTCTTCTTCTTCTTGGCATGGAGACCAAGATACTTCCTGGTGCCAATGCTGTGCGTCTGCGAAAAGCAATCGGAACTGGTGGGATACATCAGGATGAAGTTGGAGGATCCAGAGCTAGTAAACGACTCTGCGCCTTCGCGGCAGACCACGAGTACGATGAGGATGGAGATACTGTTATGATATCTCCTCCGGAGGACAAGGCGCTTGAACCGACGAGTAGTTCTGTGCCAACATTCTTTGGCCAAACTACTGTCGCGGCACCGAGCCGCGTCCAGGCTGAAGCGCGGCCCACCGAAATTGAAACTGAAAGCTCCTCTAGTAGGATTGCTGTCAGAACAGGAATCGCTATTGGAAGCTCTTCTACAACAACTACAGCACATGAAGGTCGTGGAGGAGATGGGCCAGACCTAGACCTAAGGCTCGATCATACAGTTCTCAATTCATTTCCAACGGGCATTTTCTTCGGTTTCCGTCTTAGGACTCGGGATTCTGAAGAAGTGAAGGAAAGAAATGAATGGTCTTGACCCGCCCTAATAGACGCACCTTCTGGGGAAAGGCTGAAGATATCTTCACGAGGGACCCCTTCTTCAATAGCAAGTTGTTGTACCGTTTCAGCATCGAACCAAGAAGACCGTGACGCCACTATGACTACCTTCTCCTCCAGCTGCAAAAACAATGTGGGCGAGAAGACCCCCACACATTTTCATCAGCTAGGAGATGAACACAAGAATAAAGAAGATGGCGACAAGACTTCTAGTACTTTCAGCGATGAGTCTACTTCATCTAGCTGTATTAATCATACACAGCCTCCTCCTCCTCCGCCTTTCTACAGTGTGTCTCGCTCGATGCCTGGACGACGTCTAGCCAGGGAGCGGCCAATTAACCATGTTGCACGACTCAATACCGCACAAAAATACTGGCAGTCTGAGGTGCATGCCAAAGGCAAGAGCGCGGCGCGACTGGCAGAACAGCAAATGGGGATGAACCAGCCGACGCACCCTTTTAGTACAACTAGAGCAAGTTGTATGCTGGGATCAATAGCAGAAGGGGAGACTACATCAAAGAGGTCGTGTGGTGCTGTAGTAGTAGATGCGGTAACTACCCCGCCAGGAGAGGACCTACGTATGAGCAACTACTTCACGGAGTTGGCCACCTTTTTGAATGCGCGAGATTCCGTCGCCCAAAAATAGTCATGGGAAGACGGGCATCGTTCTCGGTGGCAGGTACTTATTGTGTACTTAACTACTCCGGCCTTTGCTCCTAGGTTTGATCATGTTAAAACCGTAGGGGCTTAGCGTAGTGCGTTACGGAGATTAAAAGCTCGCCGGCCCCTACGCCGGTAGCTATGTGGAAAATATGTAGGCAGGTTCTCCCTGGAACTCGTCCGCCATACAAAAAAAGAATCTTCATGCTAGTGAGCATATGTCAAAAAAGTACAAAAACTTTGCCACACCCTCAGCAATTACCCCAGGTGGTGCCCTCAGATACATGAGGCTCGTTAAGGCGACGCGCGAGCACAGCATGGTGGGCATACTGCTTCATCAGCTAGAAACCTCCAGTATGCCCCTGCTCTAATATGATTACGCGTGCTTCGAATTAGTTCGTGCGCAAACTAATTCCTCACAGTTTGTTCAGTAAGTCCAGAAATGATTATTGGAGTTTTTTCACGTTTCTCATAGACCACCAGTGGAATCAAGTAAAGTGCAGAACATACAATTCTTACTACTCATCCTCCCTTCCCAACATCCCTCCCCCACCCAACCTCATTCCCCCTCACCCATCACCAGCCCCTTCCCTATCCCATCCCGACAAGCAAGCCAGGTGTAAAAGGTAGTTGAGAGTAAAACTATTCAGCTAAAATCTCGCGTGGTGCACGTGCAACATCATATTTGGAGTGCTGTCCTAATTCCTATTGATTATAATATGCTGGATGCACTACTTGAAGTACAACAATACCCAACAGCCCAACAAGGAACACCAGTCAGGTACCAGGAGCTGACATATCGGAACTAACAATGCGAAATTATCACCACTAGTACCATACACGGGCTGGAGGAAACGACTACCAAGATCAGTGCACTGGAAAAAGAAGGGGATCAACAAGCAGCCCTAGGAGACATAACAAAACTTAGAAGTGAAACGGCAAGAAAAAGCTCAAAAGTGAAGCGCAAAGACATAAGAAAATGCAACTAAATAGCAGCATCTACCACTCAAAGAAGCACACATAAGTACTACATATATAACACAGGAAAGGAGTTTTCGTAAGCAGCAGTTGACAAAACCCGTGAAAGTTTGGACCTGTCCTTCATTCACAGACATCATTGTTTTTGGCATTGTCTCTTTCATCTTTTGCGCATATGCTATCATTTTCTCTGGCTGATTACCTCTGCATGTGGTTCTCCACTTCCTTCATCGAAGGAAGTTCTACGCATGCACATAAATGATTACACCACTGCACAAGGGATATATTTACAGATAACAGAAAAAAGACGACATTGACGCGCAAGAAGGACGACGCGGCCCAAGAATATAGTTAGTAGTATAGTAAGACTGCAGCTTTCTATTGGGCAAGCTAAGACAAAGGTGTGGTACAAAGCGAAAGCACACAAGATAATTACTACTCACACATTACGGCAACGACCCCGGGAACTGCTAAAGAGTCACTTTCATGCAAGAAAGAACAAATGGATGACGACGAGGACGATCCGCAATAGATCTACAAGCAAACGCCATAGATCACAGAGGATGTATAGGCCACAGCGTCAATGTGATCATAGATGATAATCGCCCCCCAGGTATGCTAAAAAATTAGAGAGTAGAAGACTTTGCATGAGACAGCTTTTTGTTTAGGTTTTGAAAAAGCACGGGCTTTGAAACTACACTCATTGTTGTCCACCCTAGCCTCACATGATCATGACGTTTGTTCTTCTCTCACAGTCAGAATTTATCGTTCTTCTTCTAGGTCCTGACTTCCTTCTACTATAGTATTTCTGCGGTCTTTCTTTTTCGTGGTACTCGCATTTCACTTCCATACCAGATTTACTTATCCTTGAGGAATTTGAAGAACGGAGTGAAGAAAAAGAAAAGCAAAAAGGCACATGAGTAAATGGGTGAAAATGGAGAACAGTGAGAAGATGACGAGGTGATGTGTGCTATGCGTGTTTTTGGTGGAACGTCGAGGTGCGTAACTACAAAGGAGCTACGGAGACACAAGGGCGAAGCAGGAGGAAGGAGAAGAAGATGCAAAGAAAAAGAACGAAGAAGTCGGGTTTCGCAAAAGTGTGAGAGGAGCTGGCCGCAGGAAGAGGAGGATACATGAAGATGGAGACGAAGCCTATTGGCGTCGCAAGTGCGTGGGAGGAGCAGGATGTAAGACGAGGAGGAAACATGAAGATGGCGATGAAGGTTAGCGTTACGAATCTAGTAGACCTTAGTGTAGCTTCACCAATTTAATTAACGTGCAGGCTGTAGTTAGCCAAAGTCATCCGCTAGCTTCTCTCACCAATCTGTTGCCGTGCTTATCCATCCAGGGCCAAAAAATTAATTAGCGTATTTATGCGGACATCGTTTCGCCGGCCATAAAGTAGACACTCACAAAAGGCGCGTAAGAGGGGGACGGTCATCGTTCGCGGTGGCAGGCACTAGGTGCGTAACTACTCCTGCCTTTGCTTCTGTGTTCAGCGTCTTAAAATCGTAGGGGCTTAGCGTTTCGCGTTAAGGAGATTAAGATCTCCCCCTATGCCGGTATCTACGCGGAAAGTACGCAGGTGGGTCTTCCCTACTTGTCGGGTCTCGATCGCACTACAAAAAAAAAGGCTCCGGATGGAATTGGCTTGAGCTTGGAGATCAACATAGACTATTGTTCTTGGACTCTAGATTGTATGGTTCTGGTATTTTTGGTAACCTGAATTTGATCCTAAGGGTTCTCTTCTTGTTTTCCCTTAGGATCAAATTCAGGCTATACCAAAAATACCGGAACCATTTATAGACGCGGCGCCTCTGTTGAAGACGTCTTCAATTTTTAGGCTGACGGGTTCGCGTCCGTGAATTGCACAAGAGAAGGATGTTCTTGCATTCTTTTTTGGTACTCGTACCGAGGGGGTCGGGCGGGCTCGATGTACAGGACCCATGACCGAACCTAAAGACCTTGTTCCTTCGTTCTTCGTTGCTTGACTCCGTTCTCTCTCAGTCGTGTCATCCGCAACTCTCAATCATGCGGGTCAATCTCCCCTCCATAGTTCATATTTCTTGCGCACCACCCATCTAGCGCACGCCATCCATCTAGAAAAATCCTATAACTAGGAAAACAAGATCAATAAAAAGATGCGTTGTCATTCTCGCGTCGTTTGCACCGCTGCCTCGATTCCTGCTGTTCCTAGTCCTATGATGGCTGTCTCTACCCGAAGATTGCGTACTCCTAGTAACGCTGCGAAGATGCTTACTTCATCTCGAGTGCGCTACTTTACCACTGGTGGCGCATCGTCTTCCTCTTCACATTATGGACGCGACTTCTTTATAGTATAATATGCATTCATAGTACAACTTGAAGAGAGACGCAGGATCAGGAAAGCACTACCTCCTTGTTGCTACTTAGTTCTACAATTTGAAACTCAATTGGATTTTTTTGATCTAGTAGAACTAGTTGTTCCGTCTTCCATTTCTTCTAAGACCGTCAGCGTCATCCATTGGAACGTCCTACGAAGACTTCGATTCTGTACCTGACGGATGACCTTGCAGCAGCCAAGTTTTTGCGACATGTGAATCGAGTCGATTCGCTCGTTGGCATAGATTTAGTTATGGACGACTTATTACGGTTGCTTTTAGAACAAGGACACCTTTTTTTTCATTTTTTTCATTTTTTTTTCATTCGAAGGAAGAATGATTCCAGAAAGACACGGATGAAATAGACTCTACTTGGAGCAGGCAGCATGACCTTGAGCCACCATAGAGGAGGCAGCAGGACCTTCAGCCATCTCCTGCTCAACAGAAACACTCCGCGATCAACACAATCAACAGAATCTGCCCTCCTCTCTAAGTCCAAAGGCTCCCTAGGGCGTTTTGGTCGCCCAAATGTGATGCAGGTGTACTCACCAGTACTACATCAATTAAGGCTACCTCCGTTGCAGCATCCTCAGCATCATCGATCCCTGGGTATTTTTCTACTTACTTGAAAATGGCGCCAAGCAGGATGCTCTGCGACAGCGGTAGATCTAAATCAAGCAGCGATCCTAGACCTGAGAACAATACTTGCCGAGGAAAGTCGTGGGAGAGGGAGAAGTCAAGCAGAGGATGATGATTCTTCACCAGATGAGGATGAAAGTGAAGAACGACCTCCAACAGCAGAGGATGTTGACGAAGTAGAATTAGAAAGGAGTGAAGATTACACAACAACAACATCAGCCTCCATTATGGATGTAGTAGGGTATTCATCTCCAAAGTCATCTGGAAGACGAGAAAGACAAGAGGAAAAAGGGACCCAGATGATCCCTGCGATGAATTCCCGATGCCTCTAACTCTACGAGAGAAGATCAAGAAGAAACTCAAAAAACTCAAGTAGACGACCTTGAGACTCTTCCCGCTGTTCGGGAGTTGTTGGAAAATGCTGAAGTTCAGAAGGTATTCCATGACTGTCGCGAAGATGTCAGTTTACTGCAGGAACTCTTTCACTCCTCGTCAAGTACCAGTGCATCCTCGTCCTCCTTTGACTTTGATCGAGCACCCTCCTTTGACTCTGGTCAAGCTCTCCCGTTGAAACTGGCCAACGTGTTTGACACCCAAGTTGCGCATTTAGCCTGGTTGGAGCGCCGCGGAAACGAAAAGTACCTCGCCTCACTGTCGGAATTGTTGCGGTTAAGGACGGATCTCCTGTTCATACTCTTACTTATTCACTTACACGACCTTTTACTTAATCCAAAATGAACCCACGTGCTCAACATCGATCTGCAACATCGATCTGCTGCATCTACGACCTCTAATAGCAATATTCGTACCCTTCCTGTACAAAGCTCGTCGCTGGGATCTTATTGAAAAGCTCGGGGCTCGGCTACACGGAAGTTTCACTCGCGGCAACTGGGAGTTGTGGATGGACCAAAACGACACCAAAGATGATCAAGATGACTTAGAGGAAGACGGTGGTGATGGTGATGATTCGACATCTGCTTCTGCTTCAAGCAACGATGCATCGTCGACATCAAGATCTTCAAGTAGAACTAGAAGTGCTGTCCCCACACTCACATCCACTTTATGGGAGCATCGTCCACTTTCACGGCAGGCACTGCAGTATGCCGTAGAGGGCTGTCTAGTTCTACCTAAACTGGCGGCTGAGCTCAGAGGAGCATTGCGAGATCCTAGTGGAGCATGGGTTGCGGAGCGAACAAAGAAGCGGTATTTAGCCTACGCTGAGTTGAACCGCGACAAAATATTCTGCGAGGATCCTGGACGCTTAGTCGATCGAAGAGGTCGTCGGATTTTGGACGAAGAGGAAGACATTTTTTCTTCCGGTATTCCAGCAAGAACTAGTAATGAGGATAGTCCTCGTAAAAAGAATAAACTGAGAAATCGAGATGACACGGTTTTCGTTGATGGATTCGTTTGTAACCGGACTGGTGAAGGGGCAACTCAGTTTGCCTGCAATGGGCTCCGGGCAATCGCTCATGAAGGGTTTGAAGAGGCGAAAGTTGGAGACACCTATTGTAATCTTCGTGTCATTGGTCGTAACCGTCGTGGTTTGTTTGTAGCGGAGTGTCAGGGAACAGAAAGAGAAAATTTAGGCCGAAAGTCGCGCGCGGCTTGGGGAGCGGGGAGTTAGGGATATCATACCCAGGCAGGAGGGGGCGACCGAAGATCATGTTTGTGTTTCTAGAGCGCTTCATGAATGCATTTAATGAAGTAATGTACCTAAAAAACCTGCTCCATCATCTCGCAGATTCAATGGGTAATGAGTACTAATCGTTAATGTTATGTCACATCTAATGACTAACACTAAATTAGTCTGACTAATATTACATCTTTATTTCTATTAATGTAACGTGATGGGAAGCAAGAGCAGAGCGCATCTGATCCATCTACTTCAATGCGGCCTTGACGACGACATGACGCCAACAAAAAAGAGGCTCTTTGACCTTGCTTTTGTACAGTGATGTCTTTCAAATGAATTCGACAGCTCGGTCACGAAGTAGCCGTGCTGTGGAGAACAAAACTACAACACATGAGGGCGAGAAGTGCTTGGCTCCATCAAGTACTGGGTGAGCATGCGGCAAACCTACGTGTAATTGGCTTGTCGAGAGAGGAAGAAACGCCAACAACATACAAGACGTGTGAGAGCAGGATTGCACAGGTCAAAGAGGTGATGAAGTGGAAGAGTCTTGACTTCGAGAAGTAAAGAAATGTCTAAAAAAGGTGCTAGCCGAGGCGAAAGAGGTCCCTTCTGGAAGTATGGTTATAGGCATGTTGATGAGGCGGTCCGAGTAATTCAACACAGCAATTATAGTTATACCCAAAAAAGAAAAACCAATTACTAGTTTTTGCACATCATGATCATTCATACATCATACTAAACAAGAATGTCGGATGCTGGTAGCGACACCCCGTCATCGCCCGAAGCCGCCAGTTCGCGTCTCGCCGAGAAACGTCGCGAAATTTTAGCTAGAAAAGCCGCCTACAACAACAACTCAAGTTCTTCGACACCTCCTATAGAAGGAAAAAATGGTGCGTCTTCCTCTGGCGCCGCAACAGCTGCACCAGTGGCAATGCCCCCACCAACGTCAGGGAGTTTCGAACAAGCAATCCCAATGCCTCTGCCTAGTGGAATGGGCACAGCTGCAACGAACACTAGTTCCGCCAGTGGAGGCTCAGCCACAGGAGAACAGGCGCCTCCTATGCCTATGCCTGGAGCGTCAGGCCAACCAATGCCCATGCCTGTGCCTCCAAGTATGTCTCAACCACCTACGATGTCACAGCCTCCTCCGATGTCACAACTACCTCATCCGCCTTCAGCGTCTTTCTCAGAGGGACAAGCCATGCCAATGCCGCAACCGCCAAGCACATCAGGAACGTCTTCAGAAGCGAAGAATATATCAGGATACAACTCTTCTAGTGCATCAGCCAGCATAGGTAGTGCGAACCCTACCACTGCGGGTCCCTCATCATCTTCATCCACCGCAAAAGAGATGAAAAGTCGACAAGTGCCTCAGAGCGTACATTTTGCAGAGGATGCAAGCGGCAAAAGCGGTGGTGGGGCGCCTACTTCGGTAAAAAGTTAGACTATAATTTTATGAACATTAATATTTTATGAACATCAATCGAAAATATACGCTAATACAACTTAACAACTTTGATCTTGAGGATGTTGACTGTACCTAATTTGTTTTCAAACTTTCTTCCAAATTATCCACGAATCCACCACCTCAGCAAGCACGAGGGACACAACAAGGGATCCCCTCAGCAGGAGTACCGACAGGCATGCCAGGGGTGTTTGCTGGAACTGCACCAGCAACGAGCAGTGGATCTCTGCCTCTGTTCCTATGTATTGCTTATAGAATAAATCCACTTATTATTATTTGAAAAGCAGCTGCCTAACTCTGTCTGATTTTGTGTCAGACGAGTCAGAGATAAAAGTTCGTCCTCTAACTTCTTTCAACAACACGTACTACATGCCCATGGAGGCTCCTGGGGCAGCAGTCCCGTCAGCTGCTGGACCAGGTGGAGCTGCAACCCAAAATACTCTAGGAGGATCAGCACCAGGACCAGGGTTGGGTTTGCCACTACATCAACATGTACAACAAGTAGAACCACAACTGGCGCCACTGGGGGGCGTCGGCGGACCCCCACCTTCTATGATGAGCAGATTACTTCCGCCAAATGCGACCAGTCAACTTTTTAATGCAGTTCCGTCAACAGATCCGCTGATTCATCCTGTCTTTAGAGGAGACAGAAGTCCTGAAAAGCGGGTAATCAGATCGCCGACGCACAATCCGGCCTCGCCTTTTCGGGAAGCGGCACTGGGTAATCTAAGAACTACGCGGCATTTCTGTGTTGAACTTGATAGTATATCGCTCGGTTTGCTTGCTCTTCTTTGAAGGTACAGGCAGACTGAATTAACCTCTTAATCAATAAGTCAATTTGAGCACTGAGGTTACATGACATGACATGACACCACTTTACCAATTCGCTTCGAAAAATAGACACATCCTATCCTGTGCCTGTACGCCCACTGCCATTGCCCCTTCTAACTTTTCATCTCTCACACAAACAAGCACACTCTTCTCTTCAATCCTTCTCTTCTTCCCAATCCTTCTCCCAACCGCTCTCCAGGTAGTAATCCGACAAAAGGTATGGTCATATGTTATCAGAGATTGATGTCCCTGTCTGAAATCGAGGCTCAGCACGTGATAGAACGCTACTTCCGAGACAGGCCTGAAGTGAAGAATCGCCTTGAAGTTGGGATCGATATAGTTGAAAGTTTTTTCTCCGAACGCTTATCAGCGCTAGAGGAAAGCTGGAAAGCGCATATTGATCAAGCACTGGACCAAAGGGACACGAAACTGTTGAAATTACGGCTCCTAATGTGTCTATGCAGTAGATGAAAACGAGTAAGAGTAGCACGGACGTCGATTCTGGAGTTACATATTGTAAGTATTTCTTTTAAGATCTTCAGTAACGATGATGCTGATTAATAGAGCTGGCTCTAACAAACACTCTGATAAGCCGAAGTAGGAGTAGCAGCGCCACTATTGCACCTACCAACGGTGTAAGCAGATCCGTTACCCACATGGGTGACCAACAACATCAGACGCCGAATCTGATGTCAACATCTATGACGACCATGCCTGGAGGAGGAGCTTTCTTCGCACCAAGCCCAGCAGGACCACCATTAAAACAACGTACCGACCCGTCACAGCCAGTAGAAGTGCAGTCTCTGACCGCTGAGGTACTATCGTTTTTGAGTTGAGCTGGTAATCATGTTCATGATGAAAATGATCACGTCAAGAGCTGCGCGTTTTTAGAATGATAGTATTTTGTTTGTTGAAGCGCTGCTACTTTTTTCTGAACTCCACGACAGGTAGCCGCATTGCAGAAGCAGGTAAAGGCGCTTCTAGCAGCACAACAACGTACTTCTACCGATTTGGCGACTGCACCTGCTGCGTCAGAAGATCTTTTAACAATAACTACAGCACGTGCAAAGCCTCCCCGTGCCCCGAAAACCACCTCTGGAGGACAACTTACTGCTAAACTATCTGCTTCCTCTTCATCGTTTACGACTCCAATGCTAACGACGCCTAAAAACGGCCAGCATCATGGAGGGGGGAGTACGCCGGGTTCAGCATTGAATTAAGGCTACTAAAGTTGGTAACAAATAGTTTGGAATGGATGCTTGCTTCTCTGCTTGTGAAATCCTGTTTAGGAAATATGATTACACCACTTGACGCCATGCCGCCCCCTTTCAAATCATCTCTCCCGAGACACTACCTCAAGTTAGGTAAATGAATGAATGAAAAGACCAAGTTGTATTTGCTGACAAGGAAGATGCGTTACAGCTAAAGAGCTTTCATTGAGCAGTCTCGCTGAGCACGACAAATCCTTTTTTCGGAATCTGACGCGTGAGGCGACGACGACCTTCCATCTTCTGCTGTACAGGAGGTCCTACAACAGCCGTGAAGATGATATTACATTAAAGACGACCTTTTCTTGTCCACTCAGTTTCCTTTATTCGATGGCGCTTCGATTCCTTCTCAAGATGAAAAAAAACCTTCCGAATTTATCTTCACACTGTCACACTTGATATACGGGATACAAAAATAATGAATCATCATGTGATTTTCGCAGGCCTAGTAGCTCTAGTATTGTAGATGAATCTACACCCGCGCACTACAGTAAAGAACTTCGGAAATCACGCACAATGACAACTCCAACATTTTGCGACTAAGTTATCCGCTAATGTTGTGCTCGTAAATAGGAACAATCCTGAGTGTGTTGAGTCGTATGTGTCGGTACTAGAGCTGCCGCGAGATCGAGGAGTGACATCGAAATATGAAAAAGAGCAAAAATCGAGTCTCGTTAAATCGACCAAAAATGGAATAATTTTATCGTTGGATATCGTTTTTTAGAAGTCTCGCCGCTTACTTATTAAGTACAGTAGAAAATGCGGCAAGTTACTTTGAAGCATCACACTATTTGATCAACTGTAAAAAAACGGCATGGTGCAAATCGAAACTCTGATATTACATCTAGTGATCCGAATTAGCTGCACCTACTAAGTGCACCCAAAAAAGTGACTGAATTAGCTGCGATATCTTTTACAGAGTCACGCTCATTACCATTAGTGCTTCTTGCCAAGAGAGAAGTCTCAGGACATGTCACCTCCACTACTCCGAAGATCTCTTAGCCCCCAATCTTAAAGGACTGAATGGAGGGCCCGACGAAGGAGGCCTCGGCCTCCAGCCGTTCGCCGCCTAGGCAACGGGGTATCTTTTCCGAAATATTGAGGCAGCACAATGAGGAGGATGTCGAGGGTTGCCGGATGGCACCGGTGGTTACGGAAGATTTCATAAATTCAAATAGGTCCTTTTTAGTCCGCTGACTAGGTCTCATGTTAAAAATCTTGGAGCAACTATCTCCTCTTAGTTATACCTCCAGCTCCTGAATGTGTCTTGGATTTTTCTTTATACGCACTACGACCTCTGCTCTAAGCTCCCTTCCGAGGGTGACGTAGGCACCGTCCGAACGCACGGAAATGCGAATGCCAGAAGTTTCAAGCTCTCGCAGGAGAGCAGAAATCATAGTAATGCGTATCTTACGCAAATACAAGCGGCAGGGAAGACGAAGATAAAAGCTCTGAATGGAGAGGGCAACCAGACCAGAAGCAGCGCGGATAAATTGATAAGTAGTTTACTTGTTCGCCTATTTTTGGACATGATGATGATCATGATTTAAGCTTCTTATCTTCATACTTCATGACTTCGACACCCTTACTTTCTACATGACCACAGAAAGCGACGAGCCTGTGGACGGGAAAGTGCTCGACAAGGTCTATGCCGACTCCTCGATAGTTGAGATAGGAAGCATAGAGCCGAAAGTTATAGAGGTCTATGCCCACGCAGCGGGGACGAAACCTCGAAAAGTAACCGTAGAACGGCAGAAACGCTATTTCGAGTCCCTCGATCCAGTACACCTGTTGAAAGAGAGGGGCATCGAAATGGCAGACTTCGTCACTGAAAGCAATAGAAGCTTCAAAAACAGGAAAGTAAAGCAAGAGCGGCAAAAGCCACAAGCAGGAGGTTCGTCGCCATCAAGTGCATCGTCACCGAATATTATGCATGAAGATAAATGTGAAGAATTTCTTCAAAAAAAGTTTCACATTAATTTTACTTCTATATATGATATAGATGTTATCCGATCAGGACTACTCCCTTTTCCTCTCTAATATTCGCAAAAAACCGTTGAGACAAGACGCATCGCAATTGGATTTGCTAGATTTTGATGATACGGAGTACGATGTCCGTAGGCCAATTGATTGGATGGGACTAATTCCGAAGCCACCAAAAGGAAGTAAGAAAAGGACAGGCCTAAAAGCTAAAGGCTTGCGAGTAGACGGGGATTCACAGTTAAGAATTTGAAGTGGTAGCAAATAATGAATGAATAGTCTCTATTAGAGAATGGAGGTAATCGCACCCGGTTAACTACTATTCATCCCTTTACGAATTTGTTCTATGACGGAAAGTTTTTAATACACCTTCAGAACTTTTTGTTCCTCTCGCTTTACATCTAACACTCGGCTCCTTCGAAAGCTGCGTCATCTACGCTTACGAAGGCGAGGGCACACAGTATTTCTATGGGCTCTGGTACGATGACGAGACGCCTTGTTTCTTGTCAAGACTAGATTTCTACTTTGACGGCGAGGATCCAGTCCTGTATGCAGACCGAGTCTCAAATGCATTCAAGCAGAGACAGCTCATTAGCGCGCACGTCCGGTTTTTGTTTTACTTATGGCGAAGGTTCACTAGAAGCAGGTAGCTGAATGGCTACTCGCGTGAAGTCGGAGTCGAGACACCCCCCATGATCCTGTATTCTATCCTACTCAAAAACTGAAAATAAGCGAGTCACTGACTGAAATAAGGTACGTAGCGTTTAAAGGCTGCTCTTGCTTTCTCCGGTATCTCGGTTATTCTCGTCTGTTACTTGCTTAATATGTCAGTTTCTCGAATGCCCTATCTTAACGGCTACTAATTTTTTTTGCTTGAATGTTGCAGTAAGTTTCTTTGAATCATTTGTTCATTCTTTAGAATAATCGAAAAGGACGATAGACGAATAGTTCTATTCCCTTAATCTAGAAGATATCATGTTCATGGTGTCCTGGAGTCCTCTCTCTGTTTCCATCTTCCCTCGGCCTCGAGGTGTCCTGAAGTCCTCTCTCCGTTTCCATCTTCTCTCTCTCTTTCTACTCCTCCTCTAACCCACGTTGACAACATGCCAGCGGACCTGATCTCCACTTTGTCGGATGCACAAGTAGCGAAGATCCGTAAGAACGTGCCTCCGGGAATGGACTCCGCATTCGACGAATTGCTAGTCGAAGTGAAACTCGATGTCGGCCGTGTCTTGAACCGATTAGGTCTATTAGCTAGCGGTGAAGCAGCGGGTTTGTCGCCATTAGCTGAGAGTGAGGAGACGCAGCAAAAAACTGTCCCTTACCACGCTTTACACCCCGTTCCAGCTTACAACTTCACGCACACCTTTCAGCAATTCGCTTTTTCTTCGCTCTACGTGAAGCCACAAGTCGTCTCCACTCTAGTGCAGATTCGGGAAGCGGCGTTAGCTTTGGAGAAGGCCTTTGGGACGAAGATGTTCTGCACGAAATTTCCTAGGAACGCAAGAATCGAGCAATTTAGAGCAATGCAGGCGCAGAGCATCCAAACAACGCTGAGCAGAGTCAAAGAATGGATTCAGGATTTGAAAAAAATCGTAGTTGTCAACTTCGAGGACGTGCTGAAAGGATGGTAGTACTTAGTGTGTCTCAAAAACTAAAGAGGTTTTCAGTTTCTGAAAAGAAGTAGTAGACTTGTTTGAGTTCTTAGAAACAAACACAACGTCAGCCCTGCAACTCGACAACCCCTCCAACTCGACAACCCCTTTTTCAGGTATTCCATCAAAGAGACCAATGCAGAAACCTATCGTTACGGTAAGATACGGAAGCTCTTAACGATGGCAAGGTTTTTGATGGAGACAACCATGTTTGAGATTTGCAAGGCTTCTATCCGCGCATACGAGGAAAAGATAGTGAACTACACTCCTACAAGGGTGAAAATCAACGCTTTGAAGGATATTGAGGTTAGTTACAGGACGCCAACGCCAGAACAGATTCTGCAGGGGTTAGCAAGGGACGACACTGCAGGCATCTTCCTGATGGAAGTAAAAATCATTATGCATGGTAGCACATCTCTTGGGTGAAAGAAGAAGGTCTTCAATATTTATACCATTCAATAAGATGATGAACTACATCATCTTCTATCATAGAAGTTCTATGTACTCTATGGTCGTCTCGATATTTGTTGTTTTTGATTTGAAGCTGGGTCATGATACTAAGCAAAGATGATATCCTGCGACTTTCCCTCCCCCACAACTTGTGACCCACCTTGAAGGCTTCATCACCTTGGAAGATCTGCCCAAAAGACCTGGTGAGTATGTGGCTTCTTACGGTACTGACGGTGCGCAATTTTTGTCCATGGTGACGGAGACGATTGATTCGGCATTGGTCACAATGACTGACATCTCTCAGTTAGAGCCACTAGTGATGTCGCAGTTCGTGAGGAAAACAGACCCGCCGAAAAATATCGAGACCACACATCCAAACGATGCTTTCGTAGTCGGAGTAAAGAAGCGATTGGAGAAATTGATGCAGCCGTATGTTACGGCCGATCAGGGATATAATTATTGGAACTCGAAAAGTTGTATATTTAATGATTCACTCCTCGGAATATAAGAAAGCTATATTTAGATTCACTCCTCGGAATATAAGAAAGCGACTATCTCCAAGATTCTTTCCTACATTGGCATTCTTTCCTCTAATCCAAGCCCAGCGAGATTGGAAGAGTATCGACAACTTATCTCGCCATACCTAGCAGCGTTGCAGATGGATGTAGCGGAGATCGTAGCTTCCAAGGAGGACGAAGAGAATCCGGCAACAGTCCAGGATATTGCGAAGCATATTCATGATTATGGCAACGGCTTGGTGATGGTGTTGTGCTACTGCTACACTTCTGCTCGAAAACTGAAAATATGCGAGTTACTGACTGAAATAAGGCAGGAGGTAGCTTTTGCGGGCTACTCTTCCTTCTTCGGTATTTCGGCTATTCTCATCAGTTACTTGCTTATTTCAGTTTATTGAGTAGTTTCTTGTGGCCTCTAGTTTCAGTATCTACTTCTTGACCACGTAGAATATGGGAGACGAGATACAGAAATCCAGTTGATATGCACGACCGGACACTGCAGTCTGCATTAAAGGAAGCAAAAATCTTTTTCTTCTACTCCTTGATGTTCTTCTTCTACTCCTTGATTTAGTACGTCCCACTCCTTGATGTAGTACGTCCCCTCTAAGTCTCAGAGCAGGACAAAGAAAGGGCGATCATGGAGTCATTGCCAGAAAGCGTGACAGCGGGTCTCTACGAAATTAGCGTGAAAGAAGCTAGAAATCTTTTCGCCAAAAAGCACAACACTGTTGCAGCTGAATTGGTGAAGTTAGTGGACAAGCGGTATCGCGAAATGACGGAGTCGCTGCTGACGCAGTACACGAAAATCAAGATTGCGCTCAAGAAACCGCCAAAAGTACTCTTCTTGTTCACATTTTGATTAAGTTTGAAACACTATGTTGAATTATGTTTGATTTAGTATGATGAAACACTATCATGTTGAATGTTTCATTTGAAACACAATGTAGTTTGTTTGATGAAACACTATCATGTTGAATTATGTTTGATTTAGTTTGATGAAACACTTCTATGTTGAATTATGTTTCATTTCCTAGAAGAACCCTGTCCTCTACGCCGAAGCAAGCATACGTCCAGGAGCACTACAAGACTTCATAATTCCAACCAGGACGTCGAAGAGCTGACCGAAATCAAGGAGTACATGGAGACTGTGCCTGGAGAGCTTCTGAAGCTTGAGGTTGAGGGCAAGAAGGTCTTCGACGTCTACGACATCATGGTAGAAGATTTCAAGCTCAATTAAGGCTTGGGAGTTGACATCTCTAACTCTAAGAGCGTCTCTATGTCTTCTTCAAGTAGTGACCTATCATCTAAGCGCGTCTCTATGTCTTCTTCAAGTAGGAAAGCCACAGATCATATGCGAAGGCTAGAGATGGGAACTTTCAGCCCCTAACTCAAGGTGCCGCAGGAAGTGACAGACCTCAAGTGGAGCTGTTACAAGGGCACGAAGGACATCATGGACACTCTAGCAGAGGTCCGGCAGGAACATCAGGACACTTTGAAGGCCTTCTACAGGGAGATCCAGGACGAGCAGTACCACTTCGACGATACCTTGACCGAATTGGAAGAAGACATCAGCAACTTCGTCAACTTCACTTAAGGCTCACACTATATAATCTTTATAGGGTCGAGGTTTAGGCCCAGCGGCGCCCAAAGCACTAAATAAAACAACCGGTTAGTTTTTACCTCTAGCGTGTAGCCCTTCAAAGAATATATTTATAATTCAAAGCACCAGCTGCACTAAACAAAACAACCGGTTCGTTCAAAGCACCAGCACTGACACTATATAATTAATATGATCTTGTTTAGTGCTGGTCCAGCACTGTAAACAAAACAACCGGTTCGTTTTTCCTCTTCTTCTAACCTAGGTTTATCTTTATCCCTTGCTTCATGCAATATAATTCATCTTCAGGAGCTTCACAGATCATTATCTTCATCTATGTCTCTATGGAGATTGAGAAGATCATGAGCTGCTTAGAGTATGAGTGACTGTGTCCTCTGTGAGCAGCGCTAATTTACGGACTTGAGCGACGCCCAGTCCATCAACGACAGTGCCGAAAGCATCACAGAAAGAATCAAGTCGAACCAAGAACAGAGCAAGCTGTTCAACCTGAAGGAAAGCTTGTTTGGCGTGGATGCCAAAGACTATTCCAATCTCTCCAACATGGCCAGAGACTGGGAACCCTTTAGTTAAGGCTCCTTGAGAACATCCAACATCTTTGGTCCTTCTCCGAATCAATATGATCTTCTTGGTGCCGTCTTAAACAAAAGGCATCGAACCACGAAGCGCCAAGCAAGATGTTCATTAGGAGATTAGCTGAGCTCTAATGCAGCATCCTATGGAAACAAGCTGCGGATTGGCAGATGAAGAAGAAAGCCTATTTCGAAGGGAAATTCGATGAAATTGATAGCAAGGATTGCGAAGAGAGAACGAACACGGGCATCAAGTCTATGTTCAAAGCAAGCAAAGCCTTCACGTCAAGAGGCGATGACTACAAGGGGGTCTTGGCGATTACGGAACAGGTATCTATTTTTCAACCAACTTTTCAACCACTATTTGATTACTCACTTGCTACTCGGTCTTGGCCAGTTGGCTATCACATACAACTAGTGGCTGCAAGGCTATACCTTCCCCTTAATTGACCAGCTGTAGAAGTTGGTGTGGTCATTTTTGTGATGTTCTTGGAGTCCACCTATGTTTGATGTAAAAACGAGACCTGTCCGTGGTGGGTCGAACTGCAGGATCCATAAGCTAACCTAACCTACCTTAACCTCTCCACCAGAGGACGTAAACAACTTCAACTTCTCTATGCGGGATTCCGTAACCCCTATTCGTAACCTAACTTAACTCTTTTTTTTGTTCTTCGCTTCTCTTCAAGAACAACTACTAGGGGTTGGTACTACTAGTTTATCTAAAAATTCGGACTCTTAACAACAGATCCGCGACCAGCTGACCGATTTTCAGCAGTATTTGCCTCTCGTTGTTGCAATGCGGAATGAGGGTATGAAGGAGCGACACTGGCAGCAGATCCAGGAACTAGTTGGCCAAACAATCGAACCCGAAATGGAAAACTTCACTTTGCAAAACTTCATCGACCTTTAAGATGAGAAGTAGTTGTGTCTTCTTGTAGGCCAAAGTTACTAGAAACGCATGATGACCTGCTTGACGTTAAGTAACTTTCAACAAGAACAAGATGAAATTGGGAAGATTTGGTCCTTTTTTCCCCTTCTACCTGCTGCAGCTGCGATACGGGCAGTAAGATCGTCTCAAAATCAATGACAACATTGGACAACCTTCAAACCACATCTTTATCTAAGAAAAAGGGTTAATGGACCACGTGAACGAGATTTCGGATATTGGTGATAGGTCGGGCAAAGAGTTCCAGATCGAAAGGCAATTGGCGAAGATGAAAGCAGATTGGGAGCCCGTAGAATTCGACTGCAAAGAATTCTACAGAACAACGGAAACATACATTTTGAAGTTACGGGACGATACTATATCGGATCATTGAACAACAATTCCAATTTCAATTACTACTTATATTGAAACAAGTCAATTACTACTTCAACCCCTGGAGTGGGTACATTCATTCATTCATTATTGCTTAGGTGTACAAGTTCAAGCACTGATAGTACAACAATTTCAATTGAGTAGTACTGTGCTAATCAATGCTACGTCAACAAGGACTTCAAGTTAATAGATCTTGATCTTGAGTATTAACTTCTGTGTGTGATTCATATTCATTCTTGACATACAGTAGAAGGCCGACTGATCCTTCCGCCGTTAAAGTCTGCCACGTCGGATGGTAGGCCCCAACCTAACCAATCCTTCCTCTAATACCCGGCTCCGAAGAAGTGAATATGATTTTGGACGAGCAGAATGTGCTGACGCAGGCTATCCAATTTTCGCCATTTAACAAACCTTTCATCGAGGAGATCGAGGAATGGGCGGCGAAGCTTCTGTACGTCTCAGAGTGCATAGATATGTGGCTCAAGGTATGAGGATGTTCAGGTTTTTTGCTGATCATGTTGACCCTCGTTTATTTGAGCCTTGTTCTGACTCTTGGCTCGTCGCGTAAAATGAAAGCAGAATGAGATTTCATACAACTGCCTCATGATTGATGAAAAAGTGAAAAAGTAGAAGATTGTCCCAAACATAAAAACACAACTTCCATCCTACTCTTACTCAACCAACCACCAGCACACTAGGTCCATGCAGAGAATCTTCCTTCCACACCACACTAGGTCCAGCGAGCTTGGATGTATTTGCAGCCTATTTTCGACTCCCCGGATATCATGAAGCAGCTGCCGACTGAAGGAAAGAAATTCAAGGCTGTGGATCACCTCTGGAGACATTGGATGGGAAGAGTACATAAACATCCTGGCGCTTTAGCTATTCTCTCTACTGAAGGTCTCTTAGAGAAGTGGAGGAACGCGAACAACGACCTTGAGTTCGTGCAGAAGGGTCTAGACGACTACCTGCAGACAAAGCGAGATGCGTTTGCGAGATTCTATTTTCTTTTATGACGGGAACGAAGGAGGAACAACTGTGATGTACATGTTCTGCATAAAAGAAGCAGCTTCAAAAATCATGTAGTTCATCATTACGCAGAAGTACCTCTACCATCACAAATATTTATGAAAAAAAAAGCCGAGCAGCTGCTTACATGTTTCAGAAGTCACTAGAAGTACAACTTCTTCTCTCTAATCTGATCCAACGACGAGCTTCTCGAGATTCTTTCGCAGACGAAGGATCCGACTCGCGTGCAACCGTTCTTGTGTAAGGTGTTCGAGAACATCAAGCGCGTAACCTTTGGGGAAGAAATGGAGGTCAAGGAAATTTTTTCCTCTGAAGGCGAAAATTAAGGCTCTCACTAAGTCATCTTTGACTGCATCACTGAAAAGTATGGGGGAGTACTTTCCTCCGACATCAATCACTGAAGAAAAGTATGACGGAGTATCTATTACCCTGCGATACTCTTCAACTTCAACGATGCAGCCGAAAGATGAAAAATTGCGGAGAGGTCTAAGAAAAGATTGTCTGCGCTTCTGAGGTGAAAACGAAAGATAAGAACGTGGAGACGTGGATGGGAGACTTGGAGAAGGAGATGATTAACAGCGTTCGCCACGTGATGCAGATGGGTATTGAAACCTATGTCGAAACTGAGAGGACGAAATGGGTGCTGGAGCATCCTGGTCAGATTGTCTTGAATGCGTCGCAGGTGCACTGGACCGATGAAGTAGAGGAAGCGATTGAGGGGGATATGGTTCCAGGATACTTCGATTATGGTCAGATATCATAATCATTCATCACTCCACAGAAGATTATTCACCTCCACAGAAGATTATATTTGTGATAAGTGAAGAACAGGCCAACGCCTAAACCACTAAGCCAACTGCGCTATCAATCAATTTGGCTCAGCTTCCTCCTTGGATCGACCTGAGGCCATGGACATAGAAGATGACTGAATCATTCTGCGCTCTAATTTAGGAAACTCGGTGAACAGCTGATGGGCCTGGTCATGTTGGTCCGAGGTAAGATCACCAAGTTGCAGAGGACCTGTATCGGAGCTCTAGTCGTGATCGATGTGCACGCGAAGGATGTGGTCCAAAAACTAATTGATGAGAAGATCGACAGCAAGGACGCATTTGAGTGGATCTCTCAGTTGCGATACTACTGGGAGGAAGATGACACGCAAGCCGAGAACGTGTGGGTCCGTATGGTACAGACGAACTTTCCGTACGGTTACGAGTACTTGGGAAACACCTTCCGTTTGGTGATCACGGCACTGACGGATATGTGCTACATGACATTGATGGGAGCACAGAGTCTCAACTTGGGTGGAGCCCCAGCAGGACCAGCAGGAACCGGAAAAACGGAATCGACGAAGGTTAGTCCTCCTTACTACAACTTGCTTCGATATGATTTTTCTCATTTTCCTGTTGCACCCTGACCCTGTCCATCTTCTACAACATCCTCTTCGACATCTTCACTGCAAGTCGATCATCCTCTTTGACCTTGTGATCAATGAGCAAGCATCTCCATCTCCTCAGGATTTAGCGAAAGCACTCGCGAAGCAGTGCGTGGTGTTTAACTGCTCGCCCGAAATGGACTACATCATGGTGGGAAAATTTTTCAAGGGTTTAGCCGTTTGCGGTGCTTGGTGCTGCTTCGATGAGTTCAACCGAATTTACATCGAAGTGCTCAGCGTCATTGCACAGCAGCTGTTGATTCTTTTCGGAGGAAAGTCGCAGCTCAGCTCCTACAACGAAGTCCTGGAACTCGAATTTGAGGGGTCCTTCATCGCGATGCGACCGACTTTCAACGTGTTCATCACCATGAATCCTGGGTACTTATACTTACATTGCTACTATTAGTCTAATATTAAGAATTGAAATATTGATTCTGTGAAAAGGCTAAATGGAGCTACAAAACAGCCAAAATTCAAGGGAGAGCCATTGCTGTTGGGAAGTGGAGAAAACATGAAGAGAAGTGCAAAAAAGGACACAGATATTTAACAACATAGTGCACGCCCGTCTAAGGACTGGGTATATCATCATCGTCATCAACTGCAAGAGACAAATGCTTGAAGAACACTAATCTAGAGCACTTCGAGAACAACCTGTCAAACCTTCTCTCTCCAATTATCTCTTACAAAAACCCACTCCACGCCTTCACCTCCTAGTTTGAACATCCTTCTCCTCCAACCACACCACAACAGTTACGCCGGCCGCACAGAATTGCCCGACAACTTGTCCGCGTTGTTTCGACCCTGCGCGATGATGGTTCCCGATTACGCGTTGATCGGTGAAATTATGTTCTACGCGTTTGGTTTCACCGGTGGTCGTGCCATGGCCAAGAAGATGGTCTCGACGTTCAAATTAGCCTCCGAACAGCTCTCATCCCAGGATCACTACGATTACGGAATGCGTGCGGTGAAGACGGTGATCGAAGCAGCGGGTCGTAGTAAGCGAATTTACCCTGACATGGAAGAGTTCCAGATTCTGTTACGAGCTTTGAGAGACGTCAACGTACCGAAATTTTTGCGCGACGATCTTCCCTTGTTTGAGAACATCATTCTCGATTTGTTCCCGGGAACAGAGAGGCCAGTAGTAGACTACGGAGATTTGGAGCAGAAGTTGAAAGAGTGCAGTGCTGACTCGAAATTGCAACCGACACCTTACTTCTGCCAGAAGATGTTCGAACTCTTCGACATGATCCAAGTGCGACACGGAATGATGCTTGTCGGGCCGACAGGCGGCGGAAAGACCTGCAACTACCGAGTCTTGCAGAAAGCCTGCACAGTTTTGTGTCCGCCTGAAAGGAACGACGATAGCGCATACCAGAAGGTGCAGACGCACGTGCTGAACCCAAAGAGCATCACGCAGGCGCAGATCTACGGCGCATTCGACGAGCTAACGCATGAGTGGACGGATGGTATCGGTAGCGAGCAGATCCGTGTAGCAGTGAGAGATGCCGAGTCCCCGGATCATCATTGGATCATCTTTGATGGTCCTGTCGATGCCCTGTGGATCGAATCGATGAACACAGTGCTCGACGACAACAAGAAATTGTGCTTGGTCTCCGGAGAAATCATTTCGCTGACTCCGCAAATGCGTATGATGTTTGAGGTGGAGGATTTGGAGGTCGCCTCTCCAGCTACGGTCAGTCGATGTGGCATGATCTACATGGAACCTGAGTCCTTGACGCTCGAGCCCCTTATCCAGTCCTACGTCGAGTCCATCCCCGAGACGTTCTTGAAGTTCAAACCGGAGTTTCAGACTAGGCTGAAGACGTACATGTCCGACTTGTTTGACACCAGTATCTTCTACCTGAAGAAGTCTCTGGGTGAAGTGTGCTCGACGACAGCACAGAACTTGGCCTGCAGTTGCATGCGGTTGCTGAACACGTTCTTTTATGATAAATGGGGAGGACAATTTGGATAGAAGTAAATAACGCAGGAGGATTTGGATAGGCTTGGGGTTGGGCTGACAAGGAATCTTCAGAGGAAAAACTAGTCGTGTCATTCAACTCCTTACAAATAATCATTGAATTTGAATGAAACGATAATCGTCCCTCTTCCTCTAACCTACCGCCGTCTACTGGCCAACCGAGCTAAAGCTGATCGATGCCTTCAAAAAAGAAGTCGAGGATTTGGAACCTGTGTTTGGCGACCTCTTCATGTACTGTTTCATTTGGTCTGTTGGTGGATCCCTAGCTGGGCCAAGTCGTGCCGCTTTCAACGACTATGTGTGGACCACGATTGGAAAAGTTAAGGCTTACTGATATTCATCTTAATACAAGCAGCAGGTGTCTTTGACGGACCTGCGTTTTCTCAGGAGGAAACGAAGCGCAAAAGATACGCTTCAAGAGGATGAATATTTATTGGAGTAAGGTCTAAAAACGAAGAGAAGTGGGGAGCCAAGCACGCAGCACACAACGACCCAAGTTGGGACTACCCTACGAGGCATACGGACTTCAAATTTGATGGAATCCCCGAAGAAGGAGCCATGTTGTACGACTACCTGTTCGACGTGAGCACAAGAAAGTGGATTCCGTGGATGGACACCATACCTGCTTTCGAGGTACAAAGATACTAGATTCCTGAAAGTGAAAGAAATCGAAATCGAAATAGATCCCATTCTCATACGTATCATCTCCACAAGAACTGATCAGCAGGTTCCCCGAACAGCGAAATACGAGAACATCGTTGTGCCTTCCTTGGATAGCATCCGAATGACGCACACTTTCAAAATTCTCCTCGAGAATGATTCCCATGTCCTTTGCTGCGGTCCCACTGGAACGGGAAAGACCGTGAATTTGTCTTTGTACCTCCAAAAAGCCGCACCCGCAAACTTCCTGACCACGAATATGGCGTTCTCCGCGCAGACGCAAGTGAACCAAGTGCAGGACTTCATTGATTCCAAACTTGAAAAGCGACGTCGTGGTGTCTACGGCCCACCAGCGGGAAAGAAGATGGTGCTGTTTGTGGATGATTTGAACATGCCACAAAAGGAGTTCTACGGAGCGCAACCTCCGATTGAGTTGATGCGTCAGTGGCTCGATCACGACGGTTGGTACAACCGGAAAGAGCTGGCCTACTTCCAGATCATTGATATGCTGATTGCCGGAGCCATGGGAACGCCTGGTGGGGGTCGCACCTTCATCACGGAACGACTGAAACGACACTTCAACGTGCTTGGGTATTCCGACTTCACCGGTGCAGCGATCACGACCATGTTCACCACGATTCTGAACAAGTTCTACGAAACCTTTCCGGAAGACGTGAAAGCAGTAGTGCCGACATTAGTGGAGGCGCAGAAAGAAGTCTTTGCGAAGGTTCTAGACGACTTGCTTCCTACACCAGCAAGAGCGCATTACCTGTTCAACTTGCGCGACATCTGGAAGGTGTTTTTGGGAGTTTGCCACTTGCTGCCGAAGAAAGTCGAGGGTCCGGTAGTGCTAGCGCGTTGTTGGTGCCACGAAGTGAATCGGGTGTTTGGTGATAGGCTGATCGACGACGGCGACCGCAATTGGCTACAAGCCTTATTGGAGGAGAAAGTCAAGAACAACTTACAGATGGACCCAGCTGAGATTTTCCACAATGAACGACTGATTTTCGCAGAGTTCATGGAGGCCATCGACAGCCGTGCCTACGAGGAAATCAACGACTTGAACAAAATGGTCGAAGTTTTGGAGGATTATCTAGATGACTACAACAACCAGTTTCCTACGCCAATGCCTTTGGTGATTTTCTTGGATTTCGCGGAACACGTGAGTCGGATCAACCGTACTTTGAACCAGCCACAGGGTAACATGTTGCTTTTGGGCGTAGGTGGTAGTGGACGACAGTCGTCCGCCAGACTAGCGGCATTTGCGAATGACAACGGGTGCTACCAGATCGAAGTCGCAAAGGGCTACGGAATGGTCGAGTTCCGCGACGACATCAAGACGGTGCTAAAACGATGCGGTGTAGAGGGCAAGACGCAAGTTTTTTTGTTCACCGATACGCAAATCGTGAATGAACAGTTCGTGGAAGTCATCAACTCAGTTCTCAACAGTGGCGACGTACCTAACCTGTACAACACCGAAGATCAAGATCAGATCGCAGTCGCCTGCAGGCCAGCGTGCCAGCAGATGGGCTTGCAGCCAACGAAAACGAACATTTTTGCAGCTTATTTGGCAAGGGTGAAGGCGAATGTGCATGTAGTGCTGGCATTCTCTCCGATCGGAGATGCGTTTAGGAATCGATTGCGCATGTTCCCGTCACTGGTGAACTGCTGCACCATCGATTGGTTCAGGGAATGGCCAGCAGAAGCGCTTTACGCAGTAGCAAAACAGCAAATGACACTGACGGACTTGAAACTGCCAAACCTCGAAGGAACCGTCAACATGTTCAAGGTGATCCATCAGAGTGTCGAGAAGGTGCAGAAGGACTTCCTAGACAGGGAAAAGCGATACGTGTACGTCACGCCGACGTCCTACTTGGAACTCCTCAGCTCGTTTAAGAAAATCTTGCAGATGAAGCGCGATGAAGTTGGTGGCTACAAACATCGATACCAGGTGGGTCTAGACAAGATCAGCTCAGCAGAAGTGCAGGTGGCGGGACTACAGGACGACTTGCAAGCGATGCAGCCGGTATTGGAGAAAACGAGTAAAGAAGTCGAAGAAATGATGGTGGTCATTGCAAAGTACTACTGAAGTTTGATTTATTTATCTTCGCTAAGAATGTTTTTATTTTCCGTAGAACAACAGTACTTGGACGCGTACGATGAAGATAGACTACAAGAACCTCTTCCCAAATCTCAACCTCAACCTTCACCTACATTCTTTTCCTTTTGCTTCCCCTTCACAACGGCATAACAACCACGACTACTCCGTTCCTCCTCCAGGGACAAAGAAGCCGCCACCGTTGTGCAGGAAACGTGTGCTGTAGAGGAAAAAGCAGCTCTCGAGATCGCAGACAACTGTACGGCGATCAAAGAGGATGCCCAGAGGGATCTAGATGAGGCCTTACCAGCTCTGGAGCAGGCTGTCCAGTGTCTAAAGCGGTTGAAGATGGACCACTTGCGTGAAGTGAAAGCTCTGGCAAATCCACCATCGGGTGTGAAGTTGACAATGGAGTCTATCTGTATCATGTTTCAAGTGCCGGCGGTGAAGAAGAACGACCCCGATAGACCAGGAAAGAAGATCGATGACTACTGGGAGGCAGCGAAGCTGAATATCTTGAACGATCCGAAGAAGGTACTTACTCAGAAATTGAATATTTTGAACGATCCGAAGAAGGTACTTCTTTGCTAAGAACTTCTTGTACATTTTTGTGGTTAGTACAACGCTTACGATGGTTACTTCTTACAACTTCTAGTCACTACATTCATTGTGGATCACTTTGTCTTGGAAGTGAACACGATAATACACAAGTCTTAATTTCTACTACTTGATCGTAAAAGATTAATAAGCTCCTCTTGCTTCTCTAAACACAGGAGGACCTAATGATTATGGTTTTAAAAATTTCAGCTCCTCGACAATTTATTCGGATTCGATCGAGACAATATTCCGGAGAGCGTCATCACCAAGATCCATCCCTATATGGAACGAGAGGACTTCGACCCTGCCGCGATTAAACGTGCTAGTATCGCCTGCGAGGCGATGTGCATGTGGAGCCGTGCGATGTTCAAGTATCACCATGTTAAGGCGCATGATCATGATTCATCTGCACAAAGTATCAATCTGTCTCAGTTTCCTTCTGGGATTCTGAGAGTATGACCTTCTTGAGAGATGAAGAATTTCTGATTGCGCGCTCTAAGTATATCGCAAAGGCAGTGGAACCGAAGCGACAAAAGCTGCGGGAAGCTGAGGAAGAGCTCGCGTTTGGTCAAGCCAAACTTGCCAAAGCCCAGGGAGAGTTGGCTGAGGTGAACAACAAAATCGCCAAATTGGAAAGCGAGTTCAATTCGGCAGTGGCGAAGAAGGACCAACTGGAACGCGACAGCGACACTTGCGCGAAAAAGCTCGTTCGTGCCAACAAGTTGATTGGAGGTTTGGGCGGAGAAAAGTCGCGTTGGGGTGCCAATGTGGAAACACTTTCCGCTAGCTATTTGCTCCTTCCAGGAGATTCGTTGATTGCCGCTGGTACAGTCTCCTACTCTGGGCCTTTCACCGCACGTTATCGCGTAGAGCTTGAGACAACATGGAGAAAGTGTCTAGCTGACCAGGAAATGGCGTACACAGAAGGCTGCACCATGGCTCAGGTTTTGGGAGAACCAGTGAAGATTCAAGGTTGGATCGTCTGTCAGCTGCCGAACGACGACCTGTCTGTCGAAAACGCTATCATCATCGACAAATCAAGGAGATGGCCCTTGATGATCGATCCGCAGCGACAGGCGAATAAGTAGAGCTACTTTTTGGCATCTTCATAATAAATACGACGAGATTGATAATGTCAATCTTAATGCATCAGCAGAAGGAAATAACAGTGAGTAGAGATAAAGTGAGTCTTCCTCAACAACGTCTGCTATAGTGTTGATATCCCCGCACACCACCAGGTACATCAAAAACATGGGAAAGCAGATCGAGACCGGAATCGATGTTTGCAAACTCTCTGATAGTAGCTTCCTCAGAACGCTCGAATTGGGTATCCAGTTTGGCAAGTGGATTCTCCTGGAGAACATTGGAATTACCCTAGACCCGGCTCTAGAACCGGTCCTGTTGCAGAACAAGGTCAAAGAAGGATCTTCTTACATCATTCGGTTGGGTGATAAGAGTGTCAACTACGGAGACACCTTCCGATTCTTCATGACCACAACCCTACCGAATCCACACTACTCGCCAGAAACGAGCGTTAAGGTACTAAGTTTTTACATAACGTATGATAGATGAAAAGTATAGTAGATTAGCATGCGCTTCAGGAGTCTTATGCTATTTCCAGGCAAGATCCCATACCCATTTTACAACAAGTTCTTTTTGTAGCAGGACCAGGAGCTCCATCTGAAAGGTTGTCATCGTTTGCAGTCGTGTAGTTCTAGTTCAATTTCTGGCACCTCCTACTGTACTACTAAGAGCAGCTGGAAGAATCTGTAACAACTTTTTTACCCCTTGACTGGGTACTAGTACTAGTACTAGCACAACTACTACTACTTTTGTTTAACGCCTCAATACACCACCTCAACATTACCCCTATGCGTCACCACCAGGTAACACTGTTGAACTTCGCCATCACCCCAGTGGGTTTAGAGGATCAAATGTTGGGTATAGTGGTCGCAAAAGAGCGTGCCGATTTGCAGGAAGCCAAAGAAATGTTGGTGACGCAGAACGCAAAGATGAACAAGCAGCTGAAGGAAATCGAAGACGAAATTCTACATCTGCTGGCGACTAGTGAAGGTATTTGTTGTTGTTGCGAACAAAAAATGTACGTTATAGATACTTACAGCTTATAGTAGCTAGAAGAAGTTCGAATAGATTTTTCCTTTCTCGTAGTTAAATGAACGAAGACCCTCTGCTCTTTCTCTTGATTACATCTATGTATTATAATCACCTTTCTCGCACCAGGCGACGTTCTCGAAGACGACAAGCTGATCAACGTTATCTACGCTTCGAAAGCAACTGCCACCGAAATCAATCAGAAGAAACAGGAGGCGGCTGTAACCGAGAAAGAAATCGATGAAGCCCGTGAGAGCTACCGAACAGTCGCTTACCGCGCTTCCGTGCTCTTCTTCGGTATTGTCGAACTCTCCAACGTGGATCCCATGTACCAATTTTCGCTGCAGTGGTTTCAGAACTTGTTCGCGATCTCTATTGACCAGAGCGCGAAGAGTGACGTGCTGAGCGACAGACTCGACATCCTAAAGGATTACTTCACTGAAAGTCTCTACCAAAACGTTTGCAGAGGTTTGTTCGAGAAGGACAAATTGATGTTTTCCTTTGCGTTGTGCTTGCGATTGCTAGCTGGAGACAACAACTTGAACGACGAAGAAGTGGCATATTTGCTCACGGGGCCGACGGCGGATTTGGCCACCGGTGGTCCACCTATACCAGCAGATTGGGTGTCGCAATCTATGTGGAATGAGCTGCTAACTTTGTCCAAGCTACCTGCTTTTGATGGCTTTTCGGAGTATTTCGCATCAAACGTTGCTGATTTCAGACGAATCTACGATGCGATTGAGGCAGAAAAAGAGCCGATCCCAGGTCCGTGGAACGACAAACTGGATGTTAAGAAAAAAAATTCTCTCATTTTTTAACATAAGAGTGTTAGTTTCTTGTGGCTCTAAGGCCTATGAATGAGAATGAGACAGTTGTATAAAAGTGAGCCCTCGTGCAGCACCAGCACCAAGACCAAACCGAAGATTTTTGATATTGATTGATGAAATAAAAATGAAAGCAACTTGTTTCACTCCTCATCCTCTTCCTCTAATCCCCAACTCGAGCGCCTCTGCCTGATGCGAGCCATGCGGTTGAGTCGCTTGACTTTGGCGATCGTGAACTTCATCGCGAGTCAGATCGGGCAGAAATTCGTTGAGCCGCCAACCTTCGACATCCAGAAGTCCTTCGGCGATTCTTTGAACTTCACTCCGCTTATCTTCATCCTAGTCTCAGGGTCCGATCCAGTCGGCGATGTCATCACCTTCGCGGAGAAAATGGGCATGAGCAAGAAGCTAGAGATGATCTCTTAAGGCCCATTTTCTTAATAATACTTCATCTTCCACTGGTGCATCTCCAACAAGTATTCTACTTGAGAATAGATACTCTCAGAGATGCACAGTGACTACTTGAGAATACTCTCAGATGACATGCTCTGTTAGTAGGAGACAAGTTCTTGCCTGACTTTTCTTTTTTCGGTTTTTGTTTTTTCTGGTTAGATATGCTCCGCCAGCAATAGATACTCTCAGAGTAATCGAGAATAGATACTCTCAGAGATGCACCGTCCAAGGATGAACATTGGACAGCCCTAAATCTCGTTAGGTCAGGGACAAGGACCCAAGGCCGCTGCGTTGATCGAGAACGGTGTCCATAGCGGAAGTTGGGTCTTGCTGCAGAACTGTCACTTGGCAATTTCCTGGATGCCCAAACTAGAGTTAAGGGTTACCACATTGCATTCTTCACTACCATCCTTGACTTTTTTTCCAGTAGGAAAAGGGTCAGGGATGATCTGAAGAATGTAATGTCGCAACCTCTAATAGAGGCTATTGTAGAACAGTTCAACCCGGACAACATCAACAACAACTTCCGGCTATGGCTAACATCGATGCCCTCCATAGCCTTCCCAGTTCAAGTGTTGCAGATCGGAGTGAAAATGACGAACGAACCACCGAAGGGTCTGCGGGCGAACTTGCTGCGCAGTTACAGCGGCTTCACGGACGAGTACGTGTCGGAGAGTAACAAACCGGACATCTTCAAGCGACTACTGTTCGGCTTCTGCTTCTTCCACGCGGTTATCCAGGATCGACGGAAATTCGGTCCTATTGGTTGGAACATCCCCTATGGCTTCACGACAGAGGATTTGACCACGTGTCGGCGCCAATTGATGAGCTTTATCAACCAGTACGAAGAAGTACCGATCAAGGTGTTGCTCTTCCTTGGCGCAAGCATCAACTACGGAGGTCGTGTCACGGATGCGCAGGACAAGCGTTTGATTACGTGCATCCTAGGGAAATACATCAACAAAGAGGTGCTCGACAACGAAGATTACAAATTCTCAGACAGCGGTACTGCTCCTTCTTAGATGAACAATGAATTTGTCCGACTTTTGCCGTTTTAATGTTATCTTCTTTGACCAAGTTCTTCTCCTCTCACCTTCACCACGACACCATCAAAACCAGGTCTCTACTACGCTCCTCTTTACGACTCCATGGAAGAGTATGTTGAGTACATTCGCAACCTCCCCCTCGCCCCCAGTCCAGAGGCCTTCGATATGGATGAGAATTGCGCCATTTCTACTGCAGAAGGTGAGGCGCTTGCTCTACTAGCTGGTATCGTCTCTGTGTACGCCAAGAGCGGGTCCGGAGCTGCTGGTAGGAGTAAGGAGGACGTGATGGAGGAAGTCGCGAAACAAGTCTTAGACCGCATTCCTGGATTGTTCGACATTGACTTCGTGGAGAAGAAGTACCCGACACAGTACGAAGAATCCATGAACACAGTCCTGAAGCAAGAGGCTATTCTTAAGGCTACCGCTGAAGCATCCTCAACGTCATCCGTGTTCGTTGGCTCCTTTTCTACTTACTTGAAAAAGGCACCAAGGATGCTGCCAAGGATGCCCATGCGGTACCTCTAATATTCGCTACAACAAGCTGTTGAGCGTGATGCACAAAGCGATTCCGACATTCAGGAAAGCATTGAAGGGTTTGGTGGTGATGAGCAGCGAACTCGAGCAAATGGGCAACGAGATGTTCCTCAACCAAGTGCCAACGATGTGGGGTGATAAAGGTACTGACTTCTTATTTGAAGATTTTGTCGTGGACATCGTCATTGTTTCTTACGTTGATTAGGATTATGCTTCGCCTTCCTTATTTTTCCATTCACGCCTTTTGCTCAATAACTACATCTACAGCATTCTTTCATACCCATCTTCGACACTTCTAGGTTTCTTGTCCCTGAAGCCATTGTCTGCCTGGCAGTTGGATCTGACGGCAAGGTTGGACTTCTTGACCGATTGGCTGCAGAACTCGAAACCTCCAATTTTCTGGGTTAGCGGTTTCTTCTTTCCCCAAGCCTTTTTGACCGGTGCTCTGCAGAACCATGCGAGAAAATACAACTTCGAAATCGACCGACTCGAATTCTTGATCAATCTTTATGGCAGAATTGCAATGTTTGTTCGTGTTGTGGAAGGGATTTTTCATTGCGTAATGCGTACTTACTTAGTATTTTCAGTATGTATTTGATGACTTTTTTCCGTAAGGAGAATGAACGATCCTCGCATCGTGCTAGTAGACAAATCTACTTACAACCAAACTTTACTTACTACTTATTACAAATCTACTTACCACTTACAACAACTTTGGTTACCAAATGAATCTCTCTCTAACGGCCTCAAGACGGAAACCGGCAGCCCACAAGCTTCACCGAGCCACCCCAAGACGGGATTTACATTTGGGGACTCTACATCGAAGGCGCTAGATTCTGCAACGAGGCGAAGAACATCAGACCTAGCGAGCCGAAGATTCTGTACACGGCGTTGCCGGTCATGCACTTCTTGCCCGAGCTAGATCGCAAACCACCAGCAAGCTGCTACCGGTGTCCGGTGTACAAGGTGCTAAGTCGTCGCGGCGTTTTGATGACGACCGGTCACTCGACGAACTTTGTCATGTATCTGGAAGTTCCGAGTGACGAGACAGACCCGCTGAAGGAGAAGTGGATCAGAGCTGGTGTAGCCGCGTTCTTGGCGCTGAGGACGTAGTGCCCTTGGCCCGTTATCACAGTGACGATTGGCACAGGAGGTGGTTAATGTGCTGGCACGCACTTGCATTAAAAGTATATTCATCATTGCTAGAAGAAGTGCTACCTGCTAGTCAAAGAACAAGAACACATACAGATATGTCAATGTCGAATTTTTATAGCTTGAATACCTCACAGTAACCAAGAAGATAGAAGACAATACTAGATAACGTCATGCTTTCTCTGATTATGGATACAATTTATGCTACGAAACTCAGAATTTACAGAAGAAGAATCTCAGAAGATACGCGTCTGTATAGTTGATGTAGTACTGTTGAAGATATGACGAATCGATGCGGTAAAAGAACTATGTAATTGGCTGCCGGTTATTAACATGGACCACGGCGCTGGAGCTGCGTGGTGCGTGCGTGTGTGGAGGTCGCGAAAAAGCGGCTACCAATTACAAGATTTTCGAAAGTACTTGACTAGTACCCTACTGAGATTCACAATACAACTGATACTTGAATAAATTGAATGTTGAGACTTCACTGATAATCCCAGTAGAGAAAGAATATTTGTTCTAAGACACTACGAAAACGAACATGGTCCTATGAAATGAAAGGATGTTGATTCGATTTTTGTTTTCCCATCTGAAAAATGATAAGACCAATTATCATACCCCTACCTGAATTTGAATTAATGTTGAGTCGATAGATTTGGGTAGATCAGATAGATAGCTGATGTAGACTAACAATGGATGCAACCATCGAACATGAGACATCAGTTAGAATCTTGTTTTCGGCGGTTGGTCCATCGATTTTGAACAGCTCATGCAGAGCCAGAAGATGTGGTAAGACTACTAAACTCTCCCCTTGTTCACTGAAGACTGCATAGAAAAATACTTTGCGTTATTTGTTGGCTATATCAAAATGTACCAGTAGTTGTATCTCAAAGAAAAAAATCGAGACTGTACCCCCAATCATGACCAATGTCGCGTATACGATGCGATCGCATGTGGATGATTTTTCTTCCACCTGTTGCCTTTTCAATGTCTTGGAATCGGTTGTGAATATTTTTAGCCCCTTTCTAAGTATCCAGAAACTCTTTTGAGTTTCACCGTTCTGTGACTGCTCGATGGCGTGACCGTCACTCTTCTCGTTCGGTTTGGAGAGATATGAATCGCGGCCTTAGTAAGTTAGAAGAGGTCTTTCTCAGCAACTGCATTCTACAAAAATGGAACTCTTGTTTATACGAGGCCGCCTCTACTAGGTGTACCTGACCACCGCGAAAAATGAAGTAAAGCTAAAACCATGTCCGGTGACGAGCGCGACAGCTCTTGCACCTCACGTGACGCATTAGTTACGCAGTAGATTAAAGTCAACTCTGATGCTCCCGAATCATCATGAGGACCGACACTGAGGTGTTCGAAAGCCGCAGGGGCCGCGCCCGCGCTGTCGACGTTTTTGGTCAGGATGAGGGATCAGATCCTTCTGTGCGGCTTGCACAGATCACGGCGTGGCTCGGGGAACAGAAACTGCAACATGTCAGCAACATGTTGACATGGCATCGCGTTGACGATTTCGCAACCTTGAAAAAGCTGGACGACAATTACTTGAAAGAAATGGGGCTTCGAGTTGAAGATCGTGTCCCATTGTTGCAGGCATTGGTAGAGGACGTGGAAATGGGCACTGCTAGCGCTCTGAGGAGACCTTCCTACCATCTTCAGCGAGATATCGACTTCAGCGAGATATCGACCGATTGCGAGGACAAGAAGCCGCGGCGATGCTCGAAGTTCAGCGAGAGATGCAGATTTCGTTTCGGCTCGTTTTCCAGTACAACTGACCACCTTGCTTGCGACCATTAAGGCTCAACTTTCATTGGTCATCGAGGTTGGTCTTCACTGAGATCGGTCGAAGAGGCGACCTCCCCTTCTTGAGAGAACCAACAGGGGAAATAAACGAAGGGAAAAGGGACGAGCTTTGAAGGTGGTCGCTTCCGTTTAGCATCAGTGGCCAATGAGTGTCGACCTCTAAGACAAGCCAACAGATCCGGTGGCCGCCTTTAAGACCAACTAACAAGGACACTCCCGTTACAGGTTCTCTTCTCCCAGACGATGAAGGAGATTTAGCCAAGGTCCTGGGTAGTATTACCAATGGTTTCTATGCCAAACCGAAGAACTGCTGTCATTCGATATGGAGAGTCTTGAGCATAGCGCAGTTTTTGCCGATATTTGTGAGCAACGTGCTTAAAAACATCGACCCAAAAGCAGCGGGGAAGAAGGCTGGGTAATAATGGAGTTTTTCACCTGCTGGCTCCAAGAATGAACTTTGACTTGCTACGACGGACTATTTGATGGTACAACTACCAGCTTTGCAGTCACAATATAACATCGACCTCCACCCGCACCAGTGCCTACGACCGCTCGCACATGCCTGGCGCACTACTAGACGAGAGTAGCTCAGAGTACAAAGCCTTCATGGATGAGGTCTCGAAAAGCGATAACTCCTATAATGCTGCGCTTCTTCTTGTAGAGAGGATTTGACTACTGGTTCTCGAGGTCCAATTTTCCCCTTCTGGTTCTCGAAATCGTCTTCAACCACCAGGGAGAATGGCGAGTGTACGAGCGGGATGAGGGAGATTATGAAAAACGACTAGATCATCCCTTCTCCTGCTTACTGTAGATATTTTTTTCTCCCGGAGACAGTACCGAATCGAACCGCAGCGCTTGGAATTGATATCAGCCGAAGAAGAGCAAGAGATGTTGAGCCTTGAGCGGCGTCGAAGTAGCCGCCCATCCGTGGTTGGCCAAGCCTTACAACGTGTAAGACAGACCTATGGGGATGGGGGGTCTATGACTTCGGGGTAGGTAGAAAATGAGAACCACTCATCATGGAACCAGAAATAGTATTACAAACGAAAATTGCGATCACCTTCACCACTTAGTGAACTTTCTCATTCTCTTATGCGGATAGAAACTAAAACAGGCATTGATGTGATTCAGGGCAAAATAGGCTTCTTTTTTTCGCAAAGAATATATGTTCAACGTGATCCCAACTTCGGCACCAGAGAGCTGCGAGCGTCGTCGCTGTGCGGCCTCTTCATTGGGTGATTTTTCTTTCATCAACACAATTTAAGGATGCTAATGCTCATCACCAGCCACAGAGACACAACTGAACAATAACCACAAAAGTCGAGCATGAGCGGGAAGCCGATTTGCTGCTTCAATCGGGCCGTGGCTTTTTTTTGGCACTACCTGCAGTGAACGAAAACGGAAATGGACGAGATTCTGCCTATCGGTCACAGCCAGGAGGTCTGAGTAGACACGAGAGTGCTTGAGCGAGAGGTGAGAAAAACTGCCTTTCCTCAACATAAAAGTATGAGGTGAACCGACTTTGACGATAAAGCAAACAGAATCTTGCCCCTTTCTCAAAGTTCTGTAGTATTGTCGGTTTGTAGGGTTCTTGGTGAAGCCACTTCCCCCCCAAAAAAGATCTCCCAATCGATCCCAATGAGATTCTTGATCTTGGACAAAAATATCTAAACATCCCAACGTTACTTGCAGAACACGTCATTCAAATTCAGATCCATGACCTTTGCGCCGGTAGCCGTCTAGCTTCCTTGCCACCTGTCGTGGCATCACCGCTAACTGACATCATGTTTCTGAGCAAGGATCTCTTTCTTGACGAGGACGAGGCTGGTAGCGCTACTCAACAACATTAAGGCTAGTTGGTCTTGATAGATAATTGTAACTCAGCCGGACACCTCTAAGGATGAAGTAAGTATACAATAAACATCCTAATCGTAATCATACATGATCAGATGGATCATCAAACACCTCTAAGGCCTACAACATCACCCGGTCGTCGTGGGACAGAACCCTGCGTCCTCATCCACCTCCCTGAAAGCAAAGTACGCCGGATCAACTGCACAGGTCCTCAATTTCGACGAGCCGAGAAATGTCGGATCTGGGCCTGGTACGACAGTTAGGGCTTTTTTCTACAACCTAAAAGGTAAAGGTGTAATGAGTGTCTCCTTCTGTTTTGAGTCGAGTGGGACAGTTAAGAGGAGTGGGCTTGTCCCTAACAAACTGAGTAAATATTTTATGTGATGGAATGAGCAGGACGAGGAGAATCTTCTAAGAGACCTTCAAGTGGAGGTGGCAACTCGTCCGAGCCACTCGATGCAGCGTCACGACAACAGAAGCTGATGCAGCAACGGGCGATGATGCAGCAGAAGATGGCGACACAAAATCGTGGCGGAGGCGTGCTCACAAATTCTATGGGACTGGGGGGACCGGTAATTTAGATTTGGATTTTTAAGTACTTGCGAGAGTTCGAGTTGTAGTGATCATAGATGAGCTGGAGGTCATACAATTGTTTAGATTTTTCAAAATCGAGAAAGAACGTTCCACCTGCCAGATTCGTCAAAACCACAACAACTTCGCTGGAGGATCGTTATACGAGATAGAGCCGCAGAAGAGGAAATCAGCGACTATGGACCTCTTTGAAACGGCACCTTTCGAGGAATCTAGAGACTCTTCAAAGACGCAAAGTCCGAAGCAGAGCTTGGACGTATGGTTGTCAATTAAGTAAGTTGAACAGCTTTTTTTCCGTAGTACGTAGTAACATCAAGATGCTCGATACCGCTCGTGTACTGTCTGGTTCGACGTCGAGAATACTAGCACGATAGCGATGTTTGAAGCGGCCTACAACCTGCAAAAAAAATTCAACTGCAGGACAACTTCGGGTCAGAAGAGACGGGTCAGGATGCAGGTACAGCAGTGTCAGAAGACTCCGAAGACGATGCGGGAGGCGGAGTGGTCCTTTACGAGACAAATTTTTCATAGCTTTCATCCTTTCAGCTTGCGACCTACTTTGACAAGAAGCCATTTCACCTACCTCCTCGGTAGAGCGCTGAAGAAAGGCATCTGGATCTAAGTACTCTAATATTCCCAGCAGATCGAGCCAGGTGCCTCTGATGCAAATGACGTGGTTCTCCCAGTCGTGACTAGTCCCACATTAGGAGATGGTCACTTTGGAGACCCTGCTGCCGACGAAAGCAATACACCAGCTGGAGTAGGAGGTCCATTTTCACCGGGAGGCTTTTCGTCAGGAGAGTCACCGCATTTCGTGGAACAAGCTTTGCAGTCGAGAGGCTTAGCACCAGTATTCGATCCAACAGGCGGCTTTCCGCCAGAACCGGCAGGATCATCGCTTCCTTTGGGAACACGAAGATTCGATCCTAGCATGATTGGGTCGAGCTTGCCGGGATTTTTGAGTACTACTTGTCTACTTATCAGAGGTCGTCGATGTCATTGTCAACTCGAGCTGAGTATCTTGCTGGAAACCGAATTTGCTAGTCTTCTTCTAGGTAGTTGAAGAGATGAATCATATTAAGATGTTTTAATAAGATGTTCGTAACAATCTATCACTCCAGTGAATCGGCTGCCACGAGGCGTGCTGATGGAGTGTCAGGTAACGAGGGCTGGCGGCATTGCTAGCAAGTTTTACCCGAAATACAAAGTTTTTACTGGCGATACAGGCTTTTTCCTAATGAGCGCGCAGAAGAGGAAGAAGAACAAGACGAGCAATTACTGCATATCAATGGGCGAGAATGATCTTTTATGGACGGAATGCGAAGAGAGAGAGAAAAGTGACTTTTTGAGATCCTCACAATTTGAATTTCGTGCTGCACGGGATCATGTACTTAATAGAGTGTTCAACAAGAAAACCGATGTTCGTGAATTTTGATCATCAGTAGAGTTCGTCCTCTCGTCCATGCTGTTTGAATCTCTAACTCGCAACCCCCAGTCCGTCAATTGCCTTGGGAAGTTACGGTCGAACTTTATGGGATCTGAGTTCGTGGCCTACAGTTCAGGATTGAATCCAGCAAAAGGCGAGAACAGACCAGCCGAAGAATACAGGGAAGAACTTTGCGCAGTCACGTATAGCAGCACACTTTGGGGTACTATACATCATAGTTGAACCCCTCCTGCTCTTAGATGAGAAGGAGTTGCGAATGTACTTACCAAGAACTATAATAGGTAGATTATCATGAGAATTTATTTGTCCCCCTCATAATGAGATTGCAATCTTTATCTTCATCCCCATCCCAAAAAATTAGGCAAAAAACCACGCGGGCCACGAAAGATGAGCGTGATTGTGCCACGACTGAACGGCGATGATTCGAGAGTCATCTGCCGACCAATTAGAACGGACGGCAGTGACGGGTTACTTCAGGCAGGAAGGCTGGCGGAGCAGCATCAACACTCAGGTGAGGCTTACTTCTACTTGTTGAATCTTTTAAAAACTGCTCAATTATGAAGTACTTAGATGAAAAACAAATAATATTTCATCGGATGTTTTTCTGTACTAGTCGTCGCAGTAAATTCAGGATTAAACTACAACAAGGCGAGCAGGTCATGATAACTTTGTTTTCTTATCAACATGACCTTCAGGCGAGCTCCCAGTCGAAGTTTTCACGAACAAAGCGCCGAAGTGGAACGATTCTCTCGGAGCTTTCGTTCTAAACTTTAACAAGCGAGTAACACTTAAGGCTGCACAACATCCATCTTCCCCCGTTGTATAGTGGTCCTTCCGATTTTTTACAGGGAGTAACAGGTAGGACCACGATGATGAGTCCGAAGATGGGCGACGTCTCTTAGTTCTAAAAAGCAGGCTTCGGTGAAGAACTTCCAGCTTATCAGCCAGCGAGACCCAGATACAGTGGTGCTGCAATTTGGCAGGATCGCGAAAGATCAATTCACCATGGACTTTCGGTATCCGTTGTCTCCTTTTCAGGCTTTTGCCATTGTTCTCAGCAGTTTCGACTACAAACTCTGCTGCGAATAGCTGGAACTGGAAGCTGCAGTCTTGCTCTTGTTTTCTAAGTACCAGGGTTTTTGATAGGTTTTGCGCTAGCATTAGCAACATTTTATTACAGGGGATTCATGACATGAACAAGGTTACGGGCGACTATCGCGAAAAACAAGAATAAGAATTACTAGATGGCTGGAGAAGGCCTCCTTGCTGGGACAACCATCATTAGATGAGCAGACGTTGCAAGAGTGAATTTATTTTCCACATCACACGAAGATGAAACTGAAAGTAAGACACCGTTTTTCTTCATTGGCTTTGAGACCAGTTTCTTTCGGAAAGTAGTTCATCCGTTATCAACCGCTTTTTTCTTGAGTTGCTAGCTGGCATACGCAGAAGGCCAACAGAAATGCCTAGGAAGATGTTACCAGGACAACACGCCTGCTTCGTGTCACCATTGAGGCTGAGTTTTCTGGAAAACAGGTTTGAAGTGGTTCACACCGAACCCCGTGACAAGCAGGATGAAATCAAAAAAGTCGATTCAAAAATGCCATCTATCTGCTGACTCTATTGCTTCGATTTGTGGAGCACGTGATCTTCTTTTAGTACATGGAAACGTACGCAAGTTAGTGCTAGCAATTAAAGCGTATCTTCTACCCAGGCCTCAACATGAAAAGCGATGAAAAAATAATCCGATTATTAGCGTGGATGAAGAGGTATCAAACGGCGCTATGTGCGAAATGAATAGAATAGATCATACGTGGGGATAAAAAGTAATATAGTGCCGAGTGAGTTACATCATGGTCAATAGCACCAGAGATGACTCGAGATTAGGACACAGACAAGAAAAATGCCTTTGACCGATCTCCTTGTGCTCCGAGAAGGAGCTGCCCGTATGAGATGACGTACTCACTCTCGGGGCTCTGAAGAGGGCTACGTCTCCATTCGTCAGAGGAGAAAGGCCTGGAAGATACGGTCGCTCTTTCAGCGATAGGAGCAGAAGAAAACGAGGCAACGAATCTCCTTCACTGCGCTTCGATAGAACGTGTTGTAGCAATACTTCAGGCAGAGATAAAAAAAAGCTCCTACTCAGACCTGACAACATCAACAACCAGAACTATTTTCTAGTTCATCCTAATATTACCTCCGAGTCCGAGTCCAAGTAGTTCTAGTACTACGGCTACCACGACAAGATGTACGTCGAAGAGGTCCGCATCGACGGGTTCAAGTCGTACTCGACATTGGTCAAGGTGGGACCATTTGATCGCCAATTCAATGCCATCACGGGTCAGAACGGAACGGGGAAAAGCAACATCCTCGACTCCATATGCTTCGTGCTCGGAATCACAAATTTGTTTATGGCAATGCATGGTGATACTTTCAAGGGTCATAAGTACTTTCTGTAGTTGGATCTCCTAGGAATCTGCCATACAACATGCACTGCTTAAGTAGATTGCATCACACTGCCTATGATACGTATACTAGATAGTCCTTCTAGCTAGATACCGAATAGAACTGTTTTACTTTTTGCTCCCGTACTTCCAGTACAACTACCGCTACTACTTCTGCCCATTGTTCTCCTCTAATTTTTCTCAAGTCCGAGTGGCTTCTTTGAGCGAATTGGTGTACAAGCAGGGACAAGCCGGCGTAACCAAAGCGAGCGTCACTGTGGTCTTCAACAATGAAGACAAAGCCAATGCTCCGATTGGCTATAAAGATCCGGATAAGATCGAGGTGACTCGACAGGTGTTATGGGTTTCGGAGTAGTGAGGAAAAAGATAAAGTAAAGGCACTTCTAAGATGTTTAAGTAGAAGCTCACCAACGAGGAGATGGACCTCTTTCTACCCCTCTAAAAGTCGTCATCCAAGGTCGTAACCGATGGTTCATCAACAACCAAGCGAAGCAACAGGGAGACGTCGCCAACCTCTTCCAGAGTGTCCAGCTGAATGTGAACAACCCACATTTCCTTATCATGCAAGGTCGGATTACGAAGGTAATCAATATGAAGCCACACGAAACGCTAGCCATGATTGAAGAAGCAGCAGGGACAAAGATGTATGAGGTACTTACATAGACAAGAATACAAGTACTTAGTACATAGACATAGACAATATTACTTTTGATGACATTCGTTTTCGTTCAAATCATGATGGTTCGCTGGGATGAATTTCAAGTTTCTACTTTTGATTTCTATGTTGATCGAAGGTGCATGGCAAAAATGTCAAGACACCTTTTCGAACCGCCTATCTCCCTACCTCCAGGTGAAGAAACAGCAATCGTTGAGGAATTTGGAGAAAAAGAAGGGGAAAGTGGATAATATCAATCGAGTACTGGAAGAAGAGATCTCGCCGACGATAAAGAAGCTTGAGCAGGAGAAGAAAAACTTTCTTCAGTGGTCAGCAAATAATCACGAAATCGAGAGGTACAACTACAACATTGTGGTTTTTTGTTGTTTGCGAAGAGCTTCTCTAGGAAGGGGTGCTCACAACAATTTACATGTTAGATTGTTCTCATCTCATTCTACTTCGTCTGCATCTTCACGTAAGTATTTCATTTTGTTTCAGAAAAATCTTCACATATTTTTTCGTAGAATTTAAGTTGGCTTAGAAAACTTTGATTTTTCTATTCGATTTTAATCAAACGTGGATGATGATCATGATTAGGATTTCCGAATGCAGGCCAGAATATTAAAAATTTGATTTTATTCCGTTTTACTTCAATTTCAAATCATAGGAACATAGAAGCGCTGAGCCTCGAAACCTCAGCTGTAACGTGATTCTATCCATAATTCTTGTCAGAAAACCCAAAAATTTTGATTTTATTCCGTTTTAATTCAATTTCAAATCATAGGAACACAGAAGCGCTGAGCGTCGAAATCTCAGCTGTAACGTGCTTCTATTCATATTTCTCGTCAGAAAACTGAAAATTTTGATTTTAGTCCGTTTTAATTTAATTTCAAATCATATGCTCCTTATTTGAGAATCTATTCTCAATTGTGAACAAGTGATACTTATCAACACAAGGTTGATGCGTTTCAATAATGCTGCCGACTTTTTGGGCTGGAAGAAGAAAGAAGAAGCTGCGCGGGGTGAAAAAGAGGATGCTGCCAAAATGTTGGAGACTCGAGTTATGTTGAGGCAATCTGAAACTCTTTGACGAAGAGGACATAATTAAAGAGCTTTGGTTTTCTTTTTTCAAATTCGAACCGTTTAGTTTGAGCTGCTCCCCAACCCTCTCCTCTTAAAACATGAGTTGGACGTTGGTCGTCGGTTGCGAGCTTCATTGTATGAAAAGAATGAATTGTAGACGGTAAGCCCTAGCAGCTCTTCTAATCCATTAGAAGAAAGAACCACGCTGGGAGCTCGGTTAGAAGCACTTGCCGAGGAGATGAAGGAGAAATTGGCTGGCAGAGAAGAAGGAGATGAAATGAAGGCTGCTAAAATTAAGAGCGTCCTCTACTTAACTATTTCTACATACTGTCTAGTACACATCACGTCACCGTCACCGTCTATTACACACCGACTTGTTAGGTGTACTACTGGCAGCATCTCCTCCTCCTGCACACAGAAGTACTTAGAAATTAGATCTTCCTTGCGAAAATCTCCATACAGTGACTCTATTTCTTCTATCAGCATAAGGTTTATCCATCTGACTGACGTCTTCCCACAAAGCCTTCTCTAAAACGAAGCAACAGAAAGATCTGAAGGCGGAAGTGAAGAAAGCGGAAAATACGCTAGCGAACAAGAAGGCCAGCGCTGTAAATTACGGCTACACATTAACATAGCAACAACACGAATGAATCAAGATCAACAGCGCTGTAAATAGGCAAGAACATCAACAATGAATCTTTCTCAAAAATACGATAAACATAAAGACAGGTCAAATCAAATGCCGGTAGGAGGTAATGCTGATGGCTCTAAAGAAAAGAACAAAAGAAACGCGAGAAGGCGGAAAAAGATTTCAAGGATGTCGAGGTACATACGTGTAGGTAGTTTGTTTTGTGTATCCTTCGAAGGATTGAATCCTGGATTTTTCTGATGTTTTCTCTTCAGCACTAGCCCCTTTGTAGTCAGAATATATCCGTGATGATATAGGTTGAGGTGTGTTTAGAGAAGATTTATCGTTACCTCATAAGTAGAGCATGCTGATATCCGTATGTTGCCTGAAATATAGTGTAAATGTAACCTACTCTTTTGTTCCCTCACTCCACGACCTGCAGATGTGACCACTTCTCTTCTTCCTCGCACCACCTACAGGCAACCAGAGAACAGAAGACCGCCCAAGTAGCAGAGGCTGCGAGGAAACGGGATGAGCAGAAGAGTAAAATGGACGCCTTTACGCATGAAATAGCAGAGTTCAAGCGGAAGATTCAAGCGCTTTCAGCCGGCGTCTCAGAGAATAACGAAGAGGGTGCCAGTGTCCATCAGCAGGTGCTTGACGTCCAGAGGCAGATCCAGGAACATGAAGGTACTTCTTTCTATAGATTATTTGCAGTACTGGTACTAGCCGACGTCGTACACAGCTTACTAGTACGACAGGAGGGGTGATTTGCTTCGATCTAGACTCTCAACTACATTTTTTTTTTTTAACAGCACACGGGAACACATAGTACATAGGCACACCAAAAAAACTACGTCGACAAATGATCCTCGATTCAATTATAAGTATATCAAAACTGTCTGGTACGTCCTGGTCCTCCACATCTCCTCCTCCACCACACAAATATCAAAGGTAAAAAGTCCCGTGCTGGCTTGAAGAAGAGAGCTTTGCTTCAAGACATTCCTGAGCAGGAAAAGAGAATGAAATCGCTTCAGAGTGACATAAAAAAGCAAGACGAGAATATCGCTAAGCTTGAACAACAGATGGAATCCGCAAAACATAAACTCGAAAGTTGCGGTTTCACGCCAGAAGAGTACTGCAAGCAACTTGTTCTTGTTGTTCTGCTCAGATACTCGAATACACTCAGATAATAATATGCGAGTAAGTAACTGAGATTATTCCCTAGCATAATCGGGTACTTTAGTCTTTCGATTAATCGGAACCACAATAATTAATGTTCTTGTCGCCTCTTCTTCGCGTTGTTCATGACCAGCATGATGTTGGTGATATTTGTCTCGAAAGTAACTAGATTGCTGCACCCTAACTCCCATACCTCCCATAATAACAGGCGAGACGATTGCACCCAGAAGTATGAGAATGCGAAAGCGCAGAAAAACCAGCACTGGAACGCTATGCAAGAGAAGGGCATGTGGAGGAGATATGAATCCTACATAGCGGACTACACACCACCTCCAGGCTTCGATAGGAGTCGAGTAAAGGGCAGTGTGATACAGCTGTTGAAGGTAGTTTCTCTTTCTTTTGTGGGGATTGAGTAAAAGTACTGACTAGATAGATTGATGACCCTATTTTTGAAGTTTTTCTTCATCACGTTGATGACCTTTCTCTTTCCAATCCATACAGATAAAAGAAGGGTATGAAGATTGCATTGACGCCTTTGAGATTATGGCTGGTAACAAGCTGGCTAATGTCATCGTTGACGGACCCGAGACATCAAAACTGCTTATCGCCGAGAAATGCATGAAGCATCGTACTACTTTTGTGCCGTTGGTGGGGTTGGAGAAAAATTTATGGTTTGGTCGGGATGGTCGTGCCCATGGATCAAGGGAAATATATTTTCTTAGATCTTTATAGATAGGTGGAGAAATCTCGATGTAGATAACAAGTAAAGTTGGCTCGTGACCTCCGCAAGAATAATCAATTTGATACTCTCTGTCTGATATTAGGACACTTAGCGAGGCGCGCAAGCGCATACATCATATGTTGGTGGAACAACAACAACTTGTAGTTGTCAACAAGTCTACTTGCAGATGAGTAACTTAAAGGTCACTACTAGTACAACTTTATCAACGACTGCCCTAATTCTGCCTTTGTCTCAGAGGCGCTTGGATCGTGCGAGGGAAATAGCGGCTCAGAAGGGCTGCAAGAAACTAATCACGCGGCTTATCTTATGATGACCAGCTCTGAAGCTGTACTTACTTTCTTTTATACAGTTCCACTATATTTAGAAATTTAGACTTTGAAGCGTCCTCGGTATACCTCATGACTACATGATGATGATGATCTAAGAAGAAGCGTAAACTCAAGTGGTTCTTGATGTTGAAAATAGACTACTTCTGCAACTAAGTACTTACAAACTACTACTACAGTTACTTCCTATATTATCATGCTGCGCAATATAAGAACTCAAGGTAATAAATTCCCTCCCCGTAGGGGCTATATCGCCCTCCTGACGGTGAAGATGTTGCCCTTAAATTTCCTTCCGATCACGCCAAGACCGTGGGTCTTATGGCGTGGCTTCTCTTCTAACGTGAGACGTAATCCAGTTCCCCAGCGACTTGCGATCCGCTTTTGAGTTCCTCTTCGGCAATGTCCTGATTGTCGAGGACACGGCTCACGCTCGAGCGATCTTTGACCACAAAGAAGTGAGCACAGTCTGCGTGACTAAGGTATTTTTAGCTACTTACTCAGCGCATTTCTATGCAAGCATATTTCATGAACAGGGTTACTTCTACGGTTGTACTCAATTTCATTCTATGTGTAACTCGTTGGAAATTGATAGCACTAGTTGTACTAGTGACTACAAACGTTATCCAATCCAATTCTACATTTCCACTTGTTGCTCCAACGGCAACATCTATCCCAATCCATGTTCGGACTCTCAGCTCGGCGACACGTACAATCCATCGGGACTTGTAAGCGGTGGTGGCAAGCCACAAGGTGCTGGTAGACTGCGTCAATTTGGAGAGTACAGGGAACTAAAATCGCAATATGCTAAGATTGAAGAGACAATCAAGTCTTTATGAAGATTCTATTGTAAGAACGCCAACTAGTACTAGTAAGAGGACCATTGAGATTGATTGACATTGAGATTGTTTTTGGAAGTTCTGCTTCAAAATCTTCTTATTTCGAGGTGTCTTTGGGGGATTCCTCCAGTAGTTTGGAAGACCACCAGAGCACAGACCTCCTTCCTCTACTTCTTCACGAAAATAATGAACCAGTTTGCTCTCACTCTCCTTCATCTAAGACAAGAAGAGGCACGATGGGCGCAACTAATGGCAAATCAGAGCAAGTATCGCAAGCTAGACGACGATGTTCGTATATTGCGAACAAAGCTCGAAGGCCTCTTCGAACTCCGGGAAACGTCCACGGGTGGGCAGGTGGAAGCGCAAATTCAAAGAATGCGATTGGAATTGCAGGAGCTGGAAGCTTTTTTTTATGGCAGATCCAGATCCATCGTTCGCCGGTGTTTTTAGATCATGGTATCTCAGTAGTAGACCATAGTACAGCTTCTAATCCCTGGAATCCTACGACAGCCATGAGGAGACGCTCCAGCGGCAGTTCCAGTCTTTGAAAAAAGAGCAGGAGACTCTGAATTCGTCAGCAGGAGACCGACAGAAGCAGTATCAGAAAGAGATAGAACTGCGAGAAAAGGAGAAAAATTATGGTCATTTTTTCTCCATCTTTCGCGGCATCTTGGTTCCCGCCCTTTACCCTGTTGTATTCTCATGGAATACAACGACAAGGGCAAGGGGTTCATCAACATGAGGAAGCCGACATAGTAAATACTTAGAAACTGACTGCTCAGCTCTAAACAAAGCCAGTTGAAAAAGAACTATCGAAAGCAGAGCTGGAGGTCGGGCGCCTGACAGGCGAACAACAGTCAACTGAGGAAGACTCTTTGCGTGCGCATAAAGCAGCGGAAGATGCTCAGAAAGCATATCATTACGAAAGTCAGAAACATTTCATGATCTTCGTACTAGTGTCTATTCTTGGACCCCATCAGGCCAAGACTAACTCCAAGATACTTCACGACAATCCTCTTCTAATCTCCCACCCTCGAGACTGAATGCGAAAATCTTGCGGGAGAGCTGGAAACAAACAGGAAGACACTAGAGGAGATAAACGCGAAAGTGGAAGAATTCGAAGATACGGTAAAGCGCTGCAGCGCAGAAGTCCTCGACCTCCAAAAGGAGAAGAGGGAAGCAGACAGGAGAATGACAGATCTCGAATTGGATTATGAAGACGATATCTTAATCATGTGTAGAGGTTGTTGTAGCGTGTTGCTGTAGAATGTCAGGGTAGTTTTTTTGTTCTTTTTGCTTTTCACAATCACATCAACATAACCCGATTTCCATTCATGTTCTTGGTCTAATCCAAATTGGTGTGATTCGTCCTCTAATCCAAAGTGAAGCATGCAGAACAGACCCTAGAAAAGGCGACGAAGGACGTGAAGGAGTCTGCAGGTGTCGTGCAGGCATGGCTCAAAAAGCATCCATGGATAATCAAGGAGTTATGACAGATGAAATTAAGTATTTAAGTGTTGACTTGCAGAATAACCGACTTTTTCCACACTTTTAGGGACCTTAACACACCAACAAAAACAAAAATGTCACCCTGTTGCAACTCGTCTCTGTCCTGTAATCAGGATCTTGTTCATCTCGTGTAAGATAAGATTTTTGGCTATCTAAGGTTCGCAAGAGTATTTAAGTGTTGAACGTCTTGGGCAACTCGTCCAATTAATTGCGGCAGTAGGTGGATAGGATAATATCCGAAAGGGGGATAGGTATGATCCACCTGTCCTTTTACTCTTCTAATCCCCGAGCCCTTCTTTGGGAAGAAAGGGTCTGACTTCGATTTCGAGCGGACCTGTCCTAAGGAAGCGAAACGCAGACAGACCGATCTGGAAATGCAACAAAAAACGCTTTCAAGAGGGGTCAACAAAAAGGTGATGACGCAGTTCGAGTCGGCGCAGAGACAGTTATGGTTGGAGTCAGTGAACTATTTTAGTGACTAGTGTTCGGAACACAGTACTAGAGATCCACCTGTCTTTCTACTTCTTACCACCTCTACTTATCTAAGTCTAAAAAAAGGTAGAAGAACAAACCGAAACCCAACATCAACAACTAGTACCCAGTGTGGAGCTACTCATACTCTCATTTTTATCATTTTCTAAACGACCACGACGAGCTGATTTCCAAGCGCAACATCCTTGTGAACGATAAGCAAAGTATAGACCAGCTCATAGAGGATCTCGATAAAAAGAAGGAGACCGCTTTGCGAGCTACGTGTGCTACCGTCAACAAAAACTTCGGCGAAATTTTTGCAGCGCTCTTGCATGGCGCATTTGCGAAGTTGGAAGCGCCACAGGAGATGGATGAGCTAGAAGGCCTGGAGATTAAAGTGGCTTTCAACGGCAAGTGGCAGGCCTCCTTACAACCGCTTAGTGGAGGACAGAAATCCCTTTAAGGCTAGTATATAAGCTCTGTATCCCTACATACTATCCCAACATGTGGACTATGGATGCTGAGTGAAGTCCCGCTTGTTTTAAAAAGAGCGTGAGAGTGAGAGTTGACCTTAAGCACCCCTTCATGTTCTAGCTCCTCTCTGTGCTCAATGATCAGGGGCTTCTCGTTGTGGTTTTGAAGCTCTGTATCCCTAAGTACATACTATCCCATGTGGACTATGGATGCTGAGTGAAGTCCCGTTTGTTTTAAAGGGGAAAACAGTGGGGACGAAAAGGGGAAGAACTCATTCAACTACCAGGCATCAGGTATAGTGAGTGGGGAAAAGGGAACGGATTCAACTACCAGGCATCAGGTATAGTGAAAAACTAGCGCCGCTAATCCTTGCTAGCATTAAGCTTAGTGCTCGCTCTGTTGAAATTCAAACCGGCACCGATGTACATCTTGGACGAGGTGGATGCTGCTTTGGATTTGTCGCATACGCAGAATATCGGAATGATGATCAAACATCACTTCCCTCATTCGCAGTTTATCTTATGACACCAAGAATTGATCTACTTCAGTAGTCAGTAGTCTTTGTTGTGGTAGAAAGAGAAATAGAATCTGACACTCGAGTATTCTCGCCAACTAGAACGAACCAATGAACCGACCAAACAATTCATGTGGAGCACTAGAACCAGCCAACCAATTCAGCTGCTAGAAGAAGATACAAGTGCGATTCCAAAAGTGAGTTTCTTCGAATACTATCATGTTAACCTCCACGCAGCTGACGCTGAGGTGGGTGCAAGAAGTGCAAAGGGCTCCTTTTCCCCAACAGTAAAGAACCTCTACTTCTCCGACCCCAAATCTGATCTCTAATCTCCATCGTCAGTCTCAAACAGGGTATGTTCGACAATGCCAACGTGCTGTTTAGGACCGCATTCGTCGACGGCTGCTCCCAAGTCACTAGGAAGGCTATTAAGCAAGACACCAAGCCTAAGGACAAGGACGGCGCAGTGGAAGAAAAGGGTGCTGATGGTGACGGCCAGAGGAAAACAAAGCGACGAAAGCCGGGTTTGGATGCGGGCAACCTTTTGGGTGCCTGAGATGAAGGAATTTAACACTATGAAGATGCCCTCGTCGTGAATCCTTAAATCCCTAGTACACACTTACTGATGCTGATGATCACAACTAGCGCAGAAGAAAAGATCTTGTTGTTTTGATGATTACATTTACATTTACAAGCCACTAGAACTACGAAGAACTTATCAAATCACACCTACATCACTAATATTAGGTGAATAAATAAAGTCAAATTAAGTAACCCACACTGAATCGGTCGGACCAGGCGAAGAAGCAGTGTATTTGCGAAGTTAATACGAACTAAATTTAATAGCCCCAACAACATGAGTAGAGCATGAGAGGTTCGACGACCACACGCACATACATATGTCCGTCAAGTTGGACTTCCTACTTCAACATAATTTGCTAGTCTTTTTTTGCACTTGTGAATGAACTTTTTTGGTGCTCAATCAAAACCAACATCTTCATCATAGGTAGTGATCCCGAACCCAGTAGCGGGTTGGTCGGTCCTCGCATTCAGATCATCCTATGTACTTGTGAAGAACATATTCGCTCCACCACAAGAAGAACCGACGCATAAGTCTCGTTTTTTTTGGATCGAGCAAGACCCACTCCTCGACTTGTTTAGCGTCGACTTCGCCTTGTTCAGCGTCGATCGTACATCACATTATATTATAGCTAGTGTCTACGACTACGGATTCCTCGTGAAAAACGGTCTGAGCGAGATAGGTGGCGTTAGTTGAAAGTACGAGCGAAAAATCGTCTCAACGCCACATTGACTAATGAGTGTTATATATAATGTCGACTTTCTTATCTTCGGCAAAATCTAGGTATTCAGACTCAGAGCTTCCAAGTAGAAAACGAGAGTACACAGGCAAGTAACTAAGCCTTTGCTGTTCGAAAATATAACGACCACTTCTATAAGGTAACTATCACATCAAATGAATGAATTTCCCCTTTGAACGTCGTGATTAAGAAAGACAGTCATGGTCTTCCAGCAACTCCTCTCTTGCCACAACGGCAACGGCATGGATTGGCTTTCTTCGTTGAAGGGAGAACCGTGGATTTCGGGACAAAAGCATGCGATCGACGACTTTTTCCAGATCAAAACACGGACATCAAACAAGTTTTTGGCTGCATCGTTTTTGGAAGGTCCACCAACTCTTGGTACAGCAAGTGCTCCTCCACGACCACATCAAGGTCCAACTACAAGTGGCCAAGACGGCAGTACAACTAGCACGGGCAACATCGTCCCCGAGCGTCCCTCCCACACTCCCAATATGCAGTTACCTCATCCCGCACCAGGTCACGAGGCCAAGGAGTATCGATCCTTAGCGGACGATCCGCAAACCTTTCCTTTCGATCTAAGCAACTTGCAGAAAATTCCTGATGACGTGCAAAAAATGTACCTAGTTCGGAAACGAGACATGCTGAGAAAACACCAGATGGCCATGAACATGAACTATCAGAATCCAGACGACGTGCCGGATGGACAAGCTTTTGCAACTAAGCTGCCAGCAGATCCAGATCCGATCTGTCAGCAGTTGCATAATTGCCCTGATCGTTTCGGCGATTTTGGGAATGTTAAGGCTGAACTACAGCTTCATGGGATAGTAGATGAACTACAGCTTCATGGGATAGTCTATTCATCGTCTAAGTAAGTACTTTCTAGCTTCTTGGGATAGCAGATGTTGAAACCGTATGACTAGCGAAGAGCGAGAGAGAGGGCGTAGATATGCCGGCGCTTGTAAATTCTGTTCCATTTCTTTCTGTGCAAGTTAGTACTTCATTGTAGTTCTTCTTCCTCTAAGAAAAGCGGTGCTGCAGGAGCCGGAGGTGGGCTCGGTACTGGAAAGGACGGGTTGATGGGCGATGGCACTGGTCCAAGCTCAGATTCCGAACTCCTCTTAGATGATGGCGGTGCTGGCGCAGCCAACGACGGCCGTTATGATCCTATTCCTGAAGACGATGCCCTCGACGCCGCTGAGAGATCGCTGATGCCTTGTGACGGTTACGGACGCATTGAGACTGCAGGAAAATTTCCCAGTATGGGAGAATATTGCACTGACCCGCACAAACGTGGATATAACATTTGTGTGTCGATTCTGCCTACGGACTTCGCGAAACGAACCGGCGGCTTCTGCTATTCCTCAGTGTTGAACGCGGCAAGCAATAGTCAGTGGTTCTACGAGAAGAATCATAGATGGCACCGGCAGCCTATGATGATAGCTGCGCGTGAGGATCCCTCGGTTGGGCATCGGAAAGTGAAAACGAACCTAGCGGACGTATACGAGATCAAGGACACAAAAGGGATGTATTGTTAAGGCGGGAAAAATCTTGGATATTTAATCACAATGAATAACGTGCTATCGAAATCTAAGTATCTTAAAGCTTGTTTCAATCTCAATGTAATTATGATCTGGTAAGTATCTAAGAAGGAGAAAATAAATGCATAATGCATTTTTGCTTTGTTGTAGCTTGTCGTGAGCAAGTGCATTTAGTACAAGTAGAAGACTCGTCTTGTTACACATGAAATCATCATCCAAATTCATCCTCTAACACCAGCCCATCACCCTCCTAAAGGAGCCACTATCCAAATTCATCCTCTAATACCAGCCCATCACCCTCCTAAAGGAGCGCCCCGGCAAGCACACGTACGAATCGTTGCTGTTTGACCACAATTTGACGCCTATGGGGCTGGCGGAGGTGGATGCTATCAACATCCGCGCTTATGGCGGCAAAGACTTTGATGTTGGGGACCGAGTAGTACTTAGCAAGCTAGGTATGGGCGCACCCGCAGCATCGAACAAAGCGGCGTTGACAGTGACTGGACCCAGCATGGCAGGAACGATCGTCAGTAGGTCGAAAACCGCTGGTGGCAATTCGTGGGACGTGGTGTCCGACGTCGGTCGTAAGGGCAGTTTTGCCGAGTCGCAACTGATGCATACTGGTCGCAACTTTGATCGACAAGTCGGACCTAGGACAACTTTGCAGATTGATTCCGAATACGTGTGGAAAAAACCTAAAGGTGGTGGCGGAGGTGGTAATAGTAGCATGTTTGGATCCTTTCTTTCTGGTGGAGCTGGAGGTGGAAAACATCATGATTTTGCAGTTGTTCTGAAGAAACTAGAGCCACCGAATGGACAGCTTGTGACCGTGGAGTTGTTTGATCCCGAGACCAAGGATTGGCACGTGCACGAACATGTTCCGAGGACGGAACTTCTTTTGTTAAGGCTGGCTTCTCCTAATCCATCTTCTGAAGCATCCTGAAGCAGCTGTCCTATGTATAAGGGGAAAGAAGCATCAGGATGCGTCTCAAAATTGATTAGAAGGGTAAGCTCTAACATTGCCGCCGGGGCTGACGTTTCAGAATACAGGCAAGACTGTGGACATTTGCCGGTCTCACATAGCTCATAGCTACTGCATAACGAGTCGGGCTCTGTACAGGTACATGCACGGGCACCCGACAGACAACGCGCACGCAGCGATTGAACTGAATTTTATGGGTAGCATGGAATAACACTATGCCAAAAGCGAACATAGAAAAGTGTTTTTTTAGCCAAAGAACGCGCATAAAGTTCAGGGATCAGCTGGGCAGTATTCGTCTCAAAGTGCGAAACTTTCACTCTGAGGCGAATAATTTACAAAAGAGCGCTAGAAGGTGATCTATCGACGCACTGAATCTTCAGCTGAAAAAACATAGTTAGACCGACCTATCTTCCCCTCTTCTAAGCCTCGTCTCGCCACTACTGACCGGCGAACGGTACGAGGCCAAGGTTGGGGTGGTAGCAATTGTGCCAGATATCTGCGGACGCAGCCTCCTTACGACCATTTCCGCATAGGCGAAGACGGCAATTGGAAAGTGGATGGTAACATAACCTGGGACAACGTAGAGCCACAGCATCCTTTGAGTGCAGAGACGCCGTTTTTGTAGATGGGGCATTGAGTGCAGAGACGCCGTTTTTGTAGAGAATTCTACAACATTCTTTGAGCGCAGAAACGCCTTCCTTGTAGATGGGGGTTCTTGCAAGGAGCGTTCTTGACCTGCAGGTGAGCTGCAGCATCATCCTCGATTGTGTGTAAGTCCAGATCACAACATCAAGCGGTTGCAAGATCATCTAGTACAACGGATTGAGCGAAGGAGATACGCGCAAACGAGCAGAACTAGTCGTCCGATAGCGATGTGAGCGTTACATGCTAGCGCGAGAGAGTAGACCCATGAACATGAACATGGCGACTTAATTTCGCTGGTCTTGCACTCTTAGTACCGCTTCGTGTGTTTCGCAAATACTGTGTGTACCACTGCGTGAAATTACTGCAGAAGTACTGTCCTTGACGACAAGAATTTACTGCAGCGTGACGCCTCGATAAAGGAAGAGATGGTATTTTGGGGGGGCACTAGGGAGTGGAACTAAGAAGAGTGCTGTTGCTGCAAAGCAAGGGGAAGAGCATCTTTTTGTTGTCCCTGGTGAAAAACCTCTCGATCCTCTCGGACGGGGACTGCTGGAAAAAAAAACGCATTGGTGCAAACATGACAAGGATTTTTACTTGTTGTACAGAACAGTGGAAACTTGACACCAGTCTTATTCTTTTATTTAGAATGGGAAATAGATTTTTCAACTTCAAGTTCAACATGTAGAGATGATAGAGGACAACCCCCGGACCCACTATCGGATCCTCTTCCGACCCATAGGCGGTCAAGAGGCGTCTCTTCATCTCTTTCATCGAATCATAACCGTACTTGTGTTATCAAAGAAAACTTTACAAACAAGTAAGTAAAAGCGCTACCAAATCGGTCATAGACGAACGGGTAAAAGCGCTGCCCAACGGGCAAAATGTAGTCGGTCATAGACGCAACAGCTCACTAGAGATATTAGGTCGCTGTGGACTGCCTCGTGACGTATGCGCAAATCTCGGTCGAAGTTTGATTTCTGCAGGCTTCGTACCCTCACGGCTCACTCTAACATCTTCCATAAAAATCACCTCCCGTAAACGAGAAAAAGTCGTAGTCCTACCGAAAACGAGAAAAGAAGCCCAAGAGACTCTACGTGGGCACGCTCATTCATATACCCACTGAATCAATCACCCACTCACGACTCTTTCTTGGCGTACTAGATCGGAAGATATAGATACTATAAAGAATTGGATGACTGCAAAACACGAGTGATAAAAGAACGAGAGAAATAAAAACGAGTGATGCAAAGAAATCAGTGTTCACCAAGCAAAAGGAGAAAAGATCTTGTGTAGTGTTGCGGCTCGTGTCCTAGTCAGACGAGGGAGGTGCTTACACTTGTCCTAGTGGCTCTAGGATAAGTGGCACCGGAAGATATCACTGCAGAGGGCGCTCAGGCTCACGGTGATGCCCCTGGCCCTCTCGTCGTGCCTATTTGTTGGCATGATCGCGCTCGGTTCCAATTCTCCCATCTGATGACCTCCACAAAGTCCTCTCCTCACCTCCAAGCTTTCCCAGTCAGTTGTTTAAGAAGTATGACAAAACAAGCATCTGTTATTCATCACTGATTATACTCCTTGATGTTTACTGAAAAAGCTCATTATCTTCTTTACTAAAAAGCCTTCCGGAACACGACCAATACAGTTTTAGGGAGGAGGAGCAAATAGAATTAGTAAGTGGTACGTGCAAAAATTCAGAATCTATTTATCTCAGTGATCTCTTGCAGGAGCAGGAGCTTTTAGTGCTTGGTACTAGCGTTGTCTATCTGAGAAGAACAGTTCTTTTATGACCTTCTAGTCGGAGCAGGTGGAGTGCGATCTTCAGGCCATTTTCGTCTTGCGAGAACGAAGACAGGATGACGAAGAGGAAGACCAACACGAAGAATAAAAACTCCTCGAACGCGAACAACAAGAAGAGGAAGAACCAAAACAAAAAACGCGTCCAGGAGCGCCAGCTGCAACCAACTTAAGGCGTGGCTTCGTTATAAAATTTTATCCCTCAGCACTGATACACATACAGATCCATCTTCTATTAGATAAGCCGTCCGGTGTGTAGTTTAACTCAAGAGTAAAACATGCAGGTCCACGATTGCAGTCGCCCTTTGTTATTTTCCCAACAAGGCCTCCAACAAGTAGCTGCACATTCACAGGAGGTCTATAATAAAGATTGAGATGAAGATTATGAACATCAATGTCAATCCCCACCGACATATCCCGTTGATAATTCTTGTCGTAATTAACTAAGTTCACTTGCTTAACCTGTTTACTTTCGAAATCGAACCTCTATTTCACAACATTATGAGCATCATGGAGTGATGTGAGCTCTAACTTCTCTCTTCGAACTCTGTAGAGCGGACGACGCTTCAGGCGAAACAGACAGCAAGACGCCACAACAGCGGTGCGCGATGCTGCCGCTCGCATCGCGGATGGTCCTCGGCCGGGTTGGCCTTCCTCTCGAGCATGCCGGAAGTAGCTTCCCGTGAGCACAAGCAGAAGCAGAAAATATCGCATCTTCATGAGTCGGGTCAACACGGCGCTGGCAGTGATCAGCCTCTAGGTACTTGATCGTCTCGCAGCTTTTGTTCATACTATCTACTACTTAATATTCCTTTTTTCAAGTTGTAACTGTAAGCAGTCACTTTGTTTTTGTAGATGAGTCGCGTTTCTACAATAAGTAGATGACTCCTGATGGTCTAGATCTATCTCCCCACTGCGACTTCTTTGTATCAAGAGCATACTAGTACAGTATATGATGCGGGAGGTATCATTTTCTTATCAGCATGCTCCTGTTATTTTCTTATCATCATTATACAGAGTTTCTCACTCTTGATCGCCTCGCCGCTTCTCTTCATAGAAATACTTCCGCATCTAATCAGACACACACACAGACACTCTCAGCGCAAGTCACTTTGTAGCGTGTTGCTTATACAAATAGAGATGATCTCCCGCCGATTTGGATTCCCACCTCGTTGTATCTTCACTCAAGATTGTACTAGCCGCAGTTGCTACTTCTCTTCACTGATGACCAGGGAAATCCGCCACGCGCGCGCGGAGAAGGATTCGCCTACTACTGACTGCGCTGACCGCACTCAGAAAAGTCCCGCAGAGCCGCCACCGCATTTGGGTGGAAGGAGTCCAAAAACCTGCAAAAGACGGCGCCGCCCAAATGCCGCCAAAAACTGCAGGAAAGTCGGAACCGTGTCCGGGTGTTTTGGTTGGTTTTTGGTTGTGTGTTGTGTCTCCACCGCAAAAGGGCTCTGCCTTCACGCGCCTGCCATGTCTTTCCGCTCCGACGGCAGTCGGGTGCTTCGCTTGCTGCCGATGAATCCTGACGGAAGGGCGGTGGCCAGGTCTGCGGAAGTGTCGCCGCCAATGAGTTTGGTTCCGGCGAGTGGGGGTCTGGCTGCTGGTTTTTTCTGTCCGTGTGCCTTCTCCCCATGAGTCCAGCGTGACCGCATCGCGCTGGCCAGGTCTGTCTGTGGGAGTTTCGTCGGCAGCTTACTGAGGCGCTGCGCATGGGGATGCGGCTGCAATTTTTCGGCTTTTCGCCTCCTTTGTTCGCTGGCTTTCGCTGGTTCTCTTGGGTCGTTTGCGTGTAAGCTGCAGAACGACGCGCCTTCATCTCGGTGGCTTGTGTGTAGGCTACGGAACAGGGGCTGGGGCTTTTTAGATATTGGGTTTGGGCTTGGGATTCTCAGGCGCTTCCTCAGTCGGACGAGTCAGTGTGGCGTGTCTGAAGTGCGTGGGGAGTGCGTTGCGCGTCGTCGTGGGCAGGGGGGCGCCCGCGTATAGTTGGTATGACACATGGCAAACGGCGCGCAATTCTAGCCGGCATGCCTTGGGTGTTAGTTTCCGCGCGCCCTCTGACCGCTCGATCGATGCATGCAGAAGTCGGTAGCTAGCGTGGGCGCCTCATGGCAATACGGTGTCGCTTTCACCATCGTCGTCGCCTCCTTCTATTTCGACGAGGAAGTAGACTTATATCCCCATCGCTGTCAAATAAATTAAAACACATTTTTCCACAGCTGAGCATATGTCCATTGAACGGCAGCGAATTGCGACGAAGAACCAAAACGAGCGTGGTCAGGGGTCGACGGCGTCACAGGTTATCCCGCTTTTGCTTTTTGATGTTGTTGCACTAGTGCACTGATGCGACCTGCTCATCTACTTATCTAGATACCCTTGTAGCTTTTTTTACTGATAATATGTCATCACTTTGATACGTTTTGGGTCATGGCATGATGACATTCTTTGTAGTTCTTTAGAAGATTTTCTGTAGCTTCTTATCGGAATAGACGAGATAGAGAGTATTGTCTCCAACTCTAGACTTTCAATACCTTACTTTGATGAAGAAGAAGACACAGGTACTAAAGCCGAGGACGACCAAGACGAAGGATGAGATGTTGACTTAAGGCTACCGCTAGTCCGTCCCTACATATTTATAGGGGTCCCTCAAGAAGCGTGTACTACAACAGATGAGCAGTATCTTCTTTGAGGGGATGTGATTCCCAGCACAGAGATGGACTAGGTGGAGTAGCTCTAACAGACCCAGCTATCGGATACATTGAGTTCGCTAAAAGATTGGAAATTGAGAAATTGGACCTTTTCGAAAAAACTAACCGATGAGAAGCAGGAACTGTCGGAATTGAAGGAGGCGCAAAAAAGCTTGAAAAAGGATCTGAGCATTAGGGAGTCTCTATCTATAATTTTTTGAGAAATGTTGACCTCGTCGACCCTGCAGAGAAAATGCATGTTTATGTTTTTCCTCGCTTGTGGTTTCATCTCTTCTTTCTAGTTGGACCCTGACTGTGCTATTAACAGGTTTATAACTCAACATACGATAGCAAAGGGAGAAGGGGGGGCAAGAGTCACAGTTTCACTCTCTGAGTTTGAATTATTGATTGATTCTCTCCTTCCTGGGATCTTAAGGAAATCTTAACTAATTGTAACTGTTTCACTGTAGAGCAGGACTATTCAACCTAC